TTGAATATCAGTATGATCCTAAGAAAATTGGATTGGCTGGGATGAGCCATCTAATTACTGCACTCATTTTATATGGATATTTGATACCCATCTCGCTTTATGTTTCAATCGAGGTTGTCAAGGTATTACAGGCAACCTTCATTAACCAAGACATTCAAATGTATGATGACGAGACGGGGACTCCAGCTGAGGCAAGGACATCAAATTTGAATGAAGAGTTGGGTCAGGTAGACACTATCCTCTCTGATAAAACTGGCACTTTGACCTGCAACCAGATGGACTTTTTGAAGTGCTCCATTGCTGGTACTGCATATGGGGTGCGTTCCAGTGAAGTTGAGGTTGCTGCAGCAAAGCAGATGGCTTCTGATCTTGAGGAGCAGGAATTGGATCCCTCCAATTTCCCCGGTCAAAAGGAGATTAAAGTGCCACGGGAAAATATCAGAAAAGATGAAGAAATTGCACTGGAGACTGTTGTTACTTCCAAGTATGATGAGGATCGAAGGCCTTCCATGAAGGGATTTGGTTTTGAAGACAACCGCCTTATGAATGGTAACTGGTTGAAAGAGCCCAATGCTGATGTTCTTTTGTTGTTTTTCCGGATATTATCAGTTTGCCATACTGCAATTCCTGAGCTGAATGAGGAGACTGACAGTTGTACATATGAAGCTGAATCACCTGATGAAGGGGCTTTTCTTGTAGCAGCTAGAGAATTTGGTTTTGAATTTTATAGAAGAACTCAATCAACTGTTGTCATACGTGAAAGATTTTCTGCTTCAGGACAAGTGGTTGAAAGGTGAGGTGGACATCCATGAACTCTATTATGCTTATCCTTTTCCTTTTTGGGACCTTGCATGGCGGAGGGGGGCTCCAAAATTTGCTTCTGAACTCCTTGAATTGTGATGCCATATTTCTTAGCCTTTTATTTATATATTTGTTTTTTTGGATGAATTATACAGAGAGTATAAAATCTTGAATCTGCTGGATTTTACTAGCAAGAGAAAGCGTATGTCAGTGATTGTGCGTGATGAGGAGGGAAGCATTATTCTTTTCTGCAAAGGAGCTGACAGGTTAGTTGATTAATGTGACTTCTCTTTACAGGATCGTCAGCACAGCTGAATGTATGGTGTTAATGATCAAGTAGGACCTTCTCTATCAGTTTCTACAATGGAATGATTAAAATCATCTTTGTGCTTGTGGAACCTATATTCTACTTAGTCCTAGCATACTATATAACCACAGCAACTCCCTGTTTCTTGTGAAGAAGCTTTCGAAAACACCCACACGTTGCATAGAGAAACTTTCAGCATCAATCTCTAAACCTTGACATCCATTATTTTCTTGCTTGGTTGTGCAGTATCATATTTGATCGGCTGTCCAAGAATGGAAAAATGTATCTAGAGGCTACTACTAGACATTTGAATGAATATGGAGAAGCTGGTTTGAGAACATTAGCTCTGGCTTACAGAAAGCTTGCTGACCAAGAGTACTCTGATTGGAATAACGAATTTCAGAAAGCCAGAACAGCTGTTGGGCCTGACAGAGAGGCAATGCTTGAGCAAGTTTCAGATATTATGGAAAGAGAGTTGATTCTTGTTGGGGCTACTGCTGTGGAAGACAAACTGCAGAAAGGGGTAGGCTGTATCATTATTTATACTTGTGTTTCTGCTTCCCTCTCTGCCTCAACCACACTGAACTTTTTAATTCTCATCAGGTGCCTCAATGCATTGATAAACTTGCTCAAGCTGGTCTAAAGATCTGGGTATTGACTGGGGATAAGATGGAAACTGCCATCAACATTGGGTCTGTCTACTGCAAATTATTTAACTAAATAACACTGTTTCATTTATGTTTTAAGTTTAAGTTTGAAGTTACTGAAAAATGCCGCTGTAAATGAGTTTGCTGAAATTTTTGTTTCTGTGGTGCAGATTTGCTTGTAGTTTGCTTCGACAGGGCATGAAGCAAATCTGTATCACCATGATGAATTCAGATCCAGGAACCAACAACGATGTGAAAGAGGTATTTTTTCATTGAGATAGAGTAGAGAAATTTACTAAAAGACATGAGTTTCCATCTGATATTGGGCCTAGCTTTTGTCATGCCTCAGGTCATCAAAGGCAACATCTTGAATCAAATCACCAATGCCTCACAAATGATTAAGTTGGAAAAGGATCCACATGCTGCATTTGCATTAATTATTGATGGGAAAACTCTAACGTATGCTTTAGAAGATGACGTCAAGCACCATTTTCTGGGATTGGCTGTTGGCTGTGCATCTGTTATTTGCTGTCGTGTGTCTCCAAAGCAAAAGGCTTTGGTAGGACCTTTTTCATTTCTAACTTTGTGGTCCCTACTCTTTTATTATACTGCATTTCCATAGTTGATTGTTATAAATGATGCTACTTACACAATTGTTGTAGTGAGAAGTGTGTGGGACTGCATGCATAGCTCTATATTGATATTAGATGGGACAGATTAGGTGTGGATCCAAGAGTTCTGTCTTGCAAAGTTGTTATTGAAGTGCTTCTATAGGAAGAATTTATCTAATCTAATTGTCATTGCTATATCAAGTGTAAGAGTATGTATAAATTAAAATGTGTACTGCTTTCTTATATCTTCATCCCTAATCCTTTGGTGTCAGGTAACAAGGTTAGTGAAAGAAGGAACTGGGAAGACCACTTTAGCCATTGGTGATGGTGCGAATGATGTTGGCATGATTCAAGAAGCTGACATTGGTGTTGGAATCAGTGGGGTTGAAGGTATGCAGGTCAGTGTCTGACTTATGTCACAAAACTATCTCTGCATATGTTGTATTTTAGCATGTACTTTTTCTAGTTGCAAAAATATATGCTTCATATTTGCTGAGAAAGAGAGAAACAATAAGGGATAAGATGAATCCATGTGTTTTGAATACATAGTAGAGCTATCTATTTATAATAATGAGTTGTAATAAATACATGATTTACATTTATCTAGAATCACACTAATTACATAGTTAATGCATGCTAATCAGATGGTCAATATTTTTTTTTAGTAAATTTATAAATGGTAAAATGACTAACTTGATGATTTCCAGTTCATGTTTGCATTATCAGCTGTGAAGAATAATTTAGTGTAAATCTATAAATGGACTATGAGCACTCATTACTATAATGACTAACTTGATGATTCCAATTCATGTCTACAGTATCAGTTGTGAAGAATAATTTAATTAGAATCTATAAATGGCCTATGAACACTCATTACTATAATCTTTAACGTCAAGAAAATACATATTTGTGCCTTTCTGTTTGGAAGCGTGAAAAATCTGTGGAACTAAAGCTTGGAATTTCTTTTCAGGCTGTGATGGCTAGTGACTTTGCTATTGCTCAATTCCGGTTTTTGGAGCGGCTTCTGGTAGTCCATGGACATTGGTGTTACAAGAGAATTGCACAAATGGTAATTGATTTAATATCTTGAATCTTGATCACTGTTCTCAGATCTTCATGTCTTTGATGTTTTATTTGCTGTTATCCTGTGCATGGATAGAAAGTGTGTATATATATATATTCATTTTGTTTATGAATTGATTCATATGTTTCTCTTCTAAATTGATGTGTTTTGCACGCCAGATATGTTATTTCTTCTACAAAAATATAGCATTTGGCCTCACCATATTCTATTTTGAGGCCTTTGCGGGCTTCTCTGGTCAATCAGTTTATGATGACTGGTACATGATATTGTTCAATGTTGTTCTTACATCATTGCCAGTCATTTCTCTTGGAGTTTTCGAACAAGATGTTCCATCTGAAGTTTGCTTACAGGTATCTTTTCTTTAATGAGTTTTATATTTTCATCCGTGTCTGCACAATCCAACCTTCGATGTGTCATTCCTTATTGCAGTTTCCTGCACTGTACCAGCAAGGACCCAAAAACTTGTTCTTTGACTGGTCTCGAATCTTGGGATGGATGGGGAATGGCCTGTATTCCTCCCTCATCATCTTCTTCCTTGTTATCATTATATTCTATGATCAGGCATTCCGTGTAAATGGCCAGACTGCAGACATGGCTGCTGTTGGTACCACAATGTTCACTTGCATCATCTGGGCTGTCAATTGCCAGATTGCATTGACAATGAGTCATTTCACATGGATTCAACACCTCTTTGTGTGGGGCAGTATAACCACTTGGTACATCTTTCTCATATTATATGGCATGATTTCTCCCCAATATTCCAAGACTGCCTACCAAATATTGGTTGAGGTTCTTGCTCCTGCTCCTATTTATTGGACAGCAACTCTTTTAGTTACAGTCACATGCATTCTTCCTTATCTTGCCCACATATCCTTCCAAAGATGTTTTAATCCTATGGATCATCACATTATCCAAGAAATCAAGTACTACAAAAAGGACATTGAAGATCAACACATGTGGAAGAGGGAGCGGTCTAAAGCAAGGCAGGAAACAAAGATTGGATTCACAGCAAGAGTGGAAGCAAAGATCAGGCAGTTGAAAGGGAAGCTACAGAAGAAGCAGGCTTCACCGTTTGTTTTGTCCCCATCATGACCATTACAAAATATTTAACAGTTTCCAATCCTGTGGTTGCGGCCTTTTTTGTTGTTGTTCTTTTTTTCTTTTTCGCTCTAGCATCATTTAAATTCTTTGAAAAAAGCATGGGAGCTGTTGTAACATATTTAAGTAGAAGAGCTCACCAATTTAGAAAATTTTTAGTGATCAAAGTGTAATTCTCACATAGCCAATGATTATAATTCAAGTGATATTAAAGAAATGAAAGTAGCCAAGAAGTGTAGACAGTGTCACATTTTCTGTTTTCTTCGGCAGCAGGTTTTAAAGTGTATTTTTTTAATTAAAATTAGAGTTTCATATTAGTATTCTGTGAAAAATTTGAATGCATGCTTTTTTATTCAAGTATAATTTGATTTTTATTAAAAGAATAACACAGTTTTTACAAAATTATACTTGAAACATTATCTTTTTTTTTTTTTTTTCTCGCTGTACAATAAAATTTATGCTGTTTTCGGGATCCCGATGGATGAGAAAAGTTTTTGGAGGGGGTAAAAGAAAGGAATGTGGAGAAGTTATATTCTTTCATACAACACCTTTAGAATTATATTTGATTGCAATCATCTTTCATTTATTGTTTAAAATTGATGAAATGTGTCACTATTTTAAAGATATAAAAAATGCTTTTAGAGTTCTATTAATAAAACTTGCACACAAATAGAAGTTATATTTCTGAAAAAAGATTTATAACTCCAAATAAAAAGAACTCAAATGAAAAAGAAAACCAAAGTTAAATTCGGTACAACTGCAAGAAACTGAAAGAACTCAAGCTCTGACATAAGACGTGAACAGGATAGAGTGGAAAGATATAGGATGTTTGTAAAATATCTATTATCACTTTTTTAAAATCATATATATATTTGAATAATAATAGAACGGGCTAAATTTTTTTTATTGATTGATTCAATTAATAATAATATCAAGTAATAAGTGATAATAAATATTTTAAAATGACAATAATCACTTTCATAAGTTAGTGACCTGTCAGTCAGAACTATTTTGGATATATAGCAGCAGTTATCCGCAGTTGACAAGCACAATGCTATGGATGAAAAGATCTTCCACTTGCGTACAAAGAGAAAATTCTTAAAAATATCTCCCACTATATAATCCACTTGGTATTATAAAAAAAATCCATTTTATCCAAAAAAATTTCTTGTCATGCTCAAAATATCTGCTCTTTTAAGTGGTAAAAAGTTTATTTTTCTTTATATATTATTTAAACTTAAAGATTTGAATTCTAAGCACATTAAAAAAACATGGGTTTAGAAAAGATATTTCGCATACTTGAGTCTCATGTATTAAAAAAATTAACATTAAACGATATTATCTCCATTAAATAAGTTTATTCAATTTTATTTAGCATAATTAAAATATAAAGTTGCCTAAAAATGTAATATTTAAACATCAAAATCAACGAGAGTCAATTAAAGTAATATATATTTAATTCTCTTTAAACAAAATTTTAAGCTTAAAATTTATGCATGTAAAAAACTTTGTTGTGAGAACTGATTTTCCTGTTGTGTTTATACTCTCCACTCAAATAAGATTGTTCCTAATGCAAAAATACGTATAATTTAGATTAAAAAAAATTCGAAAATCAAAATATTAGTGTTCCAACGTCCTCCAATATCTATTGAAGTACTCACACCACTTCAACTTTTCAAAAAAGAATATTGAAGATTTTTTTATCTTTAATAAGTATATATTTGATTATTCTTAGACTGTAAGCAAATATTTCCTTGTTTTACACTTAATTTAAATATACAATTATTTATATATTAATGGGAAGGTGGCTGAGAAATACGTAAAAAAAATAAAAAGAAGAAAGAAAATCCCTTTGGATGAAAGCACGAGGAGAGAGCAGAGAAAATATTAGAGAGAGGGAGAGAGAGAAAATGTTATTTCCAAACTTGCCCCCAACTTTTCTCGCATTCTCACTTATGTCCTTTTCTTTTCCATTCCATTTCTCCGCTGCAACGCCTGCACTTCGCAACTCCTCTCCTTTTCAATTTTCAATTTCTAGGGTTTAATTCCCCAACCTAGGGTTTTGTTCTGATCCAAATGGAACCCCGCGTTGGGAACAAGTTCCGTCTTGGCCGCAAAATTGGAAGCGGATCCTTCGGCGAGATCTATCTCGGTCTGCTCTGTTTCTTCCACACTTTCAATTTATGCTTTTTTTCTTTTTCTTTTTAGTTTTTTAATTCATTTTTCTTCAGGTGCGAATATTCAGACAAATGAGGAGGTTGCGATTAAGCTCGTGAGTATTGTTACTTAGTCCAATTGGAAATTGTAACCTCTACTTTTCCTATTTGCTAATCTAAAACACAACTTGCATGAATGGGTAAAAGTTGTTCTAACTCACTAAGGTGTGATTTCTTTGTTTATCATCTTCAGTTGGGAAATTTTAAATGGTTGCGTGCACTGTGTAGTGTCTTGTTGCTCAATTTTAACGAATGTGCATAATTGAAGTAACGTAGATGTGCTTCATGGAATGTGTGATAGACATTTGACGAAAATTGACTTTTTGAAGAACTGTGTTGACGGTTGAGATTTAGGGACGTGTTTAACTAAATGTTTGCCTTTTTCTCTTTGCCTTTTGATTCAGGAAAGTGTCAAAACCAAGCATCCTCAATTGTTGTATGAATCAAAGTTGTATAAAATACTGCAAGGAGGAAGTAATGTCCCGACTTACTGAATTTCTATCTTTCCAATCTATTTGCTTACTATATGGAATTCATATTACTCAACTTAAATGTTTTTGGGTTGGCTACTTTTATTTGGTAGCTGAGATCCCAAATGTGAGATGGTTTGGCGTTGAGGGACATTACAATGTCCTTGTGATGGGTTTACTGGGCCCTAGTCTTGAGGATTTATTCAATTTCTGTAGTCGGAAATTGTCCCTGAAAACTGTTCTCTTGCTTGCTGATCAGATGGTGGGATTCCCTGTGTTTTGTAGATACTTTTCTAATTTGCATTTACTGATTTCTTTTTTGAAATGGGGAAATTGTGAACTGTTTGCAGATAAATTGGGTTGAATATTATTACTCTGACTATTTAGTGGGAAAGTTTCCTAGATTGAAGTGCTGACAGTGTAGAGTTTACAAAGACAATCAATCAAATTTAAAATTCTTTTATTTCCAATTGTTCATGCTATTTTCTATATTATTTTATTATGAAAATATGTTTCAATAATCAGTGCATAAATTGCTATTAATTCTTGTTACTTGCAAAATATCTTTAAGTAGTCTCTTTGTGATAATTTTATTACTCTGTTTTATTTTATTTTATTATTTATGGGAATATACTTTCAAGTTATTATTGAAAATAATTCTCGAATTTTGTGGGGTCTCTCAGAATTTCACTTGTTTCAGAGAGAATAAGAGTTTGACAGGAACTGCTAGATATGCTAGTATGAATACTCATCTTGGAATTGGTATGCTGTCAGTGTATCTCTTCATCAAACTCCCATGCCATTATATTTATTCTTAATTGATTCTGAACTTGGGGAATGCTCTTTTGTGCTTTATTAGAGCAAAGCCGCAGGGACGACTTAGAATCACTTGGATATGTTCTTATGTATTTTTTGAGAGGAAGGTAGTTATCCTTGTTCCTGTGTTGTTGTCTTTCTTGATCTCCTATTTTAAATTTAATACTTTACTGAGTATTTCTACAGTCGTCCATGGCAGGGATTGAAAGCAGGTACTAAGAAACAAAAGTATGAGAAAATCAGTGAGAAGAAAGTTTCTACTTCTATTGAGGTGAGAAAAAGTGGGTATAAAAGTGGTTCGCTACATATTGTCTACCCCTACCCCCACCCACAATCGTGACAAAATGTGGCATGCTTCTTTGTTAGTCTCTGTGTTGTGGCTACCCCTCAGAGTTTGCTTCATACTTCCTTTACTGTCGGTCACTGCGGTTTGATGATAAACCAGATTACGCTTATTTGAAAAGGCTTTTCTGTGACCTTTTCATTCGTGAAGGTTTAAGCCATTCCAATTTCCTAGTTATATTTCACTTTGAGATGTACTACAGTCTTTGATAACTAGATGGTTAGGTTTTAATATGTCATTTAATGTGTTTTGGCTGGTGTTCTCTTCTTGCTCCAGGACTTCAGTTTGATTATGTCTTTGATTGGACCATTTTGAAATATCAGCAATCTCAAATTGCCAAGCCTCCTGCTTCTGCCATTGTAAGTAGTGGTGCACTATACAGTGGCATAACATTTGATGTTTGGTTGTTAAGATTAGGCTATCTTACTGAAAGCAACACTTGCTGGGTCCCGCTGCTGGACCAAGTTCTGGCATGCCACAAGCTGTTGTCAATGCTGATAGACAGACAGGTGTAGTTTTCTTTCCTTTTTACTTTTAAGACCCCAATCTATCATTTTAGTATTATTAGTGTGCTGTTTCATACTTTGTTGGCTCAAATGTCTGTTAGTTATTCTATATAGATTATTTTTGTTTTTCCTTTTATTTTGTCTACCTCAGCTTTTCCATGTTTTTATGGTATGTTACTTTGCACTTTTGATTTTTAATGTGGCAATTTCTGTATAGGTGGGGAAGACCGTAGACATACTGGTTGGTCTTCAGCAGATCCTACTCAAAGAAGAAATTCTGGACCTATTGCAAATGATGTAATATTATCAAGACAAAAAGGCCCTTTTACAAATAACTCAACTGGATCTAAAGATGTTATGGTGAGTATATTTATTTATGGGATTGCTTATGACTGTGAGCTAAGCTATTTCCTGCAGAGAGCTGAAGGTTGTTGTATTTATGTTTAAAAAAAAAACTGTTTTATATGGAATGTGAATCGTTTTAGAAGGGAAAAATTGAACATTATTCCCATTTATCTAAAAATGAGAAAGAAATTATGAAGCTATGCGTTGTTGCTTTGTTTCTTTTGGTCATAACTGGAAATAAAGTATTGGCCATATCATTTGTGTTTACGTGCACGATTTATATATAAGATAAGCAATTTTCATTCTTCAGGAGTCAGCTTTATGATAAAAAAAAACCTATATAACATTCTTTAGACCTTCTGCGTTTGGTTTTGTGCTGTGCTGAGAATATATCGCTGGAGTTTAGTTGTTTTCTGGCAAAAGAAAATGAATACAGTCCATGAGTACAGTAGGTTTCCCATAGTGATTGCGTTATCAGGTTTTGTTGTTAGTTCATGGTTTTTATCGTATTTGAAATTGCTTACTAGTAACAGACTTAGAGTTACACACCAATCTCTTTGTATTGCAGTTTGTTTTCATGTTTTAAAATTTGTGTATAGTACAGGCAGTTGTCTAGTTCTAATTTCTTGTGGTCAAGTGGATCTACAAGGCGAGGTGCTGTATCCAGCAGTCGCGATGCAGTTGTTGGCAACGAGACTGAGCCCCCTCATCCTCTCACCAGGGATGCTACTCAAGGAGCACTCCGAAAAATCTCTGGGGCTCAAAGAAGTTCTCCTATCATGCCATCGGAGCACAACCGAACATCCTCAGCCAGAAATACGTCAAACATGAAGAATTTTGAGTCAACTCTCCGAGGTATTGAGAGCCTGAATTTCAACGACGGGAGGGTACAGTATTAGGAGCTGCCTCTCTTGATCAGCTAAGTAAATTCTTTGAGGTTTTATACTCTCTTCATGAACTGCGGAGTGGAGTGTTATCTCTGCATTTTGTTGGAGGAAAGCTGGAACAAGTTGGGAATTGTCACTATAAAGTATACACGAAAGATATGCTTATGTGGTTTCCTGACAAACCTGGCCTATGAAAAGGCTCTTCTGTTATTACAGTTTGCATTGTACTCACATTGTTTCTACTTCACTTTTACTATTGTTTCCTCTTTCATATTATTCAGCAATATCCCTGGCTTTCTTGGCCTTTTCCCCCCCTTTTTTTTTTCGTGGATAATCATGTATCTTGTTGACATTCATGTATCTTTAAGTTGTTATTTTGAAGAGGGTTTTACTTGATCACCATTCAAGTCCAGGAATTGATCTCACGGTTATATCTGTGTATAGGAATCAGGAGTTCTGTTAACATTAATCATGGGAAATTAATGAAAAAAATTATATTAGGAGAGTAAATATTTATTTTATAATAAATATTTTGAATAAAACATTTCTATTTTTCGGTTGCTGGTGTTAACAAACGAAAAATTAATGTGATGTGTGTTGTCTGCTTCACTAAGCTCAATTTTAATTGACCCATGTATTATTTACGCGTTTGGCCTTTAACATTCTTTGGGCGAAGTTGGACTTCGAAGTGCATTAGCAATGGACGCAAAATACACAAGATCTTAAAATGTGACAATTGAAGTGCATATCTTTTATGTGTGGTTGAAATTTCTTACATGTATTTCAAATCCCACATATCTTTTATCTTTCTAAGTCTTTTAAGAATGTTTCATATTATCATATATATCAATATTATAAAGAATCCATCGATAATTTTAAATGAAATTTTGGTCAAATCCGACAGCAGCATCCATAATAATAGCAAAGGCATAAAATATTTTTGTGATATAACATTGGTAATTTATTTTAAATTACTTATCACTAACATAAATAAAAATATATTTATCCTTAAACTTCAATAAATTATTGACATAACATATTACAAATTAAATCAAAATCAAATGTACCTTAACAAGATGTTCACTTTTGAAATAGCTTTTCGAGAAATTTCACGGAACAAGCAACAATGTCTTGTGTTCTCTCTCTAATAATACAGCCGATACATTATGGGGTGAAAAGCAGGGCAGTGGATGTAGAAGTGTGACCAAACGCAATTTCTGGAACAAGACACTTTATTTTCTTTGGTTTTAGTGTATATTATTACATTACTATATGATTAACCAACCATAAACTAGTTAAATTGTGCCTTGTACTTTCAATTCACGAATATCATTACATTACTATATGAGTGTTATCGGCCATCAAAAAATAAGATGGAAAAATAATCTGAGTTGAATTAAGAAAGATCATTGTGAATGAATTTTATTTTTTTTTAAATTTAATACCACTGCATTCTTATAAACTCAGGATCAAATTAAAGTAATCTCACTGAGTAAAGCACTTGGTGATGATGTTTAATGACTCTGAATTCATTTTGGAACATTTTGATATTTTCCAATTAACATTTTCACTCATAAAACCGTTGAGGTTAGCAAAATTTGAAATGCACTTTGGAAAGATTAATGATATTTCTGAATATTTAATCATTCAAAGACGTAACAGTGACAAAGGAGAAAACTTCCTCTTTTGCCATCATTTTCTTCCTTCCTTGCTTACAATTTGTTTTTTTGGGTTGCTTTCAATCCAGCTACCAACTATAATACAGCGAAAATAATGTTAGAATTCTCCCAAAACTAATCCAAGTTCTTGATTTGGATATAATTAACCGAATAACTAGCCAAAACAGAACAGAAACAGAGTGATTCTCCCATAATGCATTCATTTTTATTCTTTTTGACTTATATAATTACAATAAAAACAAAAAACAATTCAAACCCGTAATATTCATCTTAATTTTGAACTGATGATTAGGAAACTCAGCAGTAGCCAAACTGGAATTTCATGCAGCAAGGAATTAAACTTTTTAAAGGATGGAGATTTAATGTAAACATTACTCAAAGACCAAAGTAGTAAGCAAATTACCATTAAAAAAAGAGTAGTAAGTAAATACTAAATCACAATTCATTACAGAAAAATGAAAAACAAAACAAAACAAAAACAGCATTCTATTCACCACCATCCGTAGACAGCTTGAGTGCATGTGTTCTTGATCCACCTCAAACTCTTCCTCAGAGATCCTTTCATTCTTCCCTCCGCAGCATATATTTTATACCCAGCTACTCTTTTCTTCCTCTGCAATTCTGGGTCATTGAAGCTCCAACTTTTTGATGGTTTAGAAGCTGTGTTTTTCCCTTTCTTCATCTTCACCTCCTTAGCATCATAAGCATTATTAGCACTGTAACACCTCAGATCTTGCATGCTTGTTGGGGCCACCTTGCCTCCAGAGTAGCTTTCATTCTGGAACCTTTCATCTCTGCATGACTTGGATCTGAATTCCATGATGGGAACCCAAGAATGAAATAACTCAGGATGTGTCTTCAATGGCTTTGCTTTTTTGTAGTTGCATGTTGTTAAGACTGTTTATTGCTTACTTTACTAACTTTAATTTAAAGTAAATTATAATTTTGGTCTTTTAAATTAAAGTTCACATTAATTTAATTTTTGAAAATCTTTGATGTAAAATCAGTTCTTAAAAATTTGTCTTTGAAATAATTCTTCCGATAATTAAGCTACATAAAAAAAAATAATTTAAACTGTTAAGCATATTTTTAGAGAATTAATTCAATGTCATAAATTTTGAAAGAACATCTAACGTATTTTAATGAACATTTAAATCACCTTTATATTTTTTTTAACTTTTTTTTATAAAAAAAAAGGTAGTAGTTTCATCGTGTAATTTATATGATAAAATCTTTTGAGTTGGAAGCAGTTGAAGATGTTGATTTGTTGTTTTCTTTAATGGTCAGTGGGGTAGCGACTGATCCAACTTTCTCAACAGAGTAGAATTGCATGAGACTTTTGGGTTTGACTAGCTTTAATGCGTGGAAGTGTTAAAATTAATAGTGAAATGGAGGTAGCTGCCAAAGGAGTATTTGATATTTTCATATAAATGAAGATTAGTGAAACAAGCTCTTATTACCTTAATATACTTTGCTACCACTCTCTAAATTCCCCTCACAGGAAGTAGGAACTAGATGCAAATAAGCAAAAGAATACAACCCTTCTATAATCTTAGATTACTAACTATGTTTAAAAAACCATAAATAAATAAATTATATATATATATATATATATAGCAAGGAGGACATGAACTATTCCAACAGATTTCTATTGCTTTTAAGTGCACGTGGTCCTATTTGTGTATTTGTTATATTAATAATAAGGAATTTGCTAATAAGAAATCATAGGCCAATGGTTAAGAGTACAAAGATTAAAGGAAAATTAATTTATTTATTAATTGGGATTACAAGAATATTTAATTCAAACTTCTTTGAGTAATTTTAAAGATTTAATGTCAAACGCTCCATAACTAAAACCTACAAAATAATTGTAGCTAAAGTAAGTTTTTTGTGTAATTATAGAAATTTAAAAGTAAAATTTACAATATTGGAAAAGTTGATAGCATCTATATTTGATGTTATTTTTAGGAATTAGGAGTAAGTGGATAAAAACTGGGATCAGAGTTGGATTGGAGACGTGCCCCAGAAAAATAATATATTTAGCGAAAAAAAGGAATCCAAAGCAAATTTTTTAACAAAACTCTAGGCCCTATCTCTGTTTATAAAAAAGGCAACGATTTTCTGTTTACCATTGGGGTCCAGTTCTTGAATAATACGACAATGGTTTAAACCTTGACTGTTTTTCCTTAAAAATACCCACAAAAATGGCTAAAACAGAGAGGAATATTTTCTTGGGAAATATTCCAGTTTAAGCAAGCACATAAAAATGTTTCAAAATGAAATTATTATATCTACCAGGATGTTGTTCTCTTTCATAGCAGCAAGATTTTGGAAAGTTTCTCCCACAATTTTCTACAAACTTTGCTTTCAAGTTTTGGCCGAAAGTATTAAAAACGTAATCAATTATAATTCATTATAATTAGCATGGTAAGTGTTAGTACCATTAAAGTAATGCTCTGTAAACTAATGGAAAATGTCCCACCAAAAGACCCACTTGATAAGGGAGTTAGCATGTGTCTTTCTCAACCTTACTTTAATGATGAAGCATTGAAAACGATTTTTGTTTAAACTTGAGCCTTTCTAGTAAGAGATTAATTTTCGGGGGTGGATATTTCAACAAAATTACGTTGATAACACTATAGGAATGTGCTTGTGTCTCTATTTCGCCCTTAATTTTGTAGTGGGGGAACATATAATGCTACACTTTACGAGCACCAGATTTTTAGGAGAAACAACGTCAAAGAAAACTTCATATGCAAGCAACACTCCCACGTATAAGAAATTCATAATCATGTCAGTGTCATTTGGATAATATTTTCGCTGGTAATTTAAAGTTTAAATGAACAGGTAATTGTGTGCACGCATGGATTTGATTTTCCACGCTGTGCTCCATCCCTTTCCCTTTTTCTTTTCCTTCTCCGTTCCGTCTACCTTGTAAGAATTCTATGAGCCTCCCTTTGAACCAAAATAAAATTCAAAATGAAAATACTATAAAAATTGTAACCATTAAGTTATTCAATTATTAATCAATCACCGTAAAATAATGAGAATAAACTATATAAAGTAGAAAGAAAATTGAATAATTAATATGGAGTGCATTAGCAGTCCATATTAGTTCTATATTTAGTGTAATCAAAATTCATAAAAATATGTGCTAATTCCTTTTTAAATCTAACATTTCCATGACTTCTAGAAAAAGGATCATAACATCACGGTAACCCTAACTGCGTGCTTTTCGATATAAACAATAAAGCCCATAGTGTTTGAAAGTAAACGACAAAAGTTCATCAAGAAAACGGGATTTGGAGCTTAAACAACTGCTATAATCAGATGAAATACAATATATAAACATTGCATTTAGATTAAAATTTCTTAGTTCAAAACAAGATTCATAACTGGGGATGTTGGCTATGACAGGTAGACGTAATAAATGAAAAAGGCTTGCTAATCTAATTAAGAAATTAATCAAATTTTATGGAATCCAATATAAATAAAGTCGGGTATGTTTGAAATCTAATGGGTAAAAATGGTAAATGACAACAAGAGCACAAAATTGTAATTGTCAAAAAGTAAAAGCCCCGATGACTTAAAGAACAAAAATTAACTCATCAGAGCAGATCAGCAACATTTGATGGCAACTCCTCTACAGTCACATTGTAAAACTTCTGAATATCAGACAGCATTCTTGCATCATCCAATGACACGAAGTTTATGGCAACACCTTTTCTTCCAAAACGCCCACTTCGCCCTATGCGATGAAGATAATTTTCAGGTTGGGTAGGCAGATCATAGTTTATAACCAGAGACACTTGCTGTACATCTATACCACGAGCTAAGAGATCAGTGGTAATTAGAACTCGAGAAGAGCCAGAACGAAATTCACGCATGATGATATCACGAGTGTTTTGGTCCATGTCTCCGTGAGTGGCTGAGACAGTATGGTCATTGCCCCGCATCTTGTCAGTGAGCCAGTCCACCTTGCGCCTGGTGTTCACAAAGATCACACTCTGGGTGATTGCCAAAGTCTCATAAAGGTCGCATAATGTCTCTAGTTTCCAATCTTCCCTCTCAACATTCACATAAAACTGCTTGATACCTTCGAGGGTCAATTCATCACGCTTTACCAGGATTCTCACCGGCTTATTCATGAACTTCCTTGTAATCTCTAGGGCTTCAGGTGGCATTGTAGCAGAGAACACTCCAACCTGAATTTTAGCTGGCAATAGCTGGAAGATGTCATAGATCTGCATTACATGTATTAAAAACGTAATCAATTAGCTATCTATCTTACATAATGACTTCATCTAGTGCTTTAGAATGTGTTTTTCAGATGAAGAGAACAAGATTTCAACATAATGAAAAATATTGATGACATCGTTCTTGAAAGAACATGTATACGACAGTCAAGAAACAAAACTCCCTACCCAATTCAATTTTTTAAACAAATTGAAAACCAACAAACCTGATCTTTGAAACCACGTGAAAGCATTTCATCAGCCTCATCCAAAACAAACATCTTTATGTGGTCTGGGCGAAGAGACTGTCTTCGCAGCATGTCAAACACACGCCCAGGAGTGCCCACAACAGTATGCACACCAGCTTGGAGAATGCGCTGATCCTCACGAACACTGGTCCCACCCACACAAGCATGAACCTTAACACCCAGGTAATCACCAAGAGCTCGCATAACCTTCTCAATCTGCTGTGCAAGCTCCCTTGTTGGTGCCAAAACCAATGCCTGACACTGAACTAATCCATAATCAAGCTGCTGTAAAATTCCTGAACAGAATGTTGCAGTCTTCCCAGTTCCAGACTGAGCCTGCTGAATCACATCCAGACCTTTGCAGAAAGGAACGATTCCCCTTTGCTGTATTGCAGAAGGTCTCTCAAAACCTTTAGAACAAGAATAAAAATCACATATAAATTTGTTGTAAAGTTAAGCACGTATAGCATTTATTTTATTCTTCTAAAAATGCAATACTGATGCTCCAATTCAAATATGTTTTCAGTTTTAACCCCAATAAAAACAATTGGAAACCGTTAATCAAAAAAGAAAAAAACACTTAGAAACTATATTGGTTGTTACCCCGCAGATTCATTTATTAATCGTATAGAAATTAAAACATTTTGAAATGGAAACTGATGTAAATTCAGAAAATAATAATTCCACGCATATGCAATAAAAAAGTATATGCCCTTTTATTGGTATCAACTGACAACTCTGACCACTGCACCTACACTCCACTTCTTAAAATAAATCTTAATAAATTTTAATCTTCAAATTTTCTACAATCAGTTACCCAGCACCAAATAATTATTTATAATTTTTGGCTTGAACTATTATTAAAGTTGTAAGAAGATCCTGATATTCAGGTTGTACATATTAAGAATAAAAATAATATAACTCCAGTAGGGTAACATTGTAAAGACCAATGTCAAAAATTGATCAAAACAGTGAGTGCACAGAATCAAAATTTGCTCACCTAGTAATTGATAGTGTCACGCTGATATAAGTATTAAGTAGAATGCTCGCAACACACTCGTTTAAAGATACTCTTTAATACAATCTTAGTTATTGGTTTATTCTCTAAATAGTCAATCTAGTTTCCTCATAAGCAAGTGGCATTTTAAGTGTGTGCTGATTTTTTAGATAATGAACCAATTATTAAGAGTGTGTTTAAACTTTGAAGGAGTACATTGCTAGCAATCCTCAAGTATTAAATAAGCAAAATCAAAGAAACAAGGGAAAACAACCCATCAGCCATACCATAAGCATATATGCCTCTCAGAAGATTTTCCTGCAAACCCATTGCATCGAAACTATCATAGACTTCATCATATGAGGTGAAGAATTCTTGCCCGTCGGCAGAAAGGCTGTAATTAATTTTCAAGTCATCAAAATCGCAGAAAACCATAACAAGGAATTTAATTCAATCATCACACGCAGTAAACAACACAATGCATAAGAACTTACAATTCATTCATCTTAGAATCATATTGTCGAGAATCAAATTGCGATCCCTCCGGAGCCAAACCTGCCATCACTACACAAGAAAAAAAAATTAACTGAAAAAAGATACACAACATAAACTCTAGCACACTAGAACCAACAGCACAAGGAAGTCCCAAAAATTATTGTGAGACATAGCATGCAACATAAGAGACTCTTCTTTGCCATCGATATCAGATAAGAAAAGAAGCTTAAGAACATTCCAGAAGCACCAATTATTCAATAAAAAAACAAAAACTAATAAGATGAACACAAGTCCTCAGATTCAAAACATAAAATAATAATAATAAAAAAGGAGATTTAGGATGAAAAACAGTGATACCTAAGTGTTATGAGAAAGAAAGAGTGATCTGCGCCGTGGAGTTGAAGAATATCGTAGCTTAGCACTGCGTCTAGGTTTTGTATTAGAGCCGTAGGCCTTTCCTTCTTACGTGACCCAAACAACAAAACTAACCACCTTTCCACATTTACCCTTCTACACCATGCACTAGTGCACAATTAATCTTCAATTTATATTTATTTTTAATTTTAATATTTATCTTTTAAAAAAATAACATTTTAATGAATATTTCGTGATTGAAATTTTTTATGATATCTATTTAGTGGGCTTAGGCAATTGTAAGCCCAAAGTGTTTATGTGGAATTTATGGTGGGCTTGGGCACAATCCAGCACTAGGCGATAGGTAAGCCCAATGTTTTTTTTTTAATTTTATGATATCCATGTTACCATTAATTGCTGCCTTTGTGCGAAACATTCATTCAATATACTCGTGGTTTTGACATATATCCAGCATGCTTTTGTTATTTTGTCCATTTTTGCAGAAGTTGTAATGGTGTTTTTATCTTGCCACAAACATGTATGGCATAAAATATCATTTTTTTAAAATATCTTTAGTGTTTGGTTTGGCTTGTTACTTATTTTGTATTGTCTTCTTCCATTAATTTTTCTAAAGACTGCCACTAACAGAAAGCAAATAAACTTAACTAGGTTAACATAAGTCATAACTATATTTACTTTTTATATTTTTTATATAGTATGTCTCTTTGGTTCTCACATGCTTCATAAACTTTTTAAAGCTAACTTTTTTCTTTTTTCTTTTTTCTTTTTTAAATAAACTAAACTAGTTTGTAGAAGTGAGTTACACCATATTTTCTATTATGATATAAAAAATTATTCAATTTTAATTATATTTGATCTTTTTATAAGAAACAAAAAACTAAATCATTAAGACTAAGGAAAATAATTAAGTCATTTATGTTTTTTGTAAATATAAATTTTATTTTAAGAATAATCATGATATTAAATAGTGTAGTTAATAATTTATATATTTAATGATACTAATAAAATAAAAATATAAAAGAAATTTAACAATTAATGCATCTTAAATCTATTATTTGTTTTTTATAACAAAGACAAAAAAATGCTCTATTTTATTTTTTATAAAAAAGACTAGAAATAGTATTAAACTATTTATAGATATCTAATTTTATAAATTTTATATTAATTCATAATAAAGTTAAAATATTCTTTATAAAACTTTAACAACCCTCTTTAAAATTAGATATTAGGAGTGTGATGTCTTACGTTAACTAAAAATAAGGTTAAAATACTTTGTTAAGACTTAAATAATCATTCTCTTTATAGATAACTTTTAGAACTAAGTTATATCTTATTTTTTATTCGATATTCACATGTTATTTTCATAAAAAAATGTTGATGAAAGTTTACGCATATAAAAAAATATACAAAATTTGAATTATTTATAACAAGCTAGTAATAGAACCAAAACTTTGATTTTTTTCTCTTTAATAAAACTATTATCTAAATTCGTATAATAATACTGTGCACGATTTATGACACAATAATTGTAATATATGTCAAAAATTAATGGGATTTCAATATCACAAACTAAAGCTGTCGTTTGACAGAATCAAACAAACCCGGGATGATCGATTTGTCGTAGTTAGCTTAGTGGAAATTAATTATTACTAATCAAAGATATTAGTATGTGGCAATTTATCAATTTACTTCAGGCTATGCATAATCTATTGTCTGCCCCATTTGACCAACTCTAGAAAAAAAAATTGACCCGAACTAGACAGTATATATCAATTATCACAATAGAATAATTGGTCAAGTAAACCATTTACTTTGGAGACCTAACCTACATATTAAAGAGAAAAAATATTTTTGTTCATATATTTTTTTATAATTATGAGAGATATAAGTAAAAATGAGGGGGAAATGTAAGATAAAATGAATGATATAAAGGAATGAATTAAAGAAAAAGATTAGTTATAAAATAAAAATAAAAATGTGTTATCAATTCAATATTGTTTATTGGTCAACAACACAAAATGAAACACCTACTCTTTTATCTTATGAGATAAGCTGATCCTACAATAAAATAAAATAAAATATAAAAAATAATATAGAACCCGTTTAACAATTCTAGCAAGAACAATCAAGCGTAAAGCGATGGCGGGTAATACAATTTCAGCCTAAGCTTTAAAAAGGAAATACTTATTGGACCGAAAAATGGAAATTAATACTTATGATCTTTAATATTTAACATTTTTTTTTTTTGGTTTTGTAACTATCATTGATAACCAAATGATTAATAATAACTGTATATTATATAGAGCTGTTAACTTTTATTTTTAACTTAATTTCACTGCACTGTTAATATAAAAAATAAGGTCATATCAGTTAATATATACTATCATATGATTTAAAACACTTGACTGTTATTATAACATTATTAACTCAACCTGCTAAGTGTCAACACAAAATTAAACGAGAGAATAAAATATTCTATACTGAAAATGAATAAAAAACTACACGGGAATAAAATATGATTGACAGGTGTGTCTATTGCTATTATTTTAAAATGTCTATCATTTCTTTTATTGAAATAACTTTATCCAAAATATCATCTTTATCTTAATTAATGGAATTAATTATAAAAACATTTTAACTAAAAAAGTTAAACAAGTGTCACAATAAATTCATTAGAGTGATAAGAAGCACTTCCTTAAATGATATAGAAATTAGTTTATATGGAAAGCAGTATATAATTAATATACAAGCATATATTCGCGTACTTGAAGGAATTTTCAACTTAATTTTCTACGAAATAAGACTAATTAGCATATAAATATCCTTATAAGCACCAAACATGCAGAAAGAAAACACCAAAACCCACTAGAATATGATCTCTATCTGGTTATAGTATAGCACTCGCCAATGTATATTGAAAAATAATTAATAAACGAAGTAAATTCTATGCATTAAGTTAACATTTAATTAATTTTTAACACTATCAAGTTTCTCTGTTACAATTTGTTGTTCATAATAACTTATCGTAAGAAGGTCTTGAATTCAGTTCCTCTGTCATAAAATTATCGGTATATATTGTCACGATGTAATGTATATATAAGTCCCACTTGCATGCATGCATGCAGTCCTTATGGCACTTTGCACTCGCTGTCTTCGTCGCATGGACTGCATTAGACACCTTTCACTCACTCTCAAAGGATCACACGAGTCTCTCGACCTTGGAATTCATAATTAATTCATTTATACTTTGCATGCATGCAGTTCCCTCCCAAGCAAGGAGTCTTTAAAATATATATATATATATATATATATATATATATATATATATATATATATATATATGAAAAAAATATTTTTATATCAGTGTAAGTTTAAAAAAATTTATATTTAATAAAAAAATTTTATTTAACTTACATTTAACAGTAATAAATTATAACTATAAATTAAATAAAAAATTTAAATTTAATGTAATTTTTTTTTAAATTTATAACAATATAAAAAATATACCCCACGTGTATATATATATATATATATATATATATATATATATATATATAAAACGGATCAATGAACTTGTGTTAATTTTTCTTTTCAATAATTTATAACAATAAATAATCTTGTACGGTTGAGATATTTGCTTTTTTTATTTTATTTCCGTACTTGATGGATAGTTTGAAAGTTCAAACATACAAACACGATCACGAATTTAAGATAATTAAAATAAATTTTTTTTGACACAAGTAATTATTATAATAAATTATCAAGTTATTAAATGTGTATATAAATAAATAAAATTGACATTAATTTTAAAAGAAAAGAACGGATGAAACTCGCAGTCGCTTCTCTATGTCTATCGTCGGAAAAAAACAGTCTTTCAAATTTATGTTTCTTTTTTTAATTTTAATATGTTTAAACTCAAAACTGTCGACTAGTTATATGTTAAAAACAAATATCAATTAATGATCTATATAAATATTTATTGAAAATAATATATTTTGTTATTATTTCAATAAAAAAGCATCATCTTTTATTTTTAATTCTGTTACTTAAAATATTGATTATTAAGATAAAAAAAAGAATAGTAGAGCAGAAGTAAGATTTGCTCGGTCGCCGCATTTGTGGTATCTGTGGTGCACTGTTTGTGATTTTGGTGTTGACATCTGTTCAGTGTTGCCAAGTGGCTCTTCATCAAAGTACATGAGTGTCCGCACGTGTCATCAGAAAGCATGCATGCATGCAGTGCTGTCAAGACATTCAGTAGAATTTAGCATTTTTTTAATTTTAAATTTAGATCTGCAAGCAATATAAAAGTTGAGTTTCTGTTCTCAACTTTTTAATTCTTAATTAATCCATCCACAGTACCCGCACATCGACTACAAATGAATCAATGTAACGTGATAAAAAATAAAGATATGAAAAAACAAATAAAATAATAATTAATATATAATGTAACGTGCATAAGTTAAAAACTTGAAGAAAAGAATAAAAATATCAGCACTATCATTGTTACCATGCACGCATTTAACAGTTGACACATTAGTGTTGGTCTGTATAAATAGCTGCATTGTGCGCTTGAGCTCCTCACAAGCAAAGCCGAAAAAAGATAGTGGCAGAAAGTGTTGGTAGGTTGTGAAGAGAGGTTGGAAACATGTTTTCGGGTGTGACGGGGTTGATCCATAGGGGTCACAAGATAAAAGGAACAGTGGTGTTGATGAGAAAGAATGTGTTGGATGTCAATAGCATAACGAGTGTTGGGGGAGTTATTGGGCAAGGTCTTGACATTGTTGGTTCTGCACTCGATACTCTCACTGCCTTCTTGGGTCGATCCGTTTCTCTTCAGTTGATTAGTGCAACCAAAGCTGGTGGTTTCTTCTCTTTCTTTTTTTTTTTTTTTTCATTTTACTTCTTTCCCATTTCCACTTATAAGCAATTCTATTTATTTCAATATTTAAAAGTTAGAAAAATGGTAATCTTAATTGTAAGGACTGGTTTTAAAATGATTGAAGTAATATTGATTTTACTTTGGTTTGATTTTGAGTTTGTTTTATTGAATTTTTTTTTTTTACGGTAGCCAATGGAAAAGGAAAACTTGGAAAGCCTACTTTTTTGGAAGGGATCATATCTTCATTACCAACTTTGGGAGCAGGCCAATCGGCATTCAGAATTCATTTTGAATGGGATGATGACATTGGAATTCCTGGAGCATTTTATATCAAAAACTTTATGCAAACTGAGTTCTTCCTTGTGAGTTTGACTCTTGAAGACATTCCAAATCATGGAAGCATCTACTTTGCTTGCAATTCATGGATTTATAATGCCAAACACTATAAAAGTGATCGCATTTTCTTTGCTAACCAGGTGATGTTTCACTATCAAGTAATATTCACACTTCAATATTATCTTTAAAACTTTACTATAGTTATTTTCTACCACTTTTCTATCCACGTGTTAATGTGTTATTTATTTTGAAGTTCTTAAGCTTTAAAGGCATTAATAAAAAAATTGACAAAATATGTGGCAGACATATCTTCCAAGTGAAACACCAGCTCCATTAGCTAAGTATAGAGAAGAAGAGTTGCAGAATTTAAGAGGAGATGGAACAGGAGAACGCAAAGAATGGGATAGGATTTATGATTATGATGTCTACAATGATTTGGGAGATCCAGACAAAGGTGAAAATCATGCACGTCCTGTTCTTGGAGGGTCTAGCACCTATCCTTATCCTCGCAGGGGAAGAACTGGTAGAAGACCAACAAGAAAAGGTTAGGCTTTTCTTGGTCGATTACAAACATCAATTATACATATATATGATTAAAATAAAGTTGAATTAGGCCTTAACCCAAATCTAAGAAATTTTATTCTTTAGCATAAATGTATCATTAACATGTAAAGATCCGTCAATTTTATATACAATTGTTTTACTAATTAGTAAAGTTCAACGTGTGAAGACACAAGATAGACCAACATGTGTGTAGTTTAACTTAGAATTTAGAAGAATTCACGTGAGATTATTTGAATTGGCATGCGTTGGGTGAATGTCAACATAATATAAAGGATGACTATAGTCTATAGTAACTTATTGTCAATATTTAGGAGTACCTAGAAATAATTATTTTATTGAACTTTCAATAGTTTTTCAGTTACAAGTTTGAAATTTTCTTCTTTTATTCTTGCTAATTAATTCTATAATATTTATTAAACAGATCCTAATAGCGAGAGTAGGAGCAATGATGTTTATCTCCCAAGAGATGAAGCTTTTGGTCACTTGAAGTCATCTGACTTCCTTACTTATGGATTGAAATCTTTATCTCAAAATGTTATCCCAGCTTTGCAATCTGTATTTTTTGACTTGAATTTCACACCCAATGAGTTTGATAGCTTTGATGAAGTTCATGGACTCTATGAGGGTGGAATTAAGTTGCCGACAAATATACTTAGCCAGATTAGTCCATTACCTGTGCTCAAGGAAATCCTTAGAACTGATGGAGAACAAGCCCTCAAGTTTCCTCCTCCCAAAGTAATTGAAGGTATCTCACATCTTAAAAACTACTCACATCCAAAAAGTCCCTACAACAACATATCTTCTAAATTAATCCTACTGGACAATGGTTATTCTCTATCATTTGAACAGTGAGTAGGTCTGCATGGATGACTGATGAAGAATTTGCAAGAGAAATGCTTGCTGGTGTAAATCCAAACATGATTCGTTGCCTTCAGGTAAGCCTTATCAAGAGTTAGATTTTCTTAACATGTTTAGTTTGCTATTGAGGATGGCCTAATGGTGGATCACAATTTATCATAAATACTTTCTTACAATTATTTCTAAATTTATTACTGCAGGAGTTTCCACCACGAAGCAAGCTGGATAGTCAAGTCTACGGTGATCACACTAGTCAGATAACCATAGAACACCTCGAGCCTAACTTAGAAGGGCTCACTGTTGATGAGGTATACAATATGATATTGATTCAAATTAAAATTTTATTTGAGGAATTATATTATTTTTTATGTTTTTTTAACGTTGTTCCAATATATAATAATGACTAAATTATATTTGGTTGAAAAGGCAATCCGAAACAAGAGACTTTTCCTACTAGATCATCATGACTCAATCATGCCATATTTAAGGCGAATAAACTCAACCTCCACAAAAGCTTATGCAACTAGAACCATTCTCTTCTTGAACGGTGATCGAAATTTAAGGCCACTTGCCATAGAGTTGAGTTTGCCACATCCTCAAGGAGATCAATCTGGTGCTGTTAGTCAAGTTTATCTACCTGCAGATCAAGGAGTTGAAAGTACTATTTGGCTACTAGCTAAGGCTTATGTAGTCGTGAATGATTCGTGCTATCATCAACTTGTCAGCCATTGGTATAATTTTTTTTATAAAATAAATCATTTTATATATCTATAAATTGATTATTAATACCACTTCATGGAAAACAGGTTAAATACTCATGCAGTTGTTGAACCATTCATCATAGCAACAAACAGGCATCTCAGTGTTGTTCACCCAATTTATAAACTCCTATACCCTCACTATCGTGACACCATGAATATAAATGCCCTTGCTCGACAATCCCTGGTCAATGATGGTGGTATCATAGAACAAACATTTTTGTGGGGAAGGTACTCTATGGAAATGTCTGCTGTAATTTACAAGAATTGGGTTTTCCCTGATCAAGCATTACCTGCTGATCTTTTGAAAAGGTAATTCTTATTCTCATTTCTTAGAAACATAAACTAATTAGAAAAGGATAAAATTCATGTGTTGTTCTTTAATTAATGTTTTAATTAAAATTGTATTTAACATTAAATATTATTGAAATAAAATTTTAATTTTGATCAGTAAATAATAACACTCAAGTTTTGTCCTTATATAGAAAAATCAATTGAAGACATAAAATTGAAGTCGCTTTTCATGTTATATGATTAATATCTCTAAATTTTGATTTAGAGGAATGGCAGTTGAGGATCCATCTTCCCCTCATGGCATTCGCCTTGTGATAGAGGACTACCCTTATGCTGTTGATGGACTTGAGATATGGGATGCTATCAAGACATGGGTCAAAGATTATGTTGGCTTGTACTACACATCAGATGACATACTTAGACAAGATTCTGAGCTCCAAGCATGGTGGAAAGAACTAGTAGAGGTGGGTCATGGTGACAAGAAAAATGAGCATTGGTGGCCTAAGATGCAAACTCGTGAAGATCTAGTTGGATCTTGCACCATCCTCATATGGACTGCTTCAGCACTTCACGCAGCCGTTAATTTTGGACAATATCCTTATGGAGGTTTAATCTTGAACCGTCCAACTCTTAGTAGACGATTCATGCCTGAGAAAGGTTCTGCTGAGTATGAAGAGCTAATCAAGAGCCCACAAAAGGCTTACTTGAAGACAATTACACCAAAGCTTCAGACCCTTATTGATCTTTCTGTTATAGAAATCTTGTCAAGGCATGCTTCTGATGAGCTGTACCTTGGTGAAAGGGACAATCCAAATTGGACATCTGATACAAAGGCATTAGAGGCATTCAAGAAGTTTGGAAACAAGCTGGCAGAAATTGAGCAAAAACTCTCACACAGAAACAATGATGAGAAGCTGAGAAATCGTCATGGACCAGTTCAGATGGCTTATACTTTGCTTTTTCCTTCTAGTGAGGGAGGATTAACTTTTAGAGGAATCCCCAATAGTATCTCTATATGATCAGGTCTCTAGTTTGTTAAGCATTGTGGTTTGGAATAAAGATACAAGTGAAGGAATAGAAAATCCTTCATTGGTAATTTAGCGTGTTTGAATGCTTTACTTTTTGGCATTAATAAAAGCAGTTGTTTATGTAAAATATTTTGAAATAATAAAAGCACCTATGTTTATGTTTTATGTGCAGTGTTAGCTCATATTGGGTGATTGTGTCCACATAGAACAACACCCTCAATCCTATTAACATGTTTCATAAAGAAAAAGTGTTTTAATTTAGGTACAAAGGAATTCATCGCTACATATTTAGACGACTTCAAGGGTAGCTCATATCTCTAAACTAAAGATTTCGATCCTCTGAAGTTATTGAGTGAAGTGCACAAATCTTGTCCATTCAACTTATTTAATCACATTATAAGTTAATTCTAAATTTTATAAATTCAATTGTTTTTTCACGACTGTCCTCCTTTAATCTCCGATATAATCAAACATAAATCACGAACAGATATTAGTAGAGCGACACTCGCGCTTCTATGAACCTTTTGGAGATAATTGATTAGTTTTTCCAGATACATAAACAATTTTCAAGTATTTATTATAACAATTGGATAATATATGTTTAAATTATTAAAAAAATTTCATTATCTCCTAATTTAAATATTTGATATCTAATTATTGTTTTTGTTACAAGTGTCTCTTCTGTTAAGATATTATTTAAGTATTTAACATTAAAAGTGGTTAAATGATACATTCAATTAAAATATTAATGTAGTTAACTTGCATAGAGTAAAATAGAGTGAAGAATTTATCATGAGTTTATAGTCTATTGTCATTTAGAAAAATCTTGTAGAGTGAAGTATATATATATATATATATATATATAAATTTGAATTATTGAAAACAAAATGAGAGGGTTAAATGTGTTAAGATTGTCTCAGCAAATATTTTGCTATAAACTAGTTTTGAGAATTAGTATGAACAAACTTCAGATATTCAAGCGTAAACTATAACTGAGATGGTGGTATCTTAATTAAGAATATTTTTTTTAATTCCATCTTGCAATGCTAGTATAGCTCAAACACACAGTCACTTTTATTTACTTTTCCATTATACACAAACACATCTTTCTTTATTATTACCAAACATGAAAACATCCCACCAACCCAAATACATACATTAACCATACATAGGTCCTCTACTTCACTTTTATTTAGAAACAAACATGGGACTTGAGCAACATAGAGCTCTCAAATAGAGATACTGTTGGGAATTCCTCTGAAAGTCAACCCTTCCTCACTAGAAGGGTAAAGCAAAGTGTAAGGCATCTTAGCTGGCCCATAGCGGTTTCTCAATGAAGCGTCATTGTTCTTCTGTTGGAGTTTTTGCTCAATATCTGCAAGATTCTTTCCAAACTTCTTAAAGGCCTCTAATGGGCCAGCATCAAAAGTCCAATTGTCACCACCATCTCTCTGACCAAGGTATAACTCATCAGAAGCATGCCTTGACAAGATTTCAATAACAGTGAGGTCAATAAGGGTCTCTTGCTTGCCAGTAATAGTTTTCAAAAACTCCTTCTCAAGGTTCTTAGCCAAGGCAGCATACTCAGCAGACCCTTGCTCTGGCATGAATCTCCTACTAAGAGTTGGCCTATTAAGGATATAACCTCCATATGGATATTGTCCAAAGTTAACAGCTGCATGAAGGGCTGAAGCAATCCATATGAGGGTAGTTGAAACTTAACTCTGCACGAGTGTGCATCTTTGGCCACCATGGCTTGTCTTTCAAATCACCATGACCCACCTCCACAAGGTCTTTCCACCATGCTTGGAGTTCAGGGTCTTGTTTAAGTGCATCATCTGAATGGTAGTAAAAAGAGACATATTCTTCCACCCATGACTTGATGGCTGCCCATATCTATTAGAGTAAATTATTAATGTATGCTGTATACCTTTTAGAGTAAATTATTCATTGTAGCTTTTTACCATCACAATTGTTTTAGGGTGGGATGGTTAATACTTGAATATATCTATTTACATTTTTTATTTTTAAAATTACCCTTGTTAAAACTTAAAAGAAGTTAAATCTTTAGTAATTATTGTTCCGTCGACCAAATTTATCTATATTTACAAAAGTTAAGATCCTAAATCTACTTTCATCATATCTATGTTTGTTTAATACATGTAATCAATCACATTTTTCATACTTTAATTACGAAGGGGATGATGTGTGATGAAAAGATTAGAGAAAAATAATAATGAATTACCATCATTCTTGGTAGCACTGATCAACTGGATGGAGATATGGGATGCTAAGATAGTAACAGTATCAACAGCAGAGCCAATGATGTTAATGGCGGTGTCGGCGATGCCCTTGACAGGATCGGTGATGCTGGTTATGTCCAACACATTCTTGCGCATCAACACCAAAGTGCCCTTTATCTTCTGACCACCCTTGTGGAATATTGGGAGCATCTTGTTCTTTGCTAATATACCTTCTCCAACAACAATCACTGTTCTCGTTAATTAAGATTGTGGCTTGTGAGGAACCCAACCAAAGGATGCTTAGTATTTGTAGAGAACAACAACCAATAGTGCCATATCAGATGGGTTTTTCAGATGCGTTTTCCATATGGCAAGTGAAAGATAGAGACACTCACATGGAAGAAACATAAATGGATAATGTTCACTGTTATGTTTTTCGTTTTAATTACCAACACTGAATTCATCTTACGTGTTCAATATTTGTTACCATGCTTAAGAGTGTCTTATCATAGTAATCAAGAAATGCATATCATATTCTTTTGAAAATTTTTATTAGTTTTTAGAAAAACCTAATAATTATAGTTTCTTATAAAATAAACATATGTTGCAATTTTTTTATAATGGTTTTTTAATTAAAATTTTACTAATTTTTAAATTAAAATTTTATATAATTGACAATTAGTTATTATTTTATTTTAACGAATAATATTATTTTAAATATAACTAAATACTAACTAATTACATATGTATATATTATTATCACAATAGTATTACATAATTCAAAACAAAATATTATAATATATTTAAAACTTAATAACATTTTATCTATGTATCATAAAAGTAAACATATATTATCTTTATGTCTTTGTATGCATCAACCAAGTCTTGGTATGCTTACTGTACCAACTTCCAAAACATAATTATAGAAACTAACCAATAGAAAAATCGAACAGTCCAAATTTAAAGGAGTTTCTTTGGTCTATCTCGATATGATTGCATGACAAAATTAAAAACAATTGCGTCATTATATCTATAAAAAAAAATATCAACATATTAAATTCTTGGCTTAATTATATTTTTTTCTCAATCAGCATATTTTACAATAAATTTTTATAAAATTTTTAGTCAAAATATAATTCTAAAAAATTAAAATTTAATTACTACTGTCAAAGTGCTGAAATAGCTGATGAAAAATCAGCTCACTCTTAACAGTACACAATATGTCATATTATTTATTTTTTTATATTTAAAATTATATAATTATAAATAAATTCCTAAAAATATTTTATTTAATTATACAAAAGTCTCTTTAATTTTTCTTTTCTTATTCTCACACCCTTTTTACATCCCTCCCCAACCCCACCCCTTCTCTCTTTTTCGCCAGCCTCGCCTCACTCTAACTTCGCAATTTCTTTCCTTCTCAAAACTATAAATACAAAAAAAAATTATTTTAATTTTTATAATTTCATCTTTTTGAACAAAGAACTACAAATACAGGTAATAAATTTTAAGAAAATATATTTATATAACAAAAAAGTGCTATAATTCACACAAGTAAGAAAGGTAAAGTACAAAAGAGAAAAGAAAACATGAGATAATGTGATAGAGAAATAAAAGATTATTTTATAATCTTATTAAAAAATTATGATTTTTAATTTCAGATAATATTTTTAATGAAAAATAAAATAACTAAAAATAATATCAAATGCATTATATACAAAATATATTTTTATTCTTTATATTTCTTAAAAAACTTTTTAAACATTTTTTTCGTCTTTTATTTATCGTTAGATAGGCAAGGACTTAACTAACAAATATTTAATTAAATTTGGACGCATGTTAGAAAAAGATCATACAAACTATTAACTTAGGGAGATATAGGAATGATATTTTATGACTCAATAATAACACTATTAAATTGTGTTGCTTGCGTGTGTTTTTTAAATTTAATAAAAATAAATTGATTATAATTTTTATATCGTTGCTAAACTATTAATTAATACATAATCAAAAAATAAATTTCAATAATATATAGAATAGATTTTATTTTATTTTGATAATGTGTTAAATTTGTAATTTTTTTAACGTATACGATGAACTTTAATACACAGAAGATTTAGTTAGATGTATATTAATTGTAAATAATTATTTAATTATAAACGATAGACACCTAAAATAGTAAGTTTGAGAAAATAAAGTTTATAAAATATCCAGTTCGCTATATTAACTGAATTACAACGCGGACTGGAGTTAAATAATATAATATATTTAGAAGTATCGTCGACACGAATCTCACGATTCAATATTATAATTATAATTTTTTTAAAATAAGTTATAAACATTAGTTCCTTAAATATTTATTATAATTAGATAAAAAGTATAAAGTTTTAAGAGTAATATATTCTGATTTTGTCAGATTAATATTTAAAAATTGAAGTTAATACTTATTTTTTTTTTACTGATACACATTTTCTCATATAAAACATTTAAACATAATAAAGAAAATATTTATAAAAACAAAAAATATTATTAAATAATATGCTAAAAATTTTATCGAACAATTATGATAAAAACATATATAAAAATAATTCTAACAAAATAGTTTAATTTTGTAAGGTATATAATTGTTTAAATAAATGCTTGGATGTGTTGTAACTTGTTGTACTCGTTCAAGCGTTAGTGTAAAGAATCTTAGTCGCTGAAGGTTATACGGCAGTGTTGACATATTGATGGTAAAATCTTATCCACTGAATTTGAAATTAATGTTCCAGATTCACCCAAAGTCAATGACTTTTCTCACAACAAAGTTAGAGAATCCACATTCTCCATTTCAAGGTAGAGAAAGTAGCCAGATTCAAAAAATTTAATGAAAAATATATAACCATAAAAACATGACAGAAGCTAAACACAAAATAACATTGCTTGTATTATTTGCAAACCAAAACCAAATCGAAGACTCAAATACAGCATTGAATACACACGATGATTAAATAGTAGATAAGATACATTTCTAGTAGTCTTGCGTCTTTTTTATTGTAAGGTAGGTACGTACAATAGTAAAGTAAACCACAGGTTCCTTTAGATAGAGATGCTATTAGGAATTCCTCTACAAGTTAACCCTTCCTCACTGGTAGGATGAAGCAAAGTGTATGGCATTTGAACAGGCCCACTTCGATTGCACAGACTAGAATCATTGTTCTTCTTTGAGAGCTTTTCCTCAATTTCTTTGAGCTTGTTTCCAAACTTTTGAAAGGCTTGTAATGCTTTTGAATCAGAGGTCCAGTGTGGATTTTCCCTTTGTCCAAGGTAAACTTCATCAGAAGCATGCCTTGATAATATTTCTATCACTGAAAGGTCAATGAGAGTTTGAAACTTTGGTGTAATTGTTCTCAAATAAGCCTTTTGATGACTCTTAACCATTTCATCATATTCTGCAGTGCCTTCCTCAGGAAGCAGCCTTCTTGTAAGAGTTGGACGGTTAAGGATCAAACCTCCATAAGGATATTGTCCAAAATTAACAGCTGCATGAAGGGCTGAAGCAGTCCATATGATAATAGTGCAAATTTCAACAAGCTCTTCAAGTGTTTGCAACTTAGGCCACCATGGCTTTTCTTTCAAATCCCCATGACCTATTTCTACAGCTTCTTTCCACCAATGTTGGAGCTCAGAATCAGCTCTGACATCATCGTTTGTTGAATAGTACAACGAGACATACTCTTGGGCCCATGTGTTAATAACACCCCATATCTCTAATCCATCAACAGCATAAGGGTAATCCTCTATCAGAAGACGAAGTCCATGTGGGGAAGATGAATCCTTAACTGCCACTCCTCTAAAACAAGTAAATTACATATATGTTAATTATTAACATCATCAGCAGTTAATTGTAAATTTACCATATCATATTATCGTTATGCTTTGTAACAAAATATATATGAACATGTTGCCAATCTAAGTCACATTTTGTAGTGAAATGTTTATAGAGATTTACCTCTTGATAAGATCAGCAGGTAGTGCTTGATCAGGAAAAACCCAATTCTTATAAACCGCTGAAGACATCTCAACAGCATACTTTGAAGGCAAAAAAGATCTCTCTATTATGCCATCAGCATTAATCAGAGATTGCCTAGCAAGTGCATTGATGTTCATGGTGTCACGATAGTGAGGAGATAGAAGTTTATAAATTGGGTGAAGCACACTAAGCTGTCGGTTTGTTGCTATGATGAATGGCTCCATCACTGCATGAGTATTTAACCTATGGACAAATAAAAATAAAAAATCAGACATAACGTACACTTCATGCACACACACATACACAGAATGTTTATGTTGATTGCAATGAAAAATTTATACCAATGACTCATGAGTTGATGATAGCAAGAGTCATTTACAACCACATAAGCTTTGGCTAGTAGCCAAATTGTACTTTCAACACCTTCATTTGCAGGTAAGATAACTTGACTAATGGCACCTGATTGATCCCCACCAGGATGTGGCAAACTTAATTCTATGGCCACTGGCTTTAATGACCCATTTTCTTTCAAAAAGAGGATGGTCCTTGTAGCATAAGCCTTGGCATAAGTCTGATTTATCTGCCTCAGATATGGCATGAATATATCATGGTAATCTAATATAAATAACCTCCGGCTAGCAAGTGCCTGTTCCACAAATTAAAATTAATTTTAATTAATCATAATATAGGCACCAACTGTAGTTAATTAAGTGGAAATGTATTGTTCAAGTGTAACAAGTCCTTGGCATGGTTATGAGACACTTAAATATGTTTACCTCGTCCACTGTGTACCCGTCTAGGTTAAGGACATCTGCTGTTATCTTGCTGGTTTGATCACCATAGATTGTGGGATCTAGATTGCTTGTTGGAGGAAATTCCTACCATTGATTAAAGAATAATATCATGTAGAAATAATAAATATTTGTCTATATCATTCAGTTTTATCAGATGGTCATTACTAGAAATATAAACTAATTTAACATGGGTATTAAATTCGATTTTATCAATCGATACGTTTGGCAATAAATATTTGAACCTACTTGAAGACCACGAATTACGCAAGGATTTACACCAGCAAGCATTTCCCTTGCAAATTCTTCATCAGTCATCCATGCAGATTTACTCACTGCTCAAATAACAAAGGAACTCATCATTAATTAAATGGAATCACTTCATCAAAAGCAAAAGTTTGCATTTGTTTTGAATATGATATGACTACTACGATACAAAATGCATGCCCAAAGGGTTATTCAAGTACAAGTGTTTCATATTTTTTTTTTCAAGTACAAGTGTTTCATTTAATGTATGTTCAAAAATATTTTTGTTAATATATATAGATATAATATAATTATCACACCTTGAATAACGTGAGGTGGTGGAAACTTGAGGACCTGTTCCCCATCGGTACGGAAGAGTTCTTTGATAACTGGTAAGGGGCTAATTGTGCTAATTACGTCGGTAGGTAGCTTAATTCCACCTTCATAGAGGTCACGCACCTCTTGGAAGCTATCAAACTCTGGTCGCGTGAAATTCAAATCGAAAGCAGATTGAAACGCTGGCAACACGTATTGAGATAAAGATTTTATTCCATATGTAAGAAAGTCTGAGGACTTTAAGTGACCAAAATTTTCATCTCTTGGAACATAAACTTCGCCTGGTTTCTCACACTTGGGATCTGTTCAAATTCATTAGTAAACAACAATAAAATAAAAACTTTGATCGCCCACAAAATTGTAATGTTACACCAATATATAACTGTACCATTAAAGCAATTATGGACTGATATATAAAGACTCTCTAATATCTACATCAATCATTTCAATTAAAATATGTATGATACATGCATATGTTTAATTCCGCGGACCAAACATTATTAAAAAACCAATGTTATATATATTTTTGCGACGGATCAATTAATGTTATACTGAAACTTCACACGTTATACAAATTTATTTTAGTAATGGAAACATAAAAAAAAAAAAAAAAAAAAAAAAAACTAACCTTTCCTTGATGGGTATCGACCAGTTCTTCCCCTACGAGGGTAGGGATGGGTAGATCCTCCAAGAACTGGGCGAGTAAACTTTTCACCGTGATCTGGATTGCCCAAATCATTGTACACATCATAATCATAAATCCTATCATGCTCCTTGCGCTCTCCTGTTCCATCTCCTCTTAAAATCTTCAATTCTTCTTCTCTGTACTTGACAAGTGGAGGTGGTGTCTCACTTGGAAGATACGTCTACATTAACATTAAATTAGTCTTATCATTCATAGCGTAAAGTTCAACAACTTGCATAATATATACATACATATATGAATATGAATGTATGCAGTAGTTGCCATTCATTTATATTGAATTTTATAAACTCGTAAATAGCTTACATTGTTGGCAAAGAAAATGCGTTCGCTTTTGTAAAGTTTTGAGTTGTAAACCCATGAGTTGCAAACAAAGCGGATAGTTCCATGGTTTGGAACGTCTTCAAGAGTCAAACTTTTGAGGTAAAACTCAACTTGCATGTAGTTCTTTATGTAAAATGCACCGGGAATTCCCATGCTATCGTCCCATTCAAAATGAATATTGAATGCAGACTCTCCTGCTCCCAAAGTTGGTAACGAGAAAATAATACCTTCCAAGAACGTATCCCTTCCAACTTTTCCTTTTCCATTTGCTACAAAATGTTCCACACATAATTAAGTTACCCAAATAGGTTAATTAAGAACAAAACTTTCGTTAATAATTTACTAATTAAAATTAGAATTTTACTTTAATAAAAAGCTTACATTTAACTAATATTAATTATTACAAATTATCAAAATAAAATTCTTATTTTATGAGTAAATAACACAACAACACTTAAATTTTGTGCATGAATTAAACTATATATATAAATATATTTGGCTATGATATAAAGGAAGCTTTTTAATTGGAAAGTGATGATTTATGGATGATAATGGAAACGGATTAAAGAAAGAACAAACCATCAGCCTTGGTAGCACTAATGAGTTGGAGTGAGACGCTACGGCCCAAAAAAGAAGTTAGGTTGTCAACTGTGGAACCAACAACGTTGAGACCGGTTCCTATGAGTCCCCCAACATTTCCACTGGTAATATTAGCGACGGTGTTGAAGTCCAACACATTCTTTCGCATTAACACAACGGTCCCTTTGATTTTATGTTCTCTATTCATGATTCCCGTCACCCCTGAAAACATCTTTGCTACTTCGTAAAGCTACCAACACTACTATTTTTATTTGGCAAAATAAGAGAATATGAAGAAAAAGGGGGGAAAAAGCCTATGACTTGTGAGAAAACCAACCAAACTATGCTGGCTATTTATAGCTATTCTTAGGTGCATTTTTATTACGAAGTGTATACTACTTTATTCTGTGGATGCTAATTAGTTGCTGTCTTTTATATTATTAACATTTTGAATGACGTATTAACATGATATATATTAAATAATATAAATTATATTTTTCCTTTATTCTATAAGTATAGCTAATAATTAATTGGATATGTATCGCAGGTGATGATGAACACTTAGTTCTCAGCATGCAAGGTGTCACACCGATTCCATGCAAGAAGGACAAGAGGCATACTTGAACCGAAGAATAATGAATTTGCATGTGATTTAGTTTGACGCCAAGTGCAAGTGTCATTAGGACCGCATGCAAGAATGACACATCCATAATGAAGGCAATATAATAAGATTTAATACGAAGGCAATATAATGAAGACAAAAATATGTTTATTTAATTATTTATTTTTTACAAAGTTCTTGTAATAAAATACCTCGCACAGTTGATAGAAATCCAGTCTTGTAAATTTCCCCAGGTTGACGAGTACTCACCATGAGATAAGGAGAGCACAATTCTCTAATCTCCTGTAAAATTATAAGAATATTAATTTTGAATCCTTCACTACTGAGCATGTGATAATGATGCATGAGATTCCATTAACCTGGAGTACCGTAGAGTCCATTTGATGTAGCTTCTGCTATTAAAGTTTCAGGATGCTCAAAGGCCAAGACATTCCTCTCTCAAGATAAGGAATGTAGTTTATCAATCAAGTTTTTTAAAATCATTTTTCTGAAATTTTATTAGATACTACCTATGTTCAGTGTGTGCGTCAATCATAGACCATTATTAAGGACCATCTCTTCTATTACACTCGATAAGTGTTATTTATTTCAAAGATATAAAGCATGAATCATCTAGTTTTAGTCCACTGTTGTAGTTTATCTGTAATAATTATATCTATATCTCTTGCATACACCAGATAATGTTGTTGGCCATTTTTATTCTGTTGGCTCATAAAAATTCTAATGACAGTCATGGGATTTGTCGCTCTCCATTCATTCGAACTAGAGTTTTATATGCTTCTTTTGTTTTTTGTTTTTTTTGTTTACTACTGCCACTTTTTATTTTCTCCTTGTGTGGGTTTCCTTTTGATTGATGTTCTGGAATGTATATATATATATTGAGCATAATTTGACAGGTCACAGCCTCTCTCACCTATTATTATCAAAATAAACTATTTTCTTCATTATGATTTAACAGTAGATGCATGTGCCATTGACCACCAAGATCACATTGAACGACTTTTCACTTGCTTGTTAGCATAGAATATAATACCAAATTGTGAGTCAAAGGCATGGTTTTTCTCTCCTAGACCTCTTACTATCTGTTTTTTGCCATATTATAGAATTGGGCCTCTTTCGAATCCTTTTTCTAAACTGATTCTTAGATCTTTTTCTAAGAGCAGTACATTAGTTTGCGAGCACATCATTTACACTCAACTGAAAATTGGTCATTAGCTGGGAAATGCTTATATCTATGATGTGAGAACATAGAGTGGAAATATTGATATTGATTTAGCTTAATGCCATCATTACGTTATATATCACCCCAAAACTTTTGATAAGGTTCTTTTTCTTGTTTGAGTTTCAATTATGGCTAAAACCTCGTGTTTCACAATTCATGAAAATAGACTTTTCTCAGACTATCAATTTTGTTTAGGGACATATCAACAACGTTTTTATGTTTAGTTTTATTTCAGGTTGCTGCTTTGGCTCTTCGTAAAGTTCCTCTATGTAACACTCTACGGGCAGATGATTATATTCGCCAATCGCCAGTAAGTAAACAATTTTAATGTAATTATTATATTATTGCCATCAAATTTGTATACTGAGGCAATGCTGATTCTTTTGTCCCTCTTTATTACCTTTTCTAAGGCGCAGTCAATGTTCACTTCATAATCATTAATGTCTTTCTATTTTTCCGTTTACACGCCTGAAGAATACAAATTTTCTTCCTTCATGTCATGTCTGTAACCCTCAGCTGCAATATATGGTTTCAAGACTCAAATTAAGATTGTTTTCTATCTTCATGATCATGACATGCTAAGTTCTGGTCACTTCATATTTTGTTTGCTCAGGTGCAATTGGAGCCGACTGTTTAAGAGCATTCAAAAGCACTATTTAAAATCCAGAATCCATGTTGTTGTAAGAATAGCCAGAATGCCTCCATGACATTATTCTTTCCCAGTGATACGAGAATTGTTGACCTGGGTGTGTTATCCGGGCTGATTGTTACCTGACCTTTTTTACAATAAATTCTTTAACCTCTGAAGGCAAATTCGCGCAAATTTAGCAAATTTGCATTTTTAATAAACGGGTAATTGAGGAATTCAATGCAATAAAATTTTGCTCTTTCAAGTTACTGTAAATACTAGACGGCGTGTTTCAGATTTTCTTGTTAGATGGTGTGAATAATTGAAAGCAATAATATTTACTTATTTCCCCGCATTTCCTATGTTATTTTATTCACCTTCAATTCATGGAGAGTTTTGGAGTGTTCCCAGGAACATATGTAAATTTTGTCATCATATTACTATGCTATCATCAAGTATAGATCAAAATAAACCAAAATAAATAGGAGCTACTTTTAGTATAAACAAGGATGTGTCACTTGCTATGCACTAGCGTGTAAAAAGATTAAATATTTTTTAATTCTTTATAAACATTATTTTGGTTAAGGTTATTTGAAGTATTTGTTATGGCATATTAGGATGGGAAATTTGTTGCCCAAATGACAAGTTCTATAACAAATATATGAATATGCGATGGGAATAATTGAAAACGAGTTTATCCTTCGGTGTCAGAAGTATAAACAAAGACTGTAGTTGCTTTTGTTCTGAAATAGAACGCGGATTTGGTACTAAACAAAGAGAACAGAGCGGTAAGAGTTATTTTCACGAAGTCATTAGGGCAAATAGAGTGAGACAGTAAGTAGGCCATGGTTGTAAAGCCCTCACCGTGGATTGGTCCTTGCCAACATTCATATTCAATGAAATTTCAAGATCTAGCGAATAAGCAGAGGTGCATAGTTGACATTCTTAGTATACAGCCATAATTTCTCTGTTATCCCTCTTTGTTCCGTGAACAATATCAACCGATCTAGTAAATTATCTCGTCCATATCACATCACCGGTTAACTTACCGTGTTCCTCTCTCTCTCTGCATTTCATATCAGTTCCTAAGGCTTTATTGGGAGTTTGGAGGAACTTAAAAAGGGTTCATACAAATCCTCCCACCCAAATTGGAGTAACTTAAAAACACAGGATCAGGGGACTTATAAAACCTTCCCTTCTCATTTAAAGACTCCGAAACAAGTATTATCACAAAATTAACTCTGAAATAAAGCCTAACATACCTGAGGGATCCTTTTTCTATGACAAAGTGATATTAACAAAACCACGTCCGCGTCAAGACTCCAGTTTACCAATATCGTTCATTAAGTTATAAGCAGGGAATAATAATCAACCAGAAAAACCCACCAAAGCTTCTTCGCAGTAACTACTAAGTAGAGTTAGCTGTATCATGTATGTATCAAACTTCAATAATCAACCAAAGTTGAGCTTATTTTATAAATGGAAAGAAACATGACCATATAAAGTATAACCCCCCCCCCCCCCTCTTCTCCGCCTTATTTTTTCATTCACAAAGAAGAATAAGTTCAATCACATTTATTTATATATCACTTAACAAATCCAACACAAAAATAGAGACAAACAACATAACGTTTAGGTTGCTAAGGAACAAATCAATTGCAGGAAAAAAATAGTCCGGGAAACGAAAAACACAGGAAGCTGCTAAAACAATACTTGAAAAAAATAACTTCCGTATTGAAATTGAAGTTCAGAATAAATCCGAAGCGAATAACAACAGAGGCTATCCATCCTTCAACGAGTTCTAGCCCTAAACAACACCTTGCAACACAAGCAAGAAGCAACAGTGGGTAATTGTACACAGAAAAGCTAAATCAATACTTTTATTCCTTTAGTTTGAGCAGAAAAAATCAATGAGGACATCAAGTAAGAGGTGAGAGATTGGGCCAGTTAACAGAATAAAAGCTTGCGCGTGTGCTCATTGCACTAGATGAGAGGAAGCCACATTAGAATAAGTCATTGTTATCTGTGAAAGCTAAACTACAAGGATGGTAAGAGAAAATCTGTCGATAGTGATTAAATTCAAGTAAAATATCACATCAACTGGCTACTGAAGTCTCGGAAAACTTTAATTACGTGCACAAAAATTATTTCCTCTGGAAAACTGCTCCTGGCAGGAAGCAGTGAGTTATCAACTGAGATAGTTCATTTGATTTACACATATGCAAAATCTATCAGTTGATAGCTTCATATGATGATTCATAGTCAAACTAAAACCACAACAGCAAATGTTTTGTCATCTCATACAGAGGACAAATGTCTTCTTTCAACTAACTAAATACAAATTACCCGATTAAACGACATACCAATCATTGACAATACACTAGTAGCTATAAAAAATCATTTAAATAAAAGATTAATCACAGTATTCTTTGTTAGTCTCCCAAGATACAAGGTATAAATGTATCCCAAACTTGCAAACAGAAAATCTCTAATGATATTTTACAAAGAACCCATCAAACGGTACACAACTTATACCGAGCCTCGCCACCTAATCGGAAAACTAATGCATTAGTCCAATAACATATATCAGATAATGAACTATATTTACACATGAAATTCCCCAGAATTCATAAGTCCTAAGGTAATATATATATAATACGAGCTTCTTTAAGCACAAAACTTAACCAACCATTCAACTTCTATCAAATCATATATCAAAACACTTTTTACTATAACACCCTTTGCACACTCTTCCATTAACATGCATAGACAGAGGAACGAGATTTTATATACACTACATATATCCAGCATTAAAGCCGTCCCAATTATTCATTCATGAAGAGTCGACAAATTACATTAGAAAGGTTAGCCATTATCAAGCTGAAAAAATATGCATAACAAAACCAATTGTTTGCGACAGCAACACTGTCACATAAAGCCACGTAACCCAAAAATTGCTCAAAATTGATAGCAACCCAAAAAAAAAATCAATAAAATGAAGAGCTCACACAAAGTGACGTTCTCATATAGGCACGTAACGTTTCAATGCCTGCTTCGCCGTAACAGCAACTCCAACCACCACGCCGCCAACTGCACCCGCAACCGCCGCCGATCGCACCCCTCTGGCTGCTCGATACAACGCGCCGGTGCCGAGTCCTGCCGCAACGCTGTTCCACACATCGTCGGTGTCTCTCGCCGCCACAATCCCGCTCTCAATGCCGGCGTAAAGCAACCCTATGACTCCGAGACGGTTACCCCACGCTCGACCCGAGTGACCGGACGAGTTCAGAACCCTGTTGACTCTAAGCTTGGCGCTGTCGCCGGACTCGAAGGATTTGACGCCGTCGACGAGGCCGACGGCGGCACCACCAACGGCTCCGGCGAGGTAGCCGCAGCCAGTGTAGAAGGTGAGGTTCTCTCCCCAGGAACGACGCTTGCGGCGAGCTTCTTCGACAAAGAGGAACTCGGGGGAGGTTGGGAGGTGGTAGAGGTTTCGTATGGGAACTTCAAGATCCTTGTAGGGGTTGTAGAGGCGTGTTTGGTTATTGGAATCGGATCCTGATTCGCGATCGCTGGTCTGGTAAGCCATGGAAGAGGCTTCCAGACGCTAGGGTTAGGGTTTCGCGGGTTAGAGAGTAGGGGAGAGAGAGAGAGAGAGAGAGAGAGATTTGCAGAAGAGCGACGCTGTGTGGTGTGTTGTGTTGAGATTTGGGGGAAAAATCGGGTCGCTGTGGCGGCGCGTTATGGAGCCGGTCCGGTCAGATTCGATTTCGAAAATGGACCGGACCAGACCGGACTCCGTGTTGAACCGGAAATGAGAAAAGAAACTTCTAGCTCGGGATCAGAAACGGTGTCGCTTAATTTCTACACGTGCTTACAGATACAGAATTCAGCACCGTTGGGCATGTTAACCCAATAATTTTTATAAAAATATATAATTAAAATGCTCATACATATATATAAGCTTAAAAGATGAAAGCAATACTAATAATAAGTAAAAATATAAAATATCTATAAAAAATAAAGAGTATAAAAGAAACTTTAATTATTACTAATTTTTATTGTATATTTTTCATAAAATTTATAATTTTTATTATTTTATGCTAAAAATTTATAAAAATAAAATATCTTGTGTGAAAAGGCGAATGATTCTAAGCTTGTCACGAGAGTGATAATTTTTGTACTATATAATAGTTAAGTTCTCATTTTAAGAAGTATGAATATGAAATGCAAAATTAATATAATGGCTGTAAATATCATTAAGTTAAATTTTTTATTTTAGTCTTTAAGATTTTAAAAATTAATCTCTATTATTAATTTATAATGACATGACATACATTTAATAATTATGCTACATAACAGTTATTTTAAGATAATAAATGACATGATAGATTTAAAAGCATATTATGTCATTAGTTAACAGTAACAAAGATTATTTTTAAAGATCTAAAACTTATGAAAACTAAATGTAATCATATATAGAGAGATTAAATATTTATTTATCTTTATTACAAATATTAGGAATACATTTTATAAATGCTGTAAGTTGATCTTAATTCGTATTATACAAATACATTAATAACAAAAATTGAAAGGTGAATAGCACTCTGGAGATTGAGGATTACAAGTGGATGTACAAAGTGAATAGGGAAGGAGAGTTTGGTGATAACAATGCTCCTTCATGTGTTTTTGTTTGATTAATTAGAACCCACGTAACAACATGCAACACTGTTGATATTGCTTGCTACAATATTCCCTAGTTATAAGAAACAAGACATAAAGGAACTCATGAATCGTGGGAAAGACGTTTCTTTGCGGAGAGAATTGACTGAGCAACTTATAAACAACGAACAGTCTCGATAAACATCCTTCATATTCATTTTCCCAATTTATGGTAAGAGAAAGCCTGGTTTCAACAAACTACGTACAATGTTCCACATTTTGCCTGCGGACTTGGGTAGTTCGCATCTCCTCATATTCAAACTGATCTACGTTGAATTTTCCATTTCCATATTAGGATTGTTATTCATTTCCTTCCTGACTGTACATGATACAATATATATCAATATCAAAGCAACTTCATGGATAATTTATATGACTTGAGAATCTTTAAACTATTTAGCTTAGTCTTTCTAAAATGCTGGCCAAGAAGCATATGAAGAATAAAACTTTAACTGCAGTTCGAAGATGATTTTAATGTTATTCTATATTCAAAATTGAAATTTTATTTTGGCTAATTCAAGTAATAAACATCAGCGTTAAAGGTCTATACTTGTTATTGAATTAAAATTCTAATCTTGATTAAAGAATAACATAAAAGACACTAATGATACTATATTTAAGTTTAAAGAATAAAATTAATAGAGTAGGTTGTTAACTTGGAAATTTTGTTTAACTAACCTTTAAGGAGGGGACAATATGAGTGTGAGTGGATGCTTCTCCCAGATTCCTGAGTCGAATGAGCTGAGGCAAAATGACAGAACCAAGGTCTGGTCTATCGCGTCTTCTCATCTCACAACACTTCAAAGCCAACCTAGCATATGATAAAGTCTCTTCAATGGGCCAATCCTTGACATTTGGATCAAGAACCTCTGGAAATTTTCCTTTGCTTATAGCCTCCTCAACCAAGTGAGCCACACCCATTGGAGACTTTCCAGTAATAATCTGTAGAAGCAATACACCTAGTGAATATATATCTGATTTTACACCCAATAAACCCGTTTGTTGATACTCCGGATCAATGTAGCAAAATGTGCCAGCTGCAGTTGTTCTATGGTATTGGGTGGTTTTGTTAGCCACATTAGGGGGAACAAGCCTGGCCAAACCCACATCAGTGATCTTGCTCACATAGTTCATGTCCAAGAGAATGTTTGCTGGCTTGAGGTCACGATGCACCACAGGCTCAGGTTTTGTTTGGTGAAGGAAAAGAAGGCCAGTGGCAATTTCTGATGCTATTTTGAATCTAACTTTCCATGGAATTGGTGGTGTGTTATCTATCTGGTAGAGGCGATCTTCTAAGCTCCCATTTTCCATGTACTCATACACAAGGCATCCGTACTCTGGGCATGCACCTAGAAGTTGAACCATGTTTGGATGCCTTATTGTGCTTAAAACATTAACCTGTCACGTACCAATTTGGTAAACAAACATTGATAATTCTAATCTATGCTGCAAAATAAAAGAGGTGTTGCCATTGGTGCCCAGTTTAAGTAACCAATAAATAATATTTTTTTAAAATCATATTCAAATGTATTAACACAATGAGTGTATTTTTATTTTATTTTCTTAATCAGTGTCTTAAAGGCATTGATTAGCAATTTTCATTAAAAAAAATCTCAAGTGATATTTTCTTGTACCTAATAATATTCATGATCTTTGTTTCTGCCAAAAGAAAATTATGGTTATTACCTCTTGTTGAAATTGCTTCTCTCCTTGGGTTAGGTCTGGTCTAACGGCCTTAATGGCAACAACAGTGTTATCAAGCACCCCTTTAAAAACAGGTCCATAGCCACCTTCACCAATTTTGAGATCATTGTCAAAGTAATGTGTCGCAACTTCAATTTCTTTAATATTGTATCTTCTAAATTGAATTTTGTTATGTGCAGTTGCATTTAATGCCCTGTTCCTCTCTTCTTCCTCATGCTTGGCTCTTGTTTCGATCTGTTTTCCCTTCTGGCCCTTTATTTTCTGCCTCTCTACCTCTTCCATGGTCAATGTAGCCTCTTCAGCGAGCCTAGTTTTTTCTACGTTTCTTTCTTCTTGCCTAAACTTTTCAAGCTCCATTGCCTGAATGAAAACACCAATCTTTTAGAAAAAATAAACTTCTGTGCAGTGCATTGTTCTGAAAGCAATTGGGTTAGATAGAATTTACAATATGACATTACCTTCTGTTTTGCGGCTGCAGCTTCCTTGCAGCTATTACACTTCTTTGTTTTACTCTTCGGTTCTAGTTTTAATTTCCCCGTTTCTATCTCATTGCCTTTCTGTAAGATAACCAAGCAAGGAGGAATATTCAATTATCCACTTATAAATGGAAAAATGTTCAGAAAATTTCAAGGCCATTGATGAGAAAGTTACTTCCGTTAGATACTTCAATTTTTTTAACTCTTACTATTGTTGATTGAAATGGGAATGAAACATCAGTTATGACAATCTAAACTTGCAATGTTAAGAAAAATGTTAACTTTTATCTTTAGAACTGATTTTAAGCAACAAAAATATAAGTTTTTGTTACAAAAATTTTATTACATTGAAAATATAAAGTGTAATACATGTTAAAATTGGTCTAAACACTGATATTAACAAAACTGCAAAAGAGAAAGAAGCTGGCCATGTTACATAAGCAAGTCAATAACTCACTTGCAATTTATATCCAAATGGAAATGCTTTGAGTTCCACTTTCCTTGTTTTGATTATGAAATGCATATCCCAAATTATTGTTTTCCAAGATGTGAAATTATGCTGAAAGTCTGACTTTAAAATATATAATGCAGTACTTACAGGTGAATGTTTAGAAGATTTGCTCCTACAAGTACAAGTGTTTGAATTCTCTACAACATCTTGATTTTCATTTGACGTCTCATTCAATTGAGAACCAAGTGCCCTTGAAGTGTCACCTGTGAGGGAACTTCGATTCGATGAATTTTGTGAGGAGCTGCTTTCATCCGATAATTTTGGTGAATTAGTTTCTCCATTGGTTGCATCCTTGTTTTGATCAGAACTTACCCCGTCGTTGTTTGAGCCTTGCCAAATTCTATACTTGAATGATTTTCTGTACAAATTATTGTCAAAATGTCAAGGACATACAATCATTAATAATTAGTCAAGGTCATGGCAAAACATGCTCTGCTAAGAAAGAAATTTATAGAAATTATGACAAGTTAATTTAGATCAATCGATTGGCCTGAGTAGAATTGTTTATCTTAGAACTCAATCATTGACAAATTTTTAATAAAAAAATTAGCAAACCTGTTTTGGAATATGAAGACACAGAGTAGTTAATTGTACTTTTACAGGTACGTCCACTAACTAGATCATTTATCATGTAAGTATTTGAATTTGCTAGTATTTATGTAAGTTGGCTATAGCTTCATAACTAAGAATCATTGTTACCACTCCTTAGTTACTTCGATCGATAATGTTTTCAAAATGCATACCTTTTTAAATCTTCGGACCGAGAATTTGCCTTGGGACTAAGAATGTCTTTTATAGATTTTGTTACTGTGATACTAACATTTTGAGAACGACCTGCAGGTCGAATATTGTGCACTTTTCCTTTTGATATAACATGCACCATGCAAGACTCTGGCAAGGACCTGACTAAGCTTGTTGCCACATCTACCTCTTTAAATTTCCTGTAGTTCACTTTTAGCAACACTATTTAACTTGTTCAAATCAAAGCTTATAAAAATAACCCAACTTTTCAGCAGCAGGTAAAATTAATATGCTATGTGCATGTGTGTGTCCAAAAATTATTTGCATGTGGTGGTGTGTGATAGTGAGAGACAGAAAGGACCTTATAAGAGCATTATTCCAGCGGGGAGCACCAACAACAATATTGCCGATAGAGTTGTAAGTGACGTATTCAGTCAGCGCATTTGGAACGTCAATGTTATGCAAGATCAACTCCTTTGCTACTATCTGAAATATTCAATGTCCGTGATCATAAAATAACTTAATATAACTTGTATCATTGAAATGAGTTCACATTTAAGTAGATTTGATGCAAAACCAAACACACCTTAAATGTGCATGACATTTACGTGTGTCCTTTCTAAGTTAAAATGAGCATTATATTGAAAAGTTTAATCAAATGCATGTTAAAAAAACTTTTAAACATAAGAGTACAAAAATTACAATCAGTAATACTCAAGTAAACATAAATCTATCATCGTGCAAATGTGAAATCAAACGCACACTAACTAGTGAAATTCAGCAGGAAAACTAAATTAAATTTAGCTCATTAATTGATGACATCCAAGGTACTTTATAGGTAAGCAATTACTCACCCCCTTTCGTGCACAAAATCCTCGAAAGGGAAGAAAAAACTGGTGCAATTCTTCCTGGGTTGGTGGACGACCTTGTATAGGGGTAGCATCAATATCATCTGCATAAACCATATACATATAAAAGGTTATCTACATACATTTCCTTAAAATGAAGATAATTAATTGTTTATATATATATATATATATATATAAATATGAAAAATGATGGAAGCAAATTAAAAACACAATGTGAATTGATTGTTCATTACAATAAAGTTTGAATGGGACGATAATTAATAAACGTACGAGGATACAAGGTAGTAGTTCGGACATGAATGAGGGTGCAAGAGGATTTCTTCGTCAAAAGATGTTCGACAGCCCACATGACGGCGTGTTGGCTGTTCCGGTCGCTATCAATGGCGACGACGGTGGACTCTTCCTTTGCATTTGAATCCATAGACGGCGGTGAAGATTAATTTGGAACGGTAAGTTGAGATTAATTTGATAAGAATCTAAGAACATGTTCATAACCAGTATGCTTAATTCCCATGAATGGGGTTTTGTTCCTCTTTTTACTATTTTTGGCCACATCTGAACACCCCTTTCCAAACAACTTGTTTATAACAAATATACCTGAGTTGGATCTAACTGTAAATGTTTGGAATGTCAGAACAACAGGGATAACAGGCTGAGAGGATAGTTATGGATTAGAACCTACCTATGTTAATGTCAGTTAAGAAATAAAGAAAATTATTATTAAGTACATATACCTTGAGTTTTAGTGAAAGAATAAAAATAAAAAATTTATAAAAAATCTCGTTCATGCATATTTAATTTATTAAAAATTTTAATATATTTATTGTGATTTTAAAACATATTCATTTTAAATATTAAGTAATATCCTTAAATAAATTAACAAGACTTGAAAAAAAATTATCTTGCAACGGTATAAGAATGTCTTCGCATTCTCCTCTACCTGGATATGGATTAAGGTTGTTTGTATCTTCTGTATATGAGAGTTTTTGGAAGTTTATGATTTTTTATTTTTAAATTTTTTTAAATAAAATTATTATTAAATAAACTTTTTCGTTCTCTTCACTTAATTTCTAAACAAAGTCTAAAGAAAAAATAACAATGGCATTAGCATTAATGTTATCTTATAAACAAAGGTGGTGTTAGCCCAGAAAAAAAATAAATTAAAGGTGATCGCTGTTATGCTTCATTCGTTTTGATGGATATGTTACGATTAATTTAATCACAACACATACCTTTGTGCATCTAAAGATTAAAAAATTGAGGGGGGAGCAAAGGGCAAAAAATAAAATAAAATAAAAGAATACAATAAAGAAAAAAAATTAAAAGTTTGACCGGATCGTTCAAGTAGTTAATTTTCTTTATATACACTGTAGATGAATATATTTTGTTACAATTTGAATTGCTAAGTTTTTAGTCAATAGTTATTATTATATTTTATCTCTGAAATATATTATGCTGCCAAATTCTTCTTTCTAAGTATTATATCTATATTTAAAGCTAATCTTAAATCTTAATTTTCTATTTCAAGGAATCCTTCTTATGCTGTTTTTCTATTTCTTGGAGAAGAAGTATGAAACTTGACCATTCTAGTTATCGTGCTTCTTGATACTATCTATTATTCACTTTAATCATTTTGAATTTTGATATTGACTACTACCGATTCTGATATTCAAGAAACTAAAACAAAATGGCGACTATTTATTTAGAGTTAGTTCAACGTTTCAACTTTAAATTATACACTTCCATTGAGCTATATATCAATAAAAACTATATATTTTTTTAAGGTAAAGGAAAGCTCCACCAAATAAGAAATAAGAAACGAAAGTACAGTTGAGTGTTAAATAATGCATTTTCACTGTTAATTTATATCGGTATTTAAAAGCTTTACGTTTATTTTGAAGTTATTGGTTACAATTTTCAAGCTAGATTTATATTTATATTATTTTTAACTTATATTCAAACGTACACTATATCTTTCAATCCTTACCACGCAATCTTTCAACTTATTACATTGTTTTTTATATATGGAACTGAGCACAATATTATTTTCATTAAACTATATGTTTGCTTTTCTTTTCCAAACAAATGGATATACAAAATAGTATTAAAAAAATGTACTAGAGTAATTTTCCTTTGAAGAAATTTGTACATATAAAGGAAGATTCGTGTTCCTTATATATAGAGATCACAGGCACAGCCAACAGCTTAAAATAGAAGACAAAGTCAAATAATCTGTCTCAATAAATAAACATGAGCAACCCAAAACATCACAAACTGAAGGCTTGCGGCGGAAAAATTGTAGAGGTTCTAATTTTATTAGACACTTTATTTCAGCATAAAGAACAAAACTCACAAGCTGTCGATGATGACATAAAACTAATACTGCATAACACGCTTTCCTTTAACATCTATACAAGGAATGATATTGATGTTTCTTTTTAGTTAATTTCATTTATAATAATCTTACTAAATAGAGAATAAACCTACATTATATATGTGTGTGTATGCACATACACAATTCACGTAATAATAAAAAAAATGTCTTTTAATACAATTTTTAAATACATTTTTTATCATGTAAATCGTTTTTATTTTCCGTAAAATTACATAAACTTATTTAAGGGTCATTATCTTTCCCAAGTTTAAGCAATTACGTCACTCAAAATTTGTTTTAGATCTAAAGAGTTGAGTAATATGTGTTTGTCTCACGCGGAAAGCATGGCGATGACCGCATCATCCTAATGTCTGCTACAACCTAAAACATTTTTTAAGTTCATTACTACAGCTCTATTTATTTTAATGTCTTGATGCAAGTCATGTTCACAAGTAAGAGCAAGAAATAGAATATGAATAGCAAAATCCAGGAGTTGATTGATGGAAAAAAGAAAAATTAAAAGAAACATTTGTAGCAAATTTCCAATGTTATTATTATTCTCCTGAACTTGATGTATAAGTAACGTGTTATGGCATGCATTTAGTCCAATGATTGGTCACTTGTAATAGTTTGCAAGTATCAAACAATATTAAGGGTCAAGTCAACCTTATTACAAGCCTCAATCAGCACATGGACATGGTCTACCACCATTTTCTATTTGCCTGTCATTTCCATAAGACAGCCAGCACCACTGAATTGCCAACAGTTTTTAAGTCATACATGTATTCATATTCCCATTACCATTTCCACCAATCTCATAAATTATTTTTGTTTAAATGTCTAAATTTATATAAAATAAATAACTTGAAGCAACAAATAACATACACATCATTACTTTATATTAAATAATCACGTCCTTCACACTATATAAGAAGCAAAGTGCACAAAAAGCACAATCAAACCAAAGCAAACTGTGCATAACAAAAACCAAATGGAAGAAGAGGAAGACGTGTCGCCACCCTTTTGGCTGCAAAACGGCGGCGCCGACAGCCGTCTCTGCCGCTCATACTCGCTGTTTCTCAGCTCCGGTGCACTTCTCGTATGCCTTGTGGTGGTTGCACTTGCATTCACCTTGATCATTGTTCCTACATTGCACTCTTTCATTTCCCACGTTTTCAAACCCCACTCCGTGAAGAAGAGTTGGGACTCCCTCAACTTCGTGCTTGTTCTCTTCGCCATACTATGTGGTTTCCTCAGCAGGAACACCAACGATAACGAAACCCCACGTTCCTACGACACGACACAAGAGTACGAGAAACCCAACTCGGAAACTCCACGATCATGGTACCACTACTCGGATCAAAATCCATCGTATAAATCCTACAGCCGGTTGAGGAGTTTCAACTCCTACCCGGATCTCCGGCAAGAGTCGCCGTGGCTCGCCGCAGATGAACGGTGGCGATTTTACGACGATACCCACGTTAACGGTTACCGGAAGCAGAGACCGGAGGCCAGAGAAGAAGAAGAAGAAGAAGAGGGTGTTAAGAACATAGAAGTGGACGTAGCAAAGGATGTTCCCACTGCGCCGCTACGACCGGCGTCGACACCGCCAGCTACGACGGAGAAGAGGAGGAGTGGGGAACATAAGAATAGAAGAGCAAGTGCAAGTGCAACAACTAAAGAGTTTTTGGCATCGTTGAAGGGAAAGAAGAAGAAACACAGACACAGAAGCGTTGAAAATTTTCAAACCATTCAAAATTCTGAATTTTCTACTCTGCCTTCACACCCTCCACCGCCACCGCCTCCGCCTCCGCCGCCGTCATCAGTATTTCACAACGTGTTTTCTTCCAAGAAAAACAAGCACAAGAAACTTAACTCTGCTTCGCCGCAGCCACGTGATCATGTTTCATCCATGCGTGTATCCAAAACCGAACCGTTTCATGGGGGTGTGGCTACCCTTAAACCCCGGTTATCAAATAAGAGAGAGGAATTAGATGCCTTGGAAGAAAATGTGATTACTACTGGTAATGAGTCACCTTTGATCCCGATTCCGCCACCTCCGCCGCCGCCGCCGTTCAAAATGCCGGCGTGGAAGTTCCGGGTGCAGGGTGATTTTGTTAGAATAGATAGCATTAGTAGCTCGAGTAGTGGTTCGCCAGATTTAGATGATGAAATTGTGGAGTCACCAACGGGTGAAGATGATGGAGAACCTGCAATTCTATTGTTGTATCCTAGTTCTGATGTTGATACCAAAGCTGATACTTTTATTGAAAGGTTCAGAGCTAGTTTAAGGATGGAAAAGCAGGGGATAGGAAGGTCTAAATCCAATCTATGTCCTCCATCGAAACCGGAAACCAAATAAGGTGGACCAAGTTGAATTGAAGGTGCAAAATTGACAAATGCCTTGTCTAAGTTCTTTAATCGATTTCCTTTTGTATTCTTTATTTAGTTTTTCATAAGTGAATTCTTTCGCTCTCACGTATACATTGAGTTCAGCTTCATACAGAAGAATAGGAGTATTTTTTCACAATACAATTTTTGCATACACACAGACACATCTTTTGTTTTGCCTTTTTTTAATGTATAAAAGCACGAAATGTTCAATTTAGAACGTTGTGACTTTATGACTGTTAAATTGTGCGTATCATATGGTTCATAATTCCTTGGATACGGCTTCTGCAGTCTACGCATTACGCTTCTGTTTGGTTTACTTAACAGAAGCAATTGAACAAATACCAAAATTTAAAAAGCTCGTCATATAGTTAGCCCAAAGCTTTATGGCAACTTTTCATCCAAAGAGCAAATGTCTCGAATGGACATATTTTGAGAATAAAACGCTCAATCCTACCTTGTATTTACTTGATTTTTCACAATCCTTCTCGCTAGGCACCAATGTGAAAACCGGTACAATTCTTCGTTTGGCATACATAAGGCTATGTCGGAGTATCAGACATGCCTGCTTGAGGACGGTTTATGTAGTTTTTCAAAATATAGACAAGTCTCCAGTACTTCAGTTTTTCCTCTTGAAAAAAGAATTCCGAATGCCTTTTCGTATCAGTTATTTAGTTGTAATTTTCTTATGTCGTAAAATATGGCTGAGAAAACAAGTGAATCTCTCTCTAAAGGGAATTTTATTAACTGTTGTAAAAGAAATTTACAAAGATATGAAGAATAATTTTGTTACTGCTCTGTTCGGTTTGCCAAATTAACGTGTACCTTCATTTTTTAGTGAAAACTTTCCTTACAATTATCTACGTCTTCGACTACAGAACGGGTGGGGGACAGGAGGGAGTGTATAGTAGCTTCCAAGAGTGGCTAACTGATTTACTCTTTAATAGGTTACTTGTCCTGAATTTCAAGTATGCTCGTGATGAACAAAAATTAAAAGTGTAAGTCAAAATTGCGAGGACCATCCTTCGTTTGATTGCAGAGAGTTGCTCGGTAACAACCCCACTTAGCTTAACAAAGAATTTTGTTTAAACAATATGTTTTGGGGATGGGGTATGGTGTTGGTCAGAAATCCAGTAACAAACAAGGCAGTGATGAGCACTCCTCATCTTATGATCTTATCAAATTCATTTTCTAAGGGAGCTATTAAAGGCTCAACAAAGAAAATCTACAACAAAACCAGTAAGCTTACCCCACCCCAATATGGAGCAGCATACAGAATGCAACAAGTAAATTATTACAACATCCAAAGCTAGCTCATAAAAAGACAATACAGCGCCTAAAGTAAATAACCAACAAAACTTGCAATGCTAAATGCTAACCTAATCAATGAGCCTTACTCTGCAAATACTTCTTCAAAACATCCATAACAGACCCAAAATCCGCCTTCACTTGCATGGGCGGATTCGCGAATCGGCAAGCCATGTCCTTGATATCCTTGGAATGGTAATCAATCTTGGACTGAGTGAACTTCAACCCATGAGCAGTACTCACCACCACAGTCCTATCAGTAGCCTTAATAACCCCACTTCTCCTCAACTTAATCAAAGCAGTCAAAGCAACCCCAGTGTGGGGGCAAATAAACATCCCAGTAGAATCAGCCTGAGCCATAGCATCCATCAACTCCTCCTCAGTAGCTTCCTCCACAATCCCATTAGAATTCTTCAAAGCATGTACAGCCCTGTCAATGGAAACAGGATCACCAATTTGAATAGCAGAAGCAAAGGTAGTACTAGCCTTCACAGCATTAAACTCCTTCCAGCCAGACTTGAAGTACAAATAAAGTGGATTTGCATTAGCAGCTTGAGCACAAACAAGCCTTGGAATTTTATCCACAAGTCCCAATTCATGACACATACGAAACCCTTTATAAAAAGCATAAATATTGCCAAGATTCCCACCAGGCACAATGACCCAATCAGGAACCTGCCAATCAAACTGCTGCAAAATCTCAATAGCAGCAGTTTTCTGCCCCTCTAATCTCAAACTGTTCAGAGAATTAGCCAAATAAATAGGCAACTCAGCAGTAACCTCACGAATCAAGTGCATACACCCATCAAAATCAGTGTCAATACTCAACACAAAAGCACCATTTGCAATAGGCTGAACAAGCTGAGCAATGGAAATCCTATTAGCAGGTAAGAAAACAATGGAAGGGATTCCCGCAGAAGCACAATAAGCAGATAAAGCAGCAGATGTATCACCAGTGGAAGCACAGCCAACACCAACAACAGGACGATTCATCTTCCTCAGACGATTCACCTGACTCACCAGAACCGTCATACCCAGATCCTTGAAACTCCCAGTGTGGCTAATTCCACAGTGTTTCACCCACAAATCGTTCATCGAGAGAAAATGTTTTCCAAATCGTTCGGCCCAGAAGAGGTTGGAGTTTCCTTCAAAAGCGCTAACGATGTCGTCGTCGTCGATCTCAGGCAGGACCCATTCCTTCTTGCTCCAAACGCCGGAGCCATAGGGCCAGGTGGTTTTGCCCACGCGCGAGTCGAAGAGCGTGCGCCAGTACTCGCCGTCGAAGCGTTTGAGGGCTTCCATGTCGTGTTGGACGTCGAGGAGGCCACCGGATTGGGATCGGTAAACGATTTCGTCGAGAGAGTATGATTCAGTGGAGGAAGGGTCGGCGTTGAAAGGGACGTACTTGGCGGAGAAGAGGTGGTCGTGGCTGGCATTGTTCCGCCGTGCTTCGTCTCTAATGTTCTCGTCGGCTGGGCGGCGGTGTTTTGCGACGGCGGCGGAGTTAGTTCCCTGAGATTGGCATTTAATTGTTAGGTTTGGAGAAGAGTTCGGAAAAAAGGGTTTTGGTTTTGAGGGTTTTGGGGAGAAAAGTGAAGAAGAAGAGTGAATCAGAGAAGAAGAAGCCATTGAATTGGATTGAGTTTTGAGCGAATCAGTAATCCAACTTTTTAATACTTTCCAGCCGCCGCCACTTCTCCCAATCCCACCAGACAATACAGATCTTTGTTTCTAGTTTCCCTTTGTTATACATCATTCCTCCTTTTATTTTTTTTTAATTTATTATTTTTAGATACTTAAATTTTTCTATAAAATTATGTTGAAATATTTTTTAAGACCATTTTTTAGTTACTTAAATGTTCTTTTACTTTTGTTTTTAGTGGAATTATTTGGTTAGTTGTGCGGTTTAATGTTTTGGGGTTGGGTTATGGATAATGAGATGCACAAAACCCTTTCTTATCAGAATTTAGCATTATTGCTCTCAGTATAAAAAGGGAGAGGGGCCTCTTATTGGAGAATTAGATTCCATTGCACTTATGCAGAAACCAAACCCACCAAGAACAGAAAACCACCAATAGTGATGGCCCAAATGGTCAAATCCACCTTGGTGCAATATTGACTAGTGTTATAAAGATCAAATTTTAAATTTAAGTCACAAAATAAACATAATATAAAAAATTAAAAAAAAATACAAATGGCACAAATCTTATTTCATCTCTTAAAGTCTCATATCAAATAAAAATTATGACTAAAGATAATTTGTGAATATTTACCCTCTAAACTCACTGAGACTTTTTTTATGAGAAAAATAGAAAGGCCTATAAAAATTAAAGTAAACAATATCTTAGAGGTTTTAAGCTTAACAATGTTGCAGACAGAAGAAACACTTAGGCTACCCATGAAATTCCAAGACTCTCAAGTTCAAAGAATTTGATTAATTTAATTTACACTTAAATATATAAACTACAATTAAATCAACTTAATTGTTTTGATATAATTTCTTGAATCCGTCATGTTGATCTAAATTAACAAACATTCCTACTCACTGCAAAATGAGATGCCAGTGTTAAAATTCAAGTTAGAGACAACCCCACCTTGATCTTAAGCCAAGTAAATTATTTACTTATAAGACAACTTGTGTCACAAAGACACAAACCATTTTGCTCCACAGTTCATCACTTCATCTTGCTTAGGCCACCAATAACTTAGGGCCAGACCTGTGGACCATAGTGCACATTTGATCAATCTTGTCACCTTTTTCACTTTTTCATTTGACCACAAATCCACTTATATTGGCACCTTCTCTTTTCTCTCTCTTTTATTTGCAAACAAAATATTTTTCACGTTTTATTTGAAATAAAATAAATCAGTAGTGATATTATAAAATATATATTACAGAAAATGGTTATTGCAATTCATGATAAACATACAAAAAAGTATCAGGGAGCCCCCCAAAACAACCCAAGTTACAAAAGATCGCATAACTTCACGAATTAATTTGCATCCTTTTGTCAGATTTATGAACAAAAGGATGCAAATTGTTTTATATTCATCTGAACTTTATCAATATTTTTACTCCTAATTATATCTCTTCCTTTTAGGTCACCCTTGATTTATCCAAATGACTAGTTCTCTATATTCTTTCAACAATATTATCCATTAACTTTTTTTAAACTTTAACATTTCATCTTATCTATTCATTTCTTTGTTATTCATATTATCAGATGAATTATTATTTTCTACCCCACCTTGTTGTTTGCCTACTACCACCCAATTTCATATATATTTTTTCATATTATATTTTATTTTCAAATAATATCACTGAAAGATAAACATTCCCTTTGGTAGAATAAAAAGAAAATGAAGAAAAAAATTAAAATTAAAAAAATAAATTGTTTTCTACCTTTCTTTCACTTTCATTTCAATAAAAGAAAATATTATCCATGCTTTTGTTACTTGCAATTTGTTTCCCTTATTACTAAATAAACATAAGAGTAAGGTCAAGCATAACATTGACGTGGAAGAACATGATTTGGTTTCAGAATAACTTTTTACATAGTACCAACCGCACCTGATCCCAACCGAAGGCAATGACGGATAAGGGTTGCCATGTCACTCGACCTTTTCCCACACTTCCTCTCAAAATTACAATCACATCCTAATCAAACGGACACGTGTCAGTTTATAATCGTTCACATTTCCTTACTTTACCATCAACTAGATAATTACGTTTATACAGTATTTACTTGACAAATTATTGATATAAATTTCGTTTACTGTGTCATTATTTTAATAAATTAATTATATTTACTTTTAAATAAACATATCTTGAATTTTTCAGGTGAATAAAATAAATTAATTTACAATTCTTATCATTTTATTTAACTTCACTATTCGTTGTTGATTTTTCACTTCATAAGGATTTTAATTTATGCTTAATTTTTTAAAAATATATCATTTTATTTAAAATTAATTTATTTTCAATCTTTATATTTAAACAAAAATACATTTTAAATTTATCCTTACAAAACTAAAATTACATGGTTTTTACAAGTCTAAAAAGTAAATAATTTTTTAAAAATTCATACTTTTACTAACTAAAAATATATTTAAACTTTAATAATTTTTAAATAAAATTTTGGTTTGGAATGTTATAAATAAAAAAGGAATCTAAATATAGTGGAAAAGTGTCTGCTATTCCGGTTCCCCCTTCCTTGTATGTCTCCCTCTCCCTCTCTTTCTTTAACTACACTCTTCACCAACCCACCTTGTCATCTCTCTCTTCATTAACACTCTTTTTCTTTCTCTTTGGCCATGCTCCTAATTCTCTCTTCATTCCATCCACGGATACAGAAGTGCTAGATCCACTCATTTCAGATCCAACACCACAAAATCCACCACGTGCCATTTTAATTCAATTCACAAATTGTACAGTTAGTTTTTTCCTATTTTCCTTTTCTGGGTTGTAGAATTTGTACAGTTAGGATTTGTAGATAATGGGAGGAGTAGGAATTTGAAGGGAAAGAGGGGAGGAAATTTTTTTTCGATTTGTGGGTGTTTGAGAAAGTGGTGAAAATGAACTTGGGTGCAGCCGAGGAGGAAGATTCGAGTGCACAAGTTCATGTGCCAGCGGATATTGATTGGCAAAAGCTCGATAAGTCAAAGTTTTTCTTTCTTGGTGCAGCCCTTTTCTCTGGGGTTTCTGCAACCCTTTACCCTGTTGTTGTATTGAAAACTCGCCAGCAAATTGCTCTATATCAAGTTTCTTGCATAAGGACTGGGTTTTCAGCGATCAAACTTGAGGGTTTTGGTGCTTTGTATAGAGGGTTTGGCACTTCTTTGATGGGTACAATCCCTGCTAGAGCTTTGTACATGGCTGCACTTGAGATTACCAAAAGTAACGTAGCCACTGCTACCCTTAGGTTTGGACTGGCTGAACCAACTGCTGTTACTATTGCCAATGCAGTTGCAGGGTTGAGTGCTGCTATGGCAGCTCAACTTGTGTGGACCCCAGTTGATGTTGAGTCAGAGGTTGATGGTTCAAGGTGGTTCTAATTCTAAGTCCTCACCTCAATATATCAATGGGATTGATGCCTTTAGGAAAATTCTCAAGAGTGATGGGGTTAGGGGGTTGTATAGGGGTTTTGGGATATCAATTTTGACTTATGCACCTTCAAATGCTGTTTGGTGGGGTTCATATTCTGTCGCACAAAGGCTTGTTTGGGGTGGGGTTGGGTACTACTTGTGCAAGAAAAGTGGTGAGAGTGGTGATAATGAGTTGAGGCCAGACTCTAAAACAGTGATGGCTGTTCAAGGAGTGAGTGCTGCAATGGCTGGTGGCATTTCTGCTTTGATTACTATGCCTTTGGATACCATAAAGACAAGACTACTAGTGTTGGATGGTGATGAAAATGGGCGTCGTGGACCAACAGTTATGCAAACAGTGAGGAATTTGGTTAGGGAAGGTGGTTGGATGGCATGTTACAGAGGGTTGGGACCTAGATGGGCTTCAATGTCAATGTCTGCAACAACAATGATCACTACTTATGAGTTTCTCAAACGACTTTCCACTAAAAATCAAGAGATTTTGACCTGACAAAGGATGAAATTTATAACAAAAAGAAAACAGGGAGAAAGGAGGAGTGGTTTTGTCCTCTCTCTCTCTCTGGGGTCTAAATTATGCCCTTACTTTTTTTCCAACTAGTCCGTTTTTTTATGCTCTTATTTGGCTTTTCCTAGCCAGCACGGCTGCTTGATCAATTATGAAAAGTTATCGTAGGTCATCTTATTAATATTCTGAAAACAAAAATCTTATAACACAATTATAATTCTTTCGATCCCCATTGATATTATGTACATGCCCTTTCGTATAGATTTGGGAGTTTGACTATATCAATAAATTAATATCATCATGGGCTGATGTGGTTTTAAATCTTACAGATGTAATTCCTGACTTAATAACTATGAAACCTTAAAATCCTTCAGATTTCAATATTGTAGCTCTCTAATTAAGTCTCGTTTACCATTTTCAATAAGGTATTTAATGTGTAGCTTTGTAATTGAATATTATATAAGATACAACCTACCAAGGTCTTTCCAACAAGAACTCTTTGAATTGGGTATAGCAGCCATTGGTCTCATTCGGAATCTTGGGAGTATTTTTCAACTCACACGCTTTTCAATGAATAGATCAAGGCTGGTTAGTGGAAAGTGAGAACAACTTTAAGATAGTTAGATCCATCTGGGCTTGGTTTGGTTTGTCGTGGATAACTCTAATTGAATGGTGGGGCAGAGGGGCTACCAACATGTTGGGTAGGTCGACATGGGAGAGTAGTAGTTAAGAGTCTCATTAATTAAAAATGTGAATTATCTTCTTGAGATTTCGTTTTAAAAACTTGGCCTAGAAATTATCATTTTCCCCCACACATGTCATGGGTACGTAGTCGCCTAAGATATAGGCCAGACAGCTTAAAAGAATCGTTATATTTTGTTTTTATTTTTTTGTTTTGGGGGGGGGGGGGGGGTGTATGAAATACAAGAGATACATAAATAACGAATAGTATCCTTGCTCGGGTTGATGCATGGCATTATTTACACACAATAGCTGCACGCTTTCCTTTTCTTTTGAGATAATACGAAGAATAGAATGCGAGGTTGAAAACTAGACTTAACATTTCCAAATTTTGCATCCGAAGAAAATCCATGTGATGAAGCTCCAATTTGATGAACTATTATTATTATTATTATTATTATTATTATTATTATGGTATACTGTATTATGTGCACGACACTTACCTAAGCTATCTGAGGCAAGTCTCCTGTTCACGACCCTTACATTTTGTTTTTTTGGCTTAGAACGGCGATTTTCTGCCCCTAGGAGGATTCCACGATACGTTTTCAGAAATGGTTTTGTTCAGGGGGTCGCTTGATAACGTGTCTTGTTTCAGCCTTTATTGGTTGTGTACTGTTTGTTTAGATATGCCTATCTGTGTTCTAAGCTCCTATCATCTGGGTCAGTCTGGCTTGAAGTGATGAAAAGCCTTAGACTTCCAAACATTGCTTCCCCTCAACACTCGAAAGGGACTACAAAAAAATTAATATGCTAAAATTTCATCCCATTCATTTGGTGCAAATGTCATTGTACTTTCATTTCCACAAGATTTAAGTGAACAGGATATCATGGTTTCAACCCCACTTGTATGATGCCGACGTGGTTCCTAAGCTAGGACGAGGCTTGGGAAAAGACTTGAACTTCTCCAAGCAACAATGCTTCAACTACATATAGATAAACCCAAGTAGGCATCAAATCACTAGCAGGGGACAACAAAACCAACACAGCATAAATCCTACAAACTAGGCAAGAAACCTACATGTATCAAACAGAAAAACTAGCCATCATACATCTAGAAAGATAAACATATTAATCAGATCAGTAAGGACTCGAACAAAGTTTTTCCACGATGGAAACTTGCTTAGCGAGCTCTCTTGTTACTGCATGTCGGGCACTTGTATTGCTTGATATGCTCTGCCCGAGCAGGGGTGATCTTCACACATTTGCCATGGAACCACTTCTCGCAGATGTCACAGCAAATCCAAAACTCATCAGTACCATAGTTCTCACCACAAGCGCCACACAAGGTCTCTCCATGTTCATCGTCATCTTGCTCTTCTAGTCCTTCATCCTCATCTTTCGTTTGCAATGCCTTTGAATGTCTACCCTGAGTTTCAGAAGCTCGCTGCTCCACCAGCCAACAATTTGATGAGAACACAAAATTATGAGTAAAAGGGAACCGCAAACAAAATAACACTACCTATACAAGTCAGAAATTCTTAAACCTCCCACACAAATTAGCAAGTACATTTACCAAATCCAGTAATGATTAAACATTCCATTAACAGTCAAACTTCATTCATGCATTTTAAAAACAAATACAATGTCACTATCAATGAATATCCACATTCTATACATTGATTTAATTCCAAATAACAATAGAAAAATGACATAACATACTAGGATTCTTTACTCTCTTTTTAGTTCTCCATCCTGACAGATTCGGGGTAGCAGTTGCAAATTCTAAGAGGGAGTTCATCAACTGTTCAATACTCAGAGGAAGTCATAACTCTTTCAGACCAAATTTCCTCTTACAGATACAAAGCTTCTAAGAATTAACCAGTGCAACTAATTTATTCATCTTACTTTATTTTTTATTTGAATGTGTGAGTGACGTCAAAACTAATACACAATATGCAAGGCAAAGGATAAAGTTTTACAAGGTTGATTCAGATCATTTCTCGCTGGCTACTTTTTTGGGTGACAAGGGTCTTAAATGAGGAAAAGAACAAGTTTAGTTCTTTACAAATTAAATTGATTTTGTTTTTTACTCAAAAGTCGCCAGCCAAAACATCAAATTTCACACAAGAAAGAAAATATCAAACTTTTTCCCTTTTAAACCCTAATTTCTCATCTTATAAATTCTTTAAAATTCTATCAAGTTTCCACCAATTTCTTACTTCTAAATTTTTCAAATTATTTCACATCTCAAATCCATCATAAATCTTTAAATATTTAGATAAAAAAAATTTATAGGACTTACTCAATTTTAAAAGTAGAGGACTAGATTAACTAAGAAAAAACAAGGGACCAAAATCATACACAGGTTAAAATAGTCACTAAAAGTGAAATTAAGTCCTGCATTTAAATGTCAACTATTGGTGTGCTGAGAAAATTTACCACTTTAGAGCTGAACTTAGATTTGCTGCCACTGTTGTTTGAAACTGAAGACTTTTCTTTAACTTGTTTCTTCGCTGAACCAGTAACAACTTCAAATATTGTTGGTAGTTCATTGATCATATTGAATAGTCGTTTCCTGCATTATAATAGCCAAATCATGAGTAGAATGATGCAGAAGAAATACAACATTACCGAGTACCCAAAACAAATAAACCAACTACTAAATGATGACTGGAAGAACATTGACTGTGGCTGCTAAATAAATAGACCACTAGGGATATGCCATTCACATGATAGTCAATACATAAGTCCTACATAAGTCCAGCTCTTCCTCCTTGCACTTAAGATAACTAAATACTCAGTGGACATGAAACTGCTATGTCTGTTCTCTCTTGCTCTCCTCTTTTGCCTCTTCAACTGTTTTTTCTCTACAAATCAACTGAGATAAAACATTGACGCTGCAAAACAACTATTAAGAATATATTTGGATACACAGCTTAATTAAGCACGCATCCACTAAGCCTATGAAAGTTTATGATAAAAAATTGAACACGAAACTTATTACCATGAGTTAAAAAGAACTTATTTTGATAAACTTTACTAAAACCCTTAATAAAATAAATTGAAAAGAACTTATAAAAGTCAAAATTATTTTTATAAGCTGCATATAAGTTCTTTCAAACACTTCCCAAGTGGAGACAAGCAAAAAGAAAACCCCTACCGAATAACAAATAAAAAAAAAAAAAACCTACACAACCTGGATCAAACCAATGAGATTAATCTGACAAGTATGAACCCAATTGCTCCCTTATTTTCAACCTTGTCTTGAACCAATTTCTTTACATGTTGGCTTGAGATATAAGAGTTATGCTCAGAGTAACATATACCTGTCAGTTTTATCAAACCCAAATCTGGCTCCAAAATAGAAGGCAAGGGCAAGTAACCATGTATCACTGTGAACAGAAACTAAAGATAACCAGTCTTTTTCCTGCATCCCATCCCTAGCAAAGTTTATACCCAGCACAGGCTCAGGAAGCTCTGGAGGAACTTCTTCGACAGGTAAATTTACTTCCCACTGCTCATTAGGTAATCCATATAAGCACAAATTCTCCTTCTCTGAAAGAATAAAATGACTGATGTATAAAACTCGTAGCTACCAGTTAGATGATGAAGAACAGTAAATTGTAGATTGAAATACATCATCAACTCAACATCTGAGACGTGTACAAATGACAATCAAGTTTAAAACAGTGATACTAGCATATCAAATTAATTGCACTATACATGTATTAGAAAAGCAAAGTAAGAGCATCCGAATTACTCAAGAGGAAGTAACTGCAAAGTGCAAACCACTGAAATAAACAATTCAAACCTAAAATTAGTGTAACTAACCAGGATCACATTGACTGTAGAAATCTTCAACATCTGCAACAGAATAACCAAAGCAAAAAAGGTTAAACAAGTACAAAAAAAAATAATTAAAAACCTTCATACATATAAAATCTAAAAACAAAATACAAAAAGTAGATAAAAAGTTGTCATGTGTGACGCATCAAGTTGAAGTCGCAGATCTCGCAATAAAACAACCTGAATGTCGTAATTCAATAATTAATCGGTAGCAGGTTAATGTCCCTATGGTAGATTACTGAAGGCATGATATGTGATTCATGAATTAAATTTTTGAAGTTTTTTATGAAAAGAAAAAAAGGAAAAAGGAATAAGAATTAGTAAGCATGCAAATGGAGAAGGAAGTGTCGAAGAAGCGCACCGGTGGTAAGGGCTTTGATGATTGCAGTTCTTCGGCCCTTGAAATCCTCAAATATGTCTTCCACAGAGCGACTTCGCGCCTCCATTCTCAGCGAAACTGAGAGAGAGTGTGAAGACGGTGACGTTTTGGGTCTCACTCTCTCTCCTCTTTGAATCAATGAGAGAGAAGAGAAGAAAACAAAGGAAGCGCAGTGGCAGCGCAGGGTATGTTATGTTATTTGCTTGCAATTGCATGATGAGAATGAATGAATGCACGCTGGTTGGATCCCCTGTGCTCGCATCCACTGTAATCAAATTCTGACATGGATGTTTCAACGGACATCAATTCTCAATTTCAACTTACTCTCCAATGATGCAATTGTGTTGGACCCACCAGCCCCCAACTTGCAATGATGTTTTCCTTTCCTATTTTAAATTATAAATTTTCTAATACATGTAATATTAAATAATATAAAAATATTTGTAATAAATGTTATTAAAAAAATTTATATTTAATAGCATTAATGTATTTCATTGCATTAAATTTTATAATTTTATTAAAAAATTATTACATATAACTTTTTTTTTGTGCAACATTGTACAGATTAAAATAATTGTTTAAATTAATTATATACTTAATATATCTTTTTTTTTTTATCCAAAGTTGTCTCTAATAAACAAATAGGTTAATAAGTCATTGTGAACTTTACATTTAAATAAAATATATAAAAATAAAAATTATTTTTACATTAAATTAGATATTAATAAATAAAAAGATTAAATTATTAAAATAAAGATACAAAATTATATAATAGAGATAGAACGCATAACTGTTTATAGTCCTAGTTGCTATGCTATTAATATTAAGTACTGATCTTACAAGCAAACTAAAGGTGTTTTGATGTTAGCACCTTTATATGGCAACTCCAATGATTCATTGTCTCTAGATTCTGGTTAGAGGTATCAATTTTAGTAAAAAAAAAAAATGCTATCTGTCCACCAATATCTATGAAGGCCTTAACAATATCATAAAAAGCTAATAAAAAATTAAGATGGATTTCATGTAGGAGGTGGAATGCAAGTACTTGCAAATGTTCGGACAGGAGAATAATAGCCTCAGAAAAAGTCAAAACCGCTGACATAAACATCATAGGATGTCAATAGTTGATAAAATTGATTTTAACAAAGGTGGCAACGAAGCATCAACATTTGAGTCAAATTAGAGACCAAACATTGGAAGTCATTTGCATTTCAACAAAACATGCCCCGGACACAGCATCAACATAGTAAAACATTGTTTTTGATGAATCAGTTTCATATAATTTTGGGCTATAGAATAGGTCCTTATCATTGTCCTAGAAAATCAAAATAAAAACAATAGTAACAACATATTAAGTATGAGCCAAAGATGAGGTCTCAATGGAACACAATCAGAAACAATCGTCTCCCATCTGAATAAGAAAGAATAACTGTTATGGATACAAGTGTGTTACATGAAGACACAGAGATGGCATTGATTCGGGTAACCATGTTTCAGGAAGATTTCATATATGCCTCAGAATAGCATGGTACTGCTTTGAAATCACATATATGGTTTCTTTCTGAGATAAAATGGTAGAGTATTCAGACAGGAGCAGCTTCCATTTTATGAAAGGTGATTATTAATTAATTTATATAAGAAATCTAAAGAATTGAATATTTTTTACCAATACCATTCAGCCCATTATAGATAGAGAGCCAGCTTCCTTTTTTTAATCAAACTAAGGAAAAGGCCAACAAGAACAACCATGCTTTGTTGCAAAGATTGCATCTCCAATCAATAAAATTTTATAATGAAAGAAACCATGTATTAAAAATAAGAAATAAATTCACCACTATAAATAATTATTTTGATAAATAAGAAAAACAATGAAAATATAAGAACAAATGAGATGCAAAGGAAAACTAAAACAACTTTAAATGGACAGATAATAAGATTTTTAAATATAATATAAATATGAATTAATAAAATATAAATAGGGTCATTTTTTTATACGAAATTTTTATTAAAATATGATGTTTTGAAAAAAATTATAAAAATATGAACTTTTTTCAAAAATCATCAATGATATTTTTAACCATTTTTTTTATTTTTTCAAAAATCATTGGCGGCAATTTTTTATTTTTATATTTTTTTGAAAAATTGTTTTAAAACTTGGTAACTTTTCGTTGTTATATCAGTATTTATATAAAAAAAATTGTTCAGTAGCAATTTTTAAATTTCATATTTTTGTAATTTTTTTAAAAATACTATATTTTGATAAATATATTTTTTAGATCACATATTTAAACAAATATTTCACATAAATATCATTATAAAATAAAATTACAAATAAAATTATTTGTTTAAAATGAAATAGAATACCAAATTATAATTAAATATATGTATACAATTATTTACTAAAAGTTTTAGTTTTAACTATCTATATGTATAATATAAGTGTTTATATATTTATTTTAGATATATTAGTGCAAGTAAATAGGTATTAATATTATTATACCCATCAAAAGTTACAGACATTTATCTATATTTGAACTCAAACTTATCAAACAAATATCCATCTTATCCATTATAATTAATCTTTATGGATACTCAATAGTTGTAAGACTTGTTTTCATCCCTAACATGACTATGTATGAAAACACATTATGTTTCCTAATACACTGAATGTGCTGAGTGGAAGGCATGATCTGTCAGATTTAATTTAATATAGAGAATTAAAACATGTCAGGCATGATAGGCTAAACAAAGAAAGCAAATTTCTTTCCAATAAAGTTTATAATTTTTTTTATAACAAATATTATTTAATATTTTTTTTTGAATAAATACTTTACATTATCTATAAATTAAGAGATATGATATTCTTACAAAAACTTCCTACAAGTCATACAAATACAAAAAGATAAATTATCTCATTATTATTTTTATTAATTAAAAAACTACATGTTGAACATGAAACTTGAGTTTTGTCTTTTAATGCTTTTGTATAAATTATGAAATAACTTTTGTAAGAATATTATTTCTCTTCAAGATATTAACTGTTCAATTTTGTTTTGATGCCTTATTATATTCTTATAATATTATTGTAAATAATTTTGGTAAAAATATAATAATTCATTTTTAGGAGTTTTAAAGCCATTCAAAATTGATCCAGAAAAATAAAAATTAAAGAAATTATTGACAACAAAATTTAAAAACAGAGAAAAGTGCATTTGCTTTCAGTTTAATTCAATGTTTAATTCTCATATTAAAAATTAAATCAAACAAATTGATCAGTAATTATATTAATTTTATGATATTGTTAGTCTATCCTTCCATAAATATAAATAGAAAGTATCTTCTAATAAACATATTTTCACTTTTAAAAACCTGAGATTATTACAATTTATAAATTATAATTCATACTAAGTTGTAATTTAAGATGAAATTCAAGATTTATAATTAATTTTTTTCATAATTATTATATATTTAAATTTTTATTTAATAAGAATTATCTTTTAAATGATAAATTAATTACTAAAAGAATTCATGTAATTAAAAATCTACTTATTCTCTAATTAATAAAATTATTTATTTACTAATCAAGAAACCAAAGTTATATCTCTTAAAAAATAGAAAAAAGACGTGACAAAAGAAAAACCAATCTAAAACTAGAAGTTTTATATATCATCGGTTCCGACCTTTTGTGTCAAAACTAATCCAAGCCACACTGCAAAATTTTCAATACCACATCACGACCTTTTTAACCTTTATTTTTCAGTTCAACAACCAACCGCGAGAATCAGAATTTGTTAAGAAAAAGGGCCGTAAAATTAAATTCTGAATTATTTAATAACTTGAGAAGACTCACTTTCTCCCTTTTCACTAGGACTAAAAAGTCCCAATAAAGTTTGTAATTAGTACACCTTTGACAATAATTCTTTGAATTGATTAACTTGTAGAAATGCCACAAATCTACAGTAAGCCATGTCTTAAATAGTCAAACGATAAAAGTATATAAAAGTTTTAGCAGTATGTAAACTAATATGGTAGCAACCAAACTGCTGCAAGTATATCCGAGTGTCAGATGAACGGGCAGTAATAAAAAGTAAAATTTGCATGGTATTAAAGAGAAAGAGGGAGAGGAGAAGATCAATATGTGTGTTAAGCTATTACACGATAAAAGCCTAAGAAACCCCAAAAGATTTGTGGGTTAACACAAGGTCATAAAATTATATCCCAGAATTAGCCAACTTGCCTGTAATATATATAAACTTTTTGAAAATTTCCCATCAGCTGCAGATATCGTCATTTAAAACTTTTCAGGACATCCACGTTGATTATTCTTTTCAAGCAAGGATTTGACTTGCCAACAAGAATGCAAACAGCCAAGTTGTTAATAATCCCGTCCCTTATACGGCATTTCCTGTAAAATACCGAGATGGGGTTCACGGAACATTAATAAGTACAGCTCCCCAAAATATATTGAATTACAGCTATAAGATTGTTCAAATTCAGTTGAGATTCCTAAAAGTGAAGAAATGTCATGTTCCTCCATATTGACAAGGAAAATTGTCCATCATGCATGTTACATCAAGGTGGAGCGTTAAGCATGTACTAAGTTATTGCGAAGATAGTTGATTTTATCATTCTTCCCAAAATGCTTAAGACAGGAGAGATGAGATATATAAAATTAAAGATTACGCATATGTTTTCTAAAAATATCAAATAATAAGGGATCAAGAATAAAGATAAATGGTAATATATAATATAAGCAATTTCAACTAAATACCCATTAAAAAGGAAGAATAGAAATATGAGAGTTCTTACAGACAGATAACCGGGCATGTATAAAGCTTGCCTAGGATGACCAAGAAGCTGTCCATACTGCAATTAGATATTAAGCAATTACCCTAAGCACCAATACTCACGTAACAGTCGCTAGTGAGATACTGCAAAGTGATATTATACCTGTGGCACATTCGGATGAAAATATGCTTGAGATGGCATTTGTGCTACTTGAGGATTATACATGATAGGCTGTGGCCCAGTAAAAGTTGGTCCAATCTGCAAGCCATATACAAAATATTCAAGTTTGTTAACAGAACCAAGGCAAAAAGGAGATTATTAAGCTGAACAATAATTGTTCATAGCCTCCTTTACAAACTATTTAATCATAGCTCTATGAAGAACATCCCCAGAATATCAAAATTAAAGCCCCCAAACAGCAAAATGGAACATTTATCTTCATATAAATTGATTAGCTATTAGAAATCTAAAACACATTTTAAACACCATAAGATTGTATAAGCAAACAGGTAGTCATCATAACATAACCTGCACAACACACAACATGAATATGTTCTGATGGTAGTGTTTGCAAAATGACCAGGTCAATTTGACACCAAATAATAATGCATTAATTAAATGATGCAAATCAAATTTTGCAGTAAGCCACATGGAAGTAACTGAATAACTTACTCCAATACCCATGGGCATGCCTGGCATATTTGGTACAGTAGTTACATTAGCTGGAATATAGAAGGAACTATCAGACACTGGAGTGGGAGGCCGAGCAGGTGATGGAATAAAACTCTTTGCATTAGGGTTGAGCTTGAATTCCTTATAACGTGAAAGGGAAAATAATACAGGGGAAACTCAGACATATTGCTAATATAGGAGACAGAACCAGCTAGTGAAAAAATTCCTTTTTCAAAAAGTCAATCTCGAACTTTCACACCTTTGCATTGGGATTAAGAGTTGATTTTTCAGAAGACAATGAACCAACTGATGAACTTGGAGATAAACCAGGACCAGAAGCTGTCACACCTCCAACTGATTCTGACCCAGATGGTGTTCCACGTGAATTTACAGATTTTGTTTCCCCATTATCTTTGCCACATGCTGAAATCTCAGTCAAATCTCCATGTGATCCAGTCTTCTCATTAATTTTTGATGATGTGTCAGATGAAGGGGCATAGGAGCTGGCATTAGGAGATAATACCCCTTTATCAGAGACATCCTTCTTCAAGTAGAGTGGTGCCTGTGAATCTGCACCAAAATTTACTTAAAAGGAATAAATATATGATGAAAGAAGCAACCATTAAAATTAAGTTGCCATTTGGAAGTACTACAGAATACTAACAGAAAGCTTCTGCACTTCCTTTAAAATAAACAGAACAATTTACATGAGAACGGTTTATTTTGATCTGCATCATTTCAGGTATAACACTTTAGATCTGTTCAATACAAGGAAGTTAAGAAAAATGTTTCACAAACCCTCAGGTTTTGACAGTTGAACATCCTCAGCTTGCTGCATCAATTAAAGAAGAAAATAGGAATTAGATTTGGGAGTGTTAGAACTAATAGCAATCTTGTGAGATATTTATGTAGACACAAGTTTAAGTAGTAATGCTGAAACTTCAACAGTTCAACTCACAATCAGATTTTCTTCTTCGGTACTACCATTGGCTCCATGTTGATTACTAATTGAGTTCTCTTGAATCCTGTAAGGTTTGTTGGATATGAAAATTCAAAATGATGATGATATTTATGCTTTTCACTTCGGCAATGACATTTTGGAAACAATATAAATCATTAGTGGAAACAACTAATTATATACAGAAGAGAAGAGCAACACCTGCTTTCCCCATCAGATGAGGAGTAGCTTTTGGCAGGGAGTTCGGATGCTAACTGCTTTGCATGATCATAAGAACCAGAGCGGCTTAAATCCACACCAGTACTTGACTGAGACGATTGTGGGTGATCCGGAACACATAATTAACAGTAAATATTACAGTGAATTTAGAAAGTAAAATAATTACTTGGTAAGAGGAGAGAGAGAGAGGAAAAAAAAAGGTAAAAAGTTCAAAAAAGTATATTATGATATCAACATTTTTCCTGGACAGGCAATCTATAGTTCTTAGTATCATTGGATGTTAAAGCTGTACCAATTTCAAAAGCATAATAAGACTCAGAATTTTCAGAACACGTTAAAACAGAATTTAATATGAATGCATCCCAACTCAAAAAATAATGGTCTTACGACTGAATTTTGGCTAAGATCCTCTAAAGGAAATTTTTTTAATCTAGTACATTTTACAGTCAATAATCAGAAAACTTTACATGATTTCTCTCACTAAATTAATTTATATTTTGTCCCATTGGGACCAACAACACTGAGTCTGAACTAATAATTTAGAGTATGTTTGATTACTGTTTTGAAAACAGTTTTCTGTTTTTAAAAATAAATTACAGTTCAAATTTGTATTAAAATTTATTTTTAAAAACAGAAAATTGTTTTCAAAACAGTAATCAAACATACCCTTAATATACAGAACCACAATACAGAAGCAGAGTAGGAGACAACAGATCATTCTTTACATAACCAATGCTTTTCCACAATATCTAAAAGAAATTATTCGTCAAAATCGAGGTATGCATACATGCAATATGGTAGTATTTTCTATTCAACAAGAAAAAAAGACAAGCCAGCATCCTCCAAATGTGACAAATGACAAAGAATTACTAAATGCCACACTTATGAATTATGATAATTAAACAATGGATTAAGAAGATACCATGGAGGAGGAATTAGCCGATGTTTGAGTTCCGTCATTTCCTTTTCCACCACTTATTTCACCAGGCCTCTTAGTGACCGAACCAAATGTACCACCAAAAGTTTCAGAATTGTGTGAATCAAACACTATGTCCTCATTTTCATCATATCCACTGTCATCAACATGCTTACCCCTACAGACTGAAGAGAATCTAGTTTCTTCATCAATATCAAAATCGTCATATGAGTGAAGGCCTCGTTCCTGTTGAGAAAAATCATGTCGTTTGAGGTATTCAAATACACAACACATTAAACCAAAAACAGAAGAAACTCACAAGCAGCAAAGAAAAACAAGAAAAGAAAAGTATCAAAGCCACACCAACCTCTGCAAGATGAAGATCTTGGGTTTCCTCACCCTCAATTTCTCTAGCTATTCTTAAAGCTTGCTTTTCCAATTCTCTTGTCTGAGGCCCCTTTTCAAGCTTTGTTGTATAGAGTTCCTCATTGAACGTGCTTTTTACACCAAACAATGCCTCATTTGTTTCAAACTGATTCCATCCCCTTAAAAAATACAAAAAATAAATTGCCAATGAAAACCAAAATAGACATTCATTGAATAAAAATGAAATTAGAAAAAAGATGGAAAAACCTGTATATAAAATAATGATAGAATTGTAGTGATTCCATATAAAGTGTTAATCATAACATGCATTGGAGGAAAAATATCATTGATAAAATAATTGGAGAAAGATATCATCGGAAATCAACCACTTACAGCTGGACTCTTGCAAACTATAATTTCTTGACCTTCCAAATAAAGAGAATAAAGGCAATTAAGAGTGCATGTGGGAGACAAAGTAACAAGAAAAGAAATAGTTTACAACCTATTCCAAGGGACGTCAAATATGTTTTCCAGTTCAGGGTATTGTGGATCATCTTCATCTGGTACCCAAGGTTTTAATTCTCTCCCTTGCTCAACGTGACGAGATTGAGATATCAACGAATCAACCATGATTTCCTGATGCATATCATTGTGAGAATCATCGGGTAAGCCGTCCCTTGTAATAGCAACATCCTGCCATGATTGACATACCAATAATATTATCAGGAAACTAGTTGGAAATGTGTTAAAAGCTACAGCCCCTAATCCTAGAGTAAAAATTTTTCCAAAACCAACACTGGCTATACAGCACCCTAATAGAAACTCCTAAGATTGCAGATATTTATCTAAAGTAACTACCACAATTTCCAAAGTACATTGCAAATACTAGAAAAGTAGCAAACCTGTGCTATAACTTGTACAAGTTCTTTGGCAGGAATAATTAAAATCTTTGAAGGGGGCTTGCTTACAAATTCAGCACCAGATTTTTGCCCTCGTAAAGAACCATCCTTTGTTAAGTGAGCCATTTTCAAAATGATTCCTAAAATAATAAGACAGCATAAGAAGAAAACAAAGTCAAATACTCTGATGGTCCGACCTATAAAACTAATTATGAAAGCAGTAGTCAATTCAGATAGTAATCTAGAACAACCTTAGTCAAATCCCAATTAAACAAGAACTCTTATTAGAGTAAGGTAAATACCAAAATTTGCCAGAAATAGGAAATAACAAAATATTCCTAAAAGACAAATTATCCTAAATGAAAGACTTCTCCATTCTGCTTCTGCTTTAGTTAGCTGTGCAATAATACAACGAAACAGTATTCAATATCACCAAAATCAATAAAAAGAACATGCCAGAACATACCAAAATCTTTGTCCGCATTTGTTGCATGAAATATTCCAGAGTATATAGATCCGTTTTTCACCTGGACTTTCACCTGGTGCCCAATGAGACATGTTGTTACATATACTAGTCGATCATGTGAAGGACTCTCATAACTACCACATTTACTGCCAGTCACTGCACCTGTGACAACAAAAAGCAAACATCAACTGATCAACATTGTGAATACAGCAGTAAATACAATAATAAATTATTCAGCTATGAAGTTTACCTGTACTTGTCAATCTGCTGGCATTTAATTTTCCAGACAGGATCTTATTCTCTGACTTAGTTGCCCCTTCTCTTTCAGATTTTCGGCGGCCATATCCATTAGAGGATTTTGGCTGCCCAGGTTGTTGCAAATTCATCCTCACTTACTGCCCCTGCCCCTCTAATCTAGAATACTTGGAAATTTAATTACAAGGGTACATTCTATGAAAGATGGCAAAAGAAAGAATAAATATAGATTTATAAGACAATAATCCCCAAAGTGCATATTAGTAAAGATATATACAACTAAATATCAGCAATAATGAAGCTATGAATATAAATGGTTAATAATTAAAATATAAATATATCTAGTTAAAAAGTGGGAATTAAATTCTTGCTATTGCTATTATCACCACCACATCCTTTAAAATATTTTATTAAATTGAGAAATATTTAACCTAAATATGGGACTTCTCTTAACTACTAATTACAATAAACCATAACTGTGTATAAGCAAGCTCCTTCCAAAATAAGAAGAAAACCCATTCATACATGAAAGGTGAAAATAGCTCAAGATATATTCACAAAGTAACAAGATTAAAATATAAACGACAAACAATCTAACTCAATGGAAAACTTGAGGTCGAGGGTGAAAAGTATGCCCACCAATACATGTGACTATAACTGCCATCTCCAAATGGTTTTCAGAGGGGCTTACGTTACACGTAATCAAAAAAAGAAAACATACAAACTGTCCAGAACAATTTTGTATAGCATAAAAAGTAAAAAGTAAAGAACAACAAACAAGTCTGGCTTAATGAGAAACTCGAGGCTGAGGGGAAAAAGTATACCATCTCACATGATTGACTGTAACTGCCCAAATGGTATTCAAAGAGCTTACGCTATACGCGTTAAAAGAAACAAATTACTCAGTTAACAACAAACAAATCTGGTTCAATGAGAAACTCGAGAGGTGGGGGGAAAATTATCCAGCTACCCCTTAATCCCCGCCACCCACCCCCAACCTTTACTTCCAACCACAGCTCCGAAGTCCTACAATTGCCGGACCTCTCTCATAGTCTCATTCCAACGACTCCTAAACAGAATCATGTACCACCTCTAAGCAGAATCCAATTTCTCTAACCTAGTGGTAGAGTAATATTATTTTTTCTCTTCATAAACAATAAAAGGTTCATTCAAAAACAAAGTTTGTGCAGATGAATTACAAGAAACGAAAAACAAATAAACCACTGTCTGGGGAAAATTATCACACATTGGCAGAGAATCTAGGAGGACAAGCAGATGGCGAGCCCATACACATTAGGCATCCACTCCCTACATTGCCATCCCAGTGGAAGCTCTCACTGCTATAACATTTATTGTAACATTCTGAATTTGAAACCCTAGAAGAAAGATAAAATCCAGAAACTGAAGCCCTTTGATTGCATGCTTGACCATATGGAAGCCAAGGTGTGAGGACAGAGCGATAAGAAGTTAGAAATGGAGAATCGCGTGGCGTATATACAACAGTAAATCTTATTTACATTACAGCGCCTGAAACAGATATAAACCTTACTTGGAGGTGGTCTTAGGGAGTGTACAGCTCCTTCTGAGGTGAAAACCCTAATTAGCGAGGAGCTATAACAGGATCAAAACAGATGCACGAAAATAAGAAGCTAACGGAGAGGAATTGGAAAGAGAAGCCAAACGAAAATGAGTTAACTGGAAAAGGGAATAGCGTACCTGAAAGAGGTTAGGTTGATGAGAAGGCAATTTGCGGAATCCAGTAGAGGTGGTGAAGAAGGATTGTGGTGATTGAGGAGCTGCGTGGAGTGACCGGAGAGTGAGAGAGAGAGAGAGAGAGAGAGAGAGGGAGGGTTGTCTCGGTCTGATCGAGAGAGAGAGAGAGAGTGGTTTATGAGAGTTTGAAGGAAGGTCCGAAACCGAGAAGCGAGAAAGCGCTGTGCTTCATAAACACCCAAAAACCAATTAATAAGTGATCAGTGTCCTCGCCTCTACCCTGTGCCTTCTTTTTATTGTTATTATTTTGCTTTTTAAATCAGCAAGTTGATTATTGTTACTCTTGCAATCATTTTTATTTAGTAATTTTTGTTTATAAATGTTAATTTTAATTTTTAAATTAAAATTCAGATAATTAATAATATAAAATATTATTATATTTTTATCATTATAATATTTTTTATGTTTAAATTTAATTTTACTACTTAAAATTAATATATTTTAAAATTTTATTTAAAATGCTAGTACTATTGATTTTATCATCCGGATGAATAACTTATTTTAGATAAAAATATTTAAATGAGATTGATAATAAATACATTTTTAAACTCTTGTATGCGTTACATATTTAGTTGATTCGTTGAGAGAGAAAACAAATAAGAAAAATAATATTAATTTTAAATTTAATTGGAGAAATAAAAAAAGATAAAAGGTATATTTTAAAATAATAAGTCATTTATTCATTTAATTTCAATTTTAAATTTTTAACTTTATTTTCTTTCTACCTAAACAAAGGTCAAATTATAACTCGAGTTGGATTAAATTAAATATAATGTTAAATGTGTTTCGTTTTAAAATGATTAAAAATAATTTAATTTTTTTTAATTAATGTAATTTTACCTATTTATTTTTCAGTCTATTTATTTTCCAGATTTCTCGTCAATTAAAGAATGACTAGTTTGTTTTCTATGTCAATTAAAAATATGAACGTAGTTAATTATGGGATCTTGAAATTATTTATTTTGACCAATAATAGGTTTCTTTTTATCTTTTAGCTCATAAAAATAATTCAAAGGCTTTAGGAACAATGACGGTAAGAAATGAGTATTTAGTTTTACTTCGAGGTTAACAACCAAAAATACACTTTATTATTAAAAGATTTAGTCTGGGTTTATCTGATCTTAAAAATAAGATTAAAAGATCAATTTAAAACAAATAAAAGAATATTTTTAAAAACTTGGTGCAGAATCAACTTTTATTTTATTTTTTGACGGTTGATTAGCTATTTAATACAATTTATATTAAATTCAATACATAAAAAACTAATAATAAGGAGCAGTATTAAATTAAACAAAATAAACCACCATAAACCATTAGATTGCAGACAATAATAAAAAAAATCCATGCCAATTTGACAGGTAAATGGAAACTTGGTATGAAAACTATTACATTGAGAAGAGCAATTAAAATATAGCTGTACTAAATCACGCATTTTCTAAAATTGATAACCCAATCCGATGTTAATTATTTTATTTTTTCATATTTTTTATATACTATTGTTTTTATATTTACACTATTTAAAAATTTCAATAGAATATAGCTGTACGCATAATATATTTTCTTAATGATATTTTATTATAATATATATATATTAGTTTATGAAAATTCCTATTCATACTTGTCTTTGATCGATAATATTATGTAATATAAAATTTAAAATATTTAAAAATATTAAATTTATAATATTCCTTTGAAAATTAAAAGTCAGAAGCTTTACTTTTTCATTTGAATAGTAAATGAATAATATAACTCGTTAGAAAGCCAACCTTTGCTAAACCAAGTTGCCTTTTCAACGATAAGATCTAAATTATCATTTTTATATTATAATACTGAGCGCTCATTTTTTTTATTAATACAAAAAAAAATTTATCGTGCTTTTTTCTCTTTATGTTATGTAGTTTCAGCATTATTAACACTTTTTTTTCAAAGCTATTGATTTATTTTAAAAACTATTTTATTACACGAATTTTTTCAACTTGATTTTTTAAACTTTTAAAATCCTTTTCTTCATTTTAAATATCATCTACTTATATTTTCATTTTTTTAAAAATATGTTTTGTTTCTCTTAACTTAAGTTACTCATATTATTTATTTATTTACTTAAGTATACATACTATATAATTTTAAACACCTTCTTTTTAAATCATATCTTTTATTATAAATTAGAATATATTTACCATACGCGAGAAATTAAAGTCAACAATAGCAACACAATGCATATGAAACCAGTCAAAACTTTATGAGTTCAGTAACTGGTTTCATTAAGTTAAACACATTCAGTAAATAAATAAACCCAAAAAAGAAAAATGAATGTAAAAGAACTACAACTTCAAAATGTATTTGTCAAGTTGTTATAAACACTGACTTGTTTTGCATAGATGACAAAATAACACGTTATGGACACAGCCACCGCAATTCAACAACGCAATTTCTTAGGGACTTCCATTGACCATTTTGTATTTCATTCACATACCGATTGTACTACAAATTGACTAATCAAAGTCCACCGTACAAATCAACCCACTTGCTTTCTAGAATGGGAAAAATTCAAACTTAAATTTCAACCAAAGAGCTATAGACATATTTCTTCACACACTTAGCACATAGGTAGTAATTAGCAATATAATAATATAAATACACGTTCCCTAGCTCTCAACCTTGCTCATCAACCAAACAGAGGAACAGAAAATGGGAAACAAATTGCTAAGCATTTTTCTAGCGGTGGCCTTTGTTATGATAGCAAAGGTGCCCAAAAACGTGAGTGCTCAAAATTGTGGGTGTGAGGCAGGGTTATGTTGCAGCCAATATGGGTATTGTGGTAGCGGTGATGACTACTGTGGCACAGGGTGCCAACAGGGTCCTTGTTATGGGAGCCAAAACCCACCAAGTTCCCCTAGCAACGATGTTAATGTTGCTGACATTGTCACACCAACATTCTTCAATGGCATAATTGATCAGGCTGACTCAGGTTGTGCAGGGAAGAACTTCTACTCAAGAGATGCTTTCCTCAACGCTCTCAATTCTTACAATCAGTTTGGGAGGATTGGTTCTGTCGATGACTCCAAACGCGAGATTGCAGCTGCTTTTGCCCATTTCACACATGAAACTGGACGTAAGAATTAGCACTTGAACCTTTCTTCATATATAAACTCCCACTAAGTCATAAATATAATCATGTTTTGATTATTTGTACAAAAAACACTTTTTTTTTTTTCATGCAAATCTTTTAAAACAAACAACAAAATGAAAGTAAAGTAGACAGTTTTGTATTTAAAACAAAAAACAAGAAAATTAAAAAAGCAAACACCTCCATAATCATGTTTATTATCTCCTTGGCACGTTTCTAACACCAAATCTTGAAATGGGATGCAGATTTTTGTTACATTGAAGAGATAGATGGAGCATCGAAGGACTATTGCGAAGAAAAGAATACACAGTATCCTTGTGCTCCTAACAAAGGCTACTATGGGCGGGGTCCGATCCAATTATCTTGGAACTTCAACTATGGACCTGCAGGACAGAGCAACGATTTCGATGGATTGAATTCTCCTGAAACAGTGGCCAATGATCCTGTGGTCTCCTTCAAGACAGCATTATGGTATTGGATGCAACACGTGCGCCCTGTCATCAACCAAGGCTTTGGCGCAACCATTAGAGCGATCAATGGTCAACTCGAATGTGATGGTGCCAATCCCACCACAGTTCAGGCTCGAGTTAATTATTACACTGATTACTGTAGACAATTGGGTGTTGCTACTGGTGACAATCTTACTTGCTAATGTTCTAACCACACACCACACATATTTTATCATTATATATGTGTAGTATAGTATGAATAAGTGATGATATCATCGTACATGTGTTATTTTTTCCATCACTTCTAATAATACCACTTTCGCTTAATTTAATTATTGTCATTACTCTTATGGAATATTTCCCAATTCAGTTTAATTTTGGCTGAAAATTCCATTTTCCCAATGCTCTGAATAGTCATCGTAAAAACAATCAAGCACTAGAATTTTTTTTAAAATGATTAAAAATAACAAACTTTTAATAATAATAAAGGATGAAAATATTAAACACACCAACTATTACTGTGATATAATTTAACAAGGAGTATACCAAAAAAAGAGAAAATTACATAATGAGAAACATAAAATTTACGCGAATAAACCAAGAAAAATAGAGAGCGCAACACCAAGGGAATAGGCTCCGACGAAGGTCCCAACCAATTGAGGGGCGGGGCGAGTGACGGCACCGATTCCGAGAATCCCAGCGACACCGACGGGAACACGCAGCATGAGCGCTTTGCCGGCGGCGGACAAGACAGCGTCGGTGTATAGCTGATGAGCCCAATTCTTAAAGAGGAGGGGTCGAAGGATGTGATCGGGATCGGGATCGGGATCGTGATTGGGTGAAGACACGTGGCGCAACGCGGAGTCGACTTGGGAGCGATCGGGGGGAGTGGGTAGCCACTTGTGGATGAGAGGGTGTGAGGTGTTGGCGTGGATGTAATCGGAAGCAGTTTTGAGTTGGTAAGGTAACACTCCTTCGAAGGCGTGCTGTGTGAGAGAGAGGCAGTGAGCGAAGGCCGAGTCGCATGCTGAGTCGAACTCATCCGAGTTTGCTAGACTGTTCTTCACTCTCTTCGACGCCGATAACCCCATCTTTCTCTCCTCTCTATTCTCTATCCAATCCAATCAACCCGTCATACTCGTACCCAAAAGAAGAAGATCAAAATGAAAAAGGAATTTTAAGAGACTAAATAAAATAAAAATTATTTTAAGTTATACATATATATATATATATATACATATATATATATATGTGTGTGTATATATATATATATAAGAGACAAGTAAACAAATAGAAAAAAAAACTATATTTTATTTATCAGAGAGATGAAAAATTGTTGAGACAACATTTATAGGGCAAGAAACAGAGGATCTTAGTTGACAATGAACAGAAATTGGATATGATAGTAGGAGTGCCTCAAATTCAATGGTTGGGTGGTGCACGGAGTTTCCACCGGCACTCCGTGAAACCTGAAATCCCTTCGTTAACCTCAAACATTGTCCGTTTTGATAAGAAGAGAAAAGAAGTGACAATATGCGGACTCCGTTCAAGCCACAAAACGCGTCGTCGTTCAAGAGTAATCTCGAAAGAGAGCATTGAAGTAATTCACGCTTTGAAACTTGCGAAATCCCCCCAAAAGCTTCAACAAGTGCTCAACACAAGACTCTCAAGGCTCTTGAAGCCAGACGTATTGATCCTATTGGACGAGTTGCAACGACAAAACCAACTCCAATTATCCCTTACGGTAACTGTTAGTTTCGTTTTAATTGCAATTTCAATTTCAATTTAATGATAATGATGAATTGAATTAGGTTTTCAACTTCATTCGCGAGGAGCTAGGATATGATTCGCTGCTGCGGGTGTACGCGGACATGATACAGCTGCTGGGGAGAAACAAGAAGACGGAGATGGCAGAAGAGTTGTTTAGTGAAGCGGTGGCGAAGGGATTGAAACCGGACACGAGGATATGCAGTGAGGTGATTGGGGCCTATTTGCAAGTTGGAATGGCGGATAAGGCAATGAACATTTACGGATCCATGAAGGAATGGGGTTGTTCCCCCGATGAATTGACCTTCACTATATTGATTAGGAGTCTAGAGAAGATTGGCCAACAAGACCTCGCCGAATCTCTCAAACAAGAGTGTGTTCATTATGTCCACTTGCCTCATAAATTCGTTCGACAAATCCAACAGAAACATGTAAGATTTATGTCCTGTTTGCTTATCGATTACAACGTGCTTCCACCAATCCCTATACCATTCTTAGCGTTTTTAATTTCGTAAATTTCACTCAAACGTTGAAACCACGTTTCAACTTTCAACGTGATTTTATCAAGTTTCCAAACATTCACTTTAACTTGTGCTTGATGCCAGTCACTTTTAGAGTTTTTGGTTTGTAGTTTCTAGTTTTTGCGTTCAATCATGTTTGTTGATTTTCTAATGTTTTTTAAACACACTTTTAGTATTTGTTTAATTTAAAGTTGAGTAAAATTAATTTTGATGAAATTGATTTTGAGTTGTTAAATTCGAATGAGACACGTTTGTAAATTGATTTAAATGGCACATTTTTATTAAAAAGTGCAAGAATTGATTTTGTAACTTAAAAATAAACAAATTTTTATTTTCAATCCGTGAAAGCAGAGTAACAATCAGGTCATTGCATTCAACCGTGCCCTCCAAGCAATTTTTAGGTGCTATTTCTAAGATGAAATTTTGTCTTTTTGTACAGAGTGTGCGCTACCTAGTTCATTCCCCATCTTGCATGAATGTGTTTTATTCTGTATTTTTGTTGTTGTAGCAATTTTACAAATTTACCTTTATGTTTTCAGGTCAAAAAGAGACATGCGGATCTTGTATGAAATTTTCCAACATCGGATGATGGTCTTTTTAGAGTGATAGATTGTGTTGGTGGGGTGGGTTTGTAGCTGCAATGTTGATAATATCATTTGTACTCTGATTTAATAATTAAGGAACGATTGCTGAAGCAAAATTCACTATTATCCTGTAATCAAAGTTTTGAAATGTTTATTATCTGCTCTTAGCATGTTGAAATACGTGGTAGGTTTGTAGCTGATATGAATTCAGATTTCAGACGCCAAGTTTTGTTTTCCCAAAATTTTTCAATCAGCAATTATAACTTACATGTGGTGCTTCTGCTTGTGCCACGATATACCTGATATTGATTTGAATATGGTAGAAAAGTATAGTAGTGCCTCTTGTGTTGGCTTCTTGTAATGTTACAAAACATTATTATTCTTAATATTAGCAAAATCAAAGTAAAAAATATGACCAATTAACAACGCTATTGAAATGAAAATACTTGCTGCGTTAGCTCATCAAATTTTGCACATCTCACATCACATCGCCACATTCCTACATGCAGCTTGAAGTTCACTAAGCAGAAGAATCATCAATAAATCTGTCCAACAACTGCTAATCATTTTAATTCACGCCTAATATTCCAGTTTTATCCTATCAAACCTTATAAGAAACTTTTGCCCTTTTCATTTTATTGGAATCGGATTTCTGGTTTTCCTTCTCTAATTTGATAAATAACCATTCCAATGGTCCACATCATTATTATAGTTGAATGTGAACACCTGTGAATTCAACGTGAAATGGTGTGCTAAAGAAATGGAAAGTAGCTAACACTTGGTGCTGACATTACTGGATTATATATATAAAAAATAATACAACAAAAGTAGCCTCTCTTTCCCTATTTTTCTATCTATCTCTCTATCTCCTGCTGCTTATTTTTATCTCTCCTTTACAAGAAATTACACGGCAAAATACATGTAAAATTGGTGAAAAGAATCGGTTCATCTATAAAAAGCACCACACTCTGAAGGGGAAAAAAGTTTGATGGAAACTGGGGGAAAAACCATAAAATAGAATAACTAAATACAGAAAGTCACAATTGCCTGCTCAGGTAGCTAAATGGCTCGGAGAGTTGTTGAACATGCTGTGCCACATAAATGCACGAGAAAGTACCATCTCAAGCTCCTGGTGAGTCCAGTTCTGAGTTGGAAGGTGTTGGAGGAACATTACCAACTCTTGGAAATCAAGCTTCTGGAGTTTGTCTGACCACTGAGAAAACAATGATATAGATTTAGAGAATATTCATTCTCTAATATAATTGATATCATTGCTAAGATAAGTAATATGTAAATAATCTAAAGAAACTAACACCGGAAACATAGAAGGGAACCAAAAATGAATATGTAAACAAACTGAATAAACCATAAACCATACTTAATACAGTGGAGATGAGGAAAGGCATAACTAAATTGTGTGCTTTGAAGTGACAATAGAAATCTGGGAATAGATTTAGGTTTAGCTAGGATGCTTGAACTTTGCATTCTTTACAAAGTAAACATAATGCAGATTGAATAGCATCCCCTACTAGACCCGAGGAGTGACAACAAGAAATGCATAAAAAGGAATAAGAAAAAGGTAAGATGCTGCACAGCAACTTACTAGAAGTTTTTGCAACTTGGCATCCAAAATGGAACCACTGAATTGATAAGATAATGAATGGAGAATAGGATTTTACCACTGGATACAACCCGCCTAAATGAGAAAGAAGAATCCAACATAGAGCTTCTAAATAAGTATCTTAATTTTATAAGACATCCACCATAGTCATTAATCAACTGTCACAAAATTATGCAAGATTATACAGTACTTCAGAGCTAGCAATAGCATGTCAAATTGTGGCTCCAGGTTGCTAGTAAAGCATAAAAATTCAGTATAACTGCAGATAACATAATAAATCACAACTGTGTTTATTGTGATTGTTAGAATGCATAATTTTACAGAATATCTTTTCTCTGAAAAAGGAAGCATGAAGTGGTGCAAAAGACAAGGCTGTTTTCTGGCAAAAGAATTGCAAATAATTACCAGTACCTACTGAAATGTACCAGAGGGGGAAAAAGATGCATTGACCAAACAGGCCAGCAAATACTATTCCTTCTTATTTTGGCTACAGGATGAAATTTAATTCAAATAAATTATAATGCCAAAAAGTAAGTTGGCTCACCGTTAGAAGAAAACTGGCAAATATATACACAAGGAAGTCTGGTAAGGCATCTCCTTCAGCTAGATATGTGTCCCAAAGACGTGTGACGAGGTTGAAGGGTATCTAATTACATAAATCAGATATCAGTTAACAAAAGCATAAAATTATGCCAAATTTGTTGTTCTCCACAATTCCCTCTAACCAAATCTACTAGTCCTTGAGACTGTATAATATATCAAATTCTTGAGAAAACTACAGCACTTATAAGAAGAAGAAAAATCAGAGCAAACCTCACGGATTAGAAGACAGTTGAACCAGCGGAAAGCAAATTGAAGAAATTCCAGTCCTTGCTGCTCCATATGGTTTGAAACAGGATCTGGTGCAACTCCGAATTTCAGTACAGATTCAATATGGAGATATAAGGATAATAGTATACTCCCCACATTTCAAAATATAAGTTGTTTGCAAGAAATTTTGTTTCATTACATTTGTCACTTTAAAAAACCAATAAGTCATTTATTTTATTTTATTTTATTCAATTATATCCTTATCTCTCAATATCTCCTCCACAAAGAGAAACAAGAGAGTATTAATGGAGATTGAGAGGATGATTTAGTCAAATGTAACTGAGGTATTTCAAAGCATTCATAATCCTTGTACCAAAAACTTAAATGGCTAATATTTTGAAATAGAGGTAGTAGCAAGCAAAAAATGAGAATGTTTGATAAAATTAATACAGATCCATACCCACATGCAATAGTGGAGTATTTAAGTTCATGTAATTATAGTGAAACTTGAAGGACAACAACAGATCTGAGAAAAAGGTTACCGTCAATCCTCCTGACCAATTCCTTCAACTTAAAAACCAGCCTTTGAATTCCCGGTTGAGCAAATGTGTAATGGTCTTGCATTCCATCAAGCAACTTTGACAAGCACCAATAGCAATCAGCCTCTACATTAGAGATTTCATCTGAAGATAAATCAGACATTGACCAATTATCTATGCTCCCTTCCAAGTATTCTGATAGAAAAACAACTAAAAATGGTGTAACAAGATCATTTATTCCTTGAACATATCCACTTGCAGGATGTCGAATGGCCCTAGCAGAAGATGAGGAAATCATGTAAATAAAATAAGTAATAATGATAACATACAATTAGTAAGCAAAACTTGGTCAACAAGAAGGATGATCCATAAGTAAAGGGCTCCAGAGTATTTTAACTGTATGATGCACTTAAAATGGGAAAGTTAGATGACAAAGGTCCATTGTTGTTCACTTGTTCTATAATCTTTTTTCCAATTTTCTTTTTTCAAGTTATTGCTCTAAACTGCTGCCAAGACAAAACAGAAGTATACAAGACCAAGACCATAACAATTATTCTCAGCATCTTCTGAAAGTGCAATAAATATGCATCGTAAGGCAATTCATACCATCTTGCTGGTTTCTAACACTGAACCATTTCTAGAAGGAAATCTCCTTAGTGTCCATCAAGATGATGATAATTTCGTAAGAACAACAGAACGAAATATAGGATCAGTCCAAATTCGAATGAAGTTAATCCATCATATGCACCCCTGGTTTATTGGAGCTTAACTATGAAGAGTAAATTGATACACAGCATATGTTAAACTACAGAGACAACTCCAAAGCTAGGTATTGTAGACAAGATTGAGGGACCCGCTTTTAAACCTTGTGGAACTTTCATAACCAAGCTAAGAGCCATCTTTCATCTCAGAAAAAAAATTCCTCAACAAAGAAAGCTAGACTAAAAAATTATCAAGCCCAAAAAACATGGTATCAATAATATCTAACCATGTGTACAGAATACGCTCCAGTGATTTCTGAACTTGCTCTTGCTGGAAGAAAGAAACATCAGGCACAGTTCTTGGACAATCAACACCAATCTAACCAACAAAATGTGCAAACAGTAAAAAAAGAACCTTATTTTCATCAATAACATAGTAATCAAGTTAGGCATATGTTGCAAACTTGCAATTGATAATACCTGGCGTAGCATGTTTATCTCATCATCTGAGCGTTGTGTATCAGGAATATCATAATACTGTGAAATATAGTCAAGATACTCAAGGCGCTTCCTTCTCAAAACTCCCTCCCTTCTATCTGAATTAGGTGGTGCATATCCCTGTTTTCAGTTCATCATTAAATTTTCAAGAGGCAAAGAATCCATAGAAAACATGTGGTTGACCTATTTACTTAAAAATTGATTATCTATCAGGTAATACTTCTTAATTTCCTTTTAAAAAATCTTCATGGTCTTATTTCAAAACAATTTTTATATAAGCAGAATCAAGGTCCTTATAAAAGAGAATTTCTACAGCACACCCTCAATTTTTCTTTTCTTTATGTTATATATAACCAAATAAAACAAAAATTCACATATACTAACAATTATGATCTAGACTCCAAACTTGATGGCTATCATGCTTGTGAAGTTATGACAGATAGCTATCATGAAATAGCTGAAGATCATAGAGCTTACCAAGAGAAGTCTCCACACTGTAGGACGCATATAATCTGGAACACCACTCCAAGCTAATTCACGCAATTTCTCTACAGGATATATAAGGAAGAAATATAAGGCGAGCATCATCAGTTCACCGCTGAAAATTGAAAACTAAATGGATATTATGGATGCACCAATGTATTACAAAGTAGGCAAACATGAATATTAGATGAATGAGAATGACAATGGACAACACTCTGGGCCAACAATCAAGGGCATGGAAAGATATCATGTTAAAAATGGGAAGAGAGAAAATATCAGGTTATGTACAAAAGCAATGCTCTAAGTTTGTTTTGCAATTTCTTTTGAACCTTACCAACAAAAATATCAATAGGCAAAGGTAATTAATTGCATCATGAGTATGCATGGCTCACAACTACATATGACAATTCCACAAAAGAGCAATGAGGAAGAAATCAAAGCATGATATAAAAGAAAACAGAAATACAGAAGTTAAAATACCTAATATAACCATTGTCCCTGAAAGCACCTTAGTGAACTTTATAACTCTAGCAGAATCTGTAGCTCTAGCGCTCATGGAAGATTTCCGAACTTCTTCAGATGGGTTCTCCACATGGGAGGTTGATATCTTTAACTTATTCTCACTGGGAGTACCAAATGGTTTGCTTGTACTGTGAACTTCCTCCTGTGATAAGAATAGAGGTTTCACTTGACGAAGTGCTACCCATCAATCATTATAGAGACAGGTGAGATGAGATTATATAACTACGAAACATGAATACTCAAATCACCTCAACTCTCTCAGATGTGGGATCACTTGTGCCAGTCTCACTGTATGAGGAGCTCCTTTTGTAAGTTGGCGATGACAAGTTTGAGCTATCTGGTAGGTCAACTCTTTGACTCAATAATATTTTACCAGGAATGCTACGACCCTTGAGTAACCTTCACAAAGGAAAAATATAAATTTACATCAATTGTGTAAGGCATCTCACATATACTTCTCGTTGTAGTTGAAACCAAATATATAAATCTATAAAGCAAAAAAGCTATTGTTTAATTAATCAACCCATTAAAGAGGAAGAGCAATAAAACATGAAACACAGATTCAGCAAGACAATTAGAGGTTTTTTGTTTTTTTAAGAGTAACTGCCCTGTTAAGCAAAGAAATTTTATCAAAATAAATTGTGCAATTCAAATGCTGACTCTCAGAAAGCATTTGGTATAACATCCAGTTTTAACTGCAATCAAATTTGTTGGAAAAAAAGAAAAACTAATAAGAACTAAAACCTCTTTGGAGAATCTATACATTTCCCATCTTCCATTGTCCCTGCATTTCATAGCAATAATCCAGAACAAAAGAACCCGTCTAATTTGATAGCATGGATCAAACCATGTCTTAGAATTTCATCCATCAGAATTCGTGATCTAAATGGCAACAAAAATAAAAAAATTTAATGGGTTTTCTAAATCCCACGGATTAACAGGTAAAGATCAGCGAATCGGACAGCGAAATTCTCGGGATCATGAACTTGAAAGAAAATGCCCTTTCCATTTTTAAATTATGGGGAAAAATTAGAAGCAACTAACTTAAAATGAGAAAGAGGATACCCTTGAACATTTCTGAGGGTCTGGTTGAATCGTGAATCTAGGATTCCTACGGCAGTGTCTTTGTTGTTGTTGTTGGGGTCGTTCTTCATGGTTGATCTCTCCAAATCGAATCCCGGTTCTGTTTTGCTTGTGTTGTAGTTATTACTGACACTTCTTCCTTTCAGAGCTGGTTAGTGAGTGACTGAATTTGTGCAAGCAACATGAGCATGATGGGTGATGATTACTCTCCAAAATTCTTCTTTTCTTTTTTTGTTCTAATTAATGATCATCCTTTATTATTCGTTTTTCAATCCTACTGCTTTGTGTATTTCTTTTATACATTTGTTTTTGTCTCGTAATCACTTGTGTGCAATGCACAATAATAATAATAATAATAAAGGACAATTTTGATATTTAAAACTCAAAGCCGAATGATAAAAAAATATTATATTGACTCCCCTTTTATATATATATATATATATATATATATATATATATATATATATATATATATATATACTCATTAATGTCTTATTTTTTAAAAATTATATATAATTATCTTATTTTTATGTATAAATTATATCAATAATATCTTTAAAATAAATAAAATAAGAAAGTGTAAAGGAGACAAGAGTAACTTTTCATTTAATCAAGGCATATGTGTAATTAACACTAATCAATTAATTATTAAAGATGTCTATGTAATTATTAAAAAAAAAACTGTGACTTTTTTCTTAGATAACGCGGACGACCATTCTTTTTCCCTTTTTTTTAATGCTCGTATATTCCATATCCTATTTAGCTCCTAGTGATTTATTTTCTACTTCTTTTTTATTTCATTTCACACAAATTTCCTAAAACAAATCAAAGCTAAGTGAATTCTCACTGTCTTATTTTATCTCTTTTACATCACATCCTCAAACATATAAAGTTTAGCAATTTCAAAAATGGTGATTAGGTTTATTTTTAGACCTTCAAATGTGAAAATAGGTTAATTTTTTCTAAAAAATATTTTAATTAAAATTTTCTCTTTCACTTAAAGTATTAATTATCCATACAATGAAATTAAGTTTTATAATTTTTTAAAATCTATTCTTTTATATAAAAAATAAAATTACTTATATTTTTCTACTCAAATTTAAAAACCCTTTCTCTGTTTTTCATACATTTCATACTTATTATTTTTTAAACATTTGTTAGTTGATATCTTCTAGTACAATAAGATGGTCGGTTTGTTGACACTTAATCTAAAAATCACAAATTAAGTTAAAATACACATAATCAGTGATTAACCTACTATGGTCAATAAAATTTAAGATTAAGTTGGATAGGAACAATTTTCACAAAGGGACTTAATTGCAACAGTTAAAAGGGTATGATTATATGAAGCCTCTTATATCATAACTCAGAAAGAAACTATCAGCACTTTCTAATACTTTGAGCAAACCCATATGCTAATCATCCTTCCTGAACTATAATAAAGAGGACCGTAGCAACATGATCTTTCACCTAGAAATTTTCTGATGCACAGGATCCATTAAAATGGCAAGTGCAGAGCATACTTCTTTCTAGTGAGGGACTAGAGGATAGTCATTATAAACAAAGCTTTCAGAGAGAGAAAATTAGAAACAACTCATGATATAGATAAACACACAAGTTTTATTTTGATTCGGTCTGCCTTCAAATGGCAAGGGACTTCCCCTTATATAGAGGATGGACAACAACCGTAATAATTACATCTGATAAGGTTAGATAAGATTCCAAACCCTTTTCTAAAGTAGCTTTTAGCAAACTTACAAAATCGAGACTTTTAGTACATGTGACTCATACTAAAAACAAAATATAAAAGACACTTTATTACATAAAGATACTTTTTCAGAAATTCTTTAGTCCTTGAGGATAGGCTCGTGACTTGGTGACATGTTGGGATCGTCACTTGAACAGAGGCTGATTGAGTTAGAAGGATCTTAAGGATCTTGAGAGTCCATGAGTGGATCAATACGTGTTGAGCCTTCATCTATGATTATGACATGACTGTTCATTTCCCAATTTCCAAAAGTAATAGAGGAACAAATTACTGATGGATCTATTGGTTGGATCTTATCCCACATGGTTGGATTATCATTATCAGGAGGGCAAATTATATCCATTGCTTTTAATTTGGAATAAGTGGACTATCATAACACCATGAATACACCCACAAACACCTTGAACACCTCTTCTACTGAAACTTCCTCTATTCTCTTAAACTCTCCCATCTCTCTACCTAAAGACTGTATCAGAACTGCTTCTGATAAAATAGAAAATTTGATAGAGTACACATATGTTCCTGAAGATGCTCAGATTCAGGAATCCATAGCTCCTCTTTTAAGCCCTTACAATGTTTTCAGGAGACATAAATCCTGGACCAACAAAGTCAATGCTTTGATCCTTAGAAAACAATCTCTCATAAAGGAATATGTCCAATCCACCAGAATGGACCAGTGTGAAATTCCTGCTACAAAGAAAGAAAGGTACATCAACCTGGAAATTCCTAAAACCTTCATAGACCATTGGAAGGTTGAGGGATACACTGCCCTTCATTTTGGAGCAATAAGATTAGTCCTATCTCTTCATGGAAGGAAAAATCTTCCAGTTACTGCTAGAATCACTCTCCTTGATTCTACTTATATTCACTATGAACATGCTGTCATAGCAACTCTATTGACCACCCTTCATGCTGGAAGTGCGGTCCTCACGATCTTTCCAAATTATAATGTCTCACTAAGGGACAAGACTCTGCCAGCTAGACTGAAAGTTCAGATCCAGCTCACTGGAGCAGAGCAAATTGAAGAAGCCATCTCTGCTACACTTCATCACCAGATGATTTACAGATTACAAAATTATGCTCATGACCTTCCTCTGCCAGGAATGGTAAATGATAATCTGTTTGTCATAGCTAACAGAAGTGAAGATGATGTTCCATCCATTATCCAAGTTCCCAGACAAATCTCTCGAGAAGAACTTCTCAAACTGATTCCACTTAAATGGACAACTGATTATGAAAAGATCAGGAAAGACAACAAACCAATTCAGTCTTTTGAAGCCACTTTCAGAAGATCTGTTGATGGTGGTGTTAAAACCATTTTTAAGAAGCCTGATGATGAAACCAGTTCTTCTACTAATTGTTTCCAGTCACTTATGGTGATACCAGTTGGAAAAGAACATAGAATCCCAGTATACAGCTTTAAGCCTGATGGATCCTCCATCTATTCTGACAAATTTGATGGACACTTTATGTGGGATGTAGATCCTTCTATGTGTGATCCTGACTGTGACTGCTGGATGCATATTGGTGATACATCTAATGAAGAATCAGATGATGATGATGAAGATAATCAGAAAAGAAGGAAAAAGAAACCTTGCAAACCTCCTCCAAAGCCTAGGAGAAGAGACCCTGGATTCACTCCATGGGTAGGAATAAGGAATGAAAGAAAGCCATTGCCCATCTATGATGAAGCCCTGGAAATCCTGAGAAAAGAAGGCCTATTGTCCAAACCCCTTAGTGATCCAGATCTGATCACATGGCCTCCTCCTCCAGGATTATGCAATTCTTTCAGCACACCTCTAGAAAAGGTTGCAACACCTATTCCCTGTATGATGATCACTGACTATGATAAAGATTTTCCTTCATTAGACAAAAAGGCAGATCCTATTACTAAGGTCAACACTAGACCTTTAGTAATCCCTACAGAAGTACAATCAGACGGAACTCTCAAAGCTCCTTCTCAAGCTGAAGAAGTTCTCAACTGGTAAACTGAAAACTCTTTAACTCAAAACAAGATCTTGAAAAAGGTAGACAAAAAGGTAGATCAAATTGCTGAAACCGTCCTCAAGAATGAAGAAAGACTCCAATACCTTTCTGATAAACTCAGGAAGTGTTATAAAGAATCTTAGAAACAGATTGCTAAATTGGAGATAGACATCTCAAAACTAACAGAAGAAAAGGCTGTCTTCACAGGAGAATATCACAAAAAAGATAGAGAAATCAGGAGGCTTAAAGAGCAAATTAAAGAGATGGATGAATTGATTGCTGCAAAACAACAAAACAGGGAAGCTGAAATTAATCCCTTTCTTGTTCCACCTCCTGTACAATCAACTTACTATTCTCCTTTTAGTCCATCCCCATTCTATCAAGGCACATTTACAGCACCTTCATACTCCTTGCCCTCTGCCTATAGACCCAAACCTAGATCTTCTACCCGTGATTCAAAGGGTAAAGGCAAGATGAGTATATCCTCTTCAGAAACTATTAAAACCAAGAGCCTAGATTCTTCTGAAGAAGAAAAATCTCCTCCAAAAAAGTCATCAAAAGAAAGTCAAGGAAAAACACCTTTTATAGGTGTCATATTTGAAGAAGATCAATTAATTGATGACTCAGAATCCCTTAAATCTTCATCCACCGGAAAAGACTTTTTTGAAGAGTCTTATGAATCTCCAACAACTGAAAAATTCCAGAGTGAATCAGAAGTACCAGAAGCTAAGTCCTCTGATGAAGAATTTACAAACATTATTGAGATGCTGATGGTCAACATAACACAATCTAGTAATCAAAGAGGATCTTTTTATGATTCACCTGATGAAGAAGAAGAAACCAGTAGACGAGAAAAAAGGATCAAAAATTAATGGAGGTCCTTATTTTACTCTTGATGATGTCTCTCCACAACATTGGAGAAAAAGACTACTTGATTTTGGAGCCTAGTTAGATACTCAATTCATGAAGCTAGAAGTAGATCCATATAAAGTCATTGAAGAATTTTGTTGCAGAATGACTGGCACTTTAAAAGAATGGTACCACAATCTGGGAAGTGTCAAACAAGACCAGTTTCATCAACTGGGCAATACTCGCCAAGTTCTTGGAGCAATACACCAAGAATTTGTGGGTGACATAGATCTTTATGACAAAAAAATCAGGCAAGATTATTTTGAGATGAGATGCTGCTCTTTGAAGAAGAAAGATTTAGAAAGGCATCATAAAAGAATGGTAGAGATTTTCTATCTTCTTAATGGATACAATGATGTCAGTCTAAAAAATACTTATGTTGCTTCTCTTCCTCAAGAATTACAACCAGAAATTCACAAGCTCATAGTAGCCCAAGGTCAGGATTTAACCAGCTTAAGCCTTGGTCAAATTCACTAGAAAACAATGGAATCTCTTGACAAATTATGCAGGACACATCTATTCATCTCTGATGTGATGAATGAAAGATCAAAATTCACCAAAGCCTGCAAGAAAAAATACCTTGAGATTGGATGCAAAGAAAAGAAATGTGTCTGTCCATCCAAGAAAAAAGAAAAAACAAGAAAGTTTTCAAAGAAGAAGAAGAAGAAGATGAAATACTTTAAGAAGAAAGAAAAAAGAGGAAAAAGCAAAGGAACCCGATGCTTTATCTGCAGGAAAAAAGGACACTTTGCTAAGAAATGTCCAAACAAGGATGCCAAAGCCCAAAACTTAGTTAATTCTTTGGATCCTATTGAAGGAGATATTGAATCTGAATACTCTGAACAAGAAGAAGCAAATCAAGATACTGTCTTTGCTATCCAAGAATCATCTGATGATTCTTCAGAATCTTCAAGCAAAGAAGAAGAATATATTCCTCTTTATTTTACTCAAGAAGTAAATAGTGTTCTTCAAACTCCATCACAACCTTATGTGGAGGTCCAAGTTCTCATTAACAAATATGCTACTCCAATCAAGGCCATAGCCTACATGGAAACTGGAGCTCAAAGAACTATGATGAATCCAGAGGTTCTTCCAAAAGAATGCTGGACCCAATATACTACTAGTTTTGTAGCAGCTGATGGAAAGATGTTCAACACTCATTTGATTTCCAAAATGCCTATTGGAATCAAGTTATTTCCAGATTGCATCATTTGGATCAAACCCATAGGTACTCATCTTCCTAATAAAGATATTCTGCTTGGCATGGATGCTTATTATTTAACTGACAAGCTTCAGATACTTCCAAGAAGAATTAAGTTTAAAAGAAATTTCAAGCCTTACACAGATGTCTTGAAACTTTATTCTCTGGAAGAAAGTCCAACAGAATATTTCGAACTTAAAAGAAAAGTTGAAGACCTTATGTGCAGATGGACATGAAAATTTTTCTCATCCCAATCCGATTTGGAACAACCCAGAGTTTTTTATAAAACTCCCTTTCAAGCTCAATAAAGACATCAATCCTACCAAAGTCACACATCCTGGAATGAGTCCAAGTGATCTCTAGATGGCTCGACAAGAATGTGCTGAACTTCTTCGACAAGGACTGATCGAACCAACTAAATCTGAATGGACATGCCAGGCATTTTATGTAGAGAAAAGATCTGAAAGAATTAGAGGAAAGAAGAGGTTAGTAATTGATTATAAACCTCTCAATCATTTTCTTAAGGATGACAAGTTTCCCATCCCAAAAACCTCCTCTTAACACACTCTTATCAAAGATGCCATGATCTTTTCAAAGTTTGATTTAAAGTCAGGATTTTGGCAACTTGGTGTTGATCCCTCTGATCGATACAAAACCGCTTTCTGCATCCCAAATGCTCAATACCAATGGAAAGTTCTTCCATTTGGCCTAAAAGTAGCACCTTCTCTTTTCCAGAAAGCCATGACCAGAATTTTTGAACCAATCCTTGATAGTATACTCATCTACATAGATGATGTATTACTTTTCTCAAAAGACACAGAATCTCATAAAACCCTCTTAAGCAAATTCTTTGATCTCTCCAACAAATATGGGATTATGTTGTCAGAAAAAAAGATTCAATTAGCACAAACCCAGATAGACTTTCTGGGAATGCATTTTTCTCAGGAAAATTATCAACCTCAACCGCACATTGCAGAAGAACTCTTGAATTTTCCTGATGAAAATTTCACTGTCAAACAAATTCAACAATTCCTTGGAGTATTAAATTACATTAGGGATTTTATTCCTAATGCTGCCAAATATACAAGTCCTCTGTCAAAACTGCTAAGGAAAAACTCTCCTCCATGGAGCAATGAACAGACTGAAGCTGTTCGTCATCTGAAAAAGATAGCTCAGAACCCTCCACCATTAAAGATCCCTGGAGATGGTAAAAGAATTCTACAAACAGATGCTAGTGATCATTATTGGGGAGCTGTTTTACTTGAAGAAAATAATGGAAAAAAGGCTTACTGTGGACATGCCAGTGGACAATTACCATACAACATACAAAGAAGCCCTTGCAGTAAAGAATGGTATCCAAAAATTTGATTTCTATCTTAGAGGTCATAATTTTGAAGTTCAAATGGATAATTCTGCTTTTCCTGCACTGCTTGATTTCAAAAATAAGATGCCACCAGATCCTCAAGTTCTCAGACTGAAAAATTGGTTCTTCAGGTATGATTTTACTGTTAAACATATCAAAGAAAAAAAAATGTTGTCCCTGACCTCTTATCCAGACCAAAAAAATCAATTGCCATTGTAACCTCACTAAACTCATATCCTTTGATTTTCCCTCTCAATATTGCTGAAGCCAGTACCAGCTCTGGACCAACTCCTCTTCCAATGTTTCCTTCAGAAATGAGACATGATGTTATCACTGTAGAATATATCAAAGATTTTGCAAAAAATCACATGTTTCATTTTTTGTCTCTTTCACTCTACCACCGTAATGTTAAACCTAAACCTACCTGGTTTCAACCTGATGCACCATACCTAAACATCTTTGCATTATTAATGGATTTTCCTTTAATTAAAGAAGATATATGGCATCTTTGGTGTGCCACCCTTTTATACCACTATCCCATAGTTTTTCCCACTTTCATTATGTTTGAATTCCTCAATGACCTCCGCAATCAATCCACTCTGTTATGGAAATTTTTGGCTTGGTATCAACCTATCCCAAACTGGAAGAAAAATGTTCAACTTGAATTACAAAGACTCAGTATTTGGAAAGAAATGGAGTTACCTCCAGCTGAAACTCCAAAACATGTAACAGTGGTAATAATTCATAGACCTTATTTTGAACATCCAGTTTCAAAATTACTTTATACCCAGAATCAAGTCAAAATCTGGAACACATTCACAAGTCTCCTAGAGATATATGAACCAGACAGACCACCTCATAACCAAGCAGATCTAAATGTTCACCTCCATACTGAAAATGGAGCCCGTGAGGAAATGTTCAAAGTAAAGTCCACTTGTTCCAAATTAAAAGCAATGGATATAATTTGCCCTCCTGATAATGATAATCCAACCATGTGGGATAAGATCCAACCAATAGATCCATCAGTAATTTGTTCCTCTATTACTTTTAGAAATTGGGAAATGAACAGTCATGTCATAATCAGAGATGAAGGCTCAACACGTATTGATCCACTCATGGACTCTCAAGATCCTCAAGATCCTTCTAACTCAATCAGCCTCTGTTCAAGTGACGATCCCAACATGTCACCAAGTCACGAGCCTATCCTCAAGGACTAAAGAATCTCTGAAAAAGTATCTTTATGTAATAAAGTGTCTTTTATATTTTGTTTTTAGTATGAGTCACATGTACTAAAAGTCTCGATTTTGTAAGTTTGCTAAAAGCTACTTTAGAAAAGGGTTTGGAATCTTATCCAACCTTATCAGATGTAATTATTACAGTTGTTGTCCATCCTCTATATAAGGGGAAGTCCCTTGCCATTTGAAGGCAGACCGAATCAAAATAAAACTTGTGTGTTTATCTATATCATGAGTTGTTTCTAATTTTCTCTCTCTGAAAGCTTTGTTTATAATAACTATCCTCTAGTCCCTCACTAGAAAAAAGTATGCTCTGCACTTGCCATTTTAATGGATCCTGTGCATCAGAAAATTTTTAGGTGAAAGATCCTGTTGCTACGGTCCTCTTTATTATAGTTCAAGAAGGATGATCAGCATGAGTATAAGAAAAATGCATATGGGTTTGCTCAAAGTATTAGAAAGTGCTGATAGTTTCTTTCTGTGTTATGATATAAGAGGCTCCCAGCCAGTAATGGTATCCTCATACCAAGTTTGGCAGATCCATATGTAAATAAAATTTGAAGAACGATCACACTAAAAGAGTACAAGAAAAGGAACCAATTAAATGGCTCCGAAAATGTTTAACATGTATGCAATCACATTCTCGATACAAAATAATACATTTAAGTAGCATTTAAGTAGCACATAGCAGCATCCTGCAGACTCAGAGCAAACGTTTACAAGGTATAATGCAGGAATGGTGTCTTATTATCAGAAGAGACCCCGCTTCCAATAAAATCAAGAGCCAACAGCAAACTGAACTCCAAATTCAGGATATACATGACTTTTGCAGCTTCAGAATCTTCATGTGGAATGCTTCTGTTTCTTCTTTACAATATATTTGGACGAACTCTTTAAGCAAAATAATTTTACCATATTATTGATTGGCATCATTTCCCCAAACATTATCCCAAGAACCACTTGGAGCAGCCTTTGCTGCCTCAATGTAGTTTACATCTCCAGAAGAATTTTGTGGTCCAGGAAGCGGCAGTCCATTTGGACCTGGCGGGTTTACCTTCTTGGACTTGGTTTTAATTCCAAGCAACCGCAAGACAAATCTAGCTAGTTCTCCATATAGTAAACCAGAGCGATCAAACAGCTGCAAAAGAGATCCAGGAATCTTCTAAAATTAAACTATGTTCCAAACATGAAAAATTGCATGTGATTATACTTTATAGAATGGGTTTCCAGATTTGGCAATGAACACTGCAAAGAAAACACAGAAAACAAAGAAAATAGAACACCTAACTGCTATATCAAAATAAACATCACTCAAGGTATCCCAAGAAATAACCAATCCATGAATCATTGTGCACTTAAATAAAATTGTTTGGCTACTTCTAAAATTGTGGGTTCTAAGAAAATATGGAAAGAACTTGCAATTGCTTTTGCCAGAATATGTTGTCTATCATCATGCATGACCAAACTATAACTACAATTTTGTATAAAAGGTAATGCATACCCTTTTCCATAATTTGACACCAAAAAATGACATTTCCTGTTAATATCCAACGGAGAAACAATTTCACTGACCACTGTTAAGACTACTTTCCAATGCAAAGAAATTATTTAAAAATCCTTCTGAAGTCAATTATTGAATAGGTGATCCTTCCCAAAGTGAAAATTTCACATTAATTCAAAACAAACAAACAAATCATATATGATTTCATTTTTTGAATTTCAATCTTCCAACAACCATTGGAGCTGGGTATACAATTAGAAAATTGATAAAATTATGTAAAATGGAAAGAGAATGACGAATACAAAACCTGGAGAAGTGCAGTCATGAACATATGGAAAGCCTGTGTGTTCTGGTCTATGAGTATTGATATTCGACCAAAAAAGTTAACCACACCTTGCATCTGTCATTAGAGGTTAAAACTTTCAACATATGCAAAGCAAAATTTTGAACAATAACAGAAAATTGTAATCATATTTAAAGAATCCAAGAGGTATTAAAAAAGGAGAGAAGCAATGGTGGAAAACAATAAAGAGTAAACAGAGCGCAGAAAAATGTACCTAAATATACCATCCATTTTCCTACTCAGGAACTTTACATTCAAGAAGTTTCATTACATACCAATAATCCACAACTACAAAGATCAATAGCATGTTTGAAATTGCTAATATTTTAAAAGTTATTTAAAGAAGTCGATAAAAATAAGCTAAACTAAACACACTAATTAATCATAGTTACCGTTGTGTATTGTCTCACATGGCACATAGGCACTCCTAACTAATACAACGATTGAAACACAGGACTCAGATTCTTTTGCACAATAACTTGCAAAGACAAATTGTATGAATTTGATCTACAACCAACGACCATCGTAAATATTAAATAAGTTGACAGCGGTAAAGAATCATACATGACTTAATATAGTAAATCAAAATAGGAGAAGCAATGTCCATTGGTCATGTTCATCAATTATCACTATGGAAGAAAAACTAAATCAACTCACCACACGCAAAGCGGAAATCCAAAATCCAGGCGGGGATGGTGGGGCACCAAATGGATTGTTGGGATCTTGATCTCCATAGGGACCACCACCACCCATGCCATAACTACCCATCGGACCCCCAAGGCCACTGTTATACATTCCACCTCCATACATCCCAGATGACCCATACAGGCCACCACCATATCCTCCCCTATACATACTGTTACCATACAGTCCCCCGCCATACATCCCTCCTAGTCCGCCGTAAGAAGAACCATACATTCCAGATCCATATCCAGAATTATAATTCAGCGTAGAACCATATCCTGCAGTTAATAACAAAAACAACGAGCTTCACTGAAATAGGCAAACGAGGACATTTTTAAACAGAGAGGAAAGGCTACAAACATGACAATTTTTTTTATTTTAAAAAGTCACCTCCATAGCTGCTATTTCCATAATTCTGCTCCCATGGCCTTGAGGGAACAGGCCTCCCAAGAGCATTCCTGTTGACAGTTGCATTCCTATCAGAACTAGAAACAATTTCCCCAGGCTTTGCAGTCCCTGAAGCCTCGACTACATCACTTGTTCTGCCGGCTGATGGTGGTTTGAAAGGTGCTGGGCCAGATGAGGAACCTGTTTGTTCCCAAGGTTTTGGTGGCGGACTATTTGCTGCAACGAGGTTAAAATATTAGTAAAAAATTGGATATTGAAGTGAAATTTGTACAAATTCTAGTGTGACACAACAACTGCTTCTAAAGATGGCCTGGAAAACCTTGATTTATAATATCAGATATGAAAGAAATAAAAGATTACACTACACACCGAATATAAGAATATCTGTAAAGTGTGCGCAGAGAAGTTAGGGCGTTTCACAAAATTAACAGAAAAACCAAAACCAACAACTTCTGTGAATACAATTCAAACATGATTCCACTCTAAGACCAACGAAAACTAAACTCACTTTCAGAATGTTAAGATAACGTAAAAAGGAGAAAAAACAAATATATAATATATGAACGATGCTGACAAAAGTGAGATATAGATCCACGGAACGATCAATTGATGGTTAAATGATGTGGAATGTCAAGGTTTTGATGAATTAAACTGCAACGAAAAGCACGCCCTAACGAACAAATTAGCAGTGAATAACATAAAGTGCATGCAATCTATGGTTTAATTAATTCGAAGAGGAAACGAAAACAATTGAATGAGCAAAAGAGAGTGTGAGAGATTAAGGGAGAAGGAACGAACAGGGTGGCTGGGTGTTGGGTTCCATGGTGTCTCAGAGTCTCAGGCTCATACCAAAACGATCGTCGTTGTGGCCTCACAAGGAAAAGGTAACTCCGACACTTCTCATCCAAACTCACGAGTCCCAACCAAACTCAATCTATATTTTAATTTGTCGATATAATTCATAATAAATTTTAAAGAGAGATGAGAGTAAATCAATGTATATTTTAAAATAAAAAGCCAATCTAAATAAAATATTATTTATTAAATTAATAGTGTTGTATTGAATACATAATTATTAAAAAAAATGATGGATTCGAGCAACTTTAAAAATATGAACAAAACTCATTTTCAAAATATGTCGAGTTTATTTTCACCTAACTTGATTAGTGGGATGTGATAGGCTATGAATATCCATCCTAGTTGCTAACTTCTGCTTGATCACAAAAGGAAAAGGATTGCTTTATACTGCCTACTTTTGTTAGTTATTCTACTTTTTTAAAAAATTTAAAAAAGTAACTCGATAATTTTTTATTATTTTTTTAACATATTAGTCTTTCTATTAAAATACTTTTGTTTAACTAGATACTTTACGTAGCTTGTTAAATAGATGAGATAAAAATATTGTTTTTTATCTAGTAAAATATTTTTGAAAAAAATGTAAAATTAGTCTCTAAAAATTGATTCTAATATTTAGAAATACATAGATTGTCGAAATTAAACATCATTTTTTAATAGACACTAATCTATTTGATGATTTTTTTTTAAGAAATTAAATTGGGTGTAACAATTTTTTTCAACAACTAATATGGATGTGTACCTCTTTAAACGATAGAATCCACCTCAAAAAGTTGACTTTAAGAAAGCAATCCTTCCTTTGCTTTATATCGATTTATTTTATATATATTAGCAAAATTTTAAGAGGAATGAACGGTGTCTTACTCTAAAATAGACACACAAAAACACCTAAGCTCAAATAATACTTACAAAAAAATTTACATTTACTTCCTTGAGTTATAGCGGGAACTTTGTATCAGTACTGTCCTTTTCTTATATTTATAATCATATTTCAGTTATATCATCTCATGGGAAAGCAATACATTTATTTATCTAGATACTATTTATCTATCTATATAATTACAAAATGGGATTACTACACTGCAGTACCATTTTACCTTGGTTCTGACTACTACTATTACCACTATAAATTTCTAAGCAGCTGCTACAGGTTTAACATATACAAAAATTTTATATTTAGCATGCAAGTGCTCCAATGACTTGCATCTTTCTATCTTCAAAAAGCCTCTTGATTTGACAAGTTGGTAATGTACAAAGTTTCAATAGTAATGAAGCTTAAACCCTGGCATAGGCCACTTAAATTCAAACTCTTCCAAATGCAGAACCTTCAGAAGATTGTGGAAAACTAACAACATTTTGTCGAAGTAAGACTTGAATTCCACAATAAATTCATTCATCAACCCAAGAAACCTCACAAGTAGCAACTGCCACTACAATAACTGGTTAAAACACAAGGCATATCACGAACAAGAAACCTCACGCTATGTTTACCAATATCATCTAATATTTCTATACACTCTTGCAAATCAGAGTCACTCACCAACATCACCCATTCCTCTTCATCATCTAGATATTTAAGTTGGAATGACCCATTTTGTAGTTTGAATCTCGTGGCAACTTCTTCATATAGCCTGAAACAACCTGCAGATGGATCAAACTTGAAACGAATGGTGTCTCCTCTATAGGTAGCTTTGGCAATTATTTTTGACCCACTATCAACAATGAATGATTTGACTTTGGATTGATTATGGTTCTCAAAGCTTTGAGAACCTGATGAACTACCATGCATCATTGAACCAGAGCCATTACAAGAATCTGTCAAGCTTGAAGAAATAGGGTGGTTAGGCTTCACAACCCCATCTTCCCTTTCTACATTAATGTCCATGTCATTAGTAATCAAGGAGGTTAAACTCTGGCCTATAATATTGCTTTTAAATTTGTCTACTCTCAAACCACTCTTGTTTATACTCCTTTTATCCCTTTCCTTTCCAAGAACAGAACTGAAACAACCATGTTCAGGACAATCCTGTGCCTTGTTCCAAAGGCTCGCTGTCTGGCATGACACATCATCCATTGCCATTGATTTTGAATCTTCATTGCAATCAACCGAAAAGGCATTAATTTTATTCAAATTTTCCTCCAACTTAATTGGAAAATTCTCCACTTCACTACATGATGTAGGTGGTACTGAATCTGAATCTGCATCATGTGTAACAGCTATAAGGTCTTCTATAGTACTCTTCTCAGGAAACATAAGACTTTTTTGTGCATCAGTTTCCTGGATGATTGACCCTCTTGCCACAAATGCCCCCAGAGAGGGATCAAACTTCAATCCTCCTTCCACTCCCTGGACAGAGTCAAGCACAATTTGTATTTTCCTCAATGATCGATTCACTTTATTGATCTTACGAGATGGCCATCTCGAAATTCCATGTTGCCTGCATATCCTTTTTAGAGTTGTCGGACAAACTGGTCAAAGAAGAAATATTTGTCAAGAACAAACTTGTTTCATGTAACAAGAATTTCCTTTTTGAAATATTGAACATCTTTAAAAAATGAAAGGTAATGTTTCTATGTTAAAGATAGAACAATTGCAATAATTTTTTATCAAATTAAATTATTATAAACAAATATGTAATTGAACTACACCTAGCTCTAAAGTTAGTATACTGCAAGTATCACTTTGTAAACAGAGTTGTATCTTTCAACGTAATTTTAATAGTTGAGAGCTACTTAAAATCACAACTGTGTAACATGCCATAAGCACCATATTAAAATACTCATTACAATGGAAGCATTGTTTTCCAGACTAAGTAGTAACTATCGAAGAAAAATTAAATTCATAATAGCGTTTTGAACTTAAAGGTATACACAGCTCAGATGATGGTTAATCTTAACCAATATAGTCCAAACATGTGCAAATCAGATAAAAATTAACAACAATTGTCTTAACCTAAAATAAATAGGCCAAGTTAACAAATACAAACAAATTAGGGTAAATAATGATGGAGTCTAACCACCGATGCTTTTTGCAGCATCCTTCAAACTACCAGAAAAGTAGTGTTGGAGAACATTCAAGCTAACATTCTTCTCTGATGTACTTCTATTTTTCTCAACTTTCCTTTTTGATCCATTTGTTTCCTACACAACAAGAAAACCAGTCTCAGGAAATATTGAAAATTGTAGCACCAACAATAATTACGGAGTTGACTAGCAAAGTTGATGCATAAACTATGTTAAGTTTTTGCACAATTAGCAAATACTTTTATAACATTAATAAAAATGTGATGGACATTCAATATTTATTTTTGTTCCCCTGTTCTACGCCACCATTCACAATCACTTACAACAAATGTTTCCTTAGATACAGCAGTGATTTCACATTTAATTCCACTGTTATCATTAAAATAACAAATTATTAACAAAGGACAACCAATCTTGGAATGCAGACATAATAAGTAAGCATCAATTCCAACAGAAATTTCGTATTAACTATCATAGCACACTACATTCATTGGCCATGACAAAATAGAAGGTAAGGAAGTCCCATAATGGTTAATACTAAGAAAATCAAGAGTCACGAGTTATATGATCCAATACTTAGCAAAGCATTTCAGTGTTAAAATATCAATTATTATTGTGTGATTAGGAAAGTCATCTTGGTTAAGTAAAGAACTGAAAAAAAGAGTATGGATATTATAAATTTAAAAAATTCTTATTATATATATTTGCTAACCATTTGTTTCATAGGAAAGTTATTCACAAACTTAGAGATTAACAAGGAAGTTCAATGACAAATTTTGCAAGATAATAAAATAATTCATTAGAATTAAAGAATTACAGATGTATACCCGGTTATGAGAAGGCTCAATTCCGTTGTTTCTTAGGTTGGTCGCCTTCAATGACGTCTTTTGGACATAATCCTGGTCACCATTTTTTAATGGTATTTGAGAGTTTTTCATTGGCAGACGGAAAAAATTGGGGACATTTTTCTCTTTAAACCCCTCTTGAGATCTTTGTATTCCTGATAATTCGGTATCTGAAACTGTCCTCAAACTCCTACAAATTCTCTGCATGGTACTTGAGAGGTTGTCTAATAAAAGTTGTTGCTCTGAACTCCCTTTGATATTGGCAGGCAAAAATAATTCCAATACGTAATCATCATCATCAGTATAAGTACTCCTTAACCTAATTGCAACTGCAGCATTCAAATTATACTTGCGTGCATGGTGGACAAGTGGATATTCACTAATATCATACGTCTTCACATCATGATAGAAGAAAGGATTATTCGATTGAAGAGCTTTCCCAGCTATGCCTTTCCCTTCCTCAAGATGATGTAAAATGCATGCACGAACAAAGCCTCCCATGGCTATATCAGTAATATAGCAAGCTGATTCTTCAATACATAGGATGCTTTTTTCATTAGAACTTGAATGACCCTCTTTAATTTGTATCCTTGTAGCTTCACCTTTTGAGCCCTCAGTGTAACAACAAGGAATCCATGTCAATGCAAGAGGCAATCTATGTGCATGACAGATAGATCGTAACACATCAACTATCTCGATCAAAGCAGCTCTTTTGTTGTCCGAAAAACACTGTAGAAGAGGAAATAATATTGTAAGGAGTGCAAAAATCCAGATAAAATCACATCTCATTTGCCCTGCCCCAAATGAAAATTTGAAGATGGTTTAGCTCTGCTTGCTTTGTTCTTACCTCTTGATTACGGTGGGGGGGAAAAACAATAGGCAAAATAAAATAAAGTTTATGCAAATACCTGCGGAAGAAGTCGAAGAGGCTTAGTAGTCCTTAAATTCACAAGCTGCAGAGAGTCATGATGATTACATTTGTCATTACTACCTTAAATTGTACTATAATATGCAAATTCATAGAACATGAAAGGTTAATTTTAGTAAAAAATAATTGTAAGAGTTCCTAGACCAACAAAAAGAGTTACTTTCCTAAGTAATTGAAGATTGCATCCATAGCTGAATTAATTGAGATGCTTGATGGTCTTTGAAATATTTTGGCAAAAATTAAAGAGATTTTTCAATCAAATGAATAGAAGATTCACTTTACAATAACTCAACTATTCAAATATGTGGCCTAACAGAATAGAGGATGTGTATACACGAAAATTATAGACTAGATAGAGTAATTATCAATAAATTATTTTTTCTTTTCAATTTTGGCAATAATCCTTAGTATGGACATTGGAACCATGATTACACAATACACATCCTTTAGAAATTCCTTTTCCAGCTTTTCGTCAACCATGGTGTGAGAACAATGTCAAATATACAGGTATGACAAATGAACGCACAATATACTTTGTTGGCCAAATGGTGAGAATAATAATAAATCTCAAATAATGCAAAACATATAAACTTTCATTTATGTGCGGTGAGACGGGCAAAGTGCAGAAAGGGAAGTAATGTAAAAAAAAAAGGGTAAATAAAAAGCTACCTGAAGTGCATGACAAACAATTTCCAATTCTCTGTCAAAATCTGGCTTTTCCTTTGTAGTCACAAGTTCCAGAACAGCACAACATGGCAGATCAGAGTATAGATCGAATACTGGAAAAGCAATTGATCCCCGAACCTTGTGATTAATTGCATGTTCAACCCTCAAGTATTCACTCATGCTGTAATAACCAACATTGGAAGTCCACTCAGGAACTTTGGAGATAAACACACGACCAGGAAGTCCTAGGAAACAACCCAATTTTCCTTCCGCAGAGAATGTAAATGTCCTTGACACTTCACGGTACCCTGCAAGCATTTGATCTAGCAAGTAAGGTTGCTCACTCGTGCTTAAGATGATTTGATCACCATGCTTTATAGGTACCCAAACTTGTGCCAATATTCCCCCACCTGCTGATTCCTTAAAGAAGGACAAAGCCCTCAACATTCTCTCATCAAGTGACAAACCAGGTGGCTTGGACATAGTACAATTACTCGTATCAAATGTATTAACATGTTGAGAAGAGCCATTATTTTTTAACTTGAAATTCAAGTTATTTGCATCAATTGTGTCATCTAAGAAACCAAGTGTGGTATCCATTTGTTGACACACAACTTGCTCCCGATAAGTGGGGGTAATTTCCGTATCATTGTAACTTTTGCCAACTCCTGACAAATTATAGCATTGCCCACTGTTCTGTTGGACTAGATTGAACCCACAAGGCGACGAATATGGTATCGAGCCTAATGATGGAAGCTCATTAGCCAAAATCTGATCATTTATGGATGAGCTATTGCACAAACCAGCATAAGTATCAAAGTTCATGAACTCAGATAAGCTATTTGGTATATCCTCTGATATTGAATTGCTCATTCCACCATCTAATGGCGTTGATGCCTCAAATTGAGCTCGAGAAGATTGGCAATACCCCATCTCTCTTTCATTAGGGGAAAAAGGGTATTCCATAGTTGGGTTGGAGATCAAAATTGATTAAAATTTAACCAATGTGGGAGTTCCTCTCTGTAACAAATTGCATGTGACAATACAATGTGGGAGTTCGACTTTCTTGAAGCTTGTAATAGTTTGTGCGCTCAAATTAGCTACCTTCATCATCAAGCAAATTAACATCAGCATAATCCCGAAAAAAAAAATGCAAAATCAATAATTAGCTAAACTGCACTATCACAAGTTCAAGATTCTTGAAAATTGCTGCAGATTTAAGCATTGCACAAGAATATGCTCCAGGCAGGATATTCAATCAAACTTAGCTAGAAACTTGCCCTTGCCTAGATGGAGAAGTTTTCCAAGAAAACAAAACAAAATTCTAATATCAATATGGATATTTAAAATTTACCAATTACACTAAGCAGAGCCATAAATTTATTTAAAATGCTTTACAATTAAATATCCATCTTACATAAATTACAATTAAACTAAATATTAAATATTAATCTACATCCATCCCATCTATTTTTGTAACTCATTTTCAACTGTCTTCACCACCCAAAAAACAAACCATCACACTTTAAGCCTTGTCTTTGCAACTAGAGAGTATCAGAATCCATAAATAACAACTTAAACCCAAAGATAATTTCAATCTTCAAAAAAGCACAATTAAACTAGATATAGAAGAGAAAGACATTTCTAACATATGCTGTGAACAAAATTAACTCTCAACAAGAAGGAAATTAGAGTTCCAATTCCCGAATGATGTTGGGGACAAGAGCTTCAAAGGAAGTACACGGAAAACATCGTACGTACGATAAAAGGGAAAGAGAATTCGTGAAACTTATCAAGGAGCGAGGAGAGCGATTCCAATCCTCGTTACAGTGCTTGAAATGTTAACTAAAGAGAAATGAAAAAGACTCGGTCGAAATTTTACAAAGAAATTGGAGATTGGCAATGTCAATATATATGAGTCCTAGAAATAGCTTTGGTAGGAGAGGCAACTAATTAATCACCGACCTCAAAATCCTCGAACCTGACGAAATCTTTGTTCATAGAATTCAACAAAACAGGGGCAGCTCAGCACTGAAGTGAATGCAGTAACATCAAATAAAAATAATGTAGGTTTCCATAAAAGGAAAGAAAAAGACAACATAAATTGATGGACGAAGTAGCAGAGAGAACGGGTTGCTAAAAATGGAAAGACGGTTTTCCTAGTCGTTTTCAACCCTTTGTACGGCGTCCTTTACTAAGTCATCTCGTCAGTTTCATCAGTGTCATATTTCAATTCAATGATTCCTTTGTGTTCAAGAAAATTTGTTGTTCCCATTTCATCCCAGTCATTTTTCATAATATTTTTTTTTCAAATCAAATTTATCATATTAATTAAAAAATTTGTTTTCAGTCATCCTTAAATAAATTAAAAATCCAACACTTCTTTGGTCTCACATCAGAACAAGAGATAACAACACCCTTTACGCTTCAACTCAAGACAACACTAAAAAACATTTTATTTTTTGAGCAAATATAAAGTTATCTTAGAATTTTGCTATTTCTATACGTTTTTTTTCTACATTTTTAGTTTTTTTTTGTTGTCCTCTTTTTTTTCACTTTCTTTTGATTTTTTTCTGTATAATTTGAAATTGAAAATTCTGTCTTTTTTTAATCCAATTTTAAACAGAAAAAAGAATTTCGAGTCATTTTCATTGACTCGAAACAATTAAAAAAAAGAATAACATTTCTTAAATTTGTCAAAAAAAAAAAAAGGAGAAAAATGCACAGTTCTTTGAAAAAAAATTTAAGTAATTATCTTACGCCTTTGGTCTCATCATCCCTTCAATTTCATCTTTGAACGAGTGGTACTACCACTCTTTTGCCTCATCTCGGAAGAGAGATACCGTCATCACAGATAAAAGAAGGATTTCAAAATATTTAATAACATTTATTTCTTTGTAACAAATACTTACTACATATACTTTCTCCTACAGATAAGGAGAATCGAGAATATTCTATGAAAATGTCACAGCAATACGTAAAAACAAAAGTTAAGTAAACAAGTATATCATTTACAAGAATATTACTAATTTATGAAATATGTAACATTCTATATTTATATTATCAATTATTTGATATTTATTAATGATAACATTAAATAATTTTTATTTATGTTGCATTGTATTCTGATACATAAATTATTATAAAAAAATTAAAAATTAAAATTATTCATTTAATATTCAAAAGATTAATTAAAAATTATAATAATAGAAAATTATTTTTTATTCTCATCTAATTATTAATTATTGTATAGTCCTAAATCATAAATTTTTACATTAATTAATTTTAAAATTATATAAACTGTATATAAATTAAATATTTTTAATATTTAAAATATATTGATTAGTAAATATTAAATGTGATCTGTAACAAAAAAAAATATTTATATTAGTTAATGAAATTTGTATTTTTAATAAAAATATATTTATACTTTTCAACCGGTGCCTAACAGGGCCCAAACTCTTACGCAGTCTCTATCGTATACCTATTTTTCATCACTCAGCTTTTATTTAAACAACCATGACGACCATTGACAGAAACTGTGAATCACGCACTGGGACTTGGAATCTTGGGATTGACAATTAAGATATTATATTTCCTTTTATTTTCGGATTTTATTATTCATAAAACTTAAATTTACTTCTTCAAGTAATTTTACTGTTATTTTATATTTATATTTTAAATTTTATTTTAATAATTCATAATAATATTAAAAACGATTTTTTATCAAAATAAAACTTTAATTAGAAGGTAACATAAAAAATACTTTTAAAAATTTACCTTAATTTCATCCTTCATTTTCTCATTTTCTTCTGATCTTATTTATTACGAAAATTGTTTGAGTTGACGCCGCCAACTGAACTGTGGGTATTCAATGCTAATGGGACACCTGGTTTTGGACAAGAAAAAATAAATTCAGATTAATTTTAAATAATTAATAATGTTTTAATTTGGTTTAACTAGAGTTTTAGAGTATGTTTGTTTACATTTTTTAAAAAGAGTTAAAAACTAAAATTACATGTATTTTTAATTCTTAAAAAGAGAAAAATCTTTTTAAAAATGCAAACAAACATATTTCTTATATTTTTTATTTTTTTAATCCTTCCTTCCATTTAAAAAAAATAGTCTTAAAAATTTACTTTTTATTTTCATTCAGTCCCCTCAAGAGCGATATATTAAACTGTTCTCTTTGTTTGAGACATCTGTGTTGGATTAAAAAAATTAGAAGTGTGTATATTTTGAGGTAGACAAATAATAGGAATGAAAACAAATTAATGGGTATTGTGATAGAAATAAAGAATGATATAAAATTTAATAGGTATCTACTGGTTGAGACATGAAATCTATTAGGAATAACTTGTGAATATCTAATAATTTTTATAAGGTCTACATTTTTTTTGAAATAAGTTATTTTTAATTTAGTTCAATAAATTTTAACGTTAAATTTAAAATAAAAATTACTATTTTAAAAATATCAAAAAAATGTTTAATAAATGAATATTTATCTAAATGCATACATGTTTCTCAATTGCTACACTAAAATTGGATTAAATAAAGGAAAAAGAAGTCGGTGACAAATGATAATTTTTTTAAAAAAAGTATATTGATTGATATGATAGAGAGAGAAAAACTTGTTATAGTTTTCACTATTTTTCCATAAATTTTTTAAAATAAAAAAATGATATTTATGTAATTAAAATATTAGAAAATATGTTATAAAGACATTGTTGTCTGTACAAGAGACATTAAATAATTTATTTTTTCATTTTAGTTTGAGATCTAAATCTTCTAATCAAACAGAGAGATGCAATCAACATGTCCAATGCAAAAAGATTCAATAAAGAAATTCCACAACTAGATTTTAAGCCTCCAAAACTTGTTAATTATTATGCCCTTTTACTTTTGCTATGTAGTTCTAAATTAGCTTAGCAGATAAATTCCAAATGGTTTATGCATAACAAACATGTTCAGAGCTTGCAAGATGCCAAATCATGTTTCTTTGCTGAAGTTTCCATTGCACCAAATCCCTAACTCCAATGGACCCTCTAATATGTAAGTAACTAAAAGAGTAATTAATAAGTGTTTTTAAGATGTTAATTATAAAGGTCAAGTTTTTTAGACAATGATAAATTTTTAATATAAACATTAATTTTTTAATCAATGTTGGTTCTAATTAATAATTTTTTTTTTCTCAAATACACAAAATATCAAATGTTTGATATGTTTTAATATTAAGACATCGCTTTGTTTTAATGAAGAAAATGATAAATAAATTTATATTCGTAATAATTATCTATCATATTAGATAATTACAAAATAAAATATTTTAATTAAAATTATTATCATTATCCATTTTTTAACCAGTGTAAAATAAATTAATAAAATTTAATATTAAAATATTATATTGTATTAAATTGTATAATTTTTTATTAAATTATATATATTATTTGATTTTTCATATGAATTTTAAAAATTGAAAATAAAAAAAAGTTTTTAGTTTAAGTTTGATTATAAAGTTCAGTTCTTGAATTTGAAAAAATAAATTATTAAAAAATTGTTTGCGTGATATTTTTTTGATAAAAAGTATTAGGAATGTATTTTATAAAAATATGAATTGATTTAAAAAAATAAAGAGAGTATAAGGTATGAATGAAAATAAAATGAAACAAAGTTATCATAATATGAGGATTTTAAATTCGCCATTTTTATTAGATGAAAATGTTTTCGACTAGAATAAAATTTAATATTCTTATAGAATAGATTAAGATATTTTTTTAATTCACCAAAGATTAATGATAGAATAAATTAAATAAAGTATCTTATTTTATTTGCTAACTAAGAAAAAGTAAGAACGAGTAAAAAAGAGAAAAAAAAATATTTTGTTTAAGATGCCTTATAAAAACATTCCTATTTAAAAATAATGTTTGACATTCAACACGTAGAGATAGATAAAATTGAGATTAATTTCATATAATATTTTTAAAATAAAAATGTATAAATAAAAAATAAAATTAAATACTGAACACAGGAACTATTATATAATTTCTAAATATGTTATCGTTTAGTAATCATAACTTAGATTTATAATAAAATGAAATTTTTTTTATTAAATAATTGTGTTTATTATATAGAAAATACAAATTTATTTAATTGTTTATTTAAAGTCGTTTAAATTGCTTAATATAATATATTTAATATTTAAACCTACATGTACATAAATACAAAATAAAGGGAGAATAACTTTAAAAATACTAGACCAAGCTTATTATATTTACTATTAAGCCTTCAGAGATTGTTTTACCTGAATTAGCAGTTTTTAATTAGAATATTTGACTGTTTTAAAACTAAGTAGGAATAGTTTTACTGCTAATCATAATCATAACAAAAACAGTAATTATATTCTTATTTGACAAAATGTTATTCTTTCTTAAATAACATTTTTATTAATTGATTGTTTTAATGTTGGGAAGCACTGCACTGTATTAACAAAAAAATTATACAAAATTTTCAATTGATTAACGCGTTCCTTCCGGAGGGTTGAATTTGTTATTTGTAAATGAGGTAATTATTTTAATTAAAAAATGATAAGCATGGAATAACTATAATTAATTAATAACTGTTTGAAGGTATTATAGCATTTAGGAAGAGGCAGTGAGCAGTGACGCTCAAGTCATGAAAAGAATTTCAAGGAGAGAAAAAATAAAATAAAAAAGGAAACGGTCTTTTCAGTGTGTTATTTGAGCGAATGGCGATGGAAGCATGGAGGAGCTCTTCCTCAACCTGAACGCTTCAAACATTCACACTTCATTCTCAGAGATCGCATCGCAAACACTTTGCGTTTCAATAAATCCATTCTATCAGCCTCTTCGATCCTTTCATTAGCCTTCCCATTCCATTCCTCGCATTTCGGTATGATTTCTTAGCCTTTAATATCTCTCGTTGCCATTTTCTCTTTTCGCATTCTCTCTTTCGTGTAATTTTCTTTATCGTCGATTATTGTTCATTATGTCTCTGCAAAAGAAGGAATATTCTCTTTTCGTCCCTAGCACTGTTTATCAATCGAATTTCCAAACTTTTTTTTTTTAAAGTCAAATATTCTCTATTGGCATGAATTTTAGGGGTTTATGTGAAAAGTTAGTCATTGACATTGGTGTGATTGGTGGTTCTGGTGGATGATGATTGGTGGTAGGGGTTGCTGAGAAGGTGTGCGAGAGGAGTGTGATGAATTGTGGCGAGGAAGACAAGAAATGGAATTGTGGAAAAGCTGGTGCTGTCAATTTGCGAAGAGTGAGTTCCATCGTACGCGACATTGGGGATCCGTGCCTCTCTCAGTCGCCTGTAAAGGTTGTTGTAACTGTAAGACTACAACTCCGCTGGATTTTATTAGTTGCTTTGCTTGTACACAAGTTTAATTGTTCATTACTACATTCGTATAATTGTATAGTAGGTATTCTGGACTGTTTTTTTACTCTTGGATGTTAGTTGGCAGCATTTTGTTATTCTTGAACAATTTGTTATGTTACGTTGTCACTATTGTAAAGCATTTGTTTGAGGATTCTTTTGAATGATGCCTTTGTGTAAAATGGCTGTTGATAATCAGTCAAAAGTGCCCTTATGTAATTTGATGCCAGTTCATCAATTGCTCTTTCTTAGGTCTTCTTCTACAGTGGAATACATATTGATATTTGAGAATCTCTTGGCTACTCCCTCACTCCCCTTCTGCGATATAAACTAAACACATATATTAATGGAGATTCCCTTCAGTTTCTCATTTGAACCATTAGGCATATAAAGAGATCTTGTTGTTTATTATAGATACAAAATCTTGTTATAACATGACTTGTTTAATTATTTTAATATTCTTCATGGAGCAGGTAAAGAGGAAGCTTAAACCAGACAAATGGCAAGCCATGTCTGATGGTGAAGGAAAGGTGTTTGGTTTCCGTAAGGCGCTAAAATTGATTGTGTTAGGGGTATGTTGTTATTTATGCTGTAATTCTTCTTTTCTTTGTCTACACCATCTTCATCATTGTCAGTTCATCATCATAATTATCTTCTTCCAAATTAGAATGCTGCATGCTCATGAATTGGTGTCCCTTGTCATCTTTTATTGGACAAAAATGGTTGTGCATGGTAGTAATGGATTTGACAAACCTCCTTAACGTTTTGTAATATCAATTTAGTTTTACTGTCTGTAAGTTATTGAGGTATTCCTTGTCAGTGGTTGTCATTGACTTCTTGTTTTGTAGGGCTAAATTTTGGGCATGTCATACAACTTAGTGGTGTGAATCATCTTAACAATATTTCTATTGAAGTCATATGCTTGGGAGTTAGGCATCAACTTGAAGGAGGATTTATTTATTTGTTACCTTAAATGAAATTTTGGATGTTGCTGTTTATAATTTAAAAAATGAATAAAATCACAGGTTACATGGTGCACTACTTATGTCACTTTGGTATGTATAGTCTTGAGAAAAATGAACAATAAGTATTTTGTAAGATGTTTTATATGGTGCTTTGTAAACGTGATAAATAGTAGGCTTTTTATCAGGCCTCAACTTCTACATGAAAATTGTGAACAAGTTGGGTGGGTTGAACCTAGTCTATATTCACTGTACTGCATTCATTGGTTTCTTTCCATTGTCAACAAAAAAATAGTTCAATCAATGAAATTGTTTTCACCAGGACATTACAGGCAACGCTCGTGCTCTTTTAATACTGCATTTATGCACATATCAAAATTTGTATTCATACAACCATAACTCCTTCATTTACCATAGGCTCAAATCTGTTTCACTTAAGCAACCATTGAGCCATTCTGCAGCCTCAGACGGAACCCTTACTATTTTAATTCATATGCTGAAGGCCTAATAAAATGCATTTTATATTTATCATATTTACAAAACACTATGTAGAAGGGCTTTATTTGAACTAATCTGGTTTGTGGACAGTATTTTACTTTATTGCTACATTCTGAATATATTTATTGTAGATTACTTGACATTTAACTTAAATTTATGAGTTTATTTTTCTTTTCCATCAATACGAATGTATACATCTGTACTCAAGAAACATCATACATGCGAGTTTCAAAATTTCTTCCTAAAATTTAAACTAATAAAGTAATTGTTGGTCTTTGCTGATTTTTTACACTTTTTCACCCCTTGTGTGTTAGGGTGTAGATCCATCAATAAGACCTGAAGTTTGGGAGTTTTTACTAGGTTGTTATGCACTTAGCAGCACTGCTGAGTATCGAAGAAGGTTGAGAGCAGCTAGGAGGTACGGGTCCATCCACTTTGATTTCTTTTTCTCTAGTATTTTCTGGATCCTAGAAGAAAGTTGCAACATAGAACTTGCTAAATTCAATATATCTGTCATGGATGAATATGGCCATGTGACAATGCATAGAAGGATACGTTCTTTTGGCACTGGCAACTATTTGTGCAATTGTGTCAACAATTGGTAGTGTGATTGTAAAATGCATTTGGCATTCAATGACCGCATGATTTATTTCAGCTAATGTAGCACCTTTCCTAGGTTCTTGAGATGTAATTATTGACATCCATGAGGAACTTTCCTTGCAGGGAGCATTATAGTGATCTGATTAAGCAATGCCAAACAATGCATTCAAGTGTAGGAACTGGTTCATTGGCATATGTTGTTGGATCCAAAGTGATGGATATGAGGACTTCATCCAAAGATGAAAGGAAAGAGCAACCTAAAATAGAAAGATCGACTTATAATTATAATGATATTGAAGTAGGAAAACATAGTGATAGGAGCATTACTTGTACAGAGGCAGCAGATGCAAGCCATAGGGAAAGTTCCAATAATGGGGTTGATCTATTTAGTTTGAGAGCAAGCACTGATAATGCAACATATGATTCTTCTGGTCAAAGAAACTCTAGTTCCCCAAAGTTAGAGAGAGAAGCAGAGGGATCACATTTTGTGATTGACAGTAGTTTTGATTTTCCTTCTTTACCTGTCTCTAATCTGTTTGAAAAGAGTGGTAAAGATAAGAAGTCAGGCACAGAGCATTATGATAAACTTCCTGCACAGGACAAATCCAGATTTGAAGATGACAGTATGCATAGTTTTCGAATTAATAACAATGTAGACTTAGTTATTGAATCTAATAGCCAACAACCTCTTGCTGCCTTACATCCCATGGACTCTGAAATTGAAATTGCTTCTCCTGATGAGGAAGAACCGGAATTTCTGTCTGACAAACCAGTTTATGAATTACAAATGGTAAATCAACTCAAAATTTCAGATGTACCACAGCCAGCAATGATAAGTGCCTCGGTTTCTCAAGAATGGCCTGTCAGTGAAGATAGAGTATCAGAATGGCTATGGACCTTGCATAGGATAGGTACCTAAATTGAATAGTGTGCCTCTCTCTTCCCCTGTAGTTTAACAGAGAAAGTTTATCTTTTTTTTACAGTAGCATATGTTTTATTCTGATATTCTTTCTAGCTAATGATATTATTGCTTTCCAGTTGTTGATGTTGTGAGGACTGATAGTCATCTTGAATTCTACGAGGACGCAAGAAATTTAGCTAGAATGTCAGATATTCTTGCTGTCTACGCATGGGTTGATCCAGAAACAGGATATTGTCAAGGTTATGTTTTTTCCTGGGAATTTCTCAACTTATTGCTGATGATTGTGTTCTTTTATAGAGTCCTTTTACACTGACTTTGGATCCAAAACTTAAATTCTTTTTACTGAATATGGAATTTTAGGTATGAGCGATTTGCTGTCTCCCTTTGTTGTAATCTTTGAGGATAATGCAGATGCATTTTGGTGTTTTGAGATGCTTTTAAGGAGAATGGTATTTGCAAATTTGGCTAAAGTTCGACAAAGTAACTTTGTTTGCTGTGACTGACCTGTTTTCGTTCACATATCTCCAGAGAGAAAATTTTCAAATGGAAGGCCCAACTAGAGTGATGAAGCAGCTGCGAGCATTATGGCATATTCTTGAACTGTTAGACAAAGAAATGTTTTCCCACCTGTCAAAAATTGGTGCTGAAAGTCTCCATTTTGCATTTCGTATGTTGTTAGTTCTCTTTCGGAGAGAGTTGTCTTTCAATGAGGCTCTTTCAATGTGGGAGGTTTGTGCTCCATGCTTCCAATCCACCCCCTCCCCTCCAAAAAACAAAACTCATCATTTTTTTAAGGTTTTGAAATTAAAAAAAAATGTAAACAGTAATAGTTAATCTTAGAGAAACTGCTTTCTTCTGTGTTGTTGATTCAGAAACAAGCATGTCTAATTTTGCTGTAGATTTTTTGAGGTAGAGTTTGGTTGATTTACTTTACTACAATAGGTCAATTGAAAGGTGGAGATTAACTTTACATACCTTGTGACTGTTAATTTGATTAAATTTATAGGTCTTAGAAAGCCTGATATGATTTTTAAAAGCTCATTGACAAGTTATTTCTATAATTCATTGACTTCAGACATAAGTCTTGAACACTTACTCCAGTTAATATCTTTTTATGTAATAAGAATTTAATAAATTTAATTATTGAATTATGTGATATTATCTTGATCATTTACAAAATTTTAAATAAATTAAACATTCATAGATATCTTATCTTATGGTTGATATCTACTTGTATTTTAAAAAATATAGTATCTCCTTAAATTGAAGGCAATTGATAAAATATTAACTAATTTTTAAGTAGTATGACATTTTGTAGATTTGATCTACTTAGTGAATATTTCAATCCAATAATTAGATCGATGGAATTTAATGTCTATATAAATTTTATTAAATGAAAATATTTTCTTGGAGCTAGTGGATCCTCATCCATACATATGTATTTTGGTGGATAACATTAATGAACTCTTCTGATACATCATTGTTTTAGTTGGTCAATGCATGATCACAATGTTCTTATGTAATGCAGATGATGTGGGCAGCTGACTTTGATGAATCCTTGGCATTTGATTTAGAAGAGAATTGTTTGGAGGCCTTGGAGGTACATCTTCCTAGAGACTCAAGCAATGATATGAGAGAAGAAATTGAAACTAATGATGGCAGCATGAAGAGTGGTTCACAATCAAATCACAATGAAAATGACAACACAAAAGCCAGCCTGCAGTCAAATCATGGGAACACTAATGATGTCAAACTGAAGTCACACTCATCCCATAGCTTTTGTGGCTTGGCAAGGAATATCTGGCCAAGAAACAATCAAGTTCAAATGAACAGTATTTCCTCCTTAACAAGAAAAGAAACTGATGAGTTGGCCATATTCTGTGTCGCAGCAATTCTAGTTTTAAACCGCCAGAAGATCGTTCGAGAAACTCACTCTTTTGATGATATGATAAAGGCAGGCGCATTAAACTTCTATTCCTACTTTTTATTCAGCAATTAATTGCTGTTATGAAAGTTCTATTGATTACTATTATACTATTTTTACATTTTTTTACAGCTTATGTTAATATTGTCAAATGCTGGGTATCTTGGTTTAGATTATGATTTGAAGTGGAAATCTGAACTGATAGTGTATATTATTTTTTAAAAATCTTCTATTTTACTAAGCAATTTATTTCTTCATGATGTTTTCAAATTATCACTTGTGCAATGATTTCATATCTTGGTGTTATTATTTAATGAGGTATGATGTACTCTGTATGGAAAGGTGAGAGGAGCTTGCTTGTTTGATAACTTTCTTCTCTTGCATCAACTTATACCTGGATATGGGGTTACTATTTGTTTCTAAAACTCAATTGCCAATTTTTTTCTATTTTTTTCTCAGAAGGCCATGTTCTGTTTATCTTTTTTTATTTTGTACAATTTTAAGTCCCTCTTTAGTGATGTTCCTGAATCATTATATGAAACTAATTTCTGCCCAGTCTTAAGAATATTTGTTTCAACTTTGTTTATCCAAGTTTACTTTTACTTCTAGTTCTTTCGATTCATACTACAAAAAAGGAAGAAAAGAAACCAATTGAGGGATTGTTGTTCATTTTCTAACTTTATATACCAAATTGACATATTTTAGATGTTCAATGACAAGATGTTGAAGATCAACGTAAAAAGATGCATAACAACAGCAATCAAACTCCGAAAGAAATATTTTAACAAGGTAAGCCCCAAATTAGTTATTTTCCTCTACATTTTATTTTCTCCAAATATGCAACTTACTTTTATCTGTATTTTTAATATTTTGATGGTGAAATTGAAATCTCATCTCTTGACAGGTAATCAACAAAAAGAGCTATGTTGCACAGCAAGGAAACTAAGGTTATATCATTGTAATATGCTCGACATAAAAGCACTGAATCACAAAGTATCACTTGTATGGCTCAGCATTCCCACATTGGAGTTTGGTGTTATAACTTTTTAGCCATTACTTATCCACTTTGGACGGGAGTCTTTGTAAGATAAAGTGATTTTGCTTTTGGAGGTTCACCCAGCTGTTGTACTTCGTTACTCTTTTTTTATGAGGTAATGTCACTGTGTTCTGCTTTACCTTTTGTTTGGTTGCTTAACTTTTGATGGTTTCTATACAGATTCCTTGATGGTCTTTCCCAAGGCATTTCTGTAGTGTGTTGCAATTAGAATTCAGTTCCATTCCAGTTCTTGGAAATTTGATGCATATTGATTACCCAAAAGAGTGTTTTGCAAGGCAGCATTGATAAGCTTAGGGTATAACTATAAAGAATAAACGGAGAATTATCAAGCATATCTGTTTTTGAAGGCAAGAAGTACATGGGGAATCTAATATATGACCAATATCTGTTGAGAGTGAATGTGTATGGCTGTTTTTTTTTTTTCTGTGGGGATGGGAGTGGTATCTATTTGTTGCTTCTATTTATTTGGAACTGTGCCCCGAAGAAACTAAATAACTAAACAATGCAGAAGGTGCTGTTTTTGCGTTTGTAGCTTCTGCTGGATGAAGAAAATTGTGTGGCCCTTTGCCCATTTAACCCATGGTTGAATGTGGCTATTGGAATGAACACTACGTTCCTGTTTAAGGGATTCTAAGGCTTCCAAAACTTATTTCATACCTTCTCACACTTATGCACTCAAGTTCTTTGTAAATAAAATTTCAGTCTGTAATTGATTAACACCGCACGATATCCAGTTTGACATTTCTCTAGCTTCCTTTCACCAGCAGTGCTGATCATATCTCACAAACAATTTCAATTAATTGATTACTGGAATCTTCTCTAGAACTTTGACTTTAGATTATTTATTTAATGGATAATGTAGTATAGCTTGTTAGAAATTGATTAAGTTGGGATTCCATTCCACGTTTTTTTTTTTAACTTCCCTCTTTAGCTTTTCTGGTCTAAGCTAAGAGTTTGTTCTATGAGGAATGTGTTTGTTTTCCTGAAGACCATTTTAAAGATTTGTTTCCCTTTTATTAGTATTTGAATTTTTTTCCCATGGCTTATGTTTTATTCCCTCTCTTTTCCTTTTCTTGAAGCCAGTGAAAAGATTGACAAGGGGATCTTTCATCACTCTGGTTGCTCCTCGGTTTGATCACTTTGCAGTCTTGGATTATTGGCACAGATTATGCAACTAAATTTCTTTCATTGTACCTTTGCTTCAGCTCATATTTCTTGAGAAAATCTTATGCGAGAAAGGGGAATATTATAGTATATGTAAACGTATATAGTCAATTTTTGTGGTGGTTTTCGTCGAAAGAAGGAAGAATTTATAATGGTTTATACACGCTGCAAGATAATTTCTTTTCCTTTACGTGACTTTAATTGCTGAAACTCACAAAGGACAAAGGGGGTATTATTCATGTATTATTCTTCATCTTCAGAACACAAACAAATATGTTTAAAGTTTAAACTGCGCATATCTGAATCCACACTAAACATTCGATTTCGCCTATTTCTAATTTGGGTTGCCCTTATTTGTGTATCGACAATTTCGACGTATCTCTCCTTGCTTGCCTGTTAAAACTCTGATATTCCCCATATGGTACATTGACTCAGCAAAGGATTTCTTTAAGTCTTTAAATCCAGCAGCAAATTCTTCGGTGATCTGTTCAGTGTCATTACTTTTTCGTAATTGTTGATCAATTCCCAGTATAGCCTGGTCATCTAGGACCCTTTTGTAGTATGATTCTGTAAAGTTGTAAGTTGATCCAGATTCTGGGTTTAGGTATACCAGTGGGTCTGGTTGTCCCTTCCTTCTTGGTGGACAAAGTTCTCTCAATGTCTCTAATAAAGTAGCAGTCATGCTTGGGTCTGCGTTTCCAGTGCCATTGAAGTTGTACAGCCGATCAACAACATACCTACAATGTGTTCGGCCTATTGTGTGTGCTCCTGTGTTGACATGAAACAAACAGGTGAATCTTTTTACCAAAAAAAAGAGTACGAACACTTTTGACCAAAAAGTGTAGAACATACTAGCATGTAATTTGTACTGGATTGTAATCTTGCCTTACCTAAAAGTGCCGTCAAATCCACTTCATCCAAGCCCCTCGATGCGAAATATGCTAGAGCTTCCTGCAGTGAGATGGATGGTGATGGCAGGTCTACTGATGCAGCATCTGATTGCATGCCATCCTTTCTTCCTGTTATAACCTGATAACCTGGTCCACCTGCCTATTGACATCAATCCTCAAATTGGTTACTGTATTTATTTTCCCCCCTTTACCCCTTCTTAAGAGGAGAGTTGGTAGAGGGCAAGTGGATGGGGTTGAAAGTAGATTAATCTGTTTCATGATAGAAAAGGGTGTTGAAAGGGTACCAGATGAACAGCATCCCTGGTGGCGAGATGGAGTATATCAGAACAGGAGACAATTCCAGGGCATCGTGATTCCAGAACAGTTTTGATTTTGTCAATGATCACAAATCCTCCCAGCCCCTGGTTTTGTGGTGCTTTTTTCTCTGGATTTGGTCCTTCATCTAGCAGAATTGATGCGTCACATCCCTAAGCCACATAATAAGATTGAAGTTTAGAGAGGGGAAAAATAACAAAACCATTGGTAATGTGCTGACTGCTGAAATAAAGGTAGTGAAAACAAATCATGCGTCACATAACTGGTGTTCTATGTTTGATACTCTACTCATTAAACTCCAAATACCTATATGATCGAAAACGAACTGAATTTAGTGCAACCTCAATGTATATCTTTCGACAACTTAACCTCCCAAATATACTCGTCAAGGATTGGTTATTTTATTATCTCTCTTAACCAGTAGAAGCTAGTAAGGAGTAGGACTTACAGTGACAAAACAGTCAGAATAAACCATTCGAAGTAGCTTTGCAACAATGCTTCTATCATGCTGATAAAACAAGGTCACTTGGTGCCGAACATACTGCTCCACGTAGCGGCATGTATTGTTGATCTTATAGTAATGCAAATGCATGTTCGGCGGTGGAGGTCTTAATGCTGCCTCTGCCATCCCTTGACACATGCTTAGCACTGCAAGAGCTACAAGTGGGAAAGCCACACCCATCATTCTCCCCATTTTGGTCACTGCCTCTACCAACTCGCTCTTTCTCCTTCTCTCTCTCTCTTTCTATGCCACTAGGCTTGTTGTGCAGCACTGCTAATCACGTACTCCCTCTCACTGCTTATATAGAACACACCCTGGTGCCATAACCGTCCATAACATCAGAGTGGAATATAAATAAAGGAAAGTAAAAAATCCACATAGAATAATGTGTTTCCAATTTGATTTGCGCTCAAATTTGAAATAAAATCCAAGCATTGCGGCACCATGTGACGGAAGAGTGAGGCATGGAGCTGTTCACATGCACCGAGGCGTTTCAACATCCTTCTAAAAGCATTTTAATGCTGTGACGTGGGGGGTAAGGAATAGAGTTGGAGCATCATACCACTGAGGAAGACCTATGGCTCCCCCAACAAAAGTAAAAATTTCAGTAACTATATACGTTTTATTTAGCAGACTCTTCTAATAAATTAAGAGATCAAATTTTTTGGTTTAAGTTCTTTTTTAGCAGTTTATTTTTTAAAATTTAATTAATTAAAGTTCAAATATCATCACCAAAGTTTTAAATTATAAAAAAGGATGAATAGATATTTTTTATATATAAATAGTCATTTATATTTAATTATGATATAATTGTTAATGATGTCAAACATTTAAAATAATAAAAAATATTAATATGAAAAAGAATAAAAATAATACTTTAAATAAGCATAATTTTGTATTAATGATGTTAGGACAGTCAATTTTGTTTACATATGTGTGCATATTATTTGTGTATGTATGTGCATGTAAATTTTCAATTATATTACTTATTTGTTCTTGAATCTCAATATAATTAATCAAACTCTGCACTAATAAAGAATGTGCTTTCCACGTTGCCACAGACTTGAATGTGGGGTCTTGTTCAATTATGATACTCTAACAACTAGTGTGATTCTTTTTGTTGATCCAATATTTCCTATAAATCGAGGAAAGTATGCGTTTTTCTATGCAAACAGTGGGTATTATGGATACAAGGTACTCCATCTGTCACTTTCTGATTATTGATTAATCTATGCTACTGCATGTGCCATCCGGGTTTCATTTGTTCATGCCACGGATCCGATTAATTCTTTTGTTTTTCTAATGATGAAACCAAAAGTGCTTCCACTGAACTAAGTCCCAATAATCACTGAAACAAATCAACAAGAAATTTTGGTTTAACTGGAAGGAGGAAGGGAAAAATTTCCGAGTATTCTTAATTAATTGAAAAGAAAGAAGAGGTAAACGTTGGTTAGTAGTTTTTTTATAAAGAATAATGAGCTTATTCCTTCTTTAAATATACTTTACTATGTTGACTTTGACGCAACTTAATTTTAAAGCTTTTGACTGTTTAATGTGGAAAACATTTCCAGTTGGATCACAGAAGGTATAGCTCTTTCTCTTTCTCTTCATTAGCTTGTAGATTGTGCAAGTGATAAGTAAACATCATGACCAAAAAAAGGTTAACATGTGAATTTGGCCAATAATCCTTGTATTAGCAGAATAAGTAAAGTTGGAGCTAATTTTTGTCGGCTGGAAAAGAAAAAAGTGAGATTTTTAGCATTAGTTGATCTAGAAATTAGAAAACGAGCTTAAAATTCATGTTAACAAGCGAAAGCAAGCTTAGTTAAAGAGGCTTTTATAATTATATGTTAAGTAAATGTTACTTTTCCCTAAAACATTTATCATTCCTGTGTGTTATATACGATGATGATGAGTAATATTAAAGCGTGGCAACAACTTGCAATTGGCAATGCAAGAGTACAAAGAAAACTGAGCAAAATCAACTTGTTGTCTTGCGAGTTGAATTAAGAAGTGGGCTTAAGTGAATGCAAAGTTAGTTCGTAATAAAGTTTTTTTTGTTGTTGATGTAAAGGTTTAAGTTGGTTATTATTAATCATTCATTTTCACGTCTTTTTTCTTTCTTTCTTCCATTCTTTATTTTTGTTATATTGTGTGCTTTAGCCTCTTGTTTTCAATTTTCAAAATAAGAGCTTGATAATGAAATAGTAAAAAATAGTCATAGTAATAGCTAAATTTAAACTTTCTAGAAGTCAGCTTTTTAAAAAAATATATATATTATTGACAGATGATATAGTTTGTGTTTGGTTTCAAGATAATTTATTGACAGATGATGTATATTTTTACACCATAATCTTTGTCAAAGGTTGAAGGAGTAAGCTTCAGATGTATTTTAAGCCCAGATTATGCTAGACTCATTTGGGGCTCCCTTACTATTGTTATTTTCCTGCAAATTATTTCTTTAATTGTTTTTATAGGTTATTTTCTAAAATGTTTTAATGGTCTAAGACACTTTATATATTTGTATACGAATGTGTTATATTTTTTTATTTGCTTTTAACAAATGAAGTTGATAGAAAATTAAATCAAATTTAGCAAAGATAAATGTTAACAGTGAAATTAGGTATAATGATATTAAATAAAAATAAAATTATCATGTTATAATAGTCTTTAAAAACTTTAAGAAATTAAGTAGCTTTAATTACTTTTATTGATTTATTATTTTTGTTGAATGTTCCTTGTATAAAGCTTTAGGTTTTAACATGTTTTATCTCCAAAGAAAAGGTGGTGAAAAATAAGAAAAGAGATGAAAAATGTTTTATTTAAAATAAAATCTCATTAAGCATCCATGTTACAGATCTTAACCACTTCAGGAACCATAAGCCACAATAAGATACTTTTTATACTGTAGCCTTTTCATAATCTTGTTCATATGCCCAACAGTTTCATTTGTTTTTCAATGCTTTTTAGTGTGAAAGCTCACGAATTGGACCTCCCTTTGTTCCTTCGAAAAAGAAAAGTTTGATTGTTTTTTTATATCTAAAAGGCTTGTAATTTTTTAAACAAGAATTTAAAGAACTATTATAATTTTTTTTATTTGAGTTTTTAAATATATTTAATAAAATTCATAAAGATTAAATGAATTTTGAAATACCTTAAAAATTAAATAAAAATCATTATATTTTTAAAAATAAATAAAAAATAAATTTTAAAAAATCATTTAATAAGAATACATGTTTAAAAAATACAAATAAAACCAATTTTAAACCTAGGAACAAAAACTTAGGTCTTGTTTAGAGTAATTTTTAATTTTATAGTTTTTATTTTTAATTTTTCTAATTTTAATTTTAATTTTTAATATTAAAATTTTAAAAAAAATATACTCATCATTTATTCATAATATTAAATAAATCATTTTTATCTTTGATAAATTTACTAAAAGTTATAGTCACATTGATCCTTCTCTTCGATTACTTCGACTATTTTTAAACATTTAGCATTTTTAGGGATAGAACCTTAAGACTTTTATCATATATATATATATATATAATATAAATATAAATGATTTTTTATATTATATATTTAGTTTTATTTAATAAAAAAATAATTAACAACAATGATAATAATAAATAGTTATAGTGATTTTAATTAATAGTAAGAGTAATTATAATAACAATAGTAAAAATGATATTATTAGTAATAATAGTAATATTATTATTGGTGAATAATTATGGTGATTAAATAATGGTGGTAGCAACTAACAAGAAATACAATAATGATGGTAAGTGGTTAAAGTAACTATTAGAAAAATAATAATTATATAAAAATTATTTAAGGTAGTACAATAATAATAATGAAAGTAATAGAAGAAGTAGCAATAATGCAATGGTGTGAGAGTAAATGGTCGTAGTAGTGGTAATATGGCAAAGTGTAAGTGTAAGTGATGTAAATTATAATAATAGCTAGGAATGACAATAACAATGATAGGGACAATAATATAATAGATAATTCATGTAATTGAGAAAATGAAATAAAAATAAAGGTAACCAGTGTTAAAATTATTGAAATAATAAAATTGTAGTGATAATAATAATAATAACAAGTAATAATATTAACTATAATGATAATAATAAAAAATATAATTTTGTTAACCTTAATCCTTAGAACTGAATTTAATTATCTACAAATAGAAAAATTTTATGCAAAAAATATATAATTATTATATTAAAGTTATAAAAATATAATAAATATATCTCTTTTCAATAAAATTTTATTTGTTTATCATCGATTCTAAAGGTTGAGTTTAAGAAAATTCTAAAAAATAATAACAATGATTATAACATTTTTAAAAATTATTAATTTATCAACAAAATATTAACAATGATGATAGTAGATGCTGCTAATGATTGTGAAAATAATATATAAGTTTTTAATTAAAAATAATTATATAATAAAAAGCAGAACACTTTTATTTTCAAATATTAAATTAAATTAACTTAAAAGTCAAATTAAAAATTAATTAGCTAAACATATTATTAGTAAAAATCGTAATACACATTTTATTTTAATAAATATTGTAATATAACTTGTCCAAATAATTTTTTAAAATGATTTAAAAATAGAATTAAATTTATAAAAAATCTTCATATTAAAAAAAAAACAAGTACTTAAATAAATAATATCTGAAAAGGGACCATGTATGCATGCATTTAAAAATCTTAGAAAGAGAAGATGTTGGTGTGAGGATAGAGCAGGGAAAAGGGTGAAAAAGGAATATGGAAGGAGAGAAAGGTAATTTGAAGTTCGTCCCGTACAAATTCCATGTATAGTGGCCCAGTGGGTAAGGAGTTGCAGAAAATCTTAATTCCTTAAAAGGCAACTTCTTTTTTCTTTTATTTTTATTTTTAATTTAATTTAATACTCTCTGCAATTTCATTTCCACCTTCAATCAAAACCCCCCTCTGCTTTCGCTCTCTTATCTCTCTCTCTCTCTCCTCCATTACCTTCCTTCACTCTTAGGACTATCGCTTTCAATCTCTCTCTCTCTCTCTCTCTCTCTCTCTCTCTCTCTCTCTCTCTTCGATTTGGATTTTGGGTTTTTTTTTCTTCTCAATTTTCGTTTTTGCTTTTATGGTGCTGGGTGGGTCACTGTAATTGGCGGGAAGCAACCGCGAATTCCGGTAGCTCTGTGTGGAAAGTTTGAAGCTTTGGGGTGTTTGAAGAAAAAGGGTTATTTTCGTCATCGATGGCGAACCCATCTGGGAACCATCAAGAGCACGCTCACGTGTCGTCTTCGGCTCCCGAAACTTCAGGTGCTGCTCTCGCCATGAAGCACAACCCTGGCATATCCCTCGATTGGACCCCTGAAGAGCAAGCCATTCTTGAAGATGGACTCACCAAGTCAGTGTTTTTTTTTTTTTTTGCTTTACGTTTGATTTTTGAGCTTCTCTGGAGATTTGGGAATTTTTTCGTCACAGGTTGGGTCTTCTCCATATGCAATTACCAAATCTCATCTTTGTGGTTTATGTGATATATTGATGTTGGAAGTGGGTTTGATGGCTTTCTAAGCTAAGCTATGCTAGCTGGGTTAGCTCAAGTTCAATAGGAAATCGAACCCATTTTCTCTTTTGTTTTTGGAAGTTTGTTTATTGAGCTGATGACTAGCCTTATCATTAATTGAACATTTTAGACTCAATTATGCTTCAATTTCTAACTTAATAAACTTTTATTTTTGGTGTTTAGTAAAAAATAATAGTAAATTAAGGAATTAAATATTAAATTAAAACATTATTATCATTATTATTACTAAAATGTATATTGAGTCAGCTAGGGGCTAGATAACAAGTCGAATGTGAAAAGCTTAAGCTTGTTTGTAATGAGCCAAATGCATGAATTCGCTATACTCACTTCGCTTCCCACTCTACATGATACCAAGTGGACACATGGATGACACTTTTAAGCTAAGCTTTCAGTCTGAATCCGAGAGTATCCAAAATTTTGGGATGTGGGTGTTCAGAGCTATATTCAAAATGAGTTGTGTTTGTCTTTCTTGGTCGTCATTTTATAAATGGATGCTTACTTCAGTTTACAGAAGATTTATCAGAATTTCAGAAACTAGGGCAACCCAAACCTGATTATATATGTATGAGTGAAGATATCTTGTACTGGTTGATCCTCATCTTCTTTTGGTTGTAATGGCAGTTTGAATTTTGAAATTAATGCCAACATCTTTGTCAATAACGATATTTAAATAATTGCTTAAATATCATCTTGATTTGCTTTCTGTACTTAGATTTCACAGTAAATTCATTTTGTTGTAATACTGTTTAACACTGTCTTTTTATTACCTGCGTATTTGTGAAGTCCTGTATGGGTAGTCATTAAACTAATGAAAATTCCAAAATTTTCCTTTTAGGTATGCCTCAGAGTCCAACATAGTACGCTATGCAAAGATAGCCCTACAGCTACAACATAAAACTGTCCGTGATGTAGCACTGCGAGTCAGGTGGATGAATGTAAGCTACATACTCGTTGGTTTCTGTCTTAAGTTGTTAATGTTGTTGTGAAAACCTATTTCACCCAAGTTGATGATGGTGCTATTACATGAGGTATAAGTGTATGGCCATTGATTATTGAACAATTTGGATCATGTAGCACCAAGGCTGCAACTTCTAGCATACCATGATTTATTTTAAATATTGTCATAAAAGTGTTCAATGGTTTAATGCGGGTACATCATGATTGTTAGAATTTCTTGCTCGTTGGAGACCTGAGAATCTTATCTCAGATGTTTTATTGCACAGTAGATATCCGTCAAATATTGGAATTATGTATTTATTAATTTTATGGGGTTTTGGCCTCTTTCACCCCCCTTGAGGATTTGTCATAACCTGTTTGTTCTTCAGCTATAGGATTCTTAATAAAAGTTATTTTACTATGTAATATACTTGATAAAGTTCTTTAGACTATCATTTAGTGCCTTCCTGAAAGAAAAAAAGAAATAGATGACTGGTTCCTCCATTAGAATGGTGTAAGACTCTTTTTTTGACAAGTTCTTTAAGACTAATCATGCCCCTCCTTCAATAATAATAATAAAAGGAAATAAAGAAGTTTCCTGTTATTTTTGGGATTGCTTTTAACTTAGTTTCTGCATTCTCTTATTTTAATGACATTTTTTTTTATATTTTCTTACAGAAGAAAGAAAATAGCAAGAGAAGGAAGGATGATCATAATTTATCTCGGAAAAGTAAAGATAAAAAGGTACTGCTGCATTTATTGGATATTCTTCTAATTATTATATTAATTTTATGATTGTTTTGTGTTCCACTCTTATGCATGCCTTTGGAGTTGTTTTGTAATGAATGTTTTTCTTGAATCTGTGGATGATGGTTGTGGCTAGACCTATATATGTGGACAAGAAAATATTCCCCTATTTTCCAAATCTGAATATGCAAAAGTATTTCAGAATTAGGTTATTCTGGCAGCTTCTGTTGCTGGACTTTTAGAAGCTTTACTTTCAAGGAGCAAATGTTGCCTGAATGCTTCATGTGGAATTGAGTTTTTCTTACAGTGTGTTCCCTTTAAACATATAATCATTTCTCAGAAAATTGCATGATGATGGTTATTATTATTTTTGTTTTAGTCTTGGAAAGACAGCATTGTATATGTTAAATTTTCTAACCAGGAAGAAGCTAGCATGGCATTTTGTTCCCTCATTTCTTTTGACTTGTTGAATAAGGGATAGTTTAGCTTCTTGGCTGAAAGAACTACCAGGAAGGGTAACAAAAAGGAAGAAAGTTGATAGAATATTATTGCATTTGTGAAATACTGGAAACTCTATGCTCTTTCTTCATATTTCTATTCATGTTTAATGGAACTTTAAATGCTTAGCAAAAGTCTTTTTTTTTTTTTTTTAGGAAAGGGTTTCTGATCCCACAGTGAAGTCATCTAATTTTGCTGCTCGGTCCAGTGTCTCCCCATATGCTCCACCAATGATTACAATGGATAATGATGATGGCATTTCTTATACAGGTATGATTCCATACCTTGTGAAATTTTTCATAGCTCTAGACGTTGTGGTTTGTACACATTATAGTACAGGCTTCAATGTCTCAGGCACTTCTTTCACCTTTGACACATCTTGTGTACTTGCATTTATTTTTTAAAGTTTTCAAGCTTCTCTTTTTAAACTCTTTTTTGGCAGCAATTGGAGGTCCCACTGGTGAGCTATTAGAGCAAAATGCACAGGCCTTGAATCAAATTTCCACAAATCTTTCTGCTTTCCAGGTGAATTGACAACATTTTGAGCTGATTTTACCTTTTGTGTGCGGACACATTTTTAACCATGTAATCTCCACAAATCATATCTCCACCGCTTATGCTTTTATTATTCCATAATCCATATCTTCTGTTAATTAGTCAATAACTTGGGATCACATATGTAGGAGGCAATGAAACATTGAAACTGCAGAACTGATTACAGCTGGGATAATTCATAATGTCTCTGCTTGATGTTATGACAGCAACTTTCTAGTTAATCAGTATCATTTTCATTCTTAGCCCATTCTCTCTGGCTGTAAATTTGACCTTAATTGTTTTGTTCTCTGTTTTTCTGTTTCCAGGTACAGGAGAACATCAATCTTTTCTGCCAAACTAGGGACAACATCCTTAAAATTATGAATGAGTGAGTTTTACTGTTTTTTGTTCTTTTCCTTTATTTTCTCTATTTATAAGGAAGTAATATATTAGTGACAGTGATTTATTTGTTGCTCTTCTTATATTGCAGTATGTGAATGCTAGTTAGTCCTTTCCCAATTTGACTCAAATGTAAATGGTTTACTCTTTTTTCCCTTTCAATTTCATCATTATTTTTCTTGGCAGTTTGAATGACTTGCCAGAAGTGATGAAGCAAATGCCACCTCTTCCAGTGAAGGTGAATGAAGAGCTAGCCAATTCCATACTTCCAAGAACAACTCTCCCACCACAATCATGATAAACATTCATAGTTAACTGGGCTTGCCTCTCCCATATATCTGCCTGCACTGGGACTCAAAATCATTCCTCTTCTGATTAGCAGAATAACTGCCAATCAAGTTGACCCAAGATTTACTATTGGAAAAAAGAAGAAGAAAGAATGAATAATTGTTGATAGTCATCAAGTTGAATTAGTCTTCAATAATTTTATTTTATTTATCTTCTAAAGTTGGTTTTCTGCCCTTGTTCTCTTGTTGGCTCTAACTTAGTTGTACTATAGGAATTATTTAGTATTCTTGGTATTAATTGAGTTAAATTTAGGCATTTAGAGCAATAAGTTGTAGCATAATTTATTTGTCGTCTGTTATTGTTGTTGGTACATTTTATTATGCATATTGTATTAAATGTTAGATACCTGTACAATGTTTGTAAGTGGGTTACACTGGGATGCTGCTATGCATTCTTCCCTCCCGGTGTAAAACGTCATTTTCAATTATGTGTAAAACACCTTCGATTTGATTTCGGACCCATAGCGGAAGATGAATTCTGCTGTCTTTTTCATCATGTTGAACAAGCTGTGCTTGTCTCCGATCTTCCCTTTTTTTTTTTTTTTTTTCCTCTTTACTTTGTATTACAATATCCCTTTTGTTTCTTCCAATCGGTTTGAGTCTTCCCTGCTTTTAAATGTTCTCTCTTATCACTATCACTGGTTTAGTGCTTGACGTTGACAGTTGTAATCCTATTCTATTGTAGTTGTATTTTTTTGTCTTATTTTAATCCACCTAAAAGACACAAGTGATTTACGTGCCAAGTTATTGAGGGGAGAATTTTTCATTGTATTGCATTTTGCTTGTGATAAGATAAAAAGAATTAGAACTATTGAAAGTTAAGTTTGTGTTAGAAGTAATGGTTTTGTGTCTATCACGGTTGAATTCTTTTAACTCATTAGAATGTGATTGTAAATGCATTGGGCTGAGAAGATTTACGTAATTTAAAGCAAAATAATTATTAAAAGTAATTAAAAAAAAAAACTACATAATCAAGCACGATTAGTAAGCGTGAAATTGTGTAAAGTAAAAAAAAAAGAAAAAAAAATTCTACTAGCGGGTTTCTTCGTGTTTAAGAATAGAACTCGAAATACATCTATGTGAAGAGGTTCATATAAAGCACAGGTGGCTGGAAATCACTTTGATTGATTCTCTTTTTTAAAAATTGTCTTTATATATAAACCATCTTCACTTTTAGGAGCCAAATGTAAAACAAAGAAAAAACATGCCAAGGGCCCAAATCAAACACAGCCTCCATTGTCCCTGGTCGTGTGCTAAATGCTAATAATAGTAACATAACAATTTTTTAAGCCACATGTAAAGAAATTAATAAGTAATAATTTTATATTAAAATTTATAATATTTAATATTATTAATATTTTTAAATTTATAATATTTTATAATTTTTATTTTATATCATTGCACACATGCTAAAAAGAAATTTAGTATAATAATATTAATAGTCAATGAGTTGAAGTATTGTGGTTGTCCTCTCTCCTAAAGAGTGGTGTAGTTACCAATCAAAATTACTGGCCACGTCAGCATCGGCGTCTGACTCTTACCTGAATTTTAATTTTTATTTGCTGATAGACCCAAAAATGACTCATCATTCAGCGAACCATGAAACTTGTCGTTGCCTTTTTTTGACCCTGCAACTGTTTCACCTTAATATGCCTTCCTCTGATTGCGGTACCAAATAGGTCAGCATTTACTAAGTATTAGGAACCAACTCACTCTCTTCTTCTCCCATATAAATAAAAGAAAATTATTAAAATAATTTCTATAATAAATATATTTAAGTATTTAATTTTTAACTGAATAGAGTAACATTGTATGATTCATGTAATTCACTTTCCCTTGTTGGATAAGACTTTTGTTATTGATGTTATTGTCTTTTCTGCTCAAATCCTAAACCTTCCCATGCAGAAGGGGGGTATAAAACTATAAATATCATATAATTCCCTTGCTAGTACTGATCATTAGAATAGAAAAATAAATGTAACATATGATATGAAGCATGTGTGATTGTCGACAATTGTCCCATTATGCCACATCACACTTGGTTCTTACCTTGACCAGAAAGTCATGTCCTTGTCATCTTTTGACTTTTTGGAGGAAATGAGAGAGAAAATGAGGTTTTGGTCGAAACTTACCACACACATTTTAGCTAATTCAAACTCAAAGTTTAGACATACTACGGTCTCTTTGAAATACATGTCATATTTTGAATGCTTTGTATTTGTTGTCTATCAGATCATATGTGGATTAGGTTGAAAATTTTGACACAAACTAATCCCTTTTCGGGGTAGTGTTTGACGCGGTTTTGTTCTTGTTTCTTTTAATAAATTCAGTAATGTTTGTATTATTTTACTTTATTCTTTCATTTTGGACTTTTTTTTTAATAAAGGAATTTGTAGTCCTTAGCCCATCTATCACTTCTTAAGGTAATTTTATTTTTTATCACCAATGAAAGTACCACGTTGGTTCATTACTCACAATTGGTGACAAAGAGTGTGCGTAGATATTTTGGCATATGTAAAGTTAACGTGTGAACTCAAACTCAAATAGGGGTAAATGATCCCATCTATGGTTAACCAACCAACCCATCAAGGACTTTTTATTTTGTTTTAGAGAGAATGACAAAAATCTCTTAGTGTTTCTGTTGAGGTTGGATTTGGCATCTTGCACTTTAAGAATGACATTTGAATAGTCTAAAAATATTTGGTGTTTTCATAAGTATATATATACTTTTCTGCACACCAATAAGGGTTGAAAATATGATGGTTCTGCTGAAGTTGATTTGGGTAGAGAGAATAGAGAAGGAAAGTTATATGGCAGTTTTGATAAGCACATGCACTTCTTCGGATAGCAGGATTTTGGGTATGCTAAGGTTCTTCTAAGCCTAAGGCTAGTTTATTTCTGAAGCAAGAAACTAGAAGCTTTCAGCTATTCAGAAAGAGCCAGTGAATTAAGCTTCTTGCAGGTCTTGGGAAGAATTTTCAGTGCCTTTCATCTCTCCGTAAGTTATTTTGAAAAGATTGCATGCACTTACTTGCACAGTCAAAATGTTCTTTCCTTGTGCCCAACTCATTCTACGTGAAAGGCAGAACTTTAAAAAGTTCTCAGCTATTATACCACGGAAAACTGCTACAATTGCACTGCACATGAAGAGGATTGCTTCTTCTATGCAGCTAACAATAACATGCACATACATATTTGATTATGAACCATGGAATCTCTCTTCCTCTCTCTTGGTTGATGGCATATACAATTATAGTTCTCGAATAATCACTGGTTATTTGAACAAAATGCATTGAATTGAATTGGTGGGCTTTATATATTCATCTTTGATGTTTGGCAGGTTAAAGATGGTCATAGCCAACAGTACCAATGGCATAGTAAATATTATAGTGATTGTAGTATTGATTTTCCCAGAAATTGCAGCACAAGCAATGTCACCCGGTGATCCTGTGGCAGGTAAGATTGGGGTTCCTCAGAGCTTCTAAATCTACAATCTTTGCATATTCCTTCAATTTTGTTTACAATTACCATGCATTTATTCGGGTTAATGAATGTATTGCTCTTGAAAGGATTACATAGTTAGCGTGGGATATGTGAACTTGTTAGTCATAATTTTTTTTGGTAACCTTATTAGTCATATGATTGAGAAATTCATGCCCTGTTCAAATGTTGTGAAATGCCCAAATGGGTAAGCTTTAAATAACGTGCACGTCTAATAGATGTAAAATGGAGAATAAAAATCATAAATTGAGGATACATGTTATTCTTAAGGAAAAATGGAATGGAAATTAATCTATATGACTATATGTGATATGATATTCATTAATATTTGATACCAATTATTAATTGTCTTTCCCTTCACTCTTTAAAAAGCAATTAAAAGCGGGTCAGATACAGGTAAAGAAGGTTAAGAATTTTAAATAATTATAATGATATAAACGTAAAGAACGCCTTGGAGTATCAAAGGTTTCGGATTTCCTGGTCAAATCCTAACAAGTGAAAAGTACAAATTTGTATTTGATCAAGTCGAAAGGATGGTTTATCTTGCACAATATGGTTTTGAATTTTGTATCCACTCAAGTTAAGGGACTAATACACGTTACAGATTCCACTTGTTTCATTTTTTGGTATTGGCTGTGATGTGATACAGAGTCATGATGAGTACTATGTCTATGCTTGATGCAGATAATGTGTCAGAATCCATTAGACATCCAGATAATACAATTAGAGTCGACCCTTTAGATAATTTCAGAAAATACAGAGGAGGATTTAACATCACCAACAAGCATTATTGGAGTGTAAATCTCTCTCCCTCTCTGTTTCTGAATCTAATTTCTAACATCAAAAGATGTTGTTAACGTGTCCTTAATATTTTATTTATTTATTTTTATAGTCGGTGATCTTCACTGGAGTATATGGATATGCAATAGGGGTGTTCTGCCTTTTGTGTGGAATCATATATGGAACTTTTTTGTTAATAACCAAAGTTCATCACAAAAATAACCGAGGACGAGAGATCAAGAAGGCCTTTCCTTGTAATTACAAGAGTTGTGATCTTTCACTAATTCCTTTGGCTATATTGCTCGCCATATTCGCCATGTAAGTGATTCATCCTTGTGTCTAGCCTAAGTAACAATGAATATGATATTCTAAGTAGAATCATGTCTTTTATTTCTCATTTTTTCAAGTGATATATCATATATGTTTGCATGCATTGGTCTTGTATTTTTGTAGAGCTGCAACTGGTCTAGTTCTTGCGGGGAGTGCAAGATTCCATTCTGAAGCAAAAACTTCAGTTAACATTATAATCAAAACCGCAAATGAGGCATCCGAAACAATACACAACACAACAGGAGCATTAAAAGACATGGAAAGCAACTTCATGGAAGCCAATGTCAATGCTGAAGCTTCAGTATATCTTGATTCTACAGCTGAGAGACTTGATGATGCGTCTGAAAACATTGAAAAGCAAGCTAGGAAGAATAGGCGCCTTATTAACAGGGGTTTGAAAATAGTGTAAGATTCCTCTGCCTCTCCCGTTGCTTATAAAATGTAAAAAGAATAACAAATTGCATTATAATAAGGGAAATCTTTTAACTGCAGGTTTGTTATTACCACCTTGATTATAAGCTTGAACTTGGTTGCTGTAACAGCTTTGTCAGGTATTTTCAATTGTTCTATATGCATAACATCATGAGAATTACAAATCTTTACATCCTGTCTCATAAAATGTTGGAAATTTCTTGTGAACAGTGTCTGGAATACTGAGGTTACAACGGGCACTGCACATGTAAGCAAGCCAAATTGCATTTGTTGCCATAGAAGCAAGGGTAGTTATGTTTAAATATATGAATATGTGTCAGAAAATCTAAAATTTTGTTTTGTTGTTTTTCTCTTTCTTTCACAGGCTTCTTGTATTTTGCTGGTTGATGACAGTGATATGTTGGCTATTCTTTGGAGTCTATTTCTTCTTGGAAAAGTAATTCCCGAGTCCTTTCTGATTTATAGATTCTCCACAGTTTACAACTTTTTCCTGCAATATGTTTATAAAGTAGAAGTTTGAGTTTAATTCTGAAGAGTTCCTTTCATTGTAGATTCTCTAGTGATGCATGCACAGCTCTTGACAACTTTCAAGAAAATCCCTACAACAACAGCCTAAGTTCCATCCTCCCATGTGATGAGTTGCTTTCGGCAAAATCAGTTCTATCTGATGTTAGTGCTGGGATCTACGACCTTGTTAATGAGGTAAGTTTTGCATAATCTCTGACATCACCTTCTTTTTCCCCCTTTCTACATTATGACTTTGACTGATCAGATATAGAAGCCTAAAGGAAGAGTGCTAAGAACATATTTTCTGATGTACTCTTTCTAACACACTCTCTAATTGATTGAAATTTAGGAAACTACAAAAGTACGAGCAAAAGATATTAAATTAAGAGTGTGATATTCACATGCATTTTGTGATTTCCAATAAATTTTTAACTAACAAGACTGTTTGAAAGAGTGCGTCAAATAATGTGTTACTAGCATTTTTCCAACATAGTGGAGCTTGTCTGTTATGTAAGAGTCATGCTTTAATTTTGGTCTTTTGTCCAGGTGAATGCAAATATATCAGCCATGGGGGCAACAACAGATATGAATGTTGTTCATGTTTGTAATCCTTTCTCAGCGCCACCCAAATATTTGTACCAGCCAGAGAACTGCCCTGCTAACACTATACGAATAGGAGATATCCCAAAGGTATCCCACAAACGATGAACTATGTGCTGATTATTGAATGAAAATGCCAAGTTAAGCAAATAGAAGAAGGGCTAGAACTTTTTATATTTATAATCATTAAAGACTAAATATTTTTTTAAGGGTCCAAGTGTCTTTTATATAAATATATTTACTTTTAATTCTATTTCTGCCCTAAATAATAAGACCAAAGTGTACTAACACCATATTTTCTACGATCCTCCACTCAAGGTATTGAAGACTTTTACTTGTTTGAATGGCAATGATGGAAGCTGTGAGAACGGATACTTCATACCCGGGAGTGAATATGTGAGAGTAGAGGCATACACAAATTCAATTCAGGACCTATTGAATGTGTATCCGAGTATGGAACACTTGTTAGAATGCAAAGTGGTAAAAGATGCATTCTCTCAAGTGCTAGTCAAACATTGCAAGCCTTTGAAAAGATATGCCCGAATGGTATGGGTAGCAATGTTGTTTCTTGCAGTGATCATGATGTTAATGATTGTGTTATGGACTATAAAAGCACGTCACGAGCACCATTATCATCTTTCAGATGGTTCTGTGGAGCCCCATTGTGCAGCACCAAAAGCCTTGGAATTGGGACCAGCTAAGGAAATTGAAATTTGAAAAAAATTTAAACTATACTATTATATTTAGTTCAACAAGAACTTAGGAAACGGGCATTGGAAGGCAAATGCGCAAGCAGCTTCCCATATTCCCACATAGACAAACATACAACATTTGTACATAGTCATATGCATACATTAGTCAAAGGATAGACCAAAGGTTTCTAGAATTTGTCTTTGGTGATATAATTTTCACACATTTTTTTTTGTAAGAGAAAGAAAAAAATTATTCCGAGTATTAAGTTAGAAGAAGGGAACCAACCCCATACAGATGTATGAAATTCATCAAACTACAAAATGAATATTTATTCTGCATCCACAACTTGTCCTTTTCATGGTCGACTTTTTTTCATTTGTCGATGGGTTCTTCTTTTTTTTTTTTGTCAACGTGCAATTTGTTAATCCGAACTTCGTTATTTATACTGGGCCAACCAAAATTTGGGTCAGCCCGATATGTCGATTTTGTTTTGCTTAAAATCTATGTTGATTCAATAACAATTTACAAAGCATCGCATATGATTAAGGCTTGGGCCTCCTTCGGTTCTTGTTTTTCCTTGGGCCGCTTTTTTTCATTGAGCTGAATTTTAAGGCCCGTGATTCATTATCTTCTGACAAAAAAATCGGTTATCTACATGAGTCCTTTGCAGGGTCTGCTCCATTTAAAAGTTTGGCCTAACTTATAAATTTATTTTGTAATAATTTTTTAAAATAGGTTAAATAACTTATCCCATAATCCGTAAAGAGAAAATTATTAAGTTAGATTTTTTAACATATTTTTTAATAAGTTTCTAAAAGCTATACAATTTAAATTTAATTTCTAGGAAATCTTTTGTTAAGATATAATTTTTACTTTTTATGAATTATTATTTTAATTCCTCCACCTAATATAGTCTAATAAAAGTTAACATTTAATAATATTTTAATGGACCATGTTAATTAAAGACTAAAAACAATAATTCATCAAAAAATAAGATTATATTCTAACAAAAATATGTTGTTTTGTTCAAGATACTAAAAGTCAAATTATGTAGCTTTTGGAGAAAGAAAGCAACTTTTTTTAATATATTTTTCTAATCATTAGTTTATTTTTAAAAACCAAAATAATTTGTTTCCATCATATATCATGTTATTTAATCCAAACTCTCTCTGTTTCTCTTTCTTCCCACAACTAAATTGAATGAAAAATGGGAAAAAAAGTTGGTGAGAACGATGAAAATGGTGAAGGGTGTTGGATGAAGGTGAGTGATTGTTTGGAGGAGCTTGTGAAGTTCACTGTCAACTCCGAGTCTCACCATCTCAATCTCTCTTCCGAGTTCTGTTCGACCCTTCTCAAAGATGACCCAATACAACCGTCTTCTTCACACGGTACTTGTCATTTGTTCTGCTTTGTCTCCAATTTTGTATTTTTATATTTGTCTTTCATAACTACTTCTGCTAGTTACATCATTGTGTGTGCTTTTTTTTGTGTTAAAAAGGTTGTTCTTTATGACTATCCCCAAATGGGAAAATGTTTGCTAGACACCCTTAAAGTATAAAATGTATTTATGCATATATATAATTTTTTTAACTTCTTTGCAGATTGTGTGGAAGGAGTGCCACCTTATCCCTTGTACAAGTGCCTTGCTTCTGCTATGTTGAGGTGTATGGATTCTGAAACTTTTTGTAGGACAGGCTGCAATTTAGCCTTGGCCCATGAATTTGAATATTCTTCCATACAGCAGAAACATGAGGAATGGCACAAATTGATTGTGGAAAAGGGGTCTGAAATAGTGAATGTAAAAATACTAGTTAACTGCTCCATTCGTTTGCTTTGTTCCTCTTTATTTACTGTTTAAGCTGGTTTCAGTGTAATATATAAACTTTTGTTTCAACAGATTTTGAAGAGTGTTTCCTTTGAACTTCATGTTCAAGAGCCTTTTTTTAAACAGCTGAATGGTATTTATCACTCTCTACCGCTTTTGAAATTTTGAATATGATGAAGGTCGATGTAACCACAGCTAAAAAGATATATTCTTTTGCAAAAGCTGTGCTGTTGGGTTGAAAAATTAACTGCACACAATTTCAATTGATAATTTCTTTGGACATGACATTCTCATTCCTACTACAATTTATTTCTATTAAGTCATATGAAGTATGATGTTATTGCCTGCAGATGGCCTGAAAACAATTGAAGGGAGGTGTGCCAGTGGTAAATACAGCAGGTTTCAATATTTTTTTAATTTAAAATATATGCTTAGATATTTATAACTGTTATCTTATATCAATTTTCTTGATTGCCACATTTCCTCCATTGTAAAACGGTTCACAGTGTCATGCATGAAAGTTTGTGATTCACATGGAGTTAGTAGTAGACACCAAATTCATTGTTGTAGTTGGTCTGTATTTTTTTAATTGAATATTCTAAATGTAAAATACGTTAGAAAGTAACACCCAGCTATCGATTGGAAGTAAACTCAGAATCAACTGAGAAACGGCTGGGTTATTTATCAAAACTTTGAGAGTCATTTCATGCTAATAGCAAATTACGACTTTGTATCCCAACTAGTATGGACTCAATGACTTGGTTTTGATGATGTAAAAGGTTTGATTCCCCAATAGGCCACCTATCCCCCTCCCCTCCCTAGGTGCTTGCCCTTCCAATATAACTAAAACATTAAATGCTTCTCTCTGAGTGAAATTATGCAATATCTTCGTATTTTAATTCATATTAAAATAAGCTGCATAATGAAATTCACAAATGCATATCATACAATACGTCATAATCTCTTGAACCATGCTATATGAATGTTACTTGGATTTCATCTTCTCTTAAGAGTTGACTATTTATTTATTATGAGCTATACATTTTCCATTTTACTTCTTTCATTCATTTTCTGTATTTTTTTCCCCCTGATTTGATTTCCAGGATTGAGTCAGGAAGTCTGATTCTCTTTAATAAGTCTGTGGTGTTTGAAGTTCAGGTGATGCTTTGTGTGGTTAATAGTTAGTGCTTCTGTCTGTAATGGCTTTGCTCTGCTCTCTTAACTTCCTAAATATGTAGGGAGTAAGGTGGTATCCTACATTCAATGACATGTTGGAGGCAGAGAACCTTGAAAAAGTTCTTCCAGGAGTTCAAAGTGTTGAAGAAGGTACTGAATGTCGTGGTTATGGACTTAAATGGATTCAGCTGGTATAGCTAGACAAGTAACCATTCAGAGAGTTATTCAATTCAAAGTGAATAATGAAAATGAACTAAATAACTACTCTGAGTTGTTATTTATTCTTGAATTGTGTTTTTACATCCAAACAGTTTTTAAGATGAAAGAACCACATTTTAATCTATGTCCAAATCAATTTGAGATTTTATACTGTTGCTTACGGAGTAATATTTGCATAGCATTGCAGGTGTACAAGTCTACCGGAGGTTTTACACAGAAGAGAAGGAACATGAAAATGGTGTTCTTGCAATCATTGTTTCAAAACTTGCCTCTCAACCATACATTTCCTTGGCTAGCTTATTTTGTGTGGGTTCACTTTGCTGTAAAACCATGCACAGCAACTTTTCTCTTTTTTGGGTTTGAAAATTATCTGCCCTCTAAAAGACTGCTTCCATCTCATCTAAATGATTGGTTATTGGTGTGATTCTGTCTATGTATGTTCATTTTTATTACTTCCCAATGCAATGATCATAAATTTATTCCATATGTGTAGAAAGCAATGGTTGGCATAGCATTTATTCATTGATACTCTGCAAAAGACGAAAAGAAACAGCTACTAATGCTTCTGTACTTATGTCGTGTTTCACCTGACTGCATTCGAACTAATGCTTGAGTGTTCTCATACGTAAATTCGCTTAAGGTAATTCCTGATGGTTGTTCTGCCCTGCTTTTTATGTAGGGATTAAACTATGAGGGTGTTCAAGGCCTTCTAGGTCTACAGCATAGCACAGGAACAAGTCCTAACTCACTTCCCCCACCAAGATCAGCTCTGTTAGCATCATTTAATTTGCCATGCAATCCAAATGTAAGAAAGTGGTTTTGTTGGATTCTTTTTGGGGTAATTTTGCTGTGATTTAGTCACATTTCAAGGAAATTTTTGGATTATTCTGTGTATATATGCAAAGAACCTTAGGTACAGAGTACAGATCACTCCACATTAACAGTAAGAGTTTAGGCTTTGTAGGAGATTTTACTGTTTTCACTATACTAAATTTCAGACCTCAATAGGAAAACAACTTTATTTATACTTGACGACAAATTGTATGATCATTATTCAGGAAAGTGGGTTGACTGATGGAGCTCGAGCATTGGCCAAGCATGGTTGTAGGAGTACCAGTGGTTATTGGGTTTGTCTGAATGGAAATGGTGAGAATTCTTTTTTGTGAGAGAATGTTTTAGATATATTTTTGGTAATTGCTTTTTTATCTACATTATGCCTTGCTTATCTAGGTTTGTCTGCGTGAGAATCTGTTTCCCATAGAAGAATTTGTCTGAAGATGTATTGAGTTAGGTTCAATATATTTGCTGATATGTTTAGCTTAGTGGGTGTATAAATCATACAGACCCCTTTCAAATTTGTGGATCACGTTGTTTTTACTCATCCTGTCTTTTTCTTTGTTCTTTCCAGATTCTAATAAAAATAGGCTTGCAATGGATGCTATTAACAACTTAATAGCACATTGTTGTTGGCTGAATATGCATACTGTCCCTCCACATGGAGTTGTCTTTGAAATAAGGGTTGCGGATGGATACGGTGCACGTTGGACAGAAGATGGAAGTAAGGTGTGTGGATACCCACTAAATTCTGGTATTTATCTGCTTCATTTAAAGGTTTATGGCAATGCATGGTTTGCGTTCCTTATCTTGTCTCATAACTTGAAGTAATACAGTATGTTCAAATTTAAGCATATATTGTAGGACTTCTGTTAGACTCATCTAATGACTGGGAATAAGGTTATAACTCGAGAAAGTTTTGTACTTCCCAATTTGCAGGATTCATTGTTATTAAAACTTGGTAACAGATGGCGATTGTCTAGTCAAAATAGATTCTCAACCCACTCTTAATGTTTTTTTTTTCAGTTTATTGGATTTTTAGAGCCCTACATGCAAGATGGTCACTCAAAGGGATGGAAGCACTCATTCTGCTAGCCAGGCCAAACAGCCTACACACCTTTGTGATTGAATGTCACACCTTTTCCTTTTATCTTTTGATGGAGTAGTGTTTATGGTACATTATTTGTGTTTTATTTATACTTATCACTTTTCAGTGCTGGACTTTAGCTAACAATCAGCTCTCGTACCTCAGAATGATCTATGTATTGATTTCTGTATACATGGTAATCTACACGATGGAATCGGTATAAATGTTTCTTGTCTCGATCTTATACTTTTCTGAAAGGATTTTCGGTATGGTTCAAATATTTAGGAGTTTATTTAAAAAAAATTTAAGTTAAAGATTTAGCTGAAAATTTAAAGGATTTACGGACAAGATTATGGTTTGAAGAAAGAAAATTGAGTTTTCCTTTGTCGTAAAATTTGATGTTTTGGTTAGTAAATTTTAAGTAGAAAAAAGTTTAAAATATTTTATTTAATTTGAAAATTTTTTAAGTAGAAAATGAGAATTTGAGGGTTTTAAGTAGAAGAAAATTAATGATGGGACTAAATTTACTTAAATTAAAAATAAAGGAATTTAATTAATTTGATAAAAAAAATTTGGAGTATTAAAATTAGAGGGTTAAATTTATCATTTCATAGTTTTGGGTCCTTTGATATTGCCATATTATACCTTCATAATCCGTTTGTGAATTGTTTGAGTAATTCTTTGTTTTCCTTCAATACCATTTAGAAACCTAAATTTCCAACAAATGTGATAAAAGTTGATATAACCTGTCACAAACGACACTTTCAACACAAGTTACACTGTAAAATTTACTACCCTTGTGACATTTTTAAGTAACAATCAACTCTTCCGTTACTTTCTAATTGAACCTGTTTCAGTGACATATCAACCTTTTCCCCCCTCTTTTGAGGAAGGTTGCACCCACTTTTCCTTTATTTTTATTTTAAATTTATATATGATATCGTACTTAAAAGGATTATTGCTAGCTGTCGTGGCTATATATCACTAAATGAGACGACCATGGCCTGTGTTGGAGCCATTGCCACAACAGCAAGAAGCTGTCATTGATATTTTGTTCCAAACCCATCACCATCATTACCTTTAGCTCTACTATGAACTATGGTACATTTTATCCGTCACATTGTGTTACCATTTAAGTGAATTACAGTTATATAGGAAACACTAGCTTGTGTTTCATGTCTATGGTTGTCATACTACAACTCTACATTGGGTTGCACGGTTGTTGTAGTACAAGTTGAGAGGTAACAAAGTTGTAATTGTCTATCTTTGTTTGCATGCATTTATGTATATTTGCGTGACTAACAAGCATGCTTCTGTGAAGTTGGTTAAACTGTCTCTGGCACCACGCTTAGAGATATGAATAAGGCATGAAAGTCGATGTCTTCTATTCTTAAGTGTTGAAGTTTAGTGTCCTATTTGATTAAGCTTAAACGAAGATTCTTAAAAAATTAAAAAAGAGAGAGAAAAAAATAAATTTTTTTGTTAAGCTAACTCTTAGAATTAAGTTTAAATATTTAGAAATAAAAAAAATTTATTAAAAAATTTGTACTATTATTAATAGTTTTAATTAATTTTTTAAATTAAAATTAACAAGTTTTTATAAAAAAAATATTTTTTTATACTAATATAAATTTAAAAATTCTTACGATTAATTTAAATTTTTTATTTAATTTATATCCGTTATTAAAATAATAAATTATAATTTGTTAAACGTAAGTTAAATAAAAAATTTAGATAAGTATAAGAATTTTTAAATTTAAACTATTGTAAAAAAATATTTTTTTTAATTTTATATGTATATATATATATAAAAGATGTGCACTTGATAAATTGTTTGAGTGAGATTAGAAAATTTTGGATGCGTAGGAAATTCTTGTAATGGAAGAATAATCCAGAGGAAAATTGGAATTGGAGACATATCTATTCTTGGATGTATCAAAAAAATCTTTGGGGGAGTGGAGGCATGTTACGTCAACCTCCTCAAAGTGCTGCCTTGTTCTGCCAATCTTCGAAACAAGTCATGTGACTCAATTTTCCATCTGCATCTGTAATTATTGCTTGCATCTGAAGCTAAGCAAGCTTTGATAAGACATTAAAACTAGCCATACCCTTTATGCAGCCAATTTCAATGGATCTACAGCTTGTGTACCTTTTAAGAAATAAACTATTATTTTTCAAAAATAAAGTAAACTATACACATAAATTACTAAAATTAATACAGGAACTTTTGAAATATAAATCACAGTTTAAGTTGGGAGACATAAACTTATTTCAATACGCTTAACGGTTTTCATATTTTGTTTGCATCTTTGGAGATTTATTTGCAACTTACTTTATAGACTCACAATTGAATGTGATAATCATGAAGCACCAAATTTTCATCCGTAGTCAATCGCGTTTATTGGCAAGATTCGGACACATTGACATGCATATATATAGAAACTTATATGAGATCAATTGTTACCCAACAGGTCTTAAAAGAATTTGCGGTTAATGGCAGTTGAGTTGAAGAAATTCATTTTGTGAAAAGTTTTCATGCTACACTTTTCTTTTTTAAAAAAAAAATTCTTCCAAATTCATTGATAACACGATCAAGTGATTGCTTTTTTAACTGTATTATTGAGTGAGAAACAAATCTTGTGACCCTTTAATCTTCTAATCATTTTGTTAGAGAAGTGACAATAGATTTAGTTTAAAATCTTATTAAATAGTGAGTGACGGAATTATATCATCAATATTACGTGTAAATCGTGGAATTTTAAAATGTTTTGTTGAAAAATCATGTCAAAAAGTGTGATCCTTCAAAATTTTCGTGATATAACTTTTTATCTTGTAAAATGTGTGATGAATAAGCGACACATGTAGTGGACAAGGAAAGTCGCAAAATCATGGACCACCATCAATAGGATCGCCCATAAACCTTTTTTAACAAAGTAAAATAATTAAGAAACGGATGAGGGAGTGGCAAAGACATTTTCTCCAATGATTAGATGGTATGTTGGTAACAAGAGCTTTTCTCAACCTTGTCTTCTTGCCCAATCATTAGTAGGGAATAAGTTCCATCCGATGCCATATAATTTTGAACTATGGTTAAATGCATCTTAATGTAAACAAGCACAAATGTTAAAGTTCCTTATATCCAACTTCTTCAAGAATTGGGGGGTTCTTTCTTCTACTAGGATAAATAAATATGTTTTTAGTTTATAAAATTTTTAAATTTTAATTTTTATAATGTTTTATTTCAGTTCTTATATTTAAAAAAACCATAACTCTAATAATTTCTAAACAATAATGTGTTTTTTTTAAGTTACGTAAGTGAAAATGATCAAAACTAATAATTTTAAAAATTTGTAGGAATTACAATAAAAAATTAATTTTGGTGAAGATCAAAGTAAAAAATTAATATATTTGAGGAACAAATATACTTAAGTAAAAAAAAAAGTGCCTTTTCTAGAATCTATACATTGAAGGTTAATAATTTTGTTGTTTGTCTACTAAAATGTACAATTTAAGCTTTTGGAAAAGCATGTAAGTTTAATGCATAAACGAACAAGCCATGTTCCTTTCTCTGTCTCCTGGCTTTTGATATTTAGCAGTAGAATCATATGGAGATAAATTAGGCAGTGATAACTTATTTGGTGTTCTAGATCGAGTGGAAGAGTATCAGAGGATGACAACATATATACCTGAATTGGAAGCATTTTCAAGACTGATTTTTTATGCATGCAATAATTTCTTTTGATATCTGAACTTTACAAGGTGACATATACCCTCAAGATGGATGCCAATCCAAGCGGGAGGGAGGTCATCATCAGGCATCTCTGTCATTATCCTCTTTGTTTTGTGGGATCATGTTATTAATAAGTAAGCAACTATATATAACATGTATTAAGGCTATAATTACAGGAAAAAAAACATAATAATGATTCCTAAAAGATGTGAGACAACGAGAGAAAATGCTATTAATTAGTGCCAGGCATGGAGTATATATATGTAATTTAAGATAAATAGCGAAGTCAACAAAGTTTTAATAATATTCTAACAACATCAAGTACCGTTATAATAATAATATAGTTATAGTATTTATCTATGTCCTTTATCATTATCTCTTTGTTTGCATTCCCTAAAGAAATATGTTGTTTGTTATTTTTCTTTTAGATGGATCTGATTGCCATATCGGGTGATTGAGGATTCCTCACCCACATATTTTATGTGTGGGAATTTATGTTCCATCCCTTCCAAAGCAACTTGTGGGATTAAACTAGACATTACGATGACAAGGAATTGATGGGCTCCTTTCGTCTGCCAAAAGTCTGTTCTTAATTTTCTGAGCGATAATGCTACAAGGTTAAGTAAATAAAATTCTAATAATGAATTATGTGATTATTTCAATAATTTTTTTTTACTAATGGATAAATTTCGCTCGTATGACTCCATTAATAAAAAATATAAGATCAAATTATATAATTATTTTTAGATATAAGATAAATAAAAGACTTAAATTGAGTGTAAGATTTTTTAGATTTATGTTAATGTGAAAAGATTTTTTATATGAAATTATTTTAATAATTTACAAAAGATAAAAATATAATACGATATATTATTCCTCTTAATTTAAAAGTAGAGCTGGCTAGCTATCTAACGTTATATATTCAGTGGTAATTGCTTTCCACAGACCACAGATTATTTTCATCCGTTGGCACTATCCTATCTTCCACATTTTAATTATCTAAACAAGGGGTGTATATTTAATTATTAACATATGATAGGAAATCGATCATCCCATGTATATTATATAAAATACCATTTAACAAAGTGCGAGGTAGACATATATGCGCTGGCTTTCCAGCAGTGAGCGTTCAATTCAGAGCATCAAACTCAGAAGGGAGGAATTGTCATGGGAAATATGGAGCCGCAATACACTTTGACAGTGTCACTTCAAAGATAATTTTGCATTTTTTTTCATGGCTTCTTTCTAGTTTGTAATTTCTTTTTTGTTTCTCAAAACAATTTTAAAATTATCTACCCAATTGTATCATACCCAATTAAGTCTATATGTAGTGATCGTTAATATCACTTTGCCTCCCAAAATTATAAATTACTGAATGAAGTTTTGTATATAGCATGATTCACCTTGTTTACCAGTAACTACTTTTGTGTTTTCTAATTTGCTCAATTAAATCTAGCTAATTATACTTATCTGTCTTGGAATTTAATATAATGGTAACCAATATATCTCTTTATTTTACAAATATATTTATTTTTCCCACCATATATTTATTTAAATGGTAATTAAATTGGCAAAGTGTGCGTATAAGAAATATAGTAAAGTAAAAGTAAAAAAGGGTATTCTTTCAAAACAATAAAAAATGCCCAGTGTAATAATGCCAATTAAACCGAAGAAAATAACAGCTCCTCACATCCATTATTGGAATTGTCAACCGTTTGTGTGCAGGCTAGGAAAGGTAAATAAACAATATATATATATATATAACACAACAACCACAAAGGCCCTGTACTTGAGTATACTTAATTATCTGTTATTATGAGTACATACATATCAGCCACATATAATGCACACGCAAAGTTATATTAAAATACTAACAATAACAAGTTGTGATAACGACCCTGTATATAATTTCCAAATCACGGTTTTGTGTTGGCCATTTGAGCTCAAAAGAGATTGGAATGCCTCCCCCAACACACAGGTACTTGCCTTTTGAGTTCAAAGAGAAGTGTCAATAGTCAAAGGGGACTAGTCCATTGTTGTCCGTAATCCATACACCATAGAAAAAGATGGATATAACTCCTTACACTTCAAAGAAACTAACATCACCACACTTGAGCGTTCACTCCAATAACCAGCATCAGAATAATATCGTTGATGAAGCTGCAGCCATAGACATGCACCGGAGCAACCATAGCCACACTTCCACAAGCCGTTCTTCTGACTCTAGTGAGCCTAGTGAGGATGGAAAATGGGCCCCAAAGCTTCTAAGAGAGTGTGCAAGAGCAATATCAGAGAGAGACTCAACAAAGATCCACCATCTTCTTTGGATGCTAAACGAGTTGGCTTCCCCTTATGGAGATTGTGATCAAAAACTAGCTTCTTACTTCTTGCAAGCTCTATTTTGCAAAGCCACAGAATCAGGCCAAAGATGTTACAAGACTCTATCTTCAGTGGCTGAGAAAAACCACTCTTTCGATTCAGCAAGAAAGTTAATACTCAAGTTTCAAGAGGTAAGCCCTTGGACAACCTTTGGACACGTGGCTTCCAACGGTGCAATTTTGGAAGCCTTAGAAGGGGAAACTAAGCTTCACATAGTTGATATCAGCAACACCCTTTGCACTCAGTGGCCTACTCTGTTGGAAGCCTTGGCCACAAGAAACGACGAAACTCCTCACTTGAAGCTCACAGTGGTGGCATTAACTGCTAGCGTAGTAGGATCAGTGATGAGGGAGGTTGGTCAACGAATGGAGAAGTTCGCAAGGCTCATGGGTGTGCCCTTTGAATTTAATGTGATTAGTGGGTTGAATCATCTCACCAAAGAGGGTCTTGGGGTTCAAGAAGATGAGGCTATAGCCGTGAATTGTGCTGGGGCGTTGAGAAGAGTTGAAGTGGAAGAGAGGGAAGCATTGATTCGTGTGTTCAAATCGCTTGGTCCTAAAGTTGTGACCGTTGTTGAGGAAGAAGCGGATTTTTGCAGCTCAAGTGATGACTTTGTGAAGAGTTTCGAAGAGTGTCTTAAGTTTTACACACTCTACTTTGAGATGTTGGAGGAGAGTTTCCCTCCAACGAGTAACGAGAGATTGATCTTGGAGAGGGAGTGTTCAAGGAGCATAGTTAGGGTTTTGGCTTGTAGTAGTGATGAATTTGAAGATGGTGAGTTATTGGGTGATTGTTGTGAGAGAAGGGAGAGAGGAACACAATGGAGTGAAAGGCTTAGGAACTCGTTTTCCCCAGCTGGGTTCAGTGATGATGTTGTGGATGATGTCAAAGCATTACTCAAGAGGTACCAACCAGGATGGTCTCTTATGGTGTCCCAAGGAGATGATCATCATGGAATTTACTTGACATGGAAAGAGGAACCAGTGGTGTGGGCATCAGCATGGAAACCCTAGCTGCTTGAGTTGAATATGTGTATCTATTATTATATATATTTGTGTTTTGTGCCATTGCTATATATCATATGGGGGCTATAGTGTGCTAACCTTAAATCCAAGGGACTGAAGAGTTGTACACTGGAAATTAAGGATATATGCGGATAGCAACTAGAGCTAGCAATGGATATGGATGGATATATATGGAAACCAATATATCTGGATTTTTCTTTTAACTTTCTCTCATGATTCTTGCATACTTTGTAATCTTTCTCCTGTCCAACTCCTCTAAAGACCAAGCCTTTTTCTTGGGAGTTTGTGTTGTTAGACTTTACATGCACCTTTTTTTTATTATAATTAATATATAAGTTCAATGCTTGCTCTTGTTTGAAGGTGTTTGCACTTGTGCTCTTTTTATGAATTCCATTGCTGGCTTCTTCCCTTTTTGTACATTGATTATTTCCCTAACTTTCTTTATCTTTCAGTGCATTGGTACGTTGTCAGATTTCAAGGTGATGATATATCAATAATGTTATCTGCACACACATAGTCTTTTATGCATAAACTTTTCAAAATTTCAAGACAGCTACGTACTATTGATGATGGGAGGAGAAAAACAGAAATGAATGCTGTCGTTGAAATTAAATTTTGTAAATTCTGTAAAAAATTGTATCAACGGAATGGAAGTATATTGGTTATATATATATATATATATACAAATGGTATATACAGTGTTGCGTACGTACCCTATGCATCAATCTAAGTACACTATATATTGCCACACGAACTTCTCTTGAGATATTCACTAATCATATTGCTATTTTTTATTTGAAAAATTATACACCTCTTTTTATTAATTTTTTTAAACCTGTATAATATTGTAGATTTTTTTTTTTTCACTTTTAGCGTGAATCACAAATATTTTCTTTTAATAAAAAGAGGAGTAAATATGTAATATTTTTCAAATAAAAGTGTCAATATAATTAATTTTAATGTTGATAAAAGTAAGTATAATGCATTTTTAAAATTTTGTATAATAAAAGGTAGTATAAATTTTGTTAATTAAATGAGTTGGCTTCACCATGAAAGTTTCTTCCTTGAACAGAATTATTTTATAAAGGATATTTATGATTGTGGGTGTTTGTGTTTTGGATTAAATTGATATTTAAATAAAAATTTATTTAATTTAATTATAATACATTGTGAATTGATTTAAAAAAACTTAATTCTAATTTGATTTCATTCAATTAAAAGCAAATTGGATTGGAAGAATTGATTTTTATATTTTTGTTTTAATTTATTGAAAAAAATTATAAATAAATTATTTATTATCTCTTTTATACTTTTTAATTAACTATTTTGTTATATAAGACATGAAATTTATATAAAAATATATGATATATGAAAACAACTTTAAATAAATATAAAATGGATAAATTTTAAAACATATTAAAATGATAAAAATACACTCTTCAAAAATAATAATAAAAATAATTTAAAATTATAATCATGCAAAAATAGTTTAATATTGTATATTAAAAAAATATGTTGATATATGAATTTTCTTAAAAATTAAAGATCGCGAGATATCTCTAAGTTTAAATGATAAAAATAAATTTTTATTTTTTTACAATAATTATTGTTTAAAAAATTGCATGTTATAAAATTCATACACATAATTTTTTATTAAATAAATTGATGAAATACACATAAATAAAATCTTATATTATTGCATCAATCATTCAAATTATATAAATATATAAGTATGAGTATGAATTTACTAGTTTCCTTTCTATACTATGATTTAATGGCTAGAAATAAAATTTAAACTATAATTTGATTAGACTATTTATCCTGATCGTTAAAACAAATATAATTTATTAATGATTAAATTTTGAGATTTCGTAGTTAATATAAGTATTTATTTAACAACAAATTTATTCTGAATCTATATTAACAATATAATGCATCATTTTCATATATAATTTTGTTATAAAAAAATAGCCTATACTATTGATATATCATATATTAATATAAATTTAATATTTTTATAAAAAAATTAATTTAATAAAAATTTATAGCAATAAAAATAATTTTAGTATCTAATGCTTTGTATTTGACATTTTTTTAATTAAACAAAGAAGAGAAAATAATTTTGGATTATCTCTTGTAAAATAATAAATAAATTAGTTAAATTGAATTATATATATATATATATATATATATATATTTAATTATGGTGACTCTCCTTGTTTTAAAACTTATATTTATTTCTGTTTATATATAACGCATGTAAAGATGCTGTTATTGAAAAACAGATCTATTCAAGAGAATTGTATTATTACTTTTTAGGCTAAGACCATTAATATTAAAACATTAATTTGGATAAGTAATTTAACAATTCTCATTCCCTTAGTGGTTACATTTTCTCTATTTTGCTAATATTTGTTCAATTACAATTTAATGTTTGAAATAATTTAGACTTTAGTCTTTTAGAATTTTTTTTAAGAAATAATTAACAAAGTCAAACAGATCCCAGCATGTATATTAAACCTATTGCTATCCAATTTCATAAAAAATTCATAATAAAACAAAATAAAACAATGATTTTCCGAGTATTGAAATAAACAATAGAATAATTATACGCTCCGATTACATCATTGCATTATTTAATATATCACTATCACCGCATAGTAAATTAGCTTCAATTAGTTCCAAAAGCGAAAATGTTAATTAAAATGGGATGTAAATTCTTCTGATTACAGGTATATATAATTAATGGTTCCCACGAGAGCATGATTCAGACTGATGCATTTACCAAATAATAATAATAATAATAACATGTTAATCTGGCCTATGATAGCACATCATACCATTCGTATGAACACTTAAGCTAGTCATTTTAAGATCTTAAAATGACGTCAAGAAGGGATAAGATAATGATAAAGACAACATATATTAAACGTAATTGCATTACATATATTTTTATAATGCCCGTTATAACTATTTTTTGATCTATTTACTTTATCTCACACTTCTCTCTTCTTTTCTTATCTTTTATAATTGTAAAATATATTATAAGGAAAAATTATAAAAATGAAGTTTCTCTAGCTAATACGTGTTGGTATACAAAATATATTGAAGATGATGTTATTTTCATACAGCAAATATTATACAATAACTTACTCAAGAAAGATAGGGATAAGAAAATAAAAAGAAATGGTGTAATTGAAAGAAATGAAGATAAAAAATGTATAAATTATATAATTTATTTTTTATGTAAACATGAAATTTCATCCGAGATAAGCTCAAAAGAGTTCCAGAAGCACTGTTGAATGATTATACCCTTGTACAGGCTTTCGCTTTAAAGAGGCAACTTGGTGGAAAGATTGAACTAAGTGGGAAACACGGAATCGTACATGTGCTATAATTTTCAAAAGTTATCAGCGTCTAGAACTAGAATTTATTTTTTCTATGGGCCACTTCTGCACAGTTTTCGGTCCTTTATAATTTCTCTTTATCTACCTAAAAGGGATTGCTTTGATTTTCAGGTATCTGCAATTATGAGTTATCACTATACATTTTAAGTATCAACTGAAGCATTATTTGAAAGACACGATCACTTTATATATATGCCGATGCCAATACACATGCACAAGTTTTGACACTACACCTCTATTCTTTTTCTTTTCATTACTTGTGTTTCTTTGTTTGATTATATTTAACTTCCATATGAACAAAATAATTTCAATTATATATCCAAATTATATTAACTTGTTTACAATTGGGAGGTAGAATGAAAATAAAGAGAGGGGGGCCCCATGAGAGACCTTGGGGGCTAGCAATAGGGCTACCGACTGAATGGTATGTGTGGCTTTTGGTCCAGTGATTTGAATAGCATATTTGCTTTAATGACTGAGCTCTTGCCATGCATGCCTTGCTCTTTAGTTTTTATAGGCCAACAATATATAGTGGCAAGCAACTTTTTGGATTTAGATTGGACTTGTTGGTACCATTAGTACTCTTTTATACGTTACTTGCTTATCACACCCGCGGAATAACTTACATTCTTGTTTCTCTCTTTCGTACACATAGATATATACATGCACAAAAATGCAAACACAGCATAAATACATGACATGCATGACAACCAACACATATTTTTCGATCACTTCTGACATTGTTTATGACCATGCATGATTGCTTCAACTGCTCCATATATAAGCAGAAGAACTAGAAGTAGCTTGGAAGGAACATAAATATTCTCCCACTGTTCAAACAATCAAAGGATGGAGGAACAAGCTAGCAACATCAAAGGAATGGTGGATGCTTAAAAAGAAACTGGGCCAGGAAAAAGGAAATAGTAAATGTGTTGCTATATATAAGGCTTTTTCTCCCTTTTCCAAAACTTGATTGCTACAACTCAAGCTCAATTTTAGAAATTAAGAGGTATTCTCAATTCACACACACACACACACAAATGGCATATACCAGTTGAGAAAAAAAAAAAAAAAGGCATATACTAGGCTTTGGTGTTAACATTAGTTTCTACTTATATAATTTTTAGTTTAATAAAAATTAATTTATTAATGTAAATATTATGAATCTACACTATCAATTTAATTTTTATTGGACAAAGAATATACTAAAAGAAATAATCTCAATTTCTAATATTTTTTGTTCATTAGTAAATGATATTCTTTTGGTGTATTGAAATAAAACACCAGTTTAGCACCGGGAGAGATTCACAAGCAATTTGCATCACAAGTTAATTGGGAATTCAGTAGATAGCGTCAATTGTGTGACTTACATCATACAATAATTGGCTAACATCTAATTAAAAAGCTCGAGAAATAACCCAAGAAGGGTGTGCACAAATAAATATAAACTAATTTCAGAAGCTTTTGATTCATTGAACATAACCACACATGATCAATTCATGATAAATAGCATTGGCTTATATTATTCATACTCTCTTTTTTTTTTTTTATAATTAACCTTTTCTTTCTATTTCTCTCTATCACGCACCTATATTATCTCTTTTTTTTCCTTATTTTCGTATTTCTTTCTTGGGTTAAAGATGTTGTACAAAAATTATGCACAACTACAATTACTCAGTAGCATTTTGGCAGCACATGATTCATGAACTCAGCATTTCTTGAAAATACATGGTCTTAGATTGCATCAACAATGTGTTAGCAGCCACCTCAACTCATATTCATCTTTCATCATATAATTACTAATCTACCAGAATTAAATAATTACTCGAAATGATTATGTGGTTGGATTTTTTGAGAAACCAAAAGAAGTAATGAGCCCAGGGATTGTAGAAAAGTGAGCCCAATATGTGGGAAGAAAAAGCCCATTTATGAAGGATATCAGCGTCATTTAGGTAATACTTCAGGGTGGAAATGGGAAAGTGAAAAATCTAATCTAGGGTTTAGTTTATGAACCCTAACAACATGGATTCTGAATCTGAAGGGCGACAGTGTAGTTGAGAGGCTGAGATCGAGCCTTTGAGTAGGGAATCGCAGCGAAGTCCACAATGGTATCCCTCTCTATTCCGCTTATCTCCATCTATTGTTGTAGCTTTTGGCAGTATCCTCTCTGTGATTGATTCGCATTTTGTGATGTGAAAATGAAGAACTTTTGCATTTCCCTCTTTCAATTTCTTATTAATAACCAACCAACGTGGATTTATGTTTTCCTTTTGCGTTTTCGTCTGTTGCCACTTTTTTATCCGATCATATGGGACGTATGTTCCCTCAATGATAATTTTTATGATTTTTTATTTTTATTTTTATTTTTTGGGTTGGACACTAAAATCTTTAGTATCGATACACCTGTAATCTTGAATCCGAAACAAATTTTTAGTTTTTAATTTTACTTGCTACCGGTTAAACCATTTTGCTAGTGTAATTCTTTCAGCAGTAAATATTAGGTACCTTTATAATTTGTAAAATGTTCGATTTACTTTTGTGCTTTGGTTTAAATTTCTGAATTTGTAATGTAATTCGTATGTATGGTTTGTTCAGACTGCATTTTTCTTTGAATTTTTACTTTTTCTATGGTGTTTTGGGAGTTGATCACATGTGCTTTGTGATGTTTTGTGTAGCCCAAGCAAATTCATGAGATTAAAGACTTCCTTCTCACTGCGAGGAGGAAGGACGCACGCTCCGTGAAGATAAAGCGTAGCAAAGATGTGGTGAAGTTCAAGGTTCGTTGCTCCAAGTACCTGTACACCCTCTGTGTGTTTGACTCTGAGAAGGCTGATAAGTTGAAGCAATCACTTCCTCCGGGTTAGTTATTCACAACTATTTCTGCTGATGTGTTTGGCTTCTCTTGTGTTGCTTCTATGGTGCTAGGTGCTACATGTTAATATGTAAATTGCAAACTTTAGGTAGGTGAATGCATAAGTGCTATATTTCTGCTTTTAGCTGTAAGTTGGAGTAATTCTTCCAAATGGGAAAGCAAGGGATAAGATTGCTTTGTGGTCAAGGAAATTGATATTGAACCATTGAATATATGAGATTTGTACGAAAGTTGACCTGAATCACATGTTTTCATCGGAACCTATGTTTTTTTATTAGAAAATGCGAGAATTGATTTCCTAATAGTAGAACAAATAAAGCTGACATTGCATGTCTCAGCTGGATATTGTTTCTTTCTATCATAGTTTTGGATGATGTGCTTTGATGAGACGAAGATATGGAGATTTTATGCCCTTGTCTTACATGTATATGATTCATTGCAGGTTTAAGTGTGCAGGACGTGTGATTCCTTACTGGTAGTAGATGGAGGTCAAGTTTTGCTTTAGATTTGGAATCCATATTTAGTCAAACGGCTCAGAGATTGTTCTTTTTGTTGTTCCGTTTGGGATTCATGTTAGTATTTTGTTTGAGACAGATCCAACGTCCTTCGGAATTATGTGGCTATTTTATTCGACCTCGTTAAGTTAATATTAAAACATTTTCAGTGGTTTCTCCGTTCTGCATTTTGGCAAAGTGGAGAATAGGATCCTTCTTTATACAACACATTTCTTTTTCCTCGAGTACTTCTGGTTATCACGAAGAGAATCACAAAATTGACCATAAAAGCGCTTGAATGCATGAGTGGTCAAAACAAGATATGGGATTCTGAAAATAGTCGTACTTGCACCGTTACACGCATCTTCTATTACCAACTTCTCACCACCTTGTCAAAATCTCGATTCTAATAAATGTTTTTTAAAACATAGATCAATTAACTCAAATTTACGTTAAACCAAAATTGATGTTGTAAGTTTAAGTTTTTTAAAATCAAGTTCACAAATATAATTGAAGTATAGCTTTGAAATTCGTCTGAATTACAGCGTGAGGAACGTGACACCATTTCTGAGATGATGTCAATGGCTGAAATTGTGTTACGATTGTGTCACGAATCGGATGCACACAAATGGACGAATGCCCCTAAATGTGTTTTGAGGGAGTTTGTTAGGGTAGCATTTGGAGTGTTTATGCTTTGCAAACTTACAAGGCGCTAGAACATGGCATGGCATATCAATGGAAGATTCAAAATTTTCCGCTAAAAAACTCAAGACCAATTACAAATGAAAATGTAGAAGGAAATTTTTCGTAAACTCCCAAACCACTGTGGTCTTGACGAATAACAACATAATATGTATGCATTTTTTTATTTTAAAAAGTAGACATGACAAAATTTGAGTGATTGGGATCATGTAATCTCAGACCAAAAGGGGTGTTTGGAACTGTCATATCAAGTTTATACGGATTAAAGGTTTCGTCGACTTCCTTATCGTCGTATAGTTGTAGAAATTTCAGCCTCATTTGTAGTTGTGTTTGTTGGCAGCGTGAACATGTTGCTTTGGGGTTGAAGCATTAATTAGATTATATAATGGGTGTTTTTCTCACCATTCAGCTTTCGACTTTGTATAATCGCAGGACAGGATTTTCCACTCCATGTGCTACATGCGACTTTAAAGTCTAAACAATTCATGCTACAGAGTCTGTAAAAAAAATGTATATTCACCAAATGAATTCGTTGTATTGATTTATGGAGAACAATGGTATATGACAATAAATCTCTTAATATACTATTGGGTCTACCATGAACAAACAAAGTGTGGAATTTGCGTGCTTCGTGAAGAACTCGTGAAGACAGTTCTTGCCCTTGCTTTTAATGTTATCCTTTATTCGAAGCCGACCAATTAAATTAAAGATTGTAAAAAAGACTACAAAATAATAAATAAATTATATGTTATGTTGGGCATATTTTATAGTTGATTAATTTTTAAAGGGGAAAAACAGCCTTAAAGGGAAAAGATGTTCGTTAATAATACCACGAGGGACCATGATGGTACATGGTGTGATACATGAATAACCACATAATGTATGCTTTTGAGTTGGAAAAATAAGGAAATTTTTGAGCGTGCATCTGAAAGCAACAAAGATATGAACAAATTTGGCAGCACCATGGCCTAGTATGAGAAAGCTTGCCTCCGTGACATGTGTATATTGGGAATTCCCTTCTTCAAGATTGACTAAATTAAGTACAGGTAGCGCTTCAAAAAGTGATGTTAGGTGTGGAAGTAATGCAGAGATTTTTTGCATAATTTTATGGCAATAGCAGAAATGAATGGAAGAACCATCCTAAAAGACAGCCTTAAAAAAACACCTTCAATGGGACATTTGTTTTGTGTGTCCTCATAGAAAAGGGAACACTTGTGTCTGTTGGATGGGCCATTAGAGCATCTCCCCAGAGAAAGGGATGATGGACATTAATGATCCTCTTATGGTGTTTGTTACACTTGTTTATGCTCATATTAGTGGGCGTTCCATATCCTGATTAATTTCACTAATGTTGTGTTTATGCCGTGGAAGCTAAAACTTGTTACTTAATCCTTAATTTAATTAACTTTGAGAGCAACTAACAATGACAACTACTTCAATATGATACATTATTTTTCAAATTTGCTCATTAGCTGCCCCTCTTTCCTCTGAATAATTAGGTAATCTATCACCAACTCAACCAATCACCCATAACTAATGCTTTTAATTCAATACTTGTGTGTATATCTAACAAAAGAAAACAACATAGATTAATGCATCTAAACGACCCTTTTGTCAATTTTTCTCAGCACATTTAATTGTCGAATCAAATCCGATAGTGGTTACGCTAGAAAACAAATTCGAACATCTATGAGCGAAATTAGTTGTCTCTATTAGGTGATAAAATTTGTTATCACCCCTTTCTTTATTCTTATTCAATAAACACAATGAAATCACATGTCCTATCCTCTGTTTTTCAATTAAAAAAATAATATATAAGCGAAAAACGTCTCTTCCTTTTTGGGGGAGCTTAATTATTTATTTTTGCTGCCAGGGCATTCTTTAACTAGACAAGAGAGGAAACAAGTAAAAGAGACATGATTTGACTCTAAATTTGCAAATTTGTTCTTAATCAAAATCAGTTCACCAGATTTTAGATAAAAAATGGCAGAACAGAACAGAAGAATATTAAGGCACCCTTGCAGAGAAGTGTAATAATCCTAATAGTTTTCAAAATACTTAGAGTACTGTATACACAAAGTCATAATTAGACACCATAACATATGCTTCAATATGGAACTATAAAACTCGAGATATAAGATAAAGGAGGAAGACACATTTTAAGTTGTTTAATTGGCTTAAGTAAGCAATTGTTTCTACACTTTATAAGCAGACAAAAGTCGTGTGCTATAAAGATTTTTACAGCTTAATGACAGGTACATTATTCATTCTAATATGATGCTTGATGATGAAGCTAGTATTAATGCTCTATGAAATTCGTTGAATTTAATTTGTATATACTCTGTGTTTAAAAACTTTAATATTATCTGAGAATTTGTGTATTAAATTAAACTAAATATTTTAACATGTTACATCATAGAGTTTGACTCGTTCACGTCATGAATATGTGCTCCATATGTATGTCTCTAGTGATGGATGGTTGAGTACACCTTTCTAGCAAATTTTTAAACCCTTTTGGTAACTCTAATTCTCCACTAGCCATCTTTTTCCTCCTTCACGTTGACATAATAAATGGAATGGGTTATCAATAACCCACTTTTAGCTTAAATAATTATAATTTTATGTTATATTTACTTAAAAAATATAATCTTGCTTATCAAATTCTCTCTCTCACACACACGTTTAATCTTTTGATATTTATTAAGAAAAAGTTATAGGTACGAACAAAAACAAATTCAATATTTAATCATTAATTTATGGCATTTTCTTACATTGATCTTGTAACTAGCCTTTTATATATATATATATATCTTGTTAATTGTTATATTGATTATTACATTTTAAATGACCTGAATAATTGATAAGAAAAAGTAATTTTTAGGTCTTAATTGAGACGTGGTTGGTATATGATGACAAACAAATTATTGCCCACGTTAATGGTGTTGGAGTCAAAGTGGTGCTGTGTTCTTTTGTTGGCCATGGTGGTGATTGTGTTCTAGCAAATATAAAATGAAAATTAAAAGAAAAATAGAAGAGAAGTGATTGCTGAAAACATACATTTATGCTATGTTTTTTTTTTAATTATTTGAGGTAAACATACATTTCTTGGAAATATATATATATATATATATATATATATATATCCAAGAAACAACAGGAAAAAAGAAGAAGTGAAATATACATTGCATGGTTGATGTGGATAAACAAATAACAAAAATGAAAAAAAAAATGAATATTTCAGAATTAATATTTATATAAAAATTATATAGCCAACAAGGGAAGAGCTATCAGCAAAAATACTAAAATATGATAAAACTTATAAACTAGCTTCGTATGAAAAAGCAAAGGGTGTTGTTCATTAACTATTTAAATTTAATATCGCTGCACAACACATTAACACTAGTACAATCTCTAGAATCTGTTTGGAGAATTATGTTTCAAAGAGCTGACTACAGAATCATATATGTCTTAAAAGAACTAAAATTCTTATCATAATGGTTTGATGTGTTTGTGTGAACGTCACTATGTCAGTGACTTTGGATGCTAAGGTCTATCAGATCGCAAAATGGTCCACACCCTACCCTTCCAATTCTTATATTTTCTCTCATTCTCTTCCCCTTTTGGCTAATATGGTTAATTATGCTAAATTCCATCACTTTTCTATAAAATATCGCTAGTTCATGTTTAAAAAGTATAACAGTTGAAGTAGATGTTAAGGTTGAAACATCATATATATACACACAAAAAAACAAACTACAAACTATTCAAATGTGACAATTAACTCAAGAATTTTAATTTGTCAATGTATTTTAATTAATATAATATTAACCGGGTATGCATTGATATAATAATTAGAATATGCTCTTTTGACTTTAAAAATAAGTATTTAATAACATCAGCATATAGTTATTTTAGGTTTGAAATGATAATTTTGTATCCTTGGTATTCTAAAGACAGTTTTATTTGGGTTTTGTAAATACATGTTATTGACTTCAATTATTCTGATATTTCATTGTACTGGGCAGATGCTTAATTAATTGCTAGATTCTGAGTCAACTATGCTATTTGCTATTTAAAAATGCTAAGTTCCCAAAAATTATAAATGCAAAGATATACTTAACACGTGTAGCTCAAAAATAATAAGTAATTTGTAAAAAGAAAAAACACTTATTTATAATATAATGATTATATGGAAAAGGGATCCATTTTATTTGCATTTAATTAAAAACAGGATTGTTTCTTACTATTGACCCACTTTAATGATTTATTAGAAACTGATGGGTACTAATTTAGGTACAATATTAATTACTCTATTTGGAAGAGATAACGTTTAAAAATTATGATTAATTTATTTTCTTAATTTGCAGTTATGATAATCCATCCTTATCAACTCACTATTTGCGCAGATAACTTAGAATTGAATTCGACAATAAGACTAGACCAATTCATTCCATAAAAGTTTGGCACAAGTTAAAACAATTAAAATCGGAATTTATACAATATAGTATTTAGAGAATAAATTGAAATGGTTTTATTTATTATTTATTAGTTGGCTATTGTTATTTCCCAACAGGGTAACTCAACTGGGTCACGGCAATGACCAAACCAAAGCCACGAAAACGTTATTGTATATTGCATTTTTTATATTAGCAATGGAATAAAGGCACTAAAATACGAGGACGTGACCCATTTTTTATAGGTAGCCGACACAGCATTACCTTGGTCCTAACATCAACGCTACCTCGCACATGCACCCATTTGCAAAATTCAACTATAATAATTGTACATCTTAGAAACCAAATTATTTCAAACGAAAAAAATAGAATCATGGTTTTAGCCCCTACCACACTCCTTTTGTCCTTCTCAGAAGTGAATTTCGTTACAACCTTTGGATTGAGTGGCTTGTCTACATTGTCCCTATAGTTGTGTGTATTAGGATGTTTAAAGTGAGGTTTTACACTTTTTTGTTTTTAATTCTTCTTGTTGATCTGGTCTATTAAAATAATTAACCTTTGGTTAAGCTGTATCAATTAAAAAGATTAAAAATAATTTAAAAATGGAAAAGAAAAACATATTTTTTTAAAAATGGTTAGAAATAAGTTTAAATATTGTATCAGTATAAGTGCATGTGTGTAGATGTATTTGTCAGACACTGACATCTCTTTGCGTATCAATCATGCAATAACCCCTGCCGCCAATTATAGCTCCTTACCCATTTTCTGTGAACTTTTCAGCCTCTCACACACACTCTTTCTTCTCCCCTTCCTAAATTCAATTCAATTTTAATAAGCCAAATCATTTCTGGTTTTTGCATGAAAATTTGGCACGGGTTGTTTGGTTTTCCTTCCTTCTCATGTACCAGTCCCTTTTTTCCCCAGTTATTCGATATTAATAATAATATACATGATTAGTTACTGTGATATTATTTTAATGTTTTTGTTCTTCATTTAAAATTTGCTACCTAAACTAGCCTTTCTTATTCTGAATATTTCCTAAACTGAGAATTTCTGTCTTTTTTGGACAACCTATGATTTAGGCCATATTTGTTTTAAGGAAAAATCGCCCCCAGTTTTTAATTTTCTGTAATTCAGAAGAAGGAAATCAAAAGGGGTTGTTTTTATCTCTGTACTATAGTTGGGTATTGGGGAGAGTGATGCTGAATATTGAGGGTGGTGGAAAAAATGGCGAATCTGGTTCCGGGGGTGCTTCTGAAGCTTCTGCAGCACATGAACACGGATGTGAAGGTTGGTGGGGAACACAGGTCATCGCTATTGCAAGTTGTGAGCATTGTTCCGGCACTTGCAGGGGGTGAACTGTTCCCAAATCAAGGTTTTTATCTCAAGGTTTCTGATTCATCTCACGCCACATATGTGTCTCTTCCTGATGAACATGATGATCTCATTCTCAGTGACAAGATTCAGTTGGGTCAGTTTGTTTTTGTTGATCGGTTTGAGGCTGCTTCTCCTGTCCCCATTCTTCGTGGGGTTAGGCCTGTTCCTGGTAGACACCCTTGTGTTGGAACCCCTCAAGACATTGTTGCCACTCATTCCCTTGGATTCCTTGACAACAACAACAATAATAAGAATGCTGTTTGTTCTGACATAGATAGATTGAAATCTCCTAGGAAAGTGTCTGGTGGTCATGCTGTCGTTGGTGGGGAGAGGGACAAGAAGGAGAGGGTGAGATCAAGTGGTGGTGTTAGTGCCAAGGAAGAACAATCAGGCAAGACTTGTTCTGTTTTGGGTAAGAGCAAATCTCAGTCTCGGCCAACAAAACCTGCAGCACCCAAGATTGAGGTGAAGAGGGAATCCTTGGCTAGATTGAGGTCTACCAATTCGAGGTCCATTCCTTCATCTCCGAGTAGTTGCTATTCGTTACCGAGTTCTTTTGAGAAATTTGCCAATGGGGTGAAGCAGCAGCAGGCAAAGATTAGTGCTAAGGTGGGAGTGGTGGAGACAGGAAAGGCTACCCGTGGAGCTAGTCCTGTTGGGAAGAAGGGTGCAGTGGGAAATCCAATTAGGAATTTGGTGCAGGGCATTGAGCTGGGGACCAAGGCTCTTCGAAAGAGCTGGGAAGGGAGTACGGAAGTGAAGACTAAAGAGTCTTCTAAAACCAGGGTTGCTACTAAGTTTGATCCTAAGCCTGAAGTTCGTAGCTTGGTAAGTGCGATCACCATTTCTCCTTCTTAGCAACTTTTGATATCGACTGTGAGGCTTGTTGGGTTTAATTGCATCTTTTGGTATTGTTTTTCCTTCCAAAATTTATGTGGAATACCCTGCTGCATAGTTTAGTTGGTGTGAAACTGAGATACGTGGATTTCATTGCCTCTATCTTTTGAATCAATCAAACAATTATCTTATTCTTTTCATTTTATGGTCTACCAGACTCCTAGAAGAAGCATTTCTAGTGGAAAGTTGCCGTCTAAAGAGGAGGGCAGGATCCAAGCGCCAACAAAATCTGCTAAGGAAGAACACAAGACTCCAATGTCTACGAAGAAGGCTATTGCTAACGGAACTACAGAGGAACCAGAAAAGTCAAGCAAGCAGAGAACTTCCATTGGAAAGAAATCAGGAGAAATTTCTAACAATGGACTCCCGGGGAACTTGATCAAAGTTTCTCTAAATAGTAGAAAAGTGACAGATGCAAGTGTTCAATGGGCTTCACTTCCATCATCTATTTCAAAGCTTGGAAGGGTATATTCATTGGGAACTCCTTGGCTTTTACATTTTACTTCTTTGATTCTTAGCTGTAAAAGTATATATTGCTGAAGAACAATTGTGATAGAAAAAAGAAAGGAAGGCACGGGTCTAACAAAAGAAATTGTCTCATGAGTTCAATTAAAACAACTCCAATGAGTATAGTGTTTGATTCATGAATACAGATATACTAATTATGCTGCAAGTATAATGTTGGATCATGATTGATTTAGTCTTACTTGGGTAGTAAATATTCTATGTACATGTTCCTATCCTCACTCACTGTATGAATTATTCAGAACATTATTTGGCTTACTGAATCCTTCTGTTAAGATGTGAATTCATTGTTCTTGTATGTTCACATTTGTGACAGGAAGTAATGAAGCAGAGAGATGTGGCACAGATGGCAGCAATTGAGGCCATGCAAGAGGCTGCTGCTGCAGAGAGTATGTTGCAGTGTTTAAGGTATCAATATATTAGGATCAGGATGATAACTTTAGGCATTTATGTATGGATAGTGCTTCTGGACTGCTGAAATGTTTAGATCAGGTCTAGTGTTAATATGATCAAGATGCTGAATTGTTGACACCTGGAAAATGCAACTTTGATTTAAAACCTAGATATATTACTGATATATGCACTTGAGTAACTTTATCTACTAAAGCAAAGCACGTCTAGAAGTTACGGAAAACAATACTTTTTACTCAGTTCACTGAAGATGGACATTGGTGTCATTCCATTAGTGTCTTGTTGATACTTTTACAATGAATTATGTTTTTCCATCACCTCTGCAATGTTCTATGTAATCATCAGATAATACGACAAAGATATTGAAACTGAAGCATTTGGAGTTTGGGTTGGTGCAGAAATCCTAAACTGTATTATTAGCAATGCTATGCTGAGATTTTCTTCGCCATTTTGTCCTATTTGGAGTTACGTTCTCCCTAATTTATTATCAGTCATGTATTGGTTAAATGTTATATTTATCATTCCTTGTGTAACTCTTAACAAGCTTACAGACACAGTTGAATAGACTGTGATTATTAATTCCTACTATTTTATTTGTTCAATTTATTAAAGCCAAGATCCAGTAGAAGTTCTCTTTGCATTTCAATCCATGCGCTTTGAATGAGATAGCATCTAATCTAACCAGTCCATTGGCCTTACTCATAGTTCTTGAGTACTAATAGTTCTTACTGAGTAAGCTTGGAATAGCACATATCCAATAACCCTGATCTTTGTACTTATGTCAGTCCTAGTATTTCCTCCTTCACTGTCCTTTGATTACAGCCTTGAATCCAAATTCTGGCCTTGGTTTTTTGGCTTGATGTTTCACCCATGCTTTACAACACTCCTGCAAGGCTGCAATCACATGCTAAGTAAATTGGAATTTTATTTTTCTTTACCATAAGCTTTGGAGGTTGCATTAACTTTCCAACTGAGCCTTCTTCAACATGTGTCCCCTACATTATCTATCCTCTTTTGTCTGTGACAGACTCAAGAGCACATGTTGGTTACTTGTAATTTACCCTTATAACAATTGTGTAATCTAGGCAGAGTTCCCGGACACTTGTTGGATAATAAAGAAGTGAACAAAATGTGTATGAATGCAGTCCATGTTAATTGTTAATCAGAATTGATCTGTAGTTTGATTTGAAAGGACAATTTCGATAAACATACCATGCATATATTTCACAATACTACTGAAGACATTGTAAATTAACCATGGTAAGATGCCGAATATATAGGAGGATTTCATGTTTAAATGTAAATGTAGTTAACCCATTTTTATGGACTACTATGTTGGAATGTTCTAATTACTTCACACCAAGTTATTGCTAACACTTGTTTCTGATGTTTCTGGCAGTACGTATTCAGAGCTAACTAATTCTGCTAAGGAAAATAACCCACAGCCAGCAGTAGAGCAGTTTTTAACTCTTCATGCAAGTCTGAATAGTGCCCGGATGATTGCTGAATCCTTATCCAAACCCGTTCCAGATGGTTCATCTCCTGAATATGAAAAGTGCACAGTGGAAGAAGCACTAAAAGTAAAATCAGATAGACAAAAACAAGCAGCCTCCTGGGTCCAGGCAGCCTTGACCACCAATCTGTCATCCTTTGCTGTTTTTACACGAGAACTCCAATCATCCAGGCTTCCAGCTTCAAGGAATTCTCAAAATCAAAAGACTGTCGTGAGAAGTCAACCCATGTTAGTCCTACACAATCCAAGTGAAGATGCTTCATCAAAAGTTCATGCAAAAACTCGTCCAACAGTTAACTCCAAACAGACCTCCCAAGGAAGTACTCGCAAAGCAGCTGATGGATTAACAAATGGGCAGAAGCAGCTAGTCCAACAGCTCCCAGAGTGGATCAGAGGAAATGGCCTTAATGGGGTGGTTAATTTGGTTGAAATGTTGCAATTACAGTCCCGAAACTGGTTTTTGGGGTTTGTTGAGAGGTTCTTGGACAGTGATGGGGACACTACCTTGTCAGATAATGACCAAATAGCAGGTATGCTCACTCAACTAAAGAGTGTGAATGATTGGTTAGATGAGATAGGGTCAAGCAAGGACGAGGGAGAATCATGCCAGATATCGACAGAGACGATTGACCGGTTGAGGAAGAAGATATATGACTATCTTCTTACACATGTTGAATCTGCTGCTGCTGCGCTCAGTGGTGGATCGCAACCGTCACCGCAGATCCTAACAACAATGACTAAAGCCAAAAGGTGAATGAGTACATAACTTAACTATGCATATTAGGGCAGGACTAATCTTGGTCATTCGAAGTTGTCCAAGAAGCTCGGTCCCCTTTAAAATTCACTTTTTTTTTTTTTCTCTTTCATCTGTTTGTACATAAATCCTACATGGGGGATTGAGGTATAGAAGGAGTCTCATTATTTGTTAGGGGAGATAGCAAATATGATTTATGAGGATATTTCTTTCTTTCATTTTTCAAAATATTGTTCAGATGAAATTATACAAATTGAAACAATGGAAGATATTAGCAGACACGATCTTTTCCCATGTCCTACCTTGAATGTGGTTTCTTGTATAGTTTCCCATGTCACGCACCTATGGTTATCAAGGCATGATGAATATAACTTCTGGTGCCAATGTACAGAGCCTGAAACATGCCCATTTCATATTCAACTTGTGAACTCTCAATATCATTGGTATGTGATTTTCTTTCTTTGGCTCACATTTTTCGTGAAGGCAATTTAGTAATGGGTGTATAATAAGCCACTAACCATGCCAATGATGGAACACGAGGACCCCTTTATGCCCTAAAGCATGAGGTGAAGTATTTCACATCACAACAAGGCCACAAGATATCACAGACTGGAACATACTCACAAAAAAATGTCACTTTTATTCTTGAGTATAAACTGCATGCAGCGCCTTAAACTAGGCTGCATCAGGACTATTGACAAATATAATTCCATCTATTATAGTCTTAGAATTTCTCTTTGATTGGAAGTTTAAAGTATAGGTTGAAGATGCTATAACTAAAGATTGATAACAAGATAAAATGTAACACTATATGGTAAGATAAGGTGATATATAAAAACTATAATCTGTAAAATTCCTCTGGGAGCACAGCACCAGCTCATATAGAGAGAAAGTAGTGCAAACTGTTACCAATTGAAGGATGGTTATTGGCTGCAGGAACAATTCAAACGTACAGGACAAAGTCGTAATTTTGTAAGATAAACTTCGTTAGACAATATCTGTAGGTCAAAGTCAAAGAGTGCTAAGAAAGGAAGCAATAGAATTTTTTAAAATAAAAACTTGGAAAACAGAATGTTTCTTGCTGGCTAGTGCCAATAGGGTTGGTCCGATTTTCACGGTAATAATAATAACAACAGGGTTCCTAGTATAGAAAATGATTTTTTTTGGATAAATTGTATTTACTTCGCTGATCGCTTTGATTTCAAAAGAAATAGTCTTGAGCTTTCAGCTGAAGAATATTTTTGGTCTTAATAATAATAATAACAATTTTATTAACACCTATCTTTATAATTAATGTCAAGAATATAAAATTTTAAAATGATTAAAAATCATTTATTTATTTTTTAATCTTTATCATAAAAAAAACCCTATTTCCAACCGATACGGATGTGCAACCTTTTTGGCCAGGGAATATTTGGAACCTAAATTGCACGGCAGTAACTCTAGCGAAGTCATGGGGAGCACTTTTGCCAGCTGATTTTGTTCAGACATGAATGCCATAATTATGCTCAGAGCTAGAGCTCTAGGTTCATTCATACTTTGATGAAAGGAAAACGTTATGTGATGTAAGTGAACATTAAAATGGGGTAATTTTTTTAAAAATTTTGAGATAAATTTTTAAAATTTGTAAATAAAATAAAAGAAAAAAATAATGATATACAATATCTTAAGTTGTGATGACCCACAGTATGCAAAACAAATAGTGGAAGAATTCACGGCTAATAATAGGGAGGTGAACATTAGCAATTCTAGTGCTTTTTTGAATTATTGTTATTATATAGTTTCTTAAGTTTTGGAACCATAGTGTTTGTATTCTTCTTGTGTATATAATTTCAGATTCAGAAAGAAGCTTTGAAAAAGCAGAAAAAGAAGGCCTGCAGAAGAGCAGATGGTTGACCAAAGCCTAATTGCTTCATCTCTGTTTTGATCTGAGCCTTGGTTATATTTGTTATATTGCTTTTGAATGTCACCTCTTGATGTTAATAATTATGTAGGAGGATTAAAGAGCAAGAAATGAGGGGTGAAAACGAAATTAAGCTTGTTGAATTGTGGATTATGTCAAAGCCTATATCTAAAGTGAGACTTCGTGCGTGGCTGTGAATGTGATGCACAACACAACAACACGGGTCACCCAAAAAAGAGAACCTTTCCCAAAAAGATCAATTATAGAGTCTGGTAGTAACTGTTAAATAATGGTACAATATGCAATGACTAAAAAGTAAACGAGGAAACACCATGTCTTGAGAACCATTATTCTGATGAAATATGAGAAAGTATAAATAAGTTACTAAAAAATCCTTAATTTTCTGAGGCCCAAGCATGAAATGAGCACAGACAAAAATTAATTAGTGAATATTAATTTAACCCTTGTCCTTGCTACCATACAAGGGGGTACTTGTATGCAGCATTTTAGAATTGTTAAGGCTTATATCATATACATTTGATGATGCATTAGAAGATGCATGAAGCCTGTCAATTTTTAGTTTTCCTTACTTGATCAACTTTGAGATGTGCAATATGATTGTGGCAAGTTGTCTGCAGCATAATTGCACCAAACAATATTCATATCGTTTCCATCTTTTAGAGTGTTTACATTATAGGACCCAAGTTGCAATTGCACTGACCCTTCCTAACTGGCAACTGTAGTGGATTTGGACTACAACAATAAAGTTAACTTCAATAATCTCATATGCATGTTTTGGCTCGAGCTAATGGAGACCCTAAACTCTTTTATCTTTTTCATTTTCCAGATTTGACTCTAACTTTATTTTGTCATTCATTCATATGTTTTGGATCACACTCTAGCAGAAAATCTCAAAAGTAACAATCCACCACACCCTTTATTCATTACACAAATTCTACGCAAAAAAAAAAAATGAAAAAGTGAAAGACCAAATGAACATAAACTACAAAGTAATAAAAATGGGTAGAGATAAAGGAAAACACACCATTCTTCAAATTGGTTTATGACTCAGCTACCGACTCTCGTTCAATTACAAAGTATGGCTACAATTACTTATCCAAGAGACCCATCCATCCAATTTCCCTACCACGCGCACTCCCCTCCCCAACTTGCCCAACTCCACTAAGAATTTCAACAATACAAAATTATTGTTAGTAAAATTTGTGCCCATCATACGTTTCATTAGTATTTTTTAATAATAAAACAAAGAGTAAGTCGTTACCATGTCTTGAAACTTTTTATGAACGATCATTTTATTATAAAATATAACACATTGAAGTATTCAAATTTTGATGTCAAGTAGGTTTTCAGTAATAAATTAGCACTTGCTAGGGGAGCTATAAATTGGTCCAAGGTTATTTCTTTTTAAAAAAAAATACAAAAGCTGCAAATGAAGTCTATAAATATACTAAACATAATACAAAAGTGATACCCTAAATAATCAATCCCCTTAATTTTGTTGGCATTGAAATAATTGTTTTTGTTTTTACCGTTTGCAATTAACGAAAAATGTTGATCACAAAAAGGAATAATAATAATAATAAAAAAAAAAAAGATGGATGCAATTAGCAAGAATATAGAAGATACAAGAAATCTTTCTAAAGACGGTGACAAGGGAAGATTTGAGAGTTGTTGTCCACGTGGAATGCATTAACAACAGTGTGTGGTCGTGTGATACAGAAATAAACTTCATTAAAATCTCAATGTGTTGGAATTGCCACCTCACAAAAATAGGGAGAAAAAAGGAACTTAGTTTTCAACCAAATAGTGCCAACACACTCTTTTCTTTTTGAAGGACATAACATAAACAGATACATTGATAGATGCAAATGCTCTGTAAGGCTTCGTCTGCTATGGCCACTTTTCCTTGCTCTAGGGTTTGTTCTTCTCTCTCTTCCATTCTCCTTTCCCTTTTCTCTCCATTTCGTTTCACAAATTATGCTGAAATTTTTGATCGAACAAAACTAACCCCTTCAAATTTTGGAGGCCCTTCTTCCATTTTTTACTTTAAAAAATAAAATACAAACTCTTTCTGCATTTGATGAATGATATGAAGGTATTTTGCTTTTGTTCGCGGTAACAAATTGTTAAATTAAGATTTTTTTTTTAATCAAAAAAGAAAAAAGAGCAGAAATCGTTGTTCTTGTTTTACTTGAGAAATATTTGGAAATGTTTGACTTCAATATTGCAATTTGATTCTGGGTTTAGTTTTTAGGTACTTGAGTTACTCTCTTTCATTTGTATGTATTGTGTTATTTGTTTGTTTGATTCTTGGGTTGACTTGTGATTGTATCGTATCCTACCTGCGGGTTTTGGATTTGGCTTACTATTTTGATTGGATAAGTGACTATTGATTATTTGGTGATGGGTTTTGAGTATTGTTTGTTTCTTAGGTGAGAAGTGGGTTATCTTTGTGGCCAGAAGTTAGACAACTTTGCTTTAGAAAAGGCATTCTATATGGATTTATGCGAATGTTTTCATCACCGTTGAAAACACTGCGTGGAGCTAGTCGCACGCTGAGAGTAGCTCAATTTTGCAGTGTTGTGAATATGTCTTCCTCATTGCAGATTGAAGTGGTGAGAGCAGGTCTCTTGTTTTTTTTTTCTGCTGTCGTGGTGCTGTTGGATTAATATTAAGTCACCCAAGCTGATAAGTTTTCTGCAGGAATCTGCTGAATGCCTAACTTGTGATGTATTTGATCATGTTTTCTCAAATTGTTAGGTACCTTGCTTAAAGGACAATTATGCATATCTCTTACATGATGTGGGTACGGGTACAGTTGGTGTTGTTGATCCTTCTGAGGCTGTGCCTGTGATAGATGCCTTGAGCAGGAAAAATCGAAATTTGACATACATACTCAACACTCACCATCATCATGATCACACTGGTGGAAATGTAGAATTGAAAACAAAATATGGGGCAAAGGTAAGATATTTAGATCTTCTGCTAAGGTTTATTATACTTTGTACTTTTGTATTAATATTCTGTGTGTATTTTCAGTGACATCAGTGGATAATCATTTGTAATTGAAATACGATTCCCCATGTATAGAGCAGATTAAAAGTGAGATTTACTTTGTTCTGTTTGTCTTACAAACTTCCTATCATTTGTGGTACTGGTATGTGGTTTCTGTTATTTCTTCCCTTGGCAAGTAGGAACTTCTTCCGGTTTTGTTGGATTGAGAGATTGCCTTCCTTTTAAAGGAGGAGTTCTCTTGGTACCTTGTCCAATTTAGCATTCATGTTATTAATAATAACTGTGGAATTTGACAAAATAAAGTTTTGCAAATTTGATTGATAAATTAATTATTGACAATTAGACATATTAGGCTCTTTGATGATTGATCAAGCAATTTGGAAGAGTTGATTGCCCTTACATTCTTACTTTGTGTGTTTCTATATTGTGGCTATTTAAGCAAAATGTGTGGATTTTCTTAAGGCACCATTTGGTGTATTTTTTATATGCTTACTAGTTAATACCGTATGTAAATGTTAACACTTCCCACGTTGCATTACAGGTGATTGGTTCAGGAGCTGACAAGGCAAGGATTCCTGGCATTGACATCTATTTGAATGATGGTGATAAGTGGATGTTTGCTGGCCACGAGGTGCGTGTAATGGACACACCTGGTCACACCCAAGGTTGCATTCATGCCCTTTTTGCATTAGTGATTCTTCTTAAGATTGAAGAATCATTTATATTTTTAAAAAAGCTAGGTTTTCTACTGTGTGGCTCATTTTTCTAATTTTCTACTTACTTATACTGTAAGCAGGCCATATAAGCTTCTACTTTCCTGGATCTGGGGCAATTTTTACTGGAGACACTTTGTTCAGCTTATCATGTGGCAAGCTCTTTGAAGGAAGCCCTCAGCAGGTTCATTTAAATTGTATTTATGTGTTCATTTTGTTTTGAGATTTGAGATTTCTATCCAGTAGTATGTCATTGCATCTTATGTGTCGGATCTTATCTTTTATTGTTTCACTAATGTTTATAACTTGTATACTTTTTGTCAAATAATACTTTGCTTTGTGAGCATATTGAATGTTCATTAGTACCTGTGTTGTCATGCAAGCCAATTCTTGCGTGGTGTCAAGTCTTTTACTTGACAAACTTGTAATTTGTACCTTCAAATATTGAGAAATTCATCCGTGTTACAGATGCTATCTTCTCTTAAAAAGATCATGTCTTTGCCAGACGACACATATATATACTGTGGACATGAATATACATTGGTTAGTTATTTTTACTCTTGTCCTTCACCTTCTTTGCTTTGTTTTCTTGGCCTAAGGGCTGCAACATTGACTTTGGTGCATTGGAGTTTGGCAGAGTAATACAAAGTTTGCATTGTCTATTGAACCTGAAAACAAGGAACTTCAATCCTACGCTGCTCATGTAGCTTACCTTCGAAGTAAAGGCTTGCCTACAGTAAGTTTTAGAATTGAAGTGCCCTCTTCCTCTCCTTAGCATCTCTTTCTTCATTAATCTTTTTCACAAATCAGAAATTCACTGTTATTAAACTTATACTACCTTTATTAATCTGTTTGAATTCTTTGACTATTTCTTAAGCCAAATTAATTAATAAGTACTGTTTGGCTAGATTCCCACCACCCTGAAGATGGAAAAGGACTGTAATCCATTCCTTCGTACATCTAGTCCACAAATCCGGCACTCATTAAACATTGCAGCCACAGCAGATGATGCAGAAGCCCTGGGTGTCATTCGACGAGCAAAAGATAATTTTTAGAGTTATTTATTTCAATTTTTTAAGTCTAAAGATACATGTACTGTATAGAGTAAGTTAAAGAATCCATCTTTGGAATAATAAATGCTTTATGCTATCTTTTCAATATCATTACTCAATTTTGTTTTTGAGTTCATTTTGGGAATTATCTCAGTCCAACTGGTTCGGTTGGGCCATAGAACTTGGCTATTTGTAAATCGGTTTTGAACCATTCAACCAGCATATGAATCAGACAGGAGCTGTTCATTGATGAAATGTAAAATATTTTTGAAATTGTATGGAATTTGATAGGATGAAATGACACTTTCATTAATTTAACTTTTAAATTACATGAAACATTCATTTTGCACTCTTATTTGTCACAACTTTGGTCATTTTGCAAAGAACGATAATTCATTCACAATATTTGTTGTCGTTTAACCAGACTTACCTAATTTTCACTTTTACTCTGTATAAAAAAATTAAATCCTTATTTGATGCCTAAATAAATGAGGATCATAGACGGGTTGGAGATAAAATGATTAAAGGGTTAAAAGAAAATTGATGAAAACAACGCAATTTTATAGAAAGGGGTTGGAGATTGTAGTTTTGAAGAGGAATATTTTGAAAGGATTAAAGTTAGGGGGTTAATGGATTGGATTTAATCTAAATTTATTTTTAATCTAATTAGTGAATTTTAAATTATTTTATTTTATTTTTTAAAAAATTAGTTTAAAATTGGTTTTAAAATTTAGATTTATTTTAAAATTAATTTTAAATCCAATTTTAGTCAAAATTGATTTTAAATCTAATTTTGACTAGTTTTATTCAAAATCAGATTTATTTTTATACAATATTTAAAGAAAAATTACGCTTAAATATACCTTAGAAACGAGCACGTTGATTCTTTGAGACAATTATAGTCATCCTCAACAACGATTTAGATTTTAGACAATCATCCAATAACAGTAAGTAAGAAAATAAGGCAATAAATTCTAGAACAATATTTCATTCATTCTTCAGTAGGCTACTTTGATGCAGCTGCCTGAAACTAAATCTCGTTCAAATCTGCTATTTCTCAAAGTTCTCATCCTCCTTTCCTATCAAAGTGGAAAATAACAGCTTTTTTGTCCTTGTGTTTATATATTAAACAAAACTTGAAAGTAACAGCTGTTACTTACTGCTCCAATAGACAAATATAATAAGCATGGCCACTTTCATGAGACTTACTGGAAGTTATGCACAAACTCTGAAATTCAATTATAACTCCTATCTTTTCTTTCCTCTGTCATCATTTACATAACTCATTCTCATCGTTAACATTATTTATGGTTCAGTGCCTGATTAAACAAATATCGTTGCCTGCCAAAACAACTGACTCTGTCAGACCCCACACTCTTGATCAAGAAATTTCAAAAGGATACCGAGAAGAAATTAGTGGCTTTGACATTAACTGGAACTGAAAACGATCGAGTCATATGCTGATTTACGGCCATTTTCTGTACGAAATGAAAATATTCATCAACGTGGCATAATTTAAATATCAAATACAACAGCATGTTCAATATTAAAAAATGTAGAAAAACTTGGTCTGTGATGACTAGAGTATAAGAGTATTTGTTTTGATATCATGGAACAAGAATGAAGAGCAGAAACATACACTTAAATCAGAACCAATCCCTGGGTGTCTTCCATGTACATTCTCTACACCCGCTACTTGTGATACAAAAACATCAAGTTCATCACTGCATTACTGCAAAAATGTTAAAAAAGACTAACTAGAGGTATATATGATTCTATAAATTTCTAGCTTTCAATATTGTGGATGTCAAATGTTGAAAAATGGAGTAAAAGGACATTTATAGAACTAATATCGTGTGGTTTGAAATCTCTTATTTCACGCGTGCCATGAGTGTTTTTATCTAGGTCCAAGTTCAGTCCTGTGACGAACCTATTCTATTATGTGTCAATTCCATCGCTGATAAAACAAAACAGCAAATTTGATTTGTCAAAACAACGGCAAATATTAAGCACAATCTTATATCCTCACATGGAACTGGAAAGCGGCAAAATAGAACTACGAAGAATGGAATAAGCGGTAAAATTGAGGAGGAAAAAAGAGTACCTGTGAGGCTGAGCAAATGAATCTCTATTGCTGCAATACCAAATCAGAAATCTAGAGTTTAGAAGAAGGTGAAGAAAAAATCTAGTTTTTTAAAGTCCAATCCGATTTTAATATATTAGAATCAGTTTATATCCAGATTTATTTTTTTATAGATTCAGTTTTCTGATTCTTTAAAAAATCTGGCTGGTTGGACTTAGTTATGCATTAAGCTTTTATATTTAGATTTTATTTTTTGCACCCCTATTTAAAGTAAACTACTTTTATTGAGATGTTAAGAATGGAAATAAGAATTTAAATGTATAAGTATAGAAAAATTAATAAATTTTTTTAATTATAATTAAAAAGGGAAATACTTAATATAATATTTAAAAAATTATGAAACTAAAATTAAGTAAAACTTTACAGGAGTATAGAATCATATAATTACAAGAAGAGGATTAGAAAAATATTTTTTAACACGTTTTAATTTTTTTTGAATTATTATTTAAAAATTATTTAAGCACAGATAAGATTTATTAAATTAAAAATATCTATTTAATGTCTTAATATTTTGTGTTTTAAAAAAATACATTATTAGGATATTTGGGATAATGAATTAAAAGAAACCGTTTGAGGAGCAGTGTGCCTTTGCAATTGGTGAGCGGTGGTGACGTGGCTCCGCTGTGAAATGGAAACGGCCACATAACAAAGTTGTCGGGCTGACAAGTTGCAAGCAAAATCAAAATCTCTCTCTCTCTCTCTCTCTCTCTCTCTCTCTCTCTCAGGTTAGGGTTTCTCTTTGGCTCTGAAAAACTCTACACAATGCCGCTTCCTTCCAAATCCCTCGAAAGCGAGGAGTGGGGAACACCCACCAACAACCTATGGGTCGGCAATTTGCCGCCGGAGGTCACCGACTCCGATATTATGGAGCTCTTCGCTCCATTCGGCGCTCTCGATACTCTCATCTCCTATTCCTCTCGCACTTTTGCCTTCGTCTTCTTAAGGCGACTCGAAGATGCCAAGGCCGCCAAAACCACTTTGCAGGGCGCTTTTCTGCGCGGAATTCACATCAGAATCGAATTCGCTAGACCGGTTTGTCCTCTTTCCTTTTGATTTCGCAATGCGGCTTTAATTTAATTTATAATAATGATAATAATAAATTCGTGGTTTCAGCCAAAGCCGTGTAAACAGCTATGGGTGGGTGGTGTTAGCCCTTCTATCACGAAGGAAGAATTGGAAACTGAATTTCGTAGATTTGGTAAGATTGAGGATTTTAAGCTCTTCAGAGACCGCAACACTGCATGCGTTGAGTTTCTCAACTTGGATGATGCTACTCGGGCCGTGAAAATCATGAACGGGAAGCGTTTGGGTGGAGACCAAATTTGTGTAGACTTCCTTCGATCACAATCTACTAAAAGAGTAATATAAATATATATTTTTTAAATTTTATTTTAAGAATAATTTGTTTCTTCTCTTTATCTTGTTTATTTAATTACCTCTTATGCTACAAGCGTCCTGATATGCCTCGTGGTTGCGTCTATAACGTATTCTCCATGACATCAGCTTAGTGGGAAGTGGTTGTTTTAAAATTATCCAGAATGGGGATGCTGCTTTTCGTATATAGTCAATGTAAAAGGGTGTTAAGTTCAAGATTCTAGTACCTAGGATTGAGCGGGGGTATAGACACATTAAATGTCAGATTGCCAAATGAATCATAATATCCTACCTAAAATACATATGCAGGGAGATAGAGAGTTAATATTTATACTCCTATTTGAAATTGCATGAGATCACAAATCAAGTGAAAAACAGAGGAATTACGCAGCTAAACCAGAAACAAATCAAAACTGCTAGCCATTTGCTGGGTGTTAATCATAAAAAAGTCGAAGGAAAGTAGAGAAAAGGGCCTACAGTTTGCCAATCACCACCCCAGTATAAACTGACGTGTCCACATATCAAAGCGACCAAGAAGGGAAGTCTGAACACCAAGTCACTGGTCAGAATGGAGGGGTTGAGTGAGAGACATGGTAGAATGGGAGGAGGGATTGACCCATAGATGCCCAAATGAAGTCAAATGGGGCTTGTGGTATTTAGCTTTTGGGCTTGGGTTTTCCCCCTCTATTAATCATGGGTATCACACCACCTCTAATGGTGGGTTGCTTGATAGGTCAAGATTGTCCAGCTTACCCACATCCACAAGCTAGATTGAAAATCTAACCTAAAACCCTCCATGTTTGGTTGATGTGCAGGTTGGGTTGAAGATTGTAACATTGCATGATAATACAAATTAAATCACGATATTTACAGCCTTGATTCCATATCTCAGTAGTTTTTCTGAAATCTTTGTAATTATCAAAAAGGACTTTGGTTACTTTTAATTTAAAGCTTAGTATGATTAATTCAATGGTGTTTTTTGGATGTGATGAGCGTATAAGCTTTATTCTATTTCTTTGGCTTTAATATTTTTCATATAGAAATTGGTGGATTAGGTAGTTTCGTTATAAAACTTTCTAAACTTTAGTTACTGATTATTTTTTCTATTAAGTTTATGCTTTTCTGCCTATTATTCTTGTGTAGCTAATGTTTCCTTTGCTGATTTCTATAGGATCTTTTGGTGGATTATGGGCAGTTTCAGGCTAGACCACAGGTTAGAGCCTCCCAAACCTAACTACGTGTGTTTTGTGTTAGTCCCAAACCTTTCACGAGGAACTTTATTACCATTCCTTCTAAAATTCTTTCTTGTGTCACAGCATTCACAACCTCCAATCGGGAGAAATGGTCAACCCAGTAATGTTTTGTGGATAGGTTTTCCTCCTTCTTTTCAGATTGATGAACAAATGCTTCACAATGCTATGATTTTGTTTGGTGAAATTGAGAGAATCAAGAGTTTTCCTTCTAGACATTATTCATTTGTTGAGTTCAGAAGCGTTGATGAAGCTCGGCGTGCGAAAGAGGGTCTTCAAGGACGGCTTTTTAATGATCCTCGGATAACGATTATGTATTCAAGCAGTGAGATGGCACCTGGCAAAGATTATCCTGGCATTTATCCTGGGAGTAAAGGGACTATATCTGATGGATTAGTTAACGAGCATCCACTTCGACCACTACAAATTGATGCATTTGGTCATAATCGTCCTATTGTTCCAAATAATTTTCCTGGACAACTGCCACCAGGGGGTGTTGTTGGACCCAATGCCCCAATGCGATCTTTTGGTTCTCAAGGTCTTGAACCTCTTATCTCTGGTCCTGAGTTTAATGAGATGGGTACACACACCAAATTTCAGGATGGTAGCTCTAAAAGTCTTACGGGTCCAAACTGGAAAAGGCCATCTCCACCTGCCTCAGGAATGCTTCCATCTCCTATGCCTGGTATTCAGCCGCCTTCAAGATCCACCTCTGGTGCATGGGATGTACTTGACATAAACCAAGTTCAGAGAGATTCTAAACGCTCAAGGATAGATGGTGCTTTGCACATTGGTGATACTCCATTTCCTTTAAGGAATATAGATGACCGTGGATTAGGGCTTGAACAAACTTTTGCAATTGATCCAGTTATTGATGGAGTTGGTTCTGGTCCTAAGAGTCACCTTGGTGCAGTGGGCAGTAGAATCACCTCTGGAGTGCCTGGTTCTGTTCAGCCAGATATTGATCATATATGGCGTGGAATTATTGCAAAAGGGGGAACTCCTGTTTGTCGAGCTAGATGCGTGCCTATTGGAAAAGGGATAGGGACTGATCTGTGAGTATAATTTTCCCTTTTCTTAAATGTCTCAGTCAAATTTTGGAAATTCAAGGGAGGATGAAGGAAATAGTAATAATTCTTAGGATGAGATTTTTTGCCCCTTCATCTTGTTAGCTTCTTTTGCATTTGCATTTTTCCTCATTGCTAGCAAGGTCTTTCATGCAGCATATGATTTTTCCTTTACAGATTGTTTCTTTACTGTGGAAAATATTTGCCTTAAATGATTTTTTATTGTTCCGTGCTGCATGCTAGCTTTTCTGTTATATATCTTTATTCTTCCTGCTTGTCATTGGGAAGCACAGTGAGTTTAATGTTCTTGCATTTTGTTTAACAAGTTGTCATTTTTTTTTCATGGAAAAATGCAGTTTAGTAAGCATGCTTCTTTTGACAGTTTGCTTTTGTTCTGCATATTATTTTATCTGCATTGAATCTATGAGTATTGTCATTATATTGTTTCTATTTTTTTTAATGTCCTTAGATGAAAATACTTAGTTTTATATAACTTCCAAATTTTGGTTTTGCTTTTGTTTGTTGATTTGATGGTTTAAGGCATGTTTGGGTTGCAAACCCTGGTTTAGCCCCAACCCGGGGGGGGGGGGGGAGTCCACTTTTACTCAGACCATGGTCTGTGACCCAAAATCATGTTCAAGCACAACTCAATCATGATTTTTCCAAACATGTTATTTTTCGATGACACAGTTTACACTCAAACTGAAGTTTGGGACTGTGCTAACTGCAATCCAGATAGACACTTAATATTTTGGTAGGGCCTTGGATGACAAATTATTTTGAGAGCAATTGCTAATGGAGAAATATCACTTTATTCACTTTATGCCCCCTTTTTTTTGTTATACCTGTTTAGTGTTTTTATGTCCTGCTTCTAGTTTTTCAGGGTACTATTTTGCTGCTATAATTATAGTTTGTTCTGTGCTTTTGCTGCAGTCCTGATGTTGTTGATTGCGCTGCTAGGACAGGATTGGACATGCTAACAAAACACTATGCTGATGCAATCGGCTTTGATGTTGTTTTCTTTCTCCCTGATAGTGAAGAGGATTTTGCTTCATACACTGAATTCCTTCGCTACCTCAAAGCAAAAAACCGTGCTGGTGTTGCCAAGTTTGTTGATAACACCACTTTATTTTTGGTACCACCTTCAGATTTCTTGACCAATGTTTTGAAAGTCACTGGACCTGAACGTTTATATGGCGTGGTTCTGAAATTTCCTTCAGTTCCAAGTAGCACTCCAATGCAACAAGCAATGCATTTGCCTTCACCCTCTACCCAGTATATGCAGCAGATTCCCCCTTCACAAGCTGACTATGGTTCAATCTCTGTAAAGGAGGAACAGGTTTTACCAATGGATTATAACAGATTGATACATGAGGATTCTAAGCTTCTTCCAAAACCACTTCATCCAGCTACAAATGGCCCCTCTTCAATTCATTCTGTTCCTCCTGATTATACTCCTACAAAAACTGTCTCTGCATCCCAAACTGGAGTTACATTAACACCTGAACTTATTGCAACCTTAACTTCTTTACTCCCAGCAACCACGCAATCATCTGCCACTGACGGTGCAAAGACAGCAGTTGGTCCCTCTGCTGTGAAGCCACCATTTCCTCCTGGTGCACCTAATGATGGAAATCAATCTCATTTGTGGAAACAGGATCATCATATTGCAGATCCACCTAATCATCCCCCTCAACAGTTTGGGAGTATGTATAACATTCCCAATGCTCAATATCAGCCCTATCCACCTGCATTTACTCCTGACCACTCTGCTCAAGTGGTTTATGGCGGTTCTCATTTCCAAGATTCTGGTTCCAGTTTGCAACAACTAGGTACTGTTTCATCTACGCCCATGAACAATTTCATCATACCTCCACAAAATGGACAGGTAGCTGCATCCCCTCAAGTCAGTCAGCCATATCAGGTTGAAGTCTCCCACAACACCCAGAAAGGCTTTGGAATGGTTCAGGGAACAGATGCCTCTGTTTTATCTAGTTCTAAGGCATTCCAACAACCTAATTTTATACCCTCATCTAATCAAATTTCCAGTGCTGCTTCACAGCAACAAAATTTGACACCCTATCCAGTAGACAATGTTAACACAGAGCCTCCAAATCAGCAACTTCAACCTGCTTTATTTGGGGTTGGCCAGGCCATGTCAGAATTGGAAGCTGATAAGAACCAGAGATACCAGTCAACACTACAGTTTGCTGCCAACCTTCTCTTTCAGATACAACAACAACAAACACAAGGAGGGCATGGGCCAGGAAATCATCAATAAAAATTGTTTTCCGTATGTAAATATCATATGACTAATTCTTTTAAATGGGGAAATCCTTTACATCATATTAATTTCTAAAATTAGGTTGAACATTTTCTTTACATCTAGGGGCTGTTATCATATTGTATTATTTTCCCAAATCATTTCATCCTATGCGTTTAAACGATACTGCTTTTGACTTGTTTCATGGCTCTTAGCTGCATATCATCTGAAAACCATCTAGACTATCTAGTAATATGAGATATATGTAAGCTTTTAGTGTGAATTAAATTAAGCAGTTGTTGGCTAATGTCAATGTGAGGAACTTTTGTGATCCAGTTCTGTGAGGGTCCTTTGGAACAGTTTACCTTCTTTGGGGGGTTGGGGACTTGGGGAGGGGGATGTTTGAAGAGAAAGTCAAGGTTTTAACGGGTAGATTTTGTAGGCAAATTTTTGTAAGTTTGCTGGGTGTTTCCTTTGGTAGGTTTCATAGTCACTTGGTTATTAGACTGGATGTTCTTTGTTACTGCTTTTTGGCATGTTTATTTACAATGTAACAGTGTTATCAAATTGCAACCATGGCAGTGGTATGGCAGGCGGATTTTCAGCAAGACACCATATATATGAGCTATGGCATGGTGGGTTTCTTGTGGCGGGTTATTGTGCTTGCCATTCACATGATGGACTGGAACCCAGAAAGGGGGAAAGAGAGAGTGGTGAATTGTGGGTTGTGGGAAAATGCCAGGGTTGGACAGAAATGACAATGACAAGCATTGGTTCAGTGGCTGGAAATGAAAGTAGGTGCTTCTTTTCATCAACACGGGGGTCACACAAAGTGTTTTGCATGAAACAGAAACCCTATCTGTTTCTCAAGAATAAAAGGCTGAGCATGAAAATGCTCAAAAATATTGTTGAAAACTGTAAAAACGGGATAAAGATGTTATTTTTTCCCTGTACAGGATATCAGCTGCAACGGCTGTGGTCTATTGGATTGGGAATTTGGGATAGTGTTTTGAGGTTACAATCGCAACCTTTGCTTTACGAAATTGCAATTCATGATGTTATTGAAGTTTTGTAGTGCTTTAAGGCCACAATATTTTGTAGGGCTACACCTTTTTCTGTTTCAAGTCCTTTTCACCTCCCTCCCTCATTTAGGATAATCCACCTGTGAGCTTGACATGCTATTATTATTATTGTGATTTTAAACTATATTTATGGTAAAACTTGCGTTCCAAAATAAGGTTATTGGGTTCCAGAAAAAAAAAAGGATTTGTGTCTTTTTGTAGTAATTAAATAGAAATTTGGCAGACATGCTATTCCACTATAGGATACCAGTAAGTTGTATTTGAATTGCTGTATTTAGGTACAGGTGAAACTGAGTGCACATACATCCATGGGTATTGTATGTATCTAGTCTCACATTGTAAAAAGTTTCTGTTAAAAAATTGGCCATTTACCATTAAAACTATGTAACTCATTTCCTTGTGCTCTATTTTCTTCTCATATATTATGAACTGGAAACTTTCCACATTTAATCCTAATTGATATGAGGTATTTACCTTCAAATGTAAATGGAATTTCACTCACTGTAGTGACATTTGTTTACTTCATTACAATATTTAGGAATGTTGGCTTTGATAGTTCCTTTCTTTGTTTGTCTCAGCTGTAGATTTTGCTGGTTACTGTTATAACAAGTAGTCTGTTAATGTTACCTGGAATGCTGCTTGCTAAGCCTACTTGTTCCTCTCCCTCATCATCTTGGTTATTAGCTTGGATTGTGACACAGTCATCTCACCAACAGTTGGAAAGCCTTGTCCAGGTATGTTGAGGGAATTGGCTGTGTTATGTTTCTAATGAAGTAAATTTCTGTTCATGGAAATCGTTTATGCTATTTTGTAGCCTGTTATATATGGTGTGTAGATTTTATTTAATTCCTAGTATATATGGGTAATGGCTATGTGCTTTAGCTTTCATATTTTGGATAAATATTAAGTCTAGGACACAATTTATTATAGTGGAAATTTTAAGTGTTTAGGACTGGTATTTTTCTCTCCAAGGATCTAAGGAAATCCATCTGTTGAAATTATGGGGGTTTTTGGTGTTTGAGGGTGGAAGAGAGATACAAGAGAATGAAATCCTAAATTGATGTTTAACTGTGATGTATTACAATGCGTTAATATATGTTTTCATAAAATTTCTAGTACTAACTACCCATTATACTAATCATAATCCTAAATAATTAGGAAATAAATCATGACAAGATAAGGAAATATGGTAAACTAATCCTTAGAGATAAAAGTGAAACAGGGACGGAAATTAATCCTAGGGGATGATAATAGGATCTGATAAAGATTTTTCTTCTTTCAATATTCTTGCACTCCCCCTCAAGTTAAAGCTTAATAAGTTTTTAGTTTGTTACTGATAAACCCTTTAAATAAAAGGAATCTAACAATATAACTTAAGATTGTGCAATGATGGAACATGATTATTCTGAGACTATTGTGGGGCAACTAATTCTCTTAGTTAGTTAATCTGCGGGGACAGACTCATATCTTTAAAGCTGGGAGGGCAAGCAGATGTCTCTGGGAAAGCCCTGGAGTTGACAATTTGACACTTGACACTCTTGGTAAAGCTGTAGGGCTAGATCAACTGTGTTGCGAAAGCAGCATGGCCTGGCTCAACTTTAGGAAAGCAGTGTGGCCAGAGCCAGACTAATGTCTCTACTCACATAATGTACAATTCAAACTAAGAAGAGGAGGTCATGGGTCAATGAGAAGAGAAAGAAAAAGAACCAAACAATGATGAAAATGCTAGAAAAGGTCACAGAAGGCAAAATGCAGGAAATTAAAATACAAAGGGAAACATGAGAGGTTAAGGCACACTAGAGATGTCACATTGATGGGAGAAACCAAAGAAGGAGATGCCCAAAATAAGTAAAAACGGTCAGAAGAGGATAACTTGTTGGAAGGAAAAACACAATGGAAGCAAAAATGCCAGAGGATATTGTAAGGTTTGACACACAGAGAGACAATTAATTTGAAAAAAGAATCATGAAAATAAAGTTGAACTCATCATTTTATGAAACTTAACAATGGAGTAAGAGGATGGAAAATGGGTTATGTGGGGGATGGTAGTGGTACTACTCTGATATCATATTGAAATTATGTGGGTTTAGGTATTGATGGAGGAAGATAAAGTAGAATGAAATGGAACAGTAAATTAATATTTTCTGGGATCTATTACTATGAGTTGATATGTTCATAAAGCCCATTGTTCCACCCTTATTTATATTACTAATCATAATACTAACCGGAGGGGGCGGGGGGAATCATTATAAGATAGGAAATATGTAACTAATCCTAAGAGATAACAAGGGAAATAGGAAATAGTTTGCACTTGCTCTTCAATCCCCTCTGACATTATGTTTTAGGTTAAAAGCAATTACTGTTTTTGCAATTTGCTGTCAATTAATCTGTTCAATTTTAGTTATTGTTGTGTGATTGGTTAGGAATCTTATTGATATGGAGAATTAACAGTATTTGGTCCTTGGGAGAATTAATAGTTTAAGGGTGTTGCTAAGGCATTGGTTAAGGAATCTATAAATAGTAAGTTTTATTAGAGATTATGCTGGAATGCCTCAAAATACATGGCAGTTTTCAACAAAACGTTTCTATTTTTTATTTCTTAACCAGTACTCTTAGGACACTAGTTAGCATTTTTCATAGTTTTTTAGTATTTATAATTCTCTCTTCATAATGTTTGTACGATACCATCCTCAGTAAAAAAAAACTATTTCATCATGTGGCTGTTTCAAATCTAGTTTCAGATATATAGATACATCAACTATGTAACAATCCCCTTGGTACACATGTATTAGAGTGCTTGCATAATGGTTCTGAGTCCTGAGAACTCTAGTACCCCAATTTGTAGTGAACCTACTTTTGCTTATATTGTGCATTAATTTTGTTAATCATTATCTTATTTCTGATTGATTAAAATAATTGTCATGATCTATCTTTCTCTCTCTTGTTATAGCTTACCTCTCAATTGGTTGTATGTATACTTAGATAGCAATATTGTGTCTTAAATATGACATATTAATTAAGTCTTGATCTTTTCTATTCTGTGATTGCATCTAATAATAACTTGAAGTGTTGTATCCCCATTATATTTTAGCGGTAGGCTTGGAGCCCTTTTTCCCCCTAGAAGGTAAATATTAGGGTTGGGGACTCATTCACTTTAACTTATTTCACTGTGAGCTGTAATTTTCCCAATGTAAAGATCTTGAATTTGATTCCAAAGATTATGTGAAGACACTTACTGATTAAATTTGTAAATATAGAGTTACCACTATTTACTGCTTTCCCCGCCAGCCATACTCAGGGATCAGTTAACAGAATTTAAAATTTCGATACCGGATTCCAAATCTGATTTTCCCCTTGTTTCTCCTATGTTTCCTTGTTATTTCTCCTCCAAATCCAGTAGGGAGAATATGCAAATTACAATTCAGGTTTGGGCTATCAAAGGGATTATGATTTGAAGATTCTTTATATTACTTCATATTGATTCCCACTGAATCTATAGCGACTGTGAATCTATCCTAATTACTCCACCAATTGGCTTTTAGGGAGTAGGTTTTTAACTGGCTAGTAGCTAACAAAAATTAGCTTCCTCAACCACCTTGTTGATATTTTGTTGTTTATTTTAGGCAGGAAACTTCAGATGAAACCTACAAAACCTCCTAACTGCACTTTCTAATATTGTGGGTAATACGTTAATATCCACATTATTGCGATAGATGTCTATGGCATGCCTTATACTCAACCTTTTAAATCCTAACATATTAAGGCAAATATCCAGTATGAGTGTATCTATTCTTAAAAAAATGTCGGCATCTGAGCACAACTTGTTTTCTCTGAAACTAAACTACTGAGAACTTATCATCAGAGCCCTAAATACCTAATTACACGCATTCTTAATAATGTTCCATCCTCTGATGGTTTGTTTGAAGTAATGTGAATAAAACAGAGCCAGAGCACATCGGTTTGCAGTTCTATCTGTAATGCTGGCTCATATGAATTCCTTCGTTATTATTGCCAGGGAAATTTTAACAGGATGACAAATTTATAAATGAAACGTAAGTACATAATATTGGTAAAGATGTTTCAGGTCCTAGATTTTACTTCGGGTTTATTCTTTTATGTTAAGCGTTTCATGTCCTGTAAAACTGGAGTCGGTTTCATTTGATCTAATTGAACGGTAGGGAAGGGGATCTTTATGTACATAAGACAAAATATTAAAATTCCCTTTTGAATAATTTTTATTTATTCGTAACTAAATATTGAGTAATTGCCAATTGATAAATTCCTTGAACAGTGATTATTTTCATGATTTCATCCTATTATTTTTATGTCTTGAGATTCAGTCTATTCTCGCTAATATTTTTTTCGCAGAAAAGCTTGATTTTGGCACCCTCAACCTAATGTGGCTGTAAGTTAAGGAATCTTGTGAAAAGAATTTTCGCAAAAATTTACTTAGAACATTTTCTGCACCCAAGGATGCCTGTAACCACACTTTACATGAAATGAAAAGAACTTTTGGTGTGTTGTCATCGTTGACATTGCAGTTGTTTCTGGTTGTGTCCCAAGGATGGGCAAGTGTTAATAGTTGTAGATGAGTGTTGAGTGCATTAGTGCCGGATACATACTAATCACCTTGTTTTTCTGCTCTGAATAATCAAGTTTTTCTGTGACACTTGACTGAATTTAAATATTCTCCATAATGCGAACTCAATATGTTTATCCCTTTTTTCACTTAAAAAAAGTCTACCAAATGAATCATATTGCCTTAAGACACCAGACAAAACACTGGGCTCAATTTAACAATCGTAAACGAATAACCTACTAATGGATAAGTTCTGACTTAAAAAATAATTGAAAGAAATACTCATCTTGTGATCATTTTTTATCTCCAAACCTCTCGTTATTTATTACGGATTTTTTCTTTTTTAGAGATCTTTATGCAGCATGACATGCGGATAGAGTATTTTTCGTTGCGTAATGAATATATGTTATAGTGATTCTGTCGTGCAGTGTTATTTTTTTTATCTGTTGCCAATGGTTCAAGAAAGATGAGAACCGATGTAATGAATTACTTGCTGCGACCGTGTGGCTGTTGCCATAATTTTTTTGCATCGAGTGGGCTGAACAATAAATCTCTGCTAATTATGTTTTATATTAATGACAATTATTAAATGGTACGAGTTTAACAATCTATTAACATTTCGACATTTTAAAAGCCGTTTGCTTGCAAACGAATGGGCAAAATATTGATTAATAATATGATTTACGTGTCCCAACCCCACAAAAATTAAATGAATGAGTTACTAACAAATGTTGACATGTTTGCAAGAATCATCAACATAGCATTCCTAATGTTTTCGTTTATTTTCTATTCTATATGGACGTGTAGGTGATTGCTGCGTGCGTCTGTAAGATCAACGTCCGCGTGATCGACATAACTAGCAATTGATGAAGTCTTTCTTTGTTAGTCATCGTTCATTCGCTTCCATTTTTACCCTCTGCTTTCTCGCCAGATCCCATTAATTTTTCATCTCAGATCTTGACTTTGTTTGGAGGGGGACTTTTCGTGCCACAGGAATTGGTAACCTACCGTGACTTCACTCTACAACGTGCTTCTGTACAAAAAAATTATTATGCGTTTCGGTGTTTAACACTTAATTCGGTCGTGGAAGCACGTGAATACAACGAAACACAACAGAATATTTTTCCAGCATTGACAAACAACAATTTTTTTAATTTAATTTTCACTTATTGCATAAACTCTCTCCAGATGAGATTACTTGAAAGTGAGATGTGTTCTATTTTACTATTATGTGTTGCTTCGATCAATTTTCTTTTATGATACTTTAATGTTACTTCAATCAACTTTCGTCTGTAATAATTTAATTAAGTGAGAAGCTTTTAATTTGATGTTCACAACAAAATTAATTGTACAAGTTAGCATTGATTTACAAAGTTTGGCCTTTTTGGAGGATTATCAAAGTTACTGTTTTATTTTTGAAAATAATCGAAATTCAAATTTTATACATCTATTGAAGTGAGAGGCTAGAGATTTTGTAAAGCTCTGATGATTATGCAGCTAAAAAAGTATCAACCTGTCTGGGTCTGTTGTAAAGATTAAAAGCTGTGATGAAAAAGCTCTCTTAAGGACAAAATTGTTTGAAAAAGGGATAGTTTGGTGCTTTTATTTTTACAGTAAATATTTTTTTTTATCAAGAGATTATGATGAAAAATCATGAGATTATTTTTTAGTATTTAGTCTATGATAAATATGAGCATTTTGAATATAAAACTAATTACTGCAAATGATTTTCTTTTTCAATTTTTATAAAATGATATTTTTTTACATAATATCCAATTTAATAAATTATTAAAAATTTAAATTTAAATTATTTTATAAATTTAACTAAATATTTCTTTAAATTTAAATATGAGTCTTATTAACCAATATTTTTGAGATAATCAGTTAAGAGATTAATAAATAAGTTTTTTTTATTATTAAAAATTACATCGAAAACATATTATAATTAATATAAACTGTATCAGTTATATTTTAATAATATTTTTTATTTATTTCCTTAACTTGTACCTTTAAAATATTAAATAACATTTGTTCTTAGATATTTATAATGAAGTGACCAGTTTCATTAAATTTCTTTTGTACCCAGCATTAATGACTATCTAATATAGTATTTTGCAGATGAATAAATAAGTTTAAGAGTAAACTGTGATGATTAACCGAATTTACGGCTTTATTAATATTAGCAATTAAATTCGATTTTAACTAATTTTATTAAAAAATTAAAAAAATTGTAAAATATCTTCTATTTTAAAATTCCTAAAATTAGTCTAAGACTGATTGTCAAAAGCGCCAAATTGAATTGAAGAGTGGGTTACATAATTAGATTTGATTTGCACATTCCGACATTAATAAATAATATTATTACAGAGTGAGAGGGTATGTCTTGAGCTGGAAGCTTCGCTTTTGGGTCTCCGTCTCTCAGATCTCTCTTCCATTTTTAGGGTTTTCACTTTCTCGCTTCTTCCTCTGCTCCGATCTTCAACCGCCTTCGCCAATCAACTGGTAATAATTCTCGATTTCTATCTATCTATTCAAGTTTAATTTTAAGCTGCTTCGTTTATCATCGTGCTATTCGCAATTCTATGTTTCGTTGATTTCCAACAACGCAATTGATTTTTCATGTTGTCTTGTTTTCTTCTGTTCTGCAATTAGATATTACTAGGGCTTTGGAGTGGATTGGCTTTGAGATTGCATAGAGTTGTTTAGGATTAAGGAATCTCAATGGATAAGGACAAATCTGTGGGTCATGGTGGAGGTTTGCCACCTCCATCGGGACGTTATTCAGGTTACTCTCCCACTGGAAGCGCCTTCAATGTGAAATCTGAACCGTCGTCGTCGTTACCTTATCTGCCATTGGCTCCGGGAACCAGTTCCGACTCTACTCATTTTGGGCATGGAATGTCCTCGGATTCTAGTGGCTTTAGTCATGATATTAGCAGAATGCCTGATAATCCCCCAAGGAATAGAGGTCATAGGCGTGCTCATTCTGAGATTCTCACCCTACCTGATGATATTAGTTTTGACAGTGACCTTGGTGTTGTTGGGGGTGCTGATGGGCCTTCGTTCTCTGATGATGCTGAGGAAGACTTGCTGTCGATGTACCTTGATATGGATAAATTCAATTCGTCATCAGCTACATCCACGTTTCAAATGGGCGAGCCGTCTAATTGTGCAGCAGCGTCGGCCACGGCACAATCAGTGGGAGTGCCCACCTCTTCTGCAGAAAACATTGTTATTGGTGCTAATGAAAGGCCCAGAGTAAGACACCAGCATAGTCAATCGATGGATGGGTCAACAACCATCAAACCTGAGATGCTGGTCTCAGGCTCAGAAGACGCGTCTGCAGCTGATTCTAAAAAAGCAATGTCAGCTGCCAAACTTGCTGAGCTTGCCTTAATTGACCCCAAACGTGCAAAAAGGTATTGTTCTGGACAGGTCCTTTTTGTTTTCTGATTATCTCTTTTTCTTTGTTTTGTGATTTCATGGTGCATTATTTCTCATCATAATTTAGGTAATGTATAGCTTACAAACATGCTTTTAGCATAATGATTCTCAAATCCTTGCATAGATGTTAGCCTCATTTCTTTTTAATACTATAATTTTCTTTTAGAAAATATCTTAGAATTGGAATTACAGATTAATTCTTCAAGATATGTTTATAATAAGAAAGTGCCTTTCTGATGAATTTCAGAAACTTGAGCCACGAGAAAGAAGACCATGTTGTAAAAAAAAAAAAAAAAAAACTAATATAGTGTTGTACTGTTAGGTTTTACAATCCTTTGTGATATTTATGTGCATTTGATTTTGATACATTACATTATGTACTGAGTTAAGCTTACAAGATATGAATTCTCTTTGAGAAAAATATACATGACATAGTTTGTGGGCACAATTGAACTCAATATATCAAAGGAAATAGTTAAAGGTTGGAAGGCTTAAAATTGTAAGTTTATTAAAATATACCAAAAGAAAAAATGTTGATATATTGTTGGCCATATCTCTAAGTGGTTATACAGTAACATTGTTTTGGAACTACTGGTGTAGTTTGTTACTTTGTAAAAATGTGTTTTGGATCATGATTACTCTATTCAAACCATCCCATTTTGTCCACACCACTGCAATCCCCTGTAGGGGCAAAGATGCACACTCTATCCGTCTTTCTTTGTAAATTAACAGGCCAACTTGTCTGTGTATGACATCCCCTGGACCTATTTTCTTTTATCTCCTACAATTGAATAGTGGATGGTGCACGGACTATTTTTTGTTTCTCTCTTTTTTTGTTTGGGTTGAGAGAAAGAAATGTTCCGCAATGACAAAACACTGATTTTAATTGTGGGTAACAGGATATGGGCAAATAGGCAGTCTGCTGCGAGGTCAAAAGAGAGGAAGATGCGATACATTGCTGAGCTTGAAAGGAAGGTGCAGACTTTGCAAACGGAAGCAACATCTTTATCTGCACAATTAACACTCTTGCAGGTATTTGGACTACTGTGTTACCCACATCACTTTATGATTGAAAAATTAATCGGATTATTATAATTAACACATTTTGGGCTATAATGAGCAGAGAGATACAAACGGATTGAATTCTGAGAACAGTGAACTGAAGCTGCGATTGCAAACCATGGAACAACAAGTTCACTTGCAAGATGGTAAGATCATGTCATTAAATGTTTCTGAAGCTAATGCGCTACCGCTTCCATTGCTTGTCTTTTATAGTTTCTATCTTTTAAAATATCTTCATTGCAGACCATTTTAAGCCACATGATTTTTGAAAATATCTTTTTTGGCACCATTTTAAATCATTTCCGTCTTGCTTGCAACTTATGTTTTGATGTCACATTAGTTGGCATTTGCCAATGGATAAATACATATTTCTGACAAAAAAAAAGTGCATGTTTTGTGTAAAGCTGGTTGCCAAATTTTGTTGAGTTGTTTCCTGGATGGTTAAAGGTGTATTGCTTTCTCTTGCCGGAAATTTGAGTTTCATGATTTTTATTTAAATATGTAAGTTTGAGCATATGGAAGGTGGACAGTTCATCTTGATCTTGGTATTTCTAATATTTTGAGAATTAATTGAATTTTGTCATTGTAGCGTTAAACGATGCATTAAAAGAGGAAATTCAGCATTTGAAATTACTGACCGGGCAAGCTATGCCACCTAATGGAGGACCTATGATGAACTTTGCTTCTTTTGGAGGGGGGCAGCAATTCTATCCCAGTAATCATGCCATGCACACCCTTTTAGCTGCACAACAGTTTCAACAGCTCCAAATTCATCCTCAGAAGCAGCAGCAGCATCAATTTCAGCAGCTTCAGCAACAACAAATGTTGCAGCAGCAACAGCAACAGCAGCAGCAGCAGCAGGAACAACAGCACCAACAGTCAAGTGACTTGAAAATGAGAGCAGCCACACCTACTCCATGCCCCAAAGACAATGCTTCATCAGATGTAAATCCTTCAGGGGCCAAGGATTGTTGAGATTAGAGACTTTATTTTATTTTGTACCGCATCTTAGATTTGGCCATGTATTTTGTATTAGCGTGTTTAGGTTATGGTTATGTTATATTTTTTCATTCTTAAACAGTGCAAATCATCCTAGTTAGAGATTAAAAATAATGCGTTTGCATCTTTGCTATGTAGAATACTAAAATTCTTTGTCACCTTAGTTAATTGGCTATGGATACCCGGGGGTAGGTTCTTGTGTGTTTAGTCTGCCATCAATTGCTTTTGCCTACAATTACATCTAAATAGGCACCTTTCGGCTGTTGAGAAAGTTGATTCATGTTTCCTAGTGGAATTGCTTGTCCTTTTACAAACAAGCATGACACAGGCGCACTCCCGAAAGAGGATACAGATCTTTCGTTTAAGCGACTTTTTTATTTTTTTCACTTAAGCATGGAACCATCCGTATAAGCAAATAATTGTTAATGGGTGAATCAGGCAAAGGAGAGTTCAAGAGATGCAACAGGAGTTTGGTGATCGCAGTGGTGAGGCCCACGTTATGGTTGAGGAATTTGCAGGGCATTTTGGGAAGGGAGCAATGTAGGTGTGGGGTGCGAGAGTTTGAACCTTTGGGCCAAGGAGAGGAGGGTCAGCAGGGTGGATTTGAGGAATGGTGAGGGAATCTAGGTGAATTTGAAGGGAAGGTTCTCGCTGAATTTGAAAAAGGAAGTGGGGTGGTGTTTTTCTGGGTCTTGCTTTCGCTTAAATGAATGGTTCCGCGCTTGAGCAAAAAACAAAATCTTTTAAACAAGAGACTGTATCCCCTAAAGAAGCTGCTGATGTTCATTAGAAGCTCCATTTCTAGCTTCTCCGTTAAGAAGCTCATATCAATTGTTTATCCTGCCTTTGGGATAACATTTTTCAACCAATGAACTTATGTTGACTTAATTTCTTTTTCTAACTTGTAGTTTTAACCTTTATTTTAAAATATTTTAAATTATCGTTAATTACATTTGACATTATTCTCACCGTAATTTTTCAAAAAATCGTAAACATTTTTCGCTGTCATGTGACTATCTTTATGACACCTAGTCATTCAACCTAAATGTACATTAGAAAATCATTAAATAATATTAAATGTAATTGATAAATAAATTATGATAATGAACCATTTTACAAAGATATAAATTAAAATAAACATAATAAAAGAGCAACTGTAATAATATATTCACACTTGACTGTTAAAAGGAATATGCTAGTAATTTATACCTCTTATTGGGGTGAAAATCAATGTTTCTATTTCTTTAACATAAATTTAAGGATGTTGATGTATTAACAAAACATAATTGAGTTTACTAATTTTTAGGACGTCTAAAACACTATTTTTGAAATAGCTGCCAAGTGAAAAACGTAACGTTTGTTGACTGTATGACGAGTAATCTCCAATATATTTTATTTCAACCAAAAAGCATTTCCAATATAATTTTCCCCTTTTTGTGTTTGTGGGCGTAGTGGGGGGTTCGGTGGCTAAGAAAGTATAGGGGCAACGGATAATAATACAAACGCTGCAATGTATCAACATCAAAGATGTCAATTCTGACTACTTTCTGGATCTACATGACTGAGTATCCGGGACCTCCACCCCCTTCAGGCACTGTCCACTCAATGTTTTGCTTTGGATCTTTGATATCACAAGCCTGAATATCATAATAACAAAATGTATTAAACAATGTAGGATACAAAAAAAATGTATAAAAAAATTACCTTGCAATGTAAGCAGTTTTGTGCATTAATTTGCAACTTCGGTTGATTCTGCTCATCTGCAACATACCTATATTTGAGAAAGACATAAAAAATAAATAAATCAAGGAATGATTCAAAAACAGAAAATCCTTTCAGAAACCAAGCTGCAGAAAGTAGGCATTACTCATATACTCGTGCAGGACAATATCGCGATTCAGGTGCAGCATACACTGGTAAATTTACAAGTTCAGGAATCTTTGGGTCTCTCAAACGAAGATGAGGAGGTTGATCATGCTCATGATTTGTATTGCTCCTGTGAAGAAACTAAATATAAATGCCTATAAAGCAAGGATATGAGCTGCAAACTATGTCGAATAATAAATCAACAATTTCCATCATTATTTATCAAAGTCCTAAACAGAAAAGCTGACACAAACTACTACTACATAAATTAGTAAACATTGATTTTACTCTTCATTCACAATAAATTCACATAAAATGAAGTGCCATCTTATATAACTAAATGTGGTTCTTACACAGTGAAACTTTCCATAATGCATACTCAGTTTATCCTCTAATTGGATAATATTCTTCTAATAGAACATGTCATTCTACCACTTACCCTAAAGGAGAGACCCACAAAGGCAATTCTTATGACAAAAAAATTAACATGGCTCCTAAAAGCTATCATTTTCGTATCTGTGCAGGATGAAGTGGATGAAGAAACATAAACTGTATTATATTTATGAGAAACAGAGACAATATTATGTCAGATTATTTGGGAAATAACAGTTTGTTGGTCTTTACCTACAAAATTAGGATGTATTTGGATTTCAGTTTGAGTACTCTCCTCTTATCTCAATCTTTCCTCCACCACCTGTCTATGCTCACTGAGCAATTGCTCTCTCTTTTCGTTCACTTTTTCTAATCATGCAACACTTTTTCGAACCATGCAACTTTATGCCTATTTTAAAACCTAAATCTTAGACAACCTTGCTCCCCCTACCCTGGTTTAATTCCCCATAAAAAATGATCACTCGTCTCAACTCTCAACAGTAAGCAACAGGAGGGAATTAATGTTCCAAAACCTGTGCAGAGAGGTAGGTACATCAAATGACAAGACACCATCAGCCTTTGGATAGTGAATTGGAGAATGCAACTGTGCAGCCTGCATAAAATGACCACAAAAAAAATTTTTAAAAAAATGCACCGACATTCAAAAGGCTATATATTGTTATTATTGGAGAACAAACAAGAAAAACATATCAAATAAGCAAATCTCACAAAACTCAGCATACTCAATAAAGAAATGCTTCTAAAATAGCCTTTATGATGGAACCAACAAAAATGCTTTATGCCATATATATATACATATATAATGACATTCTTCTCCAACCATTGGTAACAAATAATAGCATACATTGCTCACTACCAAAGAACCCTGCCCTCTTTATTCCATCCAGCATATATCTATAATGACAAATTAACAATCTTACTCTTGATATCTTATTAGTAATTTCTTTGTTTTCCATGTCAAGCCTATTTGCATTGAACATGTGCCCTCAAGGTGAAACAAGATGAAAACAAAATAATCCATAAAAAATTAGATGCACATAAATAAATTATTTAAATAATAATTATTCCAGGGATAAACAGAGTAGAAGACCCTGGGGGAGCCGCAAGAATAAAATGTTAAAAGAAACATTGGGAAAATATCCCTCATTATTTGAAGATTTAAATATCATAAATTGCATTACAATTACTTTTTCCACAGAAACGAAAGTAAACCTACACTTTTTGTGTGGATGTGTGTGTGCGTGTCACTTAATTTCTTGAATATTTCTTACATTTGTAGCTTCATGATCAGGTTTACCATGCTTCAAGGTAAATGGGTGTCTCCCCTTGAGTATGTAACTGATAGGAATAGCACAAGGTAAGTGAAGTCTCAAGACAAGAAAGGAATTACAGGAAAAACTAGTCTCCTGTGTTTGAATGATGAAGATAGAACCCATGAGAAAAGTTAGATCTTACTGTTCCAGACCACTTAAGGCCATTCCTGGGATAAGTCCATATTCAAAGGCCTACAATAAAAGATATTATGATATAACAATTAGGCAAGCTAAAATATATCATATTTTTCCACTTCAATAAATGAATCAGGAAAAGTATGGGGGTTATCTGATCGAACGATATCTAGTCATTAATATCATGCTTTTGTCCTGCATGCAAAATTCTAACATGTAATTTGCCAGATCAAGCTGCCCATATGTTTAATAAAAATAAGACCTATAAATTTATTCCAGTAAGATTGGCGGTTTATGTTTTAATTAGCCATGCCACCTATTGCAACCTTACATTTCTGACAATATAACTTATTCTAAAGTTAGCAAACTGATATATAGTATTGAGATTCGATGGCCTGTCAGTTTAAGGTTTCAAAATGGAAGGAAAAATCACCAGAAAATAAAAAATTAGTTATTCTACAAGTAACAGAGAGGAAAAAAAAATTGGCAATAAATTGCTTCACTAACTGGTCTATAGTTCCGAGATTTATATAGTTCTTCCCAAATCCATGAATTCCTCAAAGCATCCCAATACAAATCCATATCTAGACCTTCATTAAGTGCACCAAATGCAACTTCAGCTGCAAGCATTCCTACAAAAGAAATATTAAGTATATGTGATAGTAATTTTGAAATGTTACTATTTGCATATCACATGGAGATATCACAACTTTGTATGTCCAACTATGGTTAAGAGTAAATTCATGGGTTGACTTAACAAGCGAAACAGCTGAGATGTCAAATGCTAATGAATGTAAAAAGTGATTATATATATTAATATGGGAGGTCCGGAACACTGTAATTTGAAACTATATTTACCAAAGCAATATGATGAAAAATCAACAGAGTGATACGGAGTAAGCCTCTACCTGATTTCATTGCTGTGTGAGTTCCCTTTATTTTAGGCACATTCATGAAGCCAGCTGAACATCCAATAATTGCTCCTCCAGGAAAAACTGGATATGGGATAGACTGAAATTTAACTAGAATCACATTTGTATTTGTATAATGTGTAATGAGTAAGGAAATAATACACCTTAGCAAATAATAGGCAATCAAATGATTAGTAGGATAACAAACAACAGATCTAGCCTCCCTTCTATAAAAACTAGCTCTTCAAGGATATGATTTCTCTATCAACAACAAAGACAACAACCAACCTTACATGAAGCATAACCATTCCAAAAAGAAAGCTGTTGGTATCAGACACAACGCAACATTTCAAAAGTACTTGGACTTGGACAATTAAAATTTTTCTGCATTGTAATGTTCATGACTGTTTTTTAGTGTTTATGCTTTGAAGTCCATGGATTTTTCCAATCTTAAATTCATAATGACCCACTAAATACCACAAAATTAGACATTAGAAATCTTTGAAGTTAGAAGGTATTCATTAAAAGCACTTCATTTTTGCAATAAACCTATAACACAACACCTTAAGATGAGACTGGCAATTTGTGGGACATAAAGAGAATTTTCTCTGCATTCTTTCATTCTCCCCTTGATTGCAGACAAGAAAAAGAATTATTATTGTTAATATACCTGAAAACCGCCTTCATTTAAAGTGCGAGCTCCATACTGGATAACAGTTCCACCTTCCAGAAATGGTTTGATTGCAGGATGATGCTTAAGTTTCTGATGAGCCAAGAGAGACACAAGGGAGAGGAAAAAGAAGGAACAAAGAAGATATGGAACAAGAGGAGGGATCAGGAATTCAGAATATTAGTACTTAAACAGATTTTAGATTAACACAACCAACCAGCAAAAGTTTTACAAAATGAACCAAACATAATTGATGAATTAGGCAAGTTAAATACTCATTTTTAATTCATATGAATTGGATAAATATGCATGTATATTAGAAAATAGACACATCTATTGCAAACAAGGATAGGAAAACCAACTGAAGAAATATAGGAAGTGGCGTGGCAGGTTAAACACACATACTGTTCCAGTGTTCAGTGGGAGGAACAAGGTGTACCTTAAAAACTCAGATAGACATCATCCAACAATTTCATACATATCAATTGCATAAATACAGATGCATCCAAGGAAACACATACACCAACATCACAGAAAGATGGAAAAACCAACTTAGACGAAATATCACAAATCCAGGAATTATGCATATATTAGAAAAGTCACACCTTATGCGAAAATGGAAAAATCACCTCAGAAGAAATGTATAAATGACTTGTCATATTATATGACACTTAACTGCCGGGGAAGGGAGGAGGGGAGGAGGGGGGGAGGGGAGAAGGAGAAAATGTTCTGTTTGTTTGGCAGTTCTGAAAACACTTGCCCTTTCCTTTTTTGTTTCCACATTCAAAAAATACCAAGCAAGATCTAAACCAAAGAACTTACAATTGACAGGTGACAGGAACAATTTTTAAATATGTACTTTAAACATATCATAAGAAAAAGAAAATTTACCTGGAATTCCTCAAAAGGATTCATGAAAGGGTTCTGATAGTTCAAGGCAACCACAAGGCCTATAGATATCTGTCACAATGGTAAATGGAACTCTTGAAATGAAGAATATATTGGTCAGCAAAAGTTAATGAAAAAACTAGTGAGAAAAGTTGAACTTGTATAGTTCAGTCAAAGTCTGCCAAAATTAATGCATGTGATGAGTCAATAACTTGATATGAGATGATACCAGGTATGAAAAGAAAACCATGAAGAAGTGATAAATGAGTTCATCAAATTGAAACATATCAATAAGTTCCACAGTGGTTTTATGCATCTTCCAGGAATGAGCAATCATTTAGTAGTGAGATTGAATTCAAATATAAAAATGTGCAAGTAAATGGATTAAAACAAGTTGGAGAACATCAGTGAGGTTAGTTTTGTGCTAAATTTGTATTTATGTAGCATTTATTTCAGATGTGAAGCACAGAATAAAGCTTGCAATAAAACAACATTCATCATATAGGGTAGGCAACTAACTCACTCTGCCAACTGGAACTATATTATTATAAAATTTCAAAACCAAGATCCAAAAATTTGAAGTCAGCTGAAAACTATCGTTTACTCTCCCAACTGGAACTATATCATTATAAAATTTCCAAGTGAACAAAGATCCAAAAATTGAAAGTCAGCCAAAAAATGTGTGCAGTCATACATGTACCTTTTTCCTTAAATTTTATTTCAAATGGCAAGCAAGAAAGATCAATATTAGCTATTGCAACTAAAAATCCACATGCAGAGGCAGCATATAGAGTAAAAAACAGTGATTAATAAAACAATATATATATATACAATAAAATTTGAACTCATAATCAGTTTATACGAATTCCATTTGTTCTCTCTTTTGTAAGGTTGTACAAGTCCAGTCCAAAATGGACACAAATTCCAAAACACTTGAAGGGTGGAAGAAACCTGTTTATCTTTCATGTGATACAGAAAAGATCCTCCATATGTTTTTCGATCCAAGGGCCATCCCAACGTGTGGATTATTGCACCAGGTTGGTGCTTTTCCTCATCAATTTCCCAAACCTAAGAGTATTATGTTACATAAACTAAGTGATAGTGACCAAAAAAGTTAAAAGAAAACATCCAAAATCTTCAGTTATTAGCACAATCATCAATAAAAAAATCTTGTATACACTGACTGAATAATTATGCACAATCGTGACAAACTGCAGTGTTTTAGGAAAAAATGAAGATGAAAAAAATAAAATTGAAAAATTTTGTTAGGACCCACGAATTATGATACCTCTTTAATTCCCAAAGCATATGTCTGATGTTCTGCACCTCCTTTCTCCCTTAGGTTATACTTTTTCATTATTTTCTGCAAGAAAAACAGGTATCAGGGTTGGAGGCCTTGCAATCAAAACATTAATTGACAGGAAAACCTTGAAGCTGTTCAATCCTAAAATTTGATTTTCAAACCTCTGATATTGATCCTCGACATCCCTCAGCCAAAAGTGTTATGCGACCTACATGTGATTCAATATTTATAAAGTTATATAAAGTTAACAACTAAGCCTTAGAAAGATTTGAATAACTATATGCAAAGACATAAATTTATTTCATTAGTTTTTACAAATATATGTATGATACACAGCTTATAAGGGACGCATAGAATTGAACAAGTTCAGCATGTCCTGACACGTCAATAAAAGTTTGCTACCTGAATTCTCAAAATGATCACATTATAACAAATATTTGGACAACCAACCATTGATCCAAATAGTAGTCAAGTTCAGCATTAAATAGGACAATGCATATAAACCTACAACAATAACAACTAAGCCTTATCCCATTAGGTCAATGCACATAAACATATGTACAAGAAAAAGAAACACGTAAAACAAAACCTTTGACCTCGACACCACGTTGAAAATTCTCCTTCTTTGAACCATCTTTTGAAATTCCCATATCATTAGTTCCAATACCAATAACTTTTTCATTTGCATCATACAATATCTGGCCAGGAAAAATCATCCATAAACAACTATTTTTAGGGAAAAAAAAGCATTCAAGAGAAAGCAGAAACACCTCACTAGCAGCAAATCCTGGGTATATTTCCACTCCTAACTCTTCAGCTTTTGTTCCCAACCAACGTACTAACTGACTTAGACTGTAACCAATAGTCCAAAATAAGAAGCTTTTCAAAGTGGAAAAAATATGTATGAAGAAAAAGCATAGAAAAATAAACACGGAACTGAACATGCATCTTATCATGGGAGAAAAAGTATCTTCGTATGTTCAATTTTGCATCAACTAGCAAGAATGTGACAGAAAATTTTAAAAATTAGAAATATCTTCAGTGATTAGAACTTCAAGTCATCAAAGACAGATCACAAATTGTATTTCTGGTATATTCTCCATGTTAAAATTTAAATTTGCAACCTTATCCGAGTACAGTCTCCAGAAGTTTTGATTTCCATGGGCACAGACCAACCGATCGATGAAAATTTAAAATAATGCTTTTACTGGGAACAAAACATTATAACGCTTGAAACCAAAAACAGCAATTTCCAAGGGGAAAATAAAATCAGAGTTTCAGAAAAGAAGATTAAGCAGTCAATGATGCAAAAATCAAAACTGAATATGTAAGAAATTCAAGGCCCAATAGATATGGAAAGGACAAACAACTGATTCAGCAGAAAGCATAATTTGTTAAGTTAAAATTATACCCTCTGGCCATATGAAATGAAAACAATTTATCATAGAAACCTTATTACATAGTTGCCTCTGTTGTTAAAAGGACATGGAAGCGAAATTGCGCGATTCTTGGTCAGAAACCAAAACTTGTCAGAAGAAACAGGAGTGTTAATCGGAGCCTGCAAATAAAAAATAAATCCTCAAAGCGAATTATGAATTAAACGCACTTGAAATCACTTCGTAACGGAATCGGACATAGAAAAACAAACAGAACGCACCTCTTGCTCCTTCCACTGTGGGAGAAGCTCATCCAATGCGCGAGGTTCAAACACGTTTCCAGAAAGAATGTGAGCACCTAACCACAACAACACGGAACAATCAAAGACAATCGCTGCTAGCATTTGTATCAATTAGTTAATATTCAATTCAACCAAAAGAGAAACAAGTAAGTTCACGTAACATACCAACTTCAGCACCTTTCTCGAGGACACACACGGAGAGGTCGGCGTTTTTTTGGTTACACATTTGCTTCAACTGAATCGCCGCCGATAAGCCGGCGGGTCCTGCTCCGACGATAACGACGTCGTACTCGATGGAGTCCCTATCCGAGGCGGTGCAGAAGCTCCGAGAAGCCGGAACCCTAGAATTGGCAGGTGTGGATCCAGGAGGCTTAGAGAATGAGTAAGCAGCTTGAGCATATGGATTCGTGCGGCGAGAAAAAAAATAATAAGAATCAGTGGGAAGGTAGAGATTGGTAACGTTGTTGTGAACGAATTGGGAGGTAGTGAAAGTAGGAGGAAGAACACGATTGCCACTGATGATGGATTTTGATTTTGATTTGGATTTGGATTTGGACAAGATAGAGCGAAACTTTAGCATCGTGCACATTTATTCACTGCTACCAATGTTTTATACAATTCAACTTTTCGTTCCAATTTCAAAGACAGAGTCGAGAAGTGACCAGTGATCGCTTATAAGTAACACGTTGCACCTGACGTGTCCAGTTTATCACTTTTTATCCAGTTTTGATTAATTGATATTCCCAACAAAGTTGTAATTCTGATTTTTATTCGGTTCCAATTTTCCATCCAACATTAATTAATTAATCCATTCTTTTAGCGTGTCATAAAATAATAAATATTAACTAATGTCTTAGAAATATTAATTAAAAGTAAATAATTTGTATCTAAAAATATAATTAATAAATATATTTACATAAATTTTAACGTAATTCAACCTGTTTTTAATATATATTTTTAAATTTCTTAAATAATACTTTTAATACATCGATCAGTAAAACTCAAATTTTAATGATTAACTTAAGAACATGGCTAATTACACATGCAGGCAAAGTCTAACTTATTGATTATGATTATGAATATATTGTTACACACGGAGAGTAGGAGGCGGGTTATGCAATAATATTGGACGGTTTAATTTAATAGAAATCCTAATCCTAAGTACATTTGACTATATCTATAGGCTGAGAAACGAATGCGTAGAGGGGATATAATAAAGGTATAGTAATATAATTAAGGGTAAGGTAAGGTGGCAATGTGGTTATGAGCGACAGTTCCAATCCAAAGCTTGCCCTTTTCCTCTTTGACTTCACTGACGAGCTTCATGACCTGACCTTGTCGATCTTCAAGAACTTCCAAAATGTCTCCATTGTGATCAAGAAGTGAAATCACAGTGTACATTTTCATGCCCATCACTCTGGCCAACAAGCTCATCCTTATGGGCAAACGGAAGTAAATATTCCTCAACCATGGATGATGACTAAGAACCTCTTGTGCTGGAGTGCGACAACAATCTATTGCTACCCAGAATTCCCCTTTTCCGTTCATTCTTACGTTGTCTGGAAACCCCGGCAAGTCAGCTACAAGTTCCACGCTTCCACTTTTAGGACCCTCTATCCAAAGCTTCATTAGCCTGTGTCATTATGCCATTTAGGAATCAGTGCATGCGTTACATTATTAATTGAGAATCACTCATATTATAAGAGAATGTGTGTCTGTTTACATTCATCTTTCATATATATATACACACTTGAAATCAACCATTATTTATCTTACATTTCATTTTCAAATTATCATTATTTTTTAGCTTGGACAGTAATTAACCTGCAGTTGGTGGTTTCGGTGAAGACAAGGAAGGATTGGTCTAGAGAAAATTGCACTCCATTAGGAAAAGCAAGGCCATCCAATACAACATGGGTTGTTTTAGTTGGAGGATCGTATCTGAGAAGCCTACCAGTAGCTTCTCCTTCCAATAATATAAAAAAGTGCGCACTGCAAACAAGTACCTTAAATCCATTAAAAACAATAAGGAGAGTGCATTGATTAATGTATATGCTGAATATATATATATATTTAGTGTATGGTCGAATGGTACTTACACCCTGTTGTATCTTTTGCTGGTGTCTGTGAAGAAGATGGATCCGTTCTTGTGAATGTCAAGGTCATTTGCGAAGAGAATGGGCTTTCCTTCAACATGGGTTGCTAATGGTGTAGCGAGTCCCCCATTTGGTCCAACCACGAGAAGGCCATAGTATGCGTCGGCTATGTATAGATCTCCACTCTCTTTGTCAAATCTTAGCCCAAGGGGACGCCCACATGTTTTCTCATGCTTCCATTGCTTGGCGGTGGTCGAATCATTGCCCCTAAAGCAAAGCTTCTCCGTCCTTTAAATTGAGACACAAAAATACCCAAGTACAAATATAATTAGCATGAAACATGATTAATATTACACATACATAGAATAATAATGTTAGCTGTATAGCATGTGAATTTGGAGAGTTTATATAATTTTTGTGGGTCAAAGAATAATATAAAGTAAGCTTTTGGTGATAGTCACCAATTAGATGTGACAACTGCAAATGTTTCCCAACCAAGTTCCTCCCCCATCCATCGAACAACACGACCATCGGCTAAACCAGTGTAAGGGCCACGACCCATGTTATCGAACTCTAGTGACTCTGGTCCAAAGACTTGATTCTTGAATTCTGATTTCCCATAAAGTCCTAATCTGCTTATGTTGTCCCTAGGCCAACTCTTCATGACTTCATGGTATGGTGCAATGTCATGCTTCACGGGTCTGAATTCATGGTCCGCTACAGGACCCAGATGAAAAGGGTCCATCATAACAAGACCCAAAACCAGAACAAGAGCAAGGATAAAAGGGTGTTGGAGAAAGGTTTCATCTTTCAGTAGTAATTTTCTCTTCTCCATGCATGGAACGTTGTATTGATTTGATGTGATTGTGAAATTAAAGCAGAGAAAGCGAGAGGTTAGGTGCAATGTTGATTGTCTAACTTGGTAGAACTAGAAGCACTTGGCTTGGTGGAGCTTCGTATTTGAAAGGTTAAGTTTGGGAGTTGAAAGCATGCATGCGTTGCACATGACAGCATTTAAGGTTAGGAGTAGGTTGTCTATCGTTGTGCATGATGATCGCATTTTGTGGCTTCCGCTGGAAAACAACATTTGCTTCGCTGAAAATGTTGTCGTTTTTTATTCCCATGACACTGTGCTGATTCATGAATAGACAAATTAACATAACCGTATAGATTATAAAGCTCTTCAGAAAATATCAGTGACGAATGATAAGATTCCTTATCGTCAATGCAATGTCTTGTCTGTAAGAGGTGGACTAATTTTGAAACTTGTTTTACCATGGATTCGTATCGGAAGTTTCGGACTATGCACGAAAGAATGCTAAATTCTGAGGACACAATGTAATAGCCGATTCGGCCATATCTACAGAATAATCATTGGTGTATTATGAATTAATTGATGCATGCGCGGGCTACATATGCATTTGATCAAATGAAATGCGAGCTTCCTCCAAGAATTTTTTTCCATAACCTTGACATACATAATCACATTGTGCATTTATGGTATTTTTTTAATAAAAACATTTAGTTTTGATTATTTAATCAATGTCTTACGGAGGTGTGAAGAAATGTTCAATTTTCAGCAATGGTGTGAAGAATATCACTAACAAGCCTTTTCCAAATGTGTATATTTAGTGTCATTATGGTATATTTCGGATTGATTTTCATGCAATCTTCCCATTTATTACTCGATTAAGAATTTGAAGAGATAAAGTAAAGAGTAGAAGTTTTGAAAATAACTAATGTAGATATAAGAAACAAATTTGATGAATATACTAGGGTAGGTAGGAGTTTTTATTGGAAGATTGTTAGGGAAAATTATGAAAAAAAAAAAAAGGAATCTTTTACCACATATTTTGGAATAAATTTGAAGATATTTAAGAGACATAATTCAGAAGGACTATCCAAATCAAAATATTTATCTAAATCTCAAAGTTTGTATAGATAATTAAGCATCCTCTATCTAAATCAACTTTTTTTTATTAATTATCAAATTTTGTGACAATAATTAAGTTCTTTATCCTTATAAAAATAGAAAATAGAAAGGACCTTTACTCTTTCTTGACAGCTCTGGGAGATTGTAAGCGATAAGTTTACACAAGACTCAAGGACCTAGTTTCCTTGAAAAGAGTTTCTAAATTATTTTTTTCGATCGCACCTTTAAGTGTTCTCAAGAAAATATTTGTTTCTAATATTTAACTCAAACCTTTTAATTATAAATGAAAATTTCAAACTGAAAGTCTACGAAAACAATCAATGAAAGGTATGAACAAATCGGGACGGTCACATATGACACAAAAAAGACATAAATGAATAATATAGACATTATAATTTTAAAATCAAATACCCATTTGGATCAACGCAAATAAAACAATCGCGTAAATTAGAAACTAATCTTGAAGGATGATTTTGACCTATATTATTTCAAATTAATTTTACATTTTGTGTTTATAACGACATTAATAAAATCTGTATGAAAATGAATATTAAAAATTGAATTAAGCAAAAATGATTACGTAACGAGGTACGGCGAGTCCACAAAGTTTGGGCCTGGACGACGTCGATTGTCGAGGTTTACGCCTCTTTGTCGGTTGTGCTACCAATGTACTTTTCTTTATTTATTTTTGGGAAAAGAAAAAGAAAAAGCTTCGAGTTTGAGCTCTTCCTCAGTTCCTTCGTTCACAACACAACGCTGTTCTGATTACCGTTTTTCTTCCTCTCTTTTCTTCACTCTGCAGAAAGGTATATTTTATTTTACTTCTGATTTCTAACTTTACTTCGTAGATATTTTACTGTCGTTTTCGGATTATACAATGCAAACATAATTAGGACATACACTCTGCATTTAAGTTTGCTGCTGAATGCCACAATTGTTGTTTGTTCGTAGAAGAGAGGTGATAAATCATGCAAACACAATTTGAAGGAAAGCCATGATGATGGTGAATTTAGATTTTAAAACCCTCTAGGAGTTCAATCGGTGAAATCTTTTGACAATTGAAGTCTTTTTTCATTTCCTTTGTTGGTCGTATTTGCCTATTGGGGATAAGCTCTTTCTCTTTTGGGGCTACAAATCAGGGCGAAGCTTTTGTTAGGGACAAATTTGTCTAGTTCTAGTTTCATCTTCCCATTTTAGGACCGATATTTCTTTTAGTTCTATTAGTATTTGGCAAAGCTTGGACAACTTTGAAGTTTGGATGACCTAAGCTTAGACTTTGAAATTGTGCAAGCAGCATACTTGTTTATTTTATCTTGTTATCATATCAGTAATCATACATCTTTCCATTTTATTTTCATTTCTATGAAGCTCATATTGTTATCATTGAGAAGCAGGGCACATTTATGGCCAGCGTTGGTGATAAAAAGGAATCTGAATGGATAGATAGGATAATATCTGAAGGAGCTGTTCCGCATCTTGAGCCAGATAATTGTTCAAAAGGTTGGGCTACCCCTCCTGGAGATGCATTCATGGTCAGAGGCCCTGAGTATTTTACAACAAGGGTTAAGGTTCCTGCTGGTGATTATCTTCTCAAGCCACTTGGTTTTGATTGGGTTAAAAGTTCAGTGAAAATTGGGGAGATATTAAACAATCCAAATAGTCGAGTTAGGAAGGTTATTGATAATGAGTTTCCAGAAGATGATAAACCCTTTGTATGGGCCTTTAATATTCAAGTCCCAACCAAGGACAACTATAGTGCCATTGCATATTTTACAGCCAAAGAGCCAGTTGCTGAAGGTTCGCTAGTGGACAATTTCTTAAAAGGTGACAGTGCATTCAGAAACACGAGGCTTAAGTTGATTGCTAACATTGTAAAAGGTCCTTGGATTGTTAGAAAAGCTGTTGGAGAGCAGGCTATTTGCCTAATTGGGCGTGCCCTTTCCTGTAAATATTGCGTGGGGGAGAATTTCTTAGAAGTGGATATTGATATCGGGTCTTCCATGGTTGCAAGTGCAATAGTTCATTTGGCATTTGGTTACATCTCAACTCTTACTGTTGACCTGGCTTTTCTTATTGAGAGCCAGGCTGATTCAGAGCTTCCGGAAAAAATTTTAGGTGCTTTCAGATTTTCTGACCTTGATCCAGCTTCAGCTAAAACAGTTGAGCCATCATCTGTTATGAATTGTGATAATTCACAAACATCTTTACCTACGAGATTGTGGAAGTCAATTGGACAGGGATTTTCCAACATTCTTCATTCAGGTCCTCAAGAAGATGGCTCTAGTTCTGGTTCAAAACATGATGCTAAAAATGTAGTAGATCACAAAGATAGTCCAACTGAGGTCAAGAACTGGTAAGTTTTATGTAGTTATGATAACCATTTTATTATTACAGATGCTTTGGACATCAAAGTCCACCATTTAAATATTCTCTGCATAAACTTCTGTTTCTCAACTTCCCATGATTTTTTCTTCCTTTATTTCGTTTCCTTTTACAAAAGGAGAGAGGGATTGGGAAGTGGTCCGTGTCTGAGAGAGCACAGGTTTATTTCTCTGCGTATATTTTAAACATCTAATAAATCTTCTTTTTAGTTGATAATACAACTGGCTTTGAAACATACGTGCAGCAATTTTTGGTTTCTCATATGTACTTAAAAATGATTTCTTAGTTGAACAGAGTAGAGAGGGAAGAAGTTAGATCAATTCTGTTCCTGGTTCACATATTTGCTTGTATATTAGTAGTGTTATGATATTTCATTGTAGCACTAGCCCAATTACTTGCCCTGTATGTATTTAGTCTGATTTAGAATTTCTAATTGATCTTGATAGTCATTCACGTCAAACTATTACAGCATACTTTCTTTCTTTTCTGTTCTTTTACTTCCATTTGTGAGTTGTGACTTTATCTGTATGCTACATAACGTCAAAAGACCTGGGGCATAATAAATAGTTGACTGATACGTAAAACAGGTTTCCAGGTATAAATATTAGACTTTATATGCCTATTGAAGTTAGTTGTCCCGAGTACATAAGGGCTTAATGGTCTTTTACCTATTTGCTACATGATTTATTAATTTTGTATTTTCTCTACCGTGATATTGATTGCAGATATACTGGAGCAATTGACGGGTATGAAGGTTCATTTGAGGTGATTATTCTTTTAGCCACTTTTTTATGATTGGATTAGAGCATCTGTTGTGTGACTTAATTCTTGCCTATGGTAGTATTTTGTAAGACTACAGAAGGTTAGAAAATTAGAATGGTCTCATTTTTTCTTTTCTGGCTGGATTATTATGTACATCGTTTTAAAGTGTTTATAGTTTACAAATTAGTCTTTTATCTCGAATTAAAATCTTTTTTTTCTTTTTTTTTTCTTTTTTTGTTTTTCTGAATTAGAATTGCTTCAACTTTTTAGGCTTGATATTATGCATATTTTCCTTTAGCAATTTAAATGTGTCTAAATACACAAATGAATCTATTATTTCTCTGAGTTTCCGATTGATGAGACCATTTTTGCATTAGATTTATTGAAAAATGTTTTTATTACACTTTGTATTTTCAATGTAATATTTTTGTTTTCAATAAAAGGTATTACTTTTATATTATTAAATCCGGTCTTAAGAATTGAAGCTTACAAACTTTTTACTATATTGTGTTTTTGTGGGTGGGACAGGGGGAAGGACATGTTCAAGAAATTTGCCGTTAGCAAAATAAATAATTTATTTGGTGCTTAATTTTGTAAGTTCTTTTAGTTTTGCCTTTGTTTTGATAAAGATTTTATTTTAATCTTTAGGGTCTTGTCAATCAGTACTATTATGATACTGATTAAGAAATTAAAAGTAATTTTTTTTATTAAAATTCATTGAACGGCATTATAAATTTTGATAAAAAAAAATACATTAATAACATTTTTAGACAAAAAAATTACTTAAAATTCAATAACTAATATCCTTAACGTTTGCTTTATGTTTAAGTTATTAATATGACTATGAAGTTGATATCTGCAGTCAGTAATTGTTAATATTAAGTGTGTGTCAATTAATCATATGTAGTGTTATTGATAACACAAAATTTAATGCATCGAGCTATGGACAATAAAATGCAACTAATTACGTTTGTATCACTTCATCAGCTTGTGTGTCAATTAATTATAAGCAGTGCTATTAATAGCACAAAATGTAATGCATCAACCTACAGGCAACAATGCAACGTACACACTAGTTGAAAATGTATAATCCATCATCAATTTTATCGTACGATTTGCCAGCTACTCGTAATCTCTGCATCTTCTAAGCAACCGCATTCTATAACCCCAAAATGAAAGCATTATCACCCCTAAGTGTCGAAACAAGTCTCCTTTTTCTGGAAAAAGAAAATCTATATATATTATATCATCAACAATCTACAGATCCCTTTGAATTTATTCTCTTTCAACTACAAAAGGAAAGTGGCTGCGTTATGAAGTGTAATTATTAGTAATTATCATTTATTGACGTAATTAAAAGGTGGATTTTAAATAATGATTCTGGTCATTTAGATATATATATATATATATATATATATATATATATATATATTGAATTTAGTGTTGCTCGATTTTTAAGAGAGATTTTATAGATTTTTTATAGCTTATAATTAATTTGAGATTTTATCTTACTTTATTCTTAAGAGTCTTATTGATTTAAGTCTTTATTGATGTGTGTGCGTTGATCACATCCTTAAGGTGGATAGTTAGAAGTCAACTAATTGTAATTGATAGCGTGTTTCATGTTACCCTTGGATTTCTTCGCAACTATTTTGGTGCCGCAGGTTTTGCTGTTTGTAGTTGCAAGCTCCCTGTTGCTATTTCATATAGAGAATAAAATTCCAAATCTAATCATAAAACTATATATCAGGAAAAAAATGAAAACCAATAGAGCAACTTCTGACTTTCATAATTCGTTCATGAAAGAAAACTGCATTGCAAGTTTGAGCATTCATTGCCATTCAACGGTGGTTAAAATTACCCATTGAAAAAATATACCGATTAAAGACTCTCGTGAATTATGTGTCAATTTCAAGAAGAATTTTTTTTTCACATCAAACTTCGAGCTTTGCTAATCTTGGGTGTAACCAAGCTACCAACCCAAACAGATTAATTTCCTCTATGGTTTAACCACTAATCTAAGTTTATGAAAACAACCCGTTACTATATAAACCCTTTTGTTTTCTTCACTCCATCCCACACTGATGGTTATTATTTCTCTGTCCTTTTCTAATGCGACATTCTAAAGTACGTCCCGTCCTCATGTCAAATTGCCCCAATGCACCTTCTCATGAATCACCCCAACTAGCACACATACATAACCCACAACTTGATCATGGAGGGTGGTCTAGGCGTGATCGCGAATTTTGGGACGCAAGAAGAGCATTTCTAAACAGTTACCATTTGAGTTTGGAAAGAAAAAATAATGGGAGCTTTAAGGAAAAGTTGAAGAAGTCAGTGAAGGAGGTGAATGAAGCAGCCATGGGAGTTGTTTTGGGCATGCGTCGAGGGTTGTCCAAGAGGAGGGTTGGTATCAAGGTTTTTAGGGTCAAAATAACTTCAAAATTTTTTGTTCACGTTACCATAAGATGTTTTATCCCATGGTGGAACAAAACCGAGGTTATGTAATTACAAACAAGTGGACGTATGGTGGCTATTTAGGATAGAGAATTATCAACCTATGACTTTAAATAAGTTGTGTGGATCATGCGCTCCTAAATCCTAGTTGCTGAAATGCTGCCTAGGATATTTGTGGGGTTGAATGTGTGTATCTAAAATATCTGTCCCATTCTCTTTTTTTTTTTTCTTTTCTTTTTCCATTAAGCACTAGTCTATTTTAGAATCATTCAAAATTTCAGCTTTTTAAAGAGAATAAATAGCGAGTATTTTGTGCTACTTTCAAGTAATTTTAGATTTAAGTAAATATAATTAATTGATATTCAAAAAAAAAAATCTAGATATAAAAATGAACTTAACTAAGTTGATAGTATAAGCGACTAAAATTTCTGGAAAAAATTAACTAAAAAAAAGTAATTATTGAAAAAAATTTGAGGTTAAAATAATTCATGTAAATTTAAAAGTTTTTAAATATATTGAATAAGAGTACAGGTAGGTACCATAAAAATTACATTAAGATATGTCGTTAGGGATTTTATTATTCTATATAAAAGTAAAACTTAAATTATAAGGAATTAGTAATTTAAAAGAGACAAATCAATCACACTTTTTAAACAAAAATGTTATAAAACTATGGCCATGTGATTCTTGAGTTTGACAATTATTCGTTCCACTCTCCACCCAACAATTTAGAAAGCACTGGATATGGCAATTTGGTGACCGCAAAGTCAAATGCAAGAAAGTGTAGCACATCTAAGCTGTTCATACAATTCTAGAATATCTAGAAAATACAGTGGCCACTCAAACATGCTTAATTGCTTAGTTCTTTTGATGCCTCCACAGCCACACACGTATAACAAGGTGACCCACTAACCCGTGTTGTTTTAATTGTCCTTCCCTAGACCCATACGCAACATCTGAATCCTTATCTTAGCTTCTTCACCCTCTTTGAAATCTCATCCAATCACTTCTTTTTCTGCTTCAAACATCTTCTTCATACATTAATTACCAATTGTTTTAGCACTTCAAATGTTATGTTCATTATTGTTTTGTTCTTACCTTTGGAACATGTTCTAATAACCTCTTGAGATTTTGGTCTAAAGAAGGAAGAAAAAAATTAACATGAAAATTCAGTGTGATGTGTGTGAGAAAGCTCCGGCAACAGTGATTTGTTGTGCGGACGAGGCTGCTTTGTGTGCCAAATGTGACGTAGAAGTTCATGCTGCAAACAAGCTTGCAAGCAAGCACCAGAGGCTTCTTCTTCAATGTCTATCAAACAAGTTTCCAAAATGTGACATTTGCCAAGTATGCACCTCAAATTTCTAGTTTTTTCTTGTCATAAAGTACTCTTTCAATAAATTATTGTGCTTAGATGGTTTTATTATGCCAATTTTCCAATACTTGTTTGGACTTGAGAAACTACTATCATCCTAGTTATATTGTGTTAATTTTGGCTACAATTTATGTAAAATATGGATATATCGCGTTTGATTTCATATACATACATATATAATATATATATATATATATGCAGTTTATATTTTATTGGTTTAATCCTCTGATTTTCCGTTATGCTTCTGCAAATGTTGAAAGCCACGAGTTTCAAATGTATGTAAAATAAATTTTTGAACATGCTTGTGATAGAACTAGCTAACAAAAAAAATATATCGTTGTCTTTCATTTGAGCTTGTTACAAATAAAAATGTTAACGCCACTATACCATTCTAACTAAAATCTTATGATCATTGCCAATTACTACGTTATTCAAAGCAAAAGCACTAGCAGTGAAATAAGCCCTTTTTTTTTCCAGTTGAATGTATTTAAACAAAAAGTGTAGAATTCTTATTTTTGTTTCTAAAAAACATTAAAAAAAAAGACTTTCTACCAAATTATCAATACTCTGCGTTCAACTACACCAATAGCACCCTTTTCAATTGCACTGAATCCAGATCCCTGAAAATGTTGCTTTCTAATTGCTATTTTCCTATAATTATTGCTCATTTTGTTCTTTCCTTTCTCCTACATGTATGTATCAACAGGATAAGGCAGCTTTCATATTTTGTGTTGAAGACAGAGCACTCTTCTGTCAGGATTGTGATGAACCAATTCATTCAGCTGGAAGCCTTTCTGCTAACCACCAGCGCTTCCTTGCAACTGGTATCCAAGTGGCCTTGAATTCTACTTGCACCAGGGACAATGAAAAAAGTCAACTGGAGCCTCCTAATAGGAACGCACAAGTTTCCACAAAAGTTCCTTCTCAGCAAGTGCCTAGCTTCACATCCTCTTGGGCTGTTGATGACTTATTGGAATTAACAGGCTTTGAATCACCTGAGAAAGTAAGACAGCTTTATTTCATAATAATTGGACTTGCATATATGAGATGAGCCAATTTAACCTAGTAATTAGAGTGTTATAGCTGAAAGATGTTAGCAGCATTAAATGTGCCATTTGTTGTCCCTATGGACAACATCTTTGAACTACTACCATATGGAATAATACATTGAAGAATTTTACTTCAACTGGTGCTGTCTAAATGTTTGTTTTGTGCCTATATACTTATTTTGACACATGCCCGCACATAATCAAGCATATGAAAGAATCACCAAGGCAGAGGCTAGTTATGTTTATTGAATAATTAGGTAGCAGTATGTTAATGAATAACTTTGTATTAAACTCAGACTTGATTTCAGTTTTATTTGATTTTTAATACTTTTTTCATATTTTAAACTGCACATTATTCTTTTGAGGGGCTAATGATAGTGAAATTTTTATCCTGGCCTTGATAACTATTTAACTAGCTACTTAATTATGATGAGCTTCTTGCCTTGTAATATCTTATAACTCCATATTTTTACTGTGCTCAGAAGGAGCCCCTGCAGTTTGGAGAGCTGGAATGGCTGCCAGATGTTGGTCTTTTCAGTGAACAATTTACTCCGGAAGCCCTATCAGCAGCTGAAGTCCCTCAGCTTCCAGTAACTCATAATAGCAGCAATATTGCCTCGTACAGAACCTCCAAGTCCTACATTTCCTACAAAAAGCCAAGGATTGAAGTCCTAAATGATGATGATGATGATGAGTACTTTACTGTGCCTGATCTTGGCTAAGAACATAGCCATATGGGCTGTTGCATGCATGTTGACAAAGATTAAATACGGGAAAATAATTATTTTTTCCAAAATACATTATTCCAAACAGACATGTCTAATGTGTTGTATATTCATTCATACATCATCGACAGGGACGTTTTGAGATGATTAAAATCATTTTGTTTGTATGCATTCCGAATGTTTCGAAGCACGTTTGTCCTGTGTACCATTATTGTCATAATTCAGATGTTATGAACAATGATTGAACTCCTATAAGACAAAAGTGAATCGTTAAAGGTACCAACATTCTTTTCACAATTCAGATGTTTGCACGACATCACGTGCCATATTCTAGATGAATAACCGTAGCTATGCGAGGTACAGTAACTACATTAGGAGCCACATAAATGGTGGTAGAGTGCATATTTGACAAAACAACGTTGCTCATATTATTCTAGTACTAATGGAGCAAGATTAACGAGTTCAAATTTTATTCATCTAATGTGAAATATTAAAATATATAATATAAAGCTATTGATTAAAAATTAACAGTTAAGATTATAATAAGGTAGATAAGCATAGCAAAATATGAAGTTATTAAAATTGATTGTGTTAATGTTTAAAAATAAAATCTAAGCATAGTATCATAAATTTTTTTATATTACTATTCAATTAAAATAAGTTTTAATTGGATAAGTTAAATATTAAAAGTCAACATGAATTATTAAGATAAAACTTCAGATTTAATTAAAAAATAACACTTAAACACTTACAATATTATACCTAAATTTTGTTTAATATTTAAATATGAAGTTATGATATTACACTTAAATTTGGGCACTTCTTGCTTTCAAGTAGTGAAATTGTAATACTAAATATTGTAATTTAGCAAAAAAAAAAGTTTTATATATATATATATATAAGGCCATTATTAGGGGAAAAAATCTTTGCACAAAATTCTCTAAATGGAGCAAGATTACAGGAGTTGTGTTCAAAGTTAAGTAGGTTCATCTGCTTAATCTTTATGATTTGTATCTAGGTAGGCCAAGTTCTTGGCATGGCCCGAGGCTTTAGTTATTGAGAAAATAATTCTTTTCTATTGTAAATGACTTAAGTTCTTGGCTCTCCAGCAGGTCACCTATGCCACCAGGGTCTTATAAAGATGGATTTGGAAATTCATATCAACAAACAACATCAGAAAATAACCCAATTTTCTCTCAGATGATGGACAAAAGAATACATTCTAAAATCTTTTTTTCTCTCTTTTCCATCATAACCATAATTCTATGCATCATGCCATCACATATCCATTCATCAACCCTTGAAGTGGATACTCTTGCCCTTAGAGAAATAAAACGTGCCATTGATCCCAACTCAGTCACCCCATCTTCCTATCTCAACAGCTGGGACTTCACAGTTGACCCATGTGAAAGCACAGGCTCACAATTCCTAGGAATATTGTGCAACATGCCTCTAGATGAGTCCCCTAGTAGAGTAACAGCACTTGATCTCAATGGCATGGGTTATGAAGGATTTTTAACACCAGCTATTGGGAACCTCACAGAACTAACAGTACTCAATCTCAACCACAACAAATTCCGGGGTCCAATACCAGAAACCATTGCCAAATTAAGAAAACTAACAAGACTCACCATTTCACAGAACTTTTTCACTGGAGCCATTCCCCAAGAAATCAGTGAACTCAAAAAGCTTGAATATTTAGATGTTTCAGGAAACAGGCTCTCAGGATTAATTCCCACAGATATCACTGGATTGAGAAGCTTAACCTACTTAGGATTATCAAACAATGGATTTGCAGGTAGAATTCCAAACCTCACAGGGTTGTGGCAACTTAACACATTAGACCTTAGTGTTAACCAGTTTTATGGGGATCTTCCAAATCTTCCATTGAGTTTGAGAAACATGTATTTCCATCATAACATACTTTCAGGACACATAACACCCCTTAAGGGTCTCATACACCTCAAATGGTTAGATGTGAGTGATAACAGGCTTTCAGGTGCCATCAACAGGGATATCCTCTCCTTAAGAGGGGTTGTTCATCTCAATGTTTCTTTCAACCGCTTCACAACATTGGATGTCATCAATTATTCTGTTCAAGGGCCAAGGCTTCAAGTGCTTGACGCTCAAGGGAACCATTTGAGAGGTCATTTGCCAGTGAATTTGGTGACTTTCACCAACTTGACTTCAATCAATTTATCGAACAACCAATTCTCTGGTGTCATTCCTAAGGAATATGGAACAAAAGTTCAAACTTCATGGAAAAGATTGTACTTAGATCACAACTTTCTCACAGGAAATCTTCCATCAGAGTTTACTCATGCAACAAACCTTAGAGGTAGCCTTGCTAACAATTGCCTCAAGTGCCCCTCAAATGTTCTTCTTTGCCACGGAGGACAAAGAGCAGCTACAGAATGTGTCGGGCAACACAACCAGTGACATTGGTCCAATATTCATTGTTCAATCTTGTGAAAATGATATATAAAACACAATCAACAATAAGCAAATCAAGTGTTCATCCTAATCGCGTGCTCAGATAATTAATACTTGTATCCGAATAGCAAATAAATTTTTGTGAGCATAACAATGATTTTGTGTTACATTCATTTGAAAGCGCTTTTAATCACGCCATGTCCAATTTAATTTTTACATGCTTTTAAAATAATGTTATTTGCTTAACCATACTTGGTTTGGCTTAATAAAAAGATAAATTACTTTGCAATCACTCATCTTGATAAACCGGTTACTATGTGGTCAAATCCAAGTTGAGACTTTTCTTTAATATAGTTACGTTTTCATTTTTTTATGGACTTTCATTGATCTTATAGGCTAATATCCTAATAATAATTTATTACTCCACCCTTAATTATTAGGGGAGAAAATCATACCTATTTTGGGTCATGCATGGAGGAGTCTAGAAAATGAGATTATAAACCATAATAAAGAGAGCTTTCACAAAATAAAATGATGTTAAACCACGAAGCTTTTTATTCAACTTTTTTAATTACGAGGTACTTGCATTTCTTGAAATCGGATGGCATCATGAATATCTTTCATTTCTCCTTGTTCTTTTCAGGTCTTCCATTATGAATAACTTTTTCAAATTACCTAATACACTAAAACTAATATTCTCTTTCTTTTGGTAATCTGGACCATTATGGGCCTGATCTGGTATAATGGGCCACATGACTTTGATCGGGCTTGGCTAGCCCAAGCAAGTGAGACTGAGTGTCAGCAGCAGGTGCTGGTGCTGCACACAACAGCAGCACATGGTAGAAGAATGGTAGCTTAACGAAGAGAGAAGAAAGGAGTGAGAATACTAATCATAACCGTAAAATGGATGCGTCGGAATTGGATGAAGGAATGAAGGTGTTAGAGTCGTGTTTGGCGCTTATAAATTGGCGTCTCAAACCTTCTTCAAAACGACGTTTACAATTAGACATTATTGCCCTATCTACGAGAATGAGACCTGTTGTGATGGTTGACTATGGAGGAATCATGCCTCAACTACAACAACACCTTTCTTCCCTCCTCCAACTCGCACAAAAGGTCCTTCTCTTATAATTTTTTTTTCTCCGATTTTTGGTTTTTTTTTTTCGTCATTTCGATTCACGTTTTTGCAGGAATCCCTAATTTTCGAGCATTTAAGAGTGATGGTTATACAAGACATGATATACTTGATTCACGTGACGGAACTAGCTCACCATGTCAGATCCACCTTCAACTCTCAACAACAGTTACTCTTCGTGGACCTTCAACACGAACCACCAAAGGTGTTTCCAACACTCTTTCTTTTATTCTCCTTTGTCGTTTTTATTTTTATTTTTTTTAATTTCGTATATTATACTTATGTGTGTTCAGATGATAACTCGAATTGAGGAAAGCCAATTAGCAATGCAGTTTGTGTCGATTCAGAAGTTGTTTTTGACAATTTTCTCTCCTGAGGAGGGAAATTGTATGGATGATGCTAACTCCACTTCTCAGTGTTTTCCCTCTCATTCTAATGAGTTTGTTGATCTAAGTAACTGTTTGGACAACACTGATGTGACAGTTCCAACCTTGAATGGGTATGATTTGTTTGAATGTATTATTTTTCCTCGCTTCTATTTAGCCACCCGAGGTAGAATCAAGCACCCTAATTGTATGTCTCTCTGGAAATTTAGCATTTTGCTTTACTATTTGTGGTAATGGTTTTACTATGATATATTTGCTAATTTGTGGGATAGAGAGGTGATTAGCTTTCATAAAACTTTCTTAATTTGTGCCACATGAATGGCGTTTACGCATATAGTTGTTTCCTTCTTATTCCTTGTTAAACAGTAATATGTGATGGGGTTATCTTATTTAGTGTATTTACTTGCTTCAGATGGCTTCTAGGCTATCCGGTGGTGTATCTGTTTGGCAAGGAGCGTGTTGCTGATGCCATTTATAATCTTTCAACCAAATATCTTCATGTTTTTCAAGTGTTTGTCTGCAGGTTTGTTTTCTTTGCCTTTCCAGAACATAGGTTTTTTTTTTTTTTTTTTTTTTTTTTTTTTTTTGCAAAAGAAGAAAGTAGGGAAAGGATAAATAAGGCCAGGAAAACGGGGGAAAATAACGGGATAATGTGATTCTTTCAATGGTTGATGTCCATAATCAAAGAGGTGTAGTGTATTTGTTTGGCAACTATTCGAAGTTCAAACTAATTGCGAATTAGGATGGTATCATTGACTTGTCAAATATATTGAATTAATTAATTAAGGTTGCAGTCTTTCATCTGTTTTTCTTGTTAACACTTTCTCACATATCAAGTACGTTAAATTTTGAGCTCTTGCAGGAATAGTACACTCAAGAAAGGGACTCAAGATGAAGAACTGTTAAGGTAAATACTACATTTGGAATTGTGAATATCATTTAGAATCTTTGGCAATTGAACCATAGGTTGAGCTCCATATGGGTAGACTTTGGTTGTAGTGTATGGGGTTGATACCCACTGGAAACACATTGTGACTTGGATTGGACCGACCTAACCCTCACACGGGAATTAGTCCCACATCCAAAAGATGAGGAGAGGAACTCCTTGCTCTTACCAGAAAAATAACAATTCTCTTTGTTAATTGTGTAAGACTGCTCTAGATCTACTTTAAATTGTTGAAAGGTTCGTTATACTGAAAATATTTAGCATTAAGATTATTAAGCTTGCATGTAAAAAGTGGGAAAAGGATAAATTTTAACAATTTTTGAGACATGCACGATTTGTCCTGCGGAGTTCATCTTTTGTAGGCAGCTGAGATATCAAAGAGTTATTGCCAAATTGATTTTTAACAATAAAAAGGTGCAGCCGTGGGGGGCCGTGAAAAGCAACCATTTACAACATGGCTGTGCTATTGGCCCGACTTTTGAGAATTAATATGCAGAAATAGGTTCATACCATGGACCAATAACTGTCATGATAAGCAACTCTGTTCAGGTATGCATCTACCAGGCTGTGGGCATTGTTTGGTGATGTTAAAACATTGCTCGACGGCACATTTAGAAGGGTATAACTCCTTTGCGGCCATAATGTTGTTTATTATAGAGAAGTCTCGACCATCACCATCTATTGATAGTTAAAGTTATAGATATATCTAGTAAATTGGCATATTACTGACATTCTAAGCACGTTTGAACAGTTTTTCAGTGCCTTATGATCTAAGCATGAGAGGGAGTAATGAACAATGGGCAAAGGCTTTTCTGGCTCACATGCAGGCAAAGTGGGAAAGATGTGCAAATGCTTGGAAGTCATTAAAGATGGAGGTTAGTGAATGTCATCCTCAAGCTATCGTGTTATAGTATTCAGAATAGAATATGGATCCCACGAAGTGCAGGACGTACTTAAAAGAATAGAATGTATTTAACTTTAATAAACGAAAACATGTCAGAACATAAATTGCCCCGTGAACTATTATAAAGTGCGACATTTTATATGGAGTTTTGAACCAAAATAACTTGCGTTTCAGATTGTTTGAGCAGAAGCACTCATTTATTACATCAATTTTGTCAACTCCAGTTCCGTTGAATTTAATCATTTAAAAACAATAATTTTTATTGAATTATTTATTATATTAAAAATATAACTTTTTTTTAATAAAAACTTATTATTATTAGTTATTTAAACTCAATTTTGAAAGTTAAGGCTAATATTCTTTAAGTTAAAATACATATTTGATTCATGTAGTTGTGGATCATTACTAAATTAGTTCTTGAATTATAAAAAAAACTTGCATTTCAATTTTTATACTAATCTTACATTTTAGTTTATGCGTTATAAAACCATTAATAAAAATTATTATTCACTGAAGTGTATTTTTGCTATTGGTGTTATAACAAATACTAAAACGTAATAATTTATTACATTTGTGTAATAACTAAAATGTAAATTTTTAATGTATATAGACTAATTTGAAAAAGAGTATCAATTAAATAAATATATATTTTAGCCTCCTCTTATTATATTAAGCAATTTGATGAACACCTAAATCTAAAATAAATTGATCTCAAGACACATGGAGTGATGATTGTTTTGACACCAAAATACTAGGCATAGGGAGTGTCACATCCAGGAAATATTGTTGTGGAGTCGTGGACAACATCCATGAAATAGAGATTTGGTTCTTCAAGTAACTTAGGTGTGTTTTGGTAAATAGAAATAGCTGTTTCGACTAATACCATGAAATGGTGAATAAATGACACTCATGGATCATTTCTTGTTCTAGCTGCTACTGTTTTTGAACTGGATGAAGTCCACAAGTTGAGCATTCGCTCTTCTATTTTCTTTAAATGTTAGGTTGATTAGTAAATTATGAAGCTACTTAAGAAGTTGCAACTATGGGCCGAGCTCATGAATCGAATTTTCATTCAATCACTAATCTCAAAACTTGAAAGAAAGCATTATTTGGCTGAAAAACAAGTGATCTTGCCGCCAATGCATAACAGGAAAAAACAAAAATACAAAATAAACTGGAGACAAACTTCCTCTTAAATTGATAGTCATCAAATCTAAAGGAAAAGTGAAACATGGGGGAAGAAAACGAAACCATGCTAGTACTTGGGTCAAGAGATTTTATGCCCCTTTGATGAGTTTGAGAGCATCCTCCTCTTTGGGAAGGGCGGGGATTGCTCCCTTTTTAGTAGTTGTAATTGCTCCACATGCATTTGCAAACTTGAGTACTTCTCTTAACCTTGATTCATCCTGCAACCAGTAAGTGAAAATGAATCAATCATCAACATATTTTTTATCGTGGCAGTTAATGTGAAAGTTTATTAAGCGGTGTGATAGCTAAGCACTCACTTCAAGGATAGACTGATCATCGACAATCTTGGTCAGTAGAGCACCAACAAAGGAATCACCGGCGCCAGTTGTATCAACTGTATTGACATGAAATGCATCTACTGATCCATGAAAATTCTGGTTTATTCAAAAATGGAGAAAAACTCGATCAGTTTTACAAAACCAAGATATACCGACAGAAAGCAAAATTATTACAAACTGGACCTGTGATAAGTCCTTCCGGAACATATTGTTTTCTGTTTAAAGGTGAAAGCTCAATACCCAATATCACCGAACAAATAAAAAAATGCAGAAAGGAGAAATTTAGTGCGTAGGCCACACAGCACACGGATGGCTATAGCCTAGAGCACATTGGTTTATGCGGATAACAGTTGATAAGCATATTCCACGAAAGCACATAATAGTATAATCAACCACTAGCTGTACATGAATCCTTTTTTTCTTAATAACGCTAACTAGGCCTCAGCAATTGGCGAGAGTTGGCTTAATGACTGAAAGCTTTGCTCTCGTCGTCCTCCCCTCATTTACACAGGATATTCAAAATTTAATAAGGTGAGCTGGAATTCCAGAGCTACCCCGAATCCGTTGTACGAAATGACGTAAATAAAGCGCAATGAGGATTAATTTAATTAATAAAATGCCGGGAACAGAAAAACACGTGGTGGCCCTGCCTCAAACAATGCTGTGAAAGCAACTTGATTCATGCCTTGCAAGTTGCAATTGCAAGCATTCAGAATGACTACGACTCGTCATAGATAACCAAACAAATATCTACGGATCTACCATACCGTGACAACACTAAAGGAGCTAACAGTCAAAAGAATAGTATTTTTGACAAACAAATAGGAATAGGTATTTCAAGTTTAGGGTTTACCTTGGTGTAGTATCTGGAACCATGCTCCCCAAGAGTGACAAGGAGTAACTTCAAATTGGGGTGCCACAATGACAGAGCAGAAGCATCATCAATTTTGTCACTTCCGGTGAGGAACTCAAGCTCCACATCACTGACCTTAATCAAATCAGCCTTTTCCCATATGCTGAGTATTTGCTTTCGGGCTTCCTCGGCCGAGGGCCACAACGGCAGACGAAGGTTTGGATCATAGGAGAGCAAGCAACCAGCCTCTTTGGCAACTTCCATTGCCTTCAGGTGTGCCGATCTGCATGGCTCCACGATCAAGCTTATCGACCCATAATGGAAAACTTTTGCCTGACAACACCAGAAACACCCAGTTAGTCACCAACCTCATACTGGTAAATGCTAATTCACCAAATCCAATCTTAACAGTCACTTTAACCATGGTGTTAATAATGTTCATGAATACATAATTGATTTACTTGTACCGGCTACCAAATAAGGTACCTAATTATTTATCAAAGACGTACTTACTAGGGTTTAAAGAATGGACCTACAGTTCTTCCTTGGCAAGATAAATAATTCAGTGATACCCCACCGACGTCTCGGGATTCTATATTTCTTAAAAGGACAAACATACCACTAAATTCAATGCAGCTAAAAAGACAGAATAAACAAATTTTTTACTGCGAGTGCAATGATATATCTATTAAATAATACTTTTTTATTAAAATTTTTAATTCCACTAGTAGAGTTGATATCTGATTTTGAATGAAAAAATTATACACATAAAATTTAATTAGAAGCAACATTAGAAAAAACCATTACACAAATAATCCACAAGCAATTTGGAAACAAAGCTGTAAAGTATATAATGCATGCTATCAATTAGTTAAGTTAAAGTAAACAATTCAAAAAACAAAAGAGAATAAAAAGGCTAGAATCGCGTGGGAGCGTTGGTCAAAGACAATGATTCCTATGCCGGAGTTTTTATCTTCTTCAACAAATTCTCTTAATAATCCTTTTTTAGTTAATAAAGCAAATATTCAATAACATATATATATATATATATATATATATATATATATATATAATCTTCAAAATACGAAAATATTTAATAACTTCTCAAGTTGATAATTGAAAGAATTTACAAACGTAAAAAACTAGAGAGAGTTAGAATTATTCACTGAAAAAACAAGGGAGAAGACAAAAGTATAAAACGGATGAGGAGCAAACAAAGTAGATTAGATGACAACAGGAGACGTATAATTGATCCTCCAAAGACCCAACCTGGTCCTAGCGCGTGGACAAGCATAAACTGAAAAAGAAAAAAGGAGGAAAAAAATGAAAAAGTAGAAAATTGAAAAATCCAAGACTTTTGTTGGGTTGTTGGATCAGAGGGAAACAGATCTGATTCCACTAATGGCTGCATAGCCATAGCTATCGAGGAGAAGCACGTGAAGCACGTCTCCATAACACACCAACCCCACCCACCCACCCTCTTCATTATCGGTGTTTTCGGCGTCCCCATTTCGGACCAAAAAAAATTCATCGGATTTCGAGAACTTTAATAATAAATATTATAGTCAGGAGCGTGAATCCTAGATCTAGGAAAGGGCCCCACTACACTGAAGCTGATGTGGCAATATCTTTCACCTTAGGCCCACGTGTTCCTACAGGCGCGTGACATCCCGGGCTCTCCCCACATAGCGTGCACCCATCTCAATCTCAGAGATCATAAAGCATCACACAAACACTTCATTTTCAGCAAATGGTTAAAATTTCAGTGAAAGAAGGATTAGAAGCTTACAGATCTGATGAGTTCGAGGTTCAGTTCTTCGGGTTGAAGAAGCATGTCAGCGCTGGGGTTTCTGTAGAACATAAACTCACGCTCCCCGTCGGCGCGTAGAGTCACGAAGGCCAAAGCAGTGCGTGCGCCTTGGTCGAAGGTTATGCCGTCGGACCGGACGCCGTTCTCCTTAAGGATTCCGGCGAGCATGTGACCAAACTCGTCGTCGCCGAGCTTGCCGACGAAGGCCGATTTGCCGCCGAGTCTAGAAACGGCGATGGCGACGTTCGCCGGGGCTCCGCCGGGGGCCTTGAGGAAGCCCGGTGCCTCCGCCAGGGACACGCCGGAGACGGTGGGAACGAAATCGATTAGCATCTCGCCGAAGCTGACGATGAGACCGTTGCCGGTGGCTGGCAGGCCATTGTTCAACGCCATGGCTACAGTGTGTGTCTGGATTTTTCTGAATGACTTTTTGGGAGAAAGAGAAGAATTGATAGAGAGAAGAAATTGAGTTTGGTGGACTTTATATAGAAGAAGTTGTGCACATTAAGTCAATTAAAAATGGGTGGAAGTTTAAAAAATTTTATATTAAATTTAAATTAAATAAAAAATTTAATTAAGTATAAAAAATTTTAATTGGTAGAAGAAGGTTCTTCTTTTATTTAATTTAATGCTATAATTGCTCCTAATTGTTGAAAAATTGGTGATAAGTCATTGGTTTTAGTTGGGGCATGGATGTTGTTGGATTTGGACTCAATTCTCAGCTTTAAATTTAAAGTTGTCTTAAATAATAATATGGTATTTTTTTACGGCTCTAGTATTTAATCAAATGGTATCTCATTTACTCTCTCACTCTATTTATATAAATATTTGATGTGTGCTTGCTGACCCTGAACCGTTCACTATTTTTTAATTTCAACTTTTCATTTACTTCAATATATTAATTCAGAATACACGTAATTAAAAGCAACTTAATGTTTTGTATATATTATAAAAAATTATGATGAGATGCTATATTTTCTTACATAATTATGAACCTTATTGGTTGAAACGTTTGGTGGAATGCCCAAAACGACACAGAACATGTGAGGTAGGCCAATTTTTTAAAAGGGATTCATTCCTTACATTACAAATTTGTCGGATGATATGTGTGTGTAAGCTTTTTAATATATTCTGTCTATGAAATTTTTGCATTATTTGATACCCTATAATGATTTTTATTTACTTAAACTGATTCATCATCACATTGGTGTTGTATCATGTTTATGTTGGCTTAAACGTAAGCATGCATGCTTTTAGTTTATCATTTTCATAATTTTAATGAGAAAACGAAGCTTTGCCTAACTCTGTGTGCCCAGTCCTCATCGCGTTCTGGGACTTGCCTTTTGCCTTTCTAATCTGAATGGTACTAAAAATCTGCACCAAATTTGGTAGCTTTGCCTAACTGTATGTTTTAATCACATTTAGTAGCTTAAATTAACTTTATCAGGAATTAAAATAGACAGATAATTATTTATGCATTTTTTGTAGTGTTTCATAAATTTTATTTTTAATACTGTTAATTTTATAAAATCAGTTTTGATCTAAATGATTTTTAAGTGAAGTCATTTGTTTTTTGAAAAAATTATTTAAAAAATTTGTGTGTGATAAAAATTAATATAAATTTCTTTAACTAGTTAAATATATATTTTTTAGTGTAATATAGTCCCACTAGTGTTTTCATATATGATTAGTAATTTTGTTTCAACTACTTTCATATAAAATTTTGATCATTTATATTTATAACTTGTTCAAAACTACAAAACAAAAATTTTCAGGATATATATTTTTATAGTGATGATTAAACTCATAAATTATGGTCAACAATCGATTTCAACTGCAAGGCACATTGGATTAAAGTTTATGGTTATTTTATCTTACATATTATTTACCTGTAATTATTAAACATTTTTGTAACAATAACCATAAATACATTTATGCGATAAGTATTATGTGCCTTCACTTTTTGTCCAGTTTATATTTTATCTCCTTAATTAATTAAATAACAAAACAATGTTTTTATAACAAGTGATTTTTAAGTAATATATTAAACACTAAACTAATTCATATTAAGTCAAGTATAATTATTTCGAAGAAAAACATTTTTTACTATATTCATAATAACTAAATTTAAGACTATTAATTAATTTAGAAAATTTTACTAGACTCGGTGAATTTCTCCCCCTCCAAAATAAAGAGTATATTTTGAAAACATCATGATTGATCACCACATTGAATGGTGTTTTTTAATCTGTTCTCGCTTTCTCTTGTCAACTTGTCATCATTTTTATCTTATAATTAATAACATGGGTAGTGCATATTTAACTTTAGAATATGACTTCATAACGTGTTTATTGTAATTGCAATTTGTATCGTTTCTTAAATAATTTGTTTAATATCGATTCTTTTGAGTTATTTAAATTAAGAAATACTAATTTGTGTCCTTAAAACGTTAATTAAAAAAAATTATTTGCAAGAACTTTTAAATTATTATTTTAACTTTGTTTTTATATCAATTTCATGCACCACACATAACTATAAGCTTAAAATAACAATTCAATTTCATTAATTCAAACCTACTTCATTGTATTTGTGTCGTGTTGTATTCCAATCGGTTCAATTGAATAGTAGGGAACAAAACTGCTTCGGATTTGAGAAAGATAAGGAGAAGCAAATTCATCCTTAAATGAGTTTTAGTAACTTTATGTAGTAACGACAAAGTTGCCATCAAATGTTAAAAATAAGCTCATTATTTACAATTTTGAATGATCTTTCTCAACACAAATATTTTAGTCCCTACATAAAAGATTCTTTACAGTTCTAAAGAGAACAGAAATAATAGAAAGGGAAAAGCATAGTATTGACGCAATGTCCAGTTAATTTTCCTAAAGCTTTTCTATCCCCAGATTCTACTGGTAAAGTATAATTGTCTCCATATACCAATTGCTTTTCATACAGAAAAAACGATAAAAAAAGAACAAGTACATAGACCAAAAGAAAAGGGGCATGTATGACATATGATATGACAAGGTTTAATATACCATTAAAAGTGAACATTTTTAAGTATTGTTTTTAATGTGTATTTTCAAAATGAGTATATATGTACCAAGTTTGAGCAGTTCAAATGACATAAACTCATTCAAAATTCATATAAATAGAATTCAAAACCAATAATTAAAAATTCTAACAGTATATTTAAACTTACATTAAATGTTTATAAGTTTATATTTATTTTAACATTATTAATTATATAATTTTTATATTAAATTTATGTATTTAAATTATTTTAGCTCGTTTTATTTTTAATGGAGTTTGATGATATGCATATATTGGTATTGTTGTTTGAGTAGACACAACCATATTACCATATCATCCACATCGTCTCCTTCACGTAAATGGTTTGGGTGAGAGAGTCAGTTTGGTAACTTTGCCGTACTTATCACGGATCATCCATTCCATGCAAATTGCTATGCGTCCATCTTTTTACCAACCTTTTAACATTCCTTTTTTCTTTCTACCTCAATTTCAATTTCAATTTCAATTTCAAGAATATAACACTTTTTATCAAACATTCGTAGCATTCTTTCCACCAGAAATCGTTTCTACCAAATAAATAATTAATCGTTTAAAATTGAAGTTAGTTTGGTTTAACTTTTTAATCCTCATTTATTGATCAACAAGTGTATGTTCGATAAATAAACTTGGTATATTTTAATTAAATATACCTGTTTTTTTCACCATCTCTTCAGTTTGGAATCTGATAGGTTGTCATCTTCAGAATCTGATTCATTCATTGACGAGTTTTGGTATTTTTCAAAGTTATCTTTGGTTTTATGAAAGCTCTACATGTGTGTGAGAGTGGAATCAGCTTCCACCCAGAAAGATGTATAGAAAAAGAAAATTAATTGCCACTCAAACCGATTGAGGGATACATTCTTTGATGATTCCCCTTTTATCATGGAACCGTGAAGTAGTGAAAAGGGAACATGAATATGGTTGTTTTGGTCTCTAATTGATTATAAGCAATAACATTGCATCAATAAAGCACTCTTCGAGACCCAGCGAGAGCATAATCACATGTAAGTAATAAAAGAAAAAGACACTTATCTTAATAAATATAAAAATGACTCTAAAATTATTTATGTTTAATTAACAATGAATGAGGATTCATATTTATAAGGCTGAATCATGGGATCTTTCTCCACGTAATTCTATTTTTTCTTCTGTTTTCTGCTAATTAATCCTGTAATTGGGTGAGGAACATCTTCTACATTTGTTTGCTGTTTTCATAAACTCGTTTAATTTTCTTAATTCCTTACATGGGCCATGGATTATTGTATAATGGGCCGGGTTGGACCGGGTGGATTATTACAATGGGCCAGGTTCCTATAACAGGCCCATATTGAATATAATGTCCTTGACATGAGGCCCATGTTGACTTTTGTAACTGTAGAAGAATAAGGTACACAGAAGGGTCCATACGGTTTTCCTTACCTGAATCCCTCTCCTCTGTTCTGAATCTGCTCTCTCTGCCTCTGCACGGAACACAAAAATAAAAATAATTTTGCACAAACACGGACCCTTCCTACGACAATCGAATTTGCGTCAGCCTCAATTCTCAGTAAGTGTTTTGATTTACCTCATTTTCAACCTTTTCCCTTTTCCCTTTTCCCTTTCGGTACTCAATTCAACCAATTCCATTCCGATTGAGTTTTAGGGTTTTCCTTTTTCCGGTTTGTTAATGTCATGGACACCATCATTAGTGTTGAATTGAAGCGGTTAAATGCTTTTTTTTTTTTTCATTATATTTCTTCGAAGGGAGTGAGCCAAGTTACTCAAAACTGAAGCTTTATTTTTTTCACTCCTGTGTTTTCTGAAACTGTCGTAATGCCTATTTTGCCTCTCTTTTTACTATTACGCATTTCGTTAGTGGTTTTGATATTAGCTGAATGTTTGGGTTTTATTTGAACTGTAGTGTTTAGGGACTTTTGCTGAAGACCCGGGAATTCTTTTTAGCGCTCTGTTTCACGCGTGAGAGTTTGGAAAAAGGAAAGGAAAAGCCATCCAAAATGAATATATTTTTTTTTCCCTCTTTTTCTTTTTTGAAAGGGTGAAACATTCTTTTACTCAGTCTGACTTATGGACTCATTGATCTCATTTCTTGGCTTCGAATGTTACATTACGCATCTGTAAGAATGATGAATTTTTGAAAATTTTACTCAGTCTAAATTTTTTTCTCTTTGCCATATTGATTTGCCCATGGTTGTTAACTCTTGGACGGGTAAGTGGTTCTTACCAATTTATCGCGCATGATTTTGTCAAAACTTCAAATTCTGGCAATTTCTTTTCTAAATGTGTATAACTAATTATTCATATTTCATTCACAATATGCGACCGGAAAGTGCAAAATAAACAGAGAATAAAGTTTGAAATGCTTCCTTAAATGAAAAAAAAATTATATTGATTTGTATGTTTTTAGTTGTCATTTTTCTGCATTACTTAAGCTAGGAGAAATGAATTATGAAGAACATATTCCCGTTACTTTATCCCACCTAATAAGATCAACTTCATAAATAATTCAATATCATTACTCATTAGGCTCTACCAAAGATCAATTTTTAATAAATCCATGTAAAGTAAGTTTTGATAAAGAAAATAAAAAACACCCTAAAAATTTTTATACTCAATCTCAAGTTTTCATTTAACTAATCAATCTGAAGTTTTCATTTAACTAACACCTAATGAGTTATATGTTTTTAGGTGTCGTTTTTCTGCATTACTTAAGCTAGGAGAAATGAATCATGAAAAACATATTCCTGTTACTTTATCCCACCTGATAAGATCAACTTCAATAATCATTCAATGTCATTACTCATTAGGCTCTACCAAAGACCAATTTTTAATAAATCCATGTAAAGTAAGTTTTGATAAAGAAAATAAAAAACATCCTAAAATTTTCTCATATTTTCTCTTTTTTGCTTTGATATTTATTGGAAGTATACTTTTTTATATATTTAAAAAAAAGGAAGGATCTTCTCACACTAGTGTAAGTCTAAAAGTTTTTACACTTAATCTAAAGCTTTCATTTAACTAACATCTAATGAGTTGTATGTTTTTAAGTGTCATTTTTCTGCATTACTTAAGCTAGGAGAAATGAATCACAAAGAACATATTCCTGTTACTTTGTCCCACCTGATAAGATCAACTTCATAAATCATTCAATTTCATTACTCATTAGGCTCTACCAAAGACCAATTTTTAATAAATCCATGTAAAGTAAGTTTTGATAAAGAAAATAAAAAACACCCTAAAATTTTATCATATTTTCTCCTTTTTGCTTTGATATTCACTGGAAGTATACTTTTTTATATATTTAAAGAAGGGAAAGAATCTTTTCACACTAGTGTAAGTTTAAAAATTTTTATACTCAATCTGAAGCTTTCAATTAACTAACATCTAATGAGTTATAATTTATTACTTTACTGATTGTTAAATGTTAAGTTAAAGTGTAAGAATTTTTTAATTTCTGATAGTGTAAGAAGATCCTGTTCCTTTAAAAACAGAGTATTTGTTTTTCCTTCACATTGACTTTGTGAAAAGTCTTTTGGAGTCAGCTTGGTTACTGCCTAACTGGTTATCCATTTTAACTGTTTTAGTGGAGTGTACTTGTGTGGTCCTCTATAAATGACTTTGGCTTGTATGGCTTTCTTTTTGTGATTCTTTGTAGTACTTATCATATACCCTTCTGCTGTTTAACTTTCCTTTTCAAATTTTTATCTTCAATGGAAGAGTATTTCATCAATTTTATACACTGTTCTTTAGGATATCTCCTGGAACTGAAAATCTTATAGCAGATCTTTTGTTGCTGCAGTGGAGTTTGGGATTGATGGCTCCATTAGTGCTGAGACAGTTGGCAATGCTACTGTGGGGGAGATTAATAGCAGCATAGCTGATGAAAACAAAGTGGGCTGCAGTTCTTTTAATCCTACTTATAAACAAGATCAAGATGATAATATAACTCAAGATTCTTCTGGAGGGGACACAATACCATCAGCAATTCCTGCAGTATCGGTTGTGTCAGCTGAAGAGCCCTATGTGGGTCAGGAGTTTGAATCGGAAGCTGCAGCTCATGCATTTTATAATGCATATGCTACACGTGTTGGATTCATCATACGTGTAAGTAAGCTCTCACGATCAAGGCGTGATGGATCTGCTATTGGACGAGCTCTTGTTTGCAATAGAGAAGGTTACAGAATGCCTGACAAGCGTGAAAAGATTGTAAGGCAAAGGGCAGAGACAAGGGTTGGTTGTAGGGCAATGATTTTGGTGAGGAAAGTAAGCTCTGGTAAATGGGTTGTTACGAAGTTTATAAAGGAACACACGCATCCTCTGACCCCTGGAAAAGGTAGAAGGGATTGCATTTATGAGCAGTATCCGGTGAGTTAAGTTCTTTTATTACTGAAAGATGGTATTTACAGTTATGTTTATTCTGTTAATTGTTGTTTTATGCTTGATAGATTAGTCAGTTACTCATATAGTTCTATTTGCTGTCTATCAGGCCCATCACACGAGTTCGAATTTTGCACTTAATAAAGTTCCCATCTTATACCTCTTCACAAATTACCCAAAATTGCTTTTGGGTAAACATTCCCAATTATAAAACTCAGTTCTTCTGAAAGCAATCAATGTTCTGTGAGTTAACTGGAGTTCCATAAAAGCTTAGATGTGTGTAGATTTATTTTTAACAAGAAATAAAATCATTTTTGGTTTTGAAAAAAAAGCATTGTATTGTATTAATATAGAATATAAAGGACCTTGCACTAAATTTTGTTAAGATGTTCATCGATCATATTTCTAATACTGTCGATAAATAAGTTAAACTTACTGTTAAGGAAAGGATAAGTGAGAAGAGAAACAAAGCAGGTTTTAACGTTTTATATCTATGCCTATTGATTGCAATTTAAACGATGTTCAATTTTTTTTTTTCAAATAATTGGAAAATATTTTGACAACATGTTCTGTTTGGCAATATATGCTTATGTTAATGACTAAAAAGAGTAACTTGAGCGATTTGTTAATCAATTTTTCCCATCCTTACGTCTTTGTTCTATGCAATTTCCAGAATGAACATGATAAAATTCGAGAACTATCACAGCAGTTGGCTATAGAGAAAAAGCGATCTGCAACCTATAAAAGGCATCTTGAATTGATATTTGAGCACATTGAGGAGCATAACGAAAACCTTTCAAAGAAAATACAACATATAGTAGACAGTGTGAAGGAGATGGAAACCAAAGAACAACAGAGTCATAGATAGATTCAGCTCTCAGTAGTCTTTTAATTCTTTTTCAGTGGATGAAACACGGGAATCAATTGTGAGGGTCAAAAGTGCTGCTAGACAAATTGTGCAATAATATAATTGCTGACATAGGTATCTGCTTCGTTCCAGCTTTAGGTGTCAGGTGAGTTCTGTAGTTCAGTTTGTTAAGTTCAATGGAATTCAATAATTCATTAGATTGCTTTATATGCTATGATACTTTTAGTTGGCAGAAGAAACTAGTTCAGTTAATGTACAGGTCCTTTGAATCCATTCTTCTGAAGTTATGCTAACAATGTGCTTCTCATAACAGGGCATTCAAATGCCTTGATAGAATTAAATTGTTCCATTGCTGATTTTGTAAATTTTGATCCATGGCTCTCTTCTTTGTATAGAATGAGATTGTTCGAGAATGTACAGTCCCCATGTTCATTTTATTTTCAATAACCAAACTTTCTTCAATGGATTTATTTTATTGGCCGCATTTCATTACTATATAAAATTATTGTTTTGCTGTAATGAGAGGTATCAGGTGTTTACGAGAAGAATTTGACTCGGCTTGAATCCATCCCCATAATCTAACTGGGCCTGCTCTTTTGGATATGATCTTCTAGACAAAATGAGTGATGGTTTTGCTACCACAAGTCTACTTTGATTTCCTTCTTCCATTTAATATATTTCTAAAGCAGCGTTTAATATTCTTTTTAAAATTTAATTCCAAAGGGGATTTCTAAGTTATTACTTTTTTTAAACTAATTTTTTTTAAAATAATAAAAATGCCCAAGTAAAGTATGTATCAAGAAATCCCCCCATTAGCACGTGCGTACAGTTCTGTCACTATATATAGTAAATTATTTCATTTAATGTTATTATTTCTTAATGTGTAAGTTCTTATCTTTTTTATAGTAAATTTTTTTTTATGGATACTTACTATATGCAGGACCGTCACTATATATACCATACTTTTTTTTGGCCTAAATTAGAAATTTTTAACACAATTTCAAACGATAATTTTTTATCAATTAAATTATTTATTAAAGAATTTTTTTAGTTTATATGTTTAATACTTTACATGTATTCAAAAGTATCCATTCGCACAAAAAAAAAAAAAAAAGGTGTCCATATAATAGATAGGATACTTGCTAATGCTAAATATAAACAGAGAAATCAATATGATTTGTGCATTCGGGTGCGTGCCACCAGGAAGCTCATTTTTCTCACGTACAAATGCATTGAGGACTTATCTTTTGAAGGAATGATCAAGCATGCCCCAAATTGACAAATGGCGTCAAACTAAGAAAAAACTCTATGATAAATTATCAGTTCCATATGAATGTTCATGTACAATCAGAAAAGCGTCTTAGAGCTAGGTATACCTTCAAAGAAGAAACAAAAATTTCTACCGGAAAAGGCTAACTTGCATTTTTTTTTTTATATTATTCAGTGAGTATAAATCTTCCAAGAGAATAAAGCAAGCTGTTGCAGCCAGTTAACATGGTTTACATAATCAACTTAAATTTTAATTAGTTATATTAAACATTTTTGTGGGGAGATTGCCTCAGAATATAGTGTCCAGATGCAGAAAAATAAGCTGCATAAGAAAGCCAACAGCAGCAACAAAGTACAAAATTATAGGGCATGGATTTTATGTGTATTGATTTCTAATTTCTGTTTTGTATGCTTCCCAAACACAATCACGTACAGAACAATTTTCGAAGTGCTTCTCCACCCACACAGCCATCCAAGTCCAAACCAAGGATTGAAGTTGTTGATTCACAAAGATTAGAATTTCATGTAACCTGATATAAAATTTTAATTTCATGACTTTTCTCACTGCTTTTCATGGTTCTCAAAACTAGATGAAATCATAGTTGTAGTTCATACCTACTAAATACCATTCTTCAATTTTAATTCGTTGAGAAATCTGGAACTAACGCTTCCAAATGAAGCGTACAAGCACCTCATGAAATCACTGAACAAGTAAATCGAAATCATAAAATGTGGTAGCATCAAACAAGTAGAAGAGAATTTCACAATCAAAGTAATTTATTTTTAACAAATATGTAAATAGCACCTAAAGAAAAGTATGAAGAAAGCCTTTCACAAGCTACGCATACCTGTATAGTGTATTTTTACCATATGTAACCAGGTATGCAAGAGTACAAGTGAACAGGTTAACTTCTACGTGAAAGACAAAAGGGCAAGGTTGGATCGTATATAAGTCAATATGGCCAATAGTTTCTATTCTAGACTGAAACAGACTAATTCTGTGGCTTCAATTGGGAGCATTATTAGGTTTTGAGTAGTAATAACGAAGTTCAGTTCATGTTAAAATTAGCAAATATAAATGCACCAAAAGACCAATACGTAAGTGGTTTAAAATATCAGGTAATTACTTTTGCCAACATCTGAATCGTATTATTAAAGACATTGAATGCTGTAGCTGCAAAAGGATTCAATAAGTAGGTTGAACGATTGTATATTCTTCTACCTTTTACGCCTACAAATCCTCCTAATTACTAAATGAAGAAAGTGTTAAACGCTTATTATGTTTTCAAAGTAATAAATACACGTACTTCAATACTTACTTTACAAAGTAGCAGGAGGAATATTAAGAGGATGTGTATACTTTCAGGTTTTGTTATTCACTGTACTTAATGCTGTAACTGTCAAAGCATGCCGTTTAGATCTTCTAGGCATCACTGCAATATTCTTCATGCTTCTTAAAAACATCACATCAGGTTTATCACTGGAACTTTGAACCTCAGAGTGCATGTGTTTCCCCTTTTTGCGAAGTTTCATTCTAGATTCCTGATCACCATACTCTGGGCAAGACCTCTTAAGTGGGTCATCAAGTTGGGAGCATCTGGAAGAAGCATAGTATGAATATGCTCAAATCAGTTGTATAGAAACTTAAATAACTTTGAAAAATGTTGCTGGGGCCTGGGAAGAGTAATTAGTCTGAACTCTCCCTTCCATTAACAAACTTGCTCACCTCCTGCAAATAGCAGGATTTTTTATATACTTGACACAAGTGATTTCATAAAAGTAAAGACAAATATTAGGCACAGGGGAGCAATGAGAAAATGTATGCGACTGTTTAGATAGTCAATTTATATTATTTTCCCTAAAAAGTTGTCTTCATAGCGAATGGATTAAACAGGGAATATCATCAAAATATTATGTTTAGAAACATCCAGCAAATAATGAGAAAATACAATAGCAGGTAAATACTGAACAAACTACAATGAAAATATACCAATTTGACTAATAAGCTGGAATCTTCAACAAGTAGAATGAGCTAGGCAACTACATTTAGTAATAATATGAATTTGTGTAATGATGAGATTAAATTCAAATTTTTCACACATGTAAACCAAGCATCAAATCAGCATTCTAACTGAAGAGAAATAAAAAATGAAGTGAACATACACATCTATAAGGATAGAGAAAGCACCATACCCCTTCTTCAGTTAGTGATGGGAGATTCTTCCCTTTAGTATCGTTATTAATTTTGCTCGAGTCAACTAGTCCACCCTGTTCCATGTCTAACGTGTTTTCAGGATCACTTAAATCCAGGAACCCATCATTGTCACCAAGTGATAGTGATGCATATTTATGACAACTAGCAACTTCTGAAACTTGTAGCTCCAAAGAACCACTTAAGGAAGTTCCAGGACACACCATAACAGAATTCATGGCACAAGAATCATTTATCATAGCACAATCTTCAGAAATTTCATAATCAGGCTTTGGATTTTGAATCTCTAGTGTGCCAGGATCAGACAGTGAGGTGCCAGCAGAACCATATATTGACTTGATAAATGGAGTATCAGTAGCATCTGAATCAAGGATTTTCTTAGACACATCTTTAGCACAAGATTCAGCACCAGAAATATAATTGTTTGGTGCACCATAACTAACTTCAGCTGAGACAGTTGATTCATATTCCTTCAAATTATCTGCTACAGTTACAGTCAGTTCACCTGAGAAAGTTGATTGATTTTCCTTTACATTTTCAGTCACATTTACAGTCATGGTGCATGGAGTTAATGAATTATACATTGAAACACCACAACCTTTATTCTGTTGATCAAACTCAGTAGCACCTTTTAACAATTTCAAGCTAGGGGAAGATTTGCTCTCTCCATTATGAACATCAAATAAGGAACTTTTTCCTCCTAAGCAACCAAGATCCTGCCAAAGACTCGTAGATTCTTTTCTATACACATTCTCACTCGCACAGACCTCATTTCTAAACCTGTTAGTCCAATCTGATGGGGATGAATTTAAATCAATACGAAGATTAATTCCCTCATCTGACCAGACATAAAACTCAAAAGACCGGGGTTCAGTAGTTGCTTTTAATGAATTAAACCCTTTTTCTGTTGAAGATACACCAGTTTCTACAGGTCCACAGTTTTTCTGGAGAAAATTTGGCTCAGTCTTGTCTCTTGTTTTGCGCAAGTGAATATCAAAGCCTCTTCCACGCAACTTGTTCTTCTTTGAACCTCCCTTATACATTGTATAGCCAAGGCCCTCCTCTGTACAGAATGAACATGACTTCATAAACATGTGTTCCAAATGATTGTACCAAGAAAACAAAAATTGCAACTAAAGGTGGAATACCTCAGTATCCATATCATATATATGATAACAGGAACATTAGTCCAATCCATAGTATGAGAAAGCATGAATTTTGTTAAGAATAAGATCACAAGCATAGTTATAGATTCCAAACAATTATCTCATTTCATTAAAATGTGCAAAAGAACCACCCTACCAGCTCTTATGAAATTGCTTTTAATTTATTTAAATTTATAAGAAATGGAAAAGGAGAGAGTGAGAATGAGAGTACCTGATCGGAGATGTCGCGGAGAATGAGAATGTGAACCAAAAATGGAAATAAACTTTTAATACAAGTTGTAAGGTTTGAAGCTTTAACTGGATACTATATATATATATATATATATATATATAATATTCCTATGACCAAAGACAAAGACAAAAAGAGACAACAACGTGCCTCGCAATCTACTTTCTGTGTTCACACTCTTTTTTGCAGTAACTCGGTTTTAGAGGTCAGTGAAACACTCTCCTCTCGTTGGATCATCTTCTTCCAAAAGCCACCTTCTTCCATCGTCCCATTATTTCACATTCAAAGTAATCAATACTATTATTATTTGTTTAATACTGTTTCTGATAAAATTATATTAAAAATAACTTATAAAAATGATAAATTATATTTTAAAATTTTAAACAGGTTAAAGATTAATTATATATATAGTTTGTTGATTCCCATGTTAAGTAATTTTTTTAGCTATCGTAATTTGCATCTCAGAGATAATTCAATTCAATGAAAAATGAATGTTAATGTATCATGAAATTAATCATTATTTTAATTTCATCAGCTGTTTATTTAGCCCTATCTTGGAGGAAATTGTTCAAATAATTAAATAAATTCAATACTCATATATTTAGAAAATAAATAAAAAATAAAACAACAATTAACATAAATTCCAATAAATTTAATACAACCTTGTCATATTTTTATCAATTCACCTAGAGTTTATTTAAATGATATTTTCATGTTATTCTCAATTCTGTTTTTGTTGAATTAATAACTTCATTAAATAGGATAAGAGAAGTCAATTCCTTTATAATAATATTATATAAACCATTTATAATTACTTTTAATTTATATTTTTATTTACGATTATCTATATAATATACGCAATACTTATCAATTTTAATCTCAAGTAAAAGATTAGAACTAAGCTTACAATAATCTTTCAGACATTCAACAACACACTGAGCATTTTTTTTAAATGCATCACTATTGATAAGACTATGATAATTGGGAACCATAAAAAAAATTTTCGTCCTTCAACCCAAAATTAATTTCCTTAGTATTTGTTTAGCTATAGATAAAATTCATTAAAAAGTAAAAACAGTTTTTTATTCCATCAAACAAAAAAACATAAAGCTTAGAAATTATAAAATCATAAAAAAGTCTTCTAATATGTATATGTAAATTATAAAAGTGACACAAGCAATGTAACACGTCGCTTTGGCCGAGTGGTTAAGGCGTGTGCCTGCTAAGTACATGGGGTTTCCCCGCGAGAGTTCGAATCTCTCAGGCGACGTCGTTTTGAAATGCTTTTTTTATAATAAAATAAGATACATAGAGAACAGCTAAGCTTAATAATTAAAACTAAAGAAGAAACACACATTATAAGATTCTGTACCCACGTGTGCGACCCATACATAAAATAGTTTGGTACATGTTATGTTCCCTTCAATGTGTCTTGTTGTACTTTAATTAGCATACACTTATGAACCATACTTGTCTCTTGTCTGTGGAGCAGGAACATAGTTCCCATGGAAAACCTCGAAGATCTCTTTTCTGTATTGATATATTAGTTAATCAATGTCTTAAAATATTGAATAAAGAATACAAATTTTATTAATGATTTTTTATCACATATTTTTAATAAAAATTATATTTATATTTTTTTAGTTAATGTCTAAAAATACCTTTTAAGAAAACCAGAAAAGCCTAAATATAAACATCTTCAGCACTGAAATTAAGTATTGGCAAGGTCACATTCTTTTAAGTGTCTACACTAAAATTATGCATTCATGTTGGTCGACCCTTATTCATAGTAATGTAACTGAAAATGCAAAAACACAACACGAAAATGAAATCTTATTTAAGATGCCAAAATTCTTACTACTTGAATCAATAGATCTGGGCGCATTAATTCATTTGGAAAGAACATATTTTGATAGTTGAAAAGAAAGACAATTTTTTAAGGAAAAAAAAATATCATATTTAATTTTATTTTATTTATAAGAATCAACCATTAATAATTTTTTAACTTTAAATATCAGAAGTAAAGTTTTTTTTATGTTATTATTTGTTATAAAATCTGTGTTGACTATAAAAATGAATACATCTATTTATTTTACATATAATACACTAAATTAACTATTTAATATTATAAAAGATTTTAAAATAAAATGTAAATTTATTACATATAATTATTTTGAATTAATCTTATAAATTATGTATTTATTATTTACTATTGGTGATTGCAGTAGAGGGAGAAAATGAAAATGACTAGTTGGTGGTGAAATGTTGGGGCAGCTGAAGACAGATGGGGTGATTAATGAGTAAGCTGAATATGAAAAGAAAGACTGAGAACAAGAAGTGGATGAAGTTTGGAGAAACATAAATTGAAGGCATGAGACCAATACTTGTGGAATCCTTCAACTTGGATCGTTTCCATTCAATCCAAAGTACTTAGTTAGGAGTGAAGCAACGAATAAGCTTGAGGGTTGAGGCCTCCTCTGCATGTAATTAATAGGATAATAATAAGGTTGGATCGGGTCACCGTTTCAAACAGCTATTCCAAGTGTTTCTTTGGACTTAGTCTCCATTTATTCCAAGGGTAAACAGTCCTACAAAACAGGCAGAATAGCTGTTGAGGAAATGCAACAGTCACAAGTGACATAATACAATGCCGGCCCCCTCATAGTCATTATTATTTGGCAGCCAAAGCCAAAAGAATGTTTCCCTTTTATCCCTTGAGAGAGGAGAGGGACCACAAATTTTTCCATGGTATGCACCACCATGGAGCATGCTTCCACCAATACTAACACACTATTTTGTATTTTTAAAAGAAAAATGAACACTTGGTAAGGTGTGAATGGTTATGGTCTCGAACCACACAAAAATGGACAGGTTGACAGATCTTTCTTTATACTTAATTTATGGTTCAGATGAGTAGTTAGTTAAACAACAACAATAACTTATAGGCAAGGCAACACAAGTGAAGTGACAAAGGGGCAAATAAAAAGGCAATTATTTAACATGAACGCGTCTTTGAACAACCAAGTCCTAATGAATGATGATCATTATTATATAGTACCACTAGCAGTAGGTTTGATTAAGTTAAACCATCCAAATACGCGTAGAAGTTTAAGTGCCTAAAAGACAGCTCTTTGGTACCTCTTAAAGCTGCATCAACCAACTTGCCTTATTTAGAACCCCTCAGCCAAAGTAGGAACCAAAGAACCCAACAATTCCCTTTCCAATGCCAACTATTTTGCTTAGAATTTTCCTTCTTTACAATCTCCTCCGTTCGTTTCTCCTCTCTCTCGTCCCCAAGAAGGTGAGACCCTTCCTACCTCGTTCTTGGTTTGCCCTTGTTGAAACTACCCCTTCTTCACTTTCTTCTTCTTCATCATCGAGGGCTCTCAAGAGAATTATAATGGAAACCAATGAGCTGAAACGTGTTTTTCAAATGTTCGATCACAATGGGGATGGGCGAATAACGAAGAAGGAGCTGAACGAATCGTTGGAAAAGTTGGGAATTTTTATCCCAAACAAGGAGCTGACACAGATGATTGAGAAGATCGATGTGAATGGAGATGGGTGTGTGGACATTGATGAGTTTGGAGAATTGTACGGGTCCATAATGGAGGAGCGTGATGAAGAGGAGGACATGAGAGAAGCGTTCAACGTTTTCGACCAAAACGGTGATGGGTTCATAACGGTTGAAGAGTTGAGGACAATTTTGTCGTCTTTGGGGTTAAAACAAGGAAGAATGGTGGAAGATTGCAAGAAGATGATAACGAAGGTTGATGTAGATGGAGATGGAATGGTGGATTTCAAGGAGTTTAAGCAAATGATGAAAAGGGGTGGCTTTGCTGCTCTCACTCTCTCTAATTAATTAGTTTACCTTAAGATTAATCACACGTTAATGTTGTAAATAATAAGTTTGGGATTCCGACCAATCCCATTCATCGTCCACTCGCCATGCATGAGTCATGTATCCATGTCGTTGAGGCTATCGTTTTGTATATTGTTTTTCCAGTCCCAGATTGAGATGAACCCTGCCCTGGTAATGGTAACGGTGATAGTACCACTTTTTCTTCCTTTTTCGGGGGGGGGGGGTGGGGGGCAAGGCCAGTGGAATCGGGGGACTGTTGTTACTGTGTTTTCTTACTTTTATGGTTCAAGTTTTGAGGCGAGAAAGGATGATTCTGTTTTCACTTTGTAAAACTATGTTTGGTGATTCTTTATTGAATTTTGTTGTTTGCTTTTTATTTTCTTTTGGTTGTATCAGTAGGTACCACGTATATTTGCTACAAATCCACTAAAAAAGTTATATGAATTGAATTAGTTAACAGTGCTCTTATTTGAACAACTAAAAATTTACATAGCAATTATTTTTATCTCTTATTTTATTTTTAATTTTATATATAGACATCTAAACAATGCAATCTAAATCCAAGGAAAAACACTTTTAGTATGGCTGCAAAAATCACTGCAATGCTGTTATGGTATTGTGTTTTGGGCATGCAACAGCATTTTACATTGCAGTTGGCATGTTTGGTAATTGGTAAGGTCCATATGCATAATGCCCTGGTTAAGATTGCGCACGATGTTCCTAAGCCACCCTCTATCGAACAAACAATAAAATTTTGGTAAATTTACGATTAAGGAAAGAAAGGAAAGAACATCCTCACGCAGAGCTTGCTAGGCAGTTAAACAAATAAGCTTCTAGATCTTATGTTATTAAGGATCCTCTCCGTTCATTTGCAAGCGCCAACTCCTTGCTTTTACCCCATCTTTAGGGCGCACAGGAAAATAACTCCCCAATCCTCAGGACTCAAGACCATTTTCTTCCCCTTTAACGCCATAAAAAAGAAAATGTGGTAAAAAAAATGCCATAAAAACAAAGTGACAATGATACCTATTCACATCACAAACTGAAAATTCATGTTAATAGAGACAATTTGGAGAACTCACAGCTACAGAATTTCGGATTCTTGAGTTGTGCCTTTTGTTATATTTTTTTTAAAATAGTATTTTTAAATCTTTATTTAATTTATTTCATTTTAATTCTTTAACGTCAATCAAATAAGTCAATTTTCGTTAACTACACATCAATTAAATTAGAGAATGAGAATGTAAAAAAATAATGATAACGTTGATGAAAACAATAGATAACAGAAAAAAATTAACAGATTTAAGTATAATTAACAAAAAAGTAAAATATTAAAGTTGTAAGATTTAAGTAAAATAAAAAAAATAAAAGAACAAACTAAAACAAAAAAATAAAAGACCAAAATAAACGAAAAGAATAAGTTAAAAGACTAAATAAAAAATAAAAAATATTAATTTTGCCCATTTAAATTCTTCGGCTTTTGTGAATGTTGGAAACTTGGAAGACCATTACTTCGGCCGAAATATAGGTAAGCAGAAATGACCACTACATTGAAAATTATTCAATTGGTAAGCAAAGGAGGGTAGACTAGAGTCAATTTGCGATGTCAATTATAGTCCATCAACTTGGAAAAGGTAAGCGATCATTGCGGCTCCAAAATGGTTTAGTCCACCCAATTGAAGAATGAAATGGCTACTTTACGCAGTACTCACAATACAAATAAAAATGTTTATTTCACGTTTTCTTTTCCTTCGATACCCCACCCCATACCCTTTTATGATAAAAAAACGAAAGAGATGTTTTAGGGTAGTACAAAAAAAGTAAGCTATGAAAATATCATTGCTCGGCCAAAGGTAGCTTTTCAGAAAGAATAGAAGTGTATAAAACCTATATGATACAACCAGAGAAATTAATTTCCTGGTAAACTATATGTTGCCTGAATTTGAATGTAACCAATACACTACTTCAAGCCGATTCACATCTAAATATCAAACAGAATTATGTTAGGAACCTTCAAATGTCAAATAGGCTTCTTAACAATCTCAACCAGGACGTCTGGTGGTCAACAAGGAAACATGCCTAATGGCACTAATTACCTGCCCTCCGAATCTGATTTTTCCTCCTCAATCTCTCTTATGCTTCGAACTACAGAAGCCACTTTCTCAGAGATGTGTTCTGTATGCTTTTCCAAATCATTCAGAATCGTATTTAACTGCTCTTCATATGCAGCACAACGTCGTTTGCACTTTTGCCTTTCATTGTACAACTCAAGTGATAGCTCACGGATTCTCTTATCTTTCTCATCCTGTGACAGAAACCATCAATAAAAAGTTTGAGGCACTAAAAAGGAAACAAACAGAAAATAGACATTCAGCTGTAGCAATGAATGACAACTGCACATGAATCAAATCATCGAACATCCTCAGCTAGCTGATTCAGATGAGGCTTCAAATTCTATAATCTATGTGACAGTTTAATAAATCATAGTCACAAGCTTTTATGCAATCACAATACAGATCAATCTCAGGCAATAATTGACCAATTACCATATCGTCTTGGCGTTACATAGATAGAACTCCATCACTACTTTAGGGGCATATCGTGAAGAGATTTAGGAAAAGCAGGGGATGCAACTTGGAGGGAAAGGATTTCAGTTGGATCAGTGGGGGATATGGAGGAAAGAGGGGGAAAGATAGAAGGCAACAAAAGTTTCAGTGAATGTTTGGGACCTAGAGAGACCAGGCCAGGCACTCTCAAGTTGCATGGATTTTGCCAGTCAATTTCATCTTGTTCTGTGTATTTCAACCCCACCAATACTGATGTCATTCCGCTAACAGCAGGAGGAGGAGGGGAGCTAATCAGTGGTCTATTTCACACTTTACAGTCCAGTTTGATCAAGTTAAGTATACTTAAATTGTTAGCTTAAAGTGCAGCATTCAGCTGAATTGTTATTTCTTGACAACAGAGTAATAAAGGAATAAGAATTTGAGCATGGTGTTTTAAAATCAGTACATAAGTACCATCTAGCGATATTTGCCACTGTTTGGAGAGACATACCTCACTAACCAAATGCTTCCCAGATCCACGCCATGGAACTTTACTAGGACTCATTAGTTTATGAGTATGCTCCTTCACAAATTTGGTGACAACCCATTTCCCTCCATCTCGTAAAGCCAACCTTATCATGGCCTGACAACCTTCACGTGTGGTTGGTGGAGGAGGTAACACTCTATCTTTTCTGTGTACATACTTTTTTGCACGAAAGCCTTCTTTTGAGCAGACAAAATCTTGACCAATTACCTGGTTATTTACTCGTGAACGACGGTTATGGTGGATTCGTACTGTAAATCCTATCCGCCTACCATAGGTGATATAGAATTCTCTGGCTTCCTCTCTTGAGTTGAACTCCATGCCTATGAATGGTTCTACAGCTTCTGTATCTGCTGATATCTCTGCTAAAGGTTGTTCCACAAACTTTTCATCTTCAATTTCACATAATTCTAGGTTTTTAGAAAACTCATCTTCTACTTTTTCATGTTTCTCATTAATTTCTACTTGTATATCAAGGTCACTATCATCTGAATCAAATCCCGGGCCAGATTGGTGATCCATTGGAGCCCTACTATGGAAGAATTAAACAAATAATCAGATTATTCTTCACAGTTCATCAGAAAACATAATGACGATTGGATACATTGATAAAATCAGTATTTATAAACAATTAAAGAAATTTCCAATTTAAAGAGTTTCTTTCTTTCTTCTTTTGTTCTCCTTGTTCAGGACATAAATAGTTAGTACCAGCAGTGCTTCACATTATGGATGGCAAGGAACAGATATCCAATCATTTTTTATCCATATGTTATCAGGGAAAAAAAACTGATATACCTATTCAATCCTATAATAATCAAAATTATTGATAAACAATGTTTAGCTAGAAAAGAAAACAGCACAACTGAGAGGGCATTTGGAAGAGCTTTTATGAAGCTTTTTTGCATGGATCATATCACACAAGCACTTGTGTGAAAATTGAATGTGTTTGGTTAAGCTAAAAGGAGCATATATGGGGGTAATAAGTCAAAATGAGCTTATTGAATGAAGGGCTTGTGATAAACGCCATAACTTTAATATGCCTGGATGCTAACACAAAATATAAAACCCAACTTCATAAAAAAAAACAGCATCAGAAAGTCTTTTTTTTTTAATTTATATGGATATTCGCTATCCTATCTATTCAAAATTCTAAAATGAATATCCGATATTAATGGTACTTAATGGGATCTTAATTATAGTGCAAAGAGAAGACATACACATTTTAAAGTTTTCACCATTGTTGCAGCCCTGCAGGTTATGCAGCTCTAAACCCTAGACTATAAAATAATTGACCAAATGAGCCAACAGGATCAGTGCATATTGCATAAAGATACAGTACATTGATGAATTTAATTAAAATTTTCATCCAAGTAAACAAAAACAGGCCAATTTTCATTAATTAAGCTCATATAGTGCCTTTTTTAAAATAGGAGAAGATGAAGACAATTTGTTTACCTATCCAGCACACAACCTCCCACACAGATAATCAACCAGACTTCAGCATATTCCTTTTAGACACAAGATACGGTACAAGCACAACCTGCAAATTAAATTTGCATTACACTTGACTTTTATTTAGGCAAATTACGAACTGTCAAATTAAGCACTCGGAAATGGAATAGCAATTTTTTTTGCTAATGTAACGTTGCAGGAAAATAAACGTGATTAATTAAAAAATTGACAGACCGAGTTGGTGAAAAAGGCATTGGTATTGGAATTTGGAATGGGCGTAGCAGAAAAATGGCATGACGAAGGGGAAGTTGATGAGCCCACTGGATGGAGTATAGAAACTCCACCAACCTAGATATAGCAAGTGCCCGAGTCAAGATGGATCGGGTCGGGTCAATCGGATTTTGGATTGTTGAAATACGACGGCGAAAGAAGAGTTCCTCCGAATCCGATACAGTGATAAACGCCGTGGATGTACGGATGCACCACCAAAGAACAGCAAAGCCACGCTGTGATGCGATGCACGCTTCAGTGTCATTTATTCATGGTCTATTAATTTCACCCCTGTTTTGCACCAACCAAAAACATAAATAAATATTTTTTTTTACCATATAAAAGTTTATATACAAATATAATATAAAAATTGAAAAATAATTAATTGTTTAAAATAATTATTTTATATCATTTCATATTTAAAGTTATAAAATAAAAAAATTCATTAATCATAAAATTCTTATCATTTTATTGATTTTCTTAAATAGTAAATAAAACAAATTTACTTCAATAATTTTATATGATTACATATTAACATAGCCTAGTCATGAAATTTTGATAAGTAAATTTGTCCAAGACTCCTAGTCCTAATCTTAGAAGATTCTTTATGGTTTTCTCACCCTTTTCGTTTGGTCATTAAACTTGCAAGTCACTCTACATTGGGCCAAAATCTTTTGGGCTAAAAAATGGGTGAGCCCAATGTGATAACAAGAACATCTTTGGTTCATACGAAAAAGAAGAGGAAATTAGGAAGGTGGAAGTGATGAAATGGGTGGCGCGTACCATAACCACCACCACCACGTGTTGCAGGTGGTGTTGTCGTGCCGGAAGATCACAGCGCAGGTCACAAACACCACCACTTCATCCATCATAGCCATGGCTTCCTCTTCCGAGCAGGAATTCGTCGCCTACCACCGTTCCAAGCTCAATCGCTTCCCCAGATCCCACCGTTTCTGGGACGCTAAAGTCGCCTCTCGCGTCGGCGAAAAGCTAGGGCTCCGTCTCCGAGAAATTGGCGTCACCGGCGTCCAAATCGACCCTCTCGAGGAACAATCACGCCCCGTTCATTATCGCCTCATGCTCTCCCCCTTGTTCCATTCCGTCAAACGCGCCGGCGTCGAGGTTTCCGGCGTTGACTAATTCAATTGCTTTTTCGGCCTCCCTCCTGTAAGTTTCATTTTTGAGGATTTTCCATTTTTTTGCCAATTCTTCACACTCAATAAAATTTTGACTCTGAGCTATTGCCTATTATGATTGTTGGGATGACAAATTGTTGTTGTTCTGCACAACAGAAACTGCTGAATATTGTTGCTATTTGTTTTTGTATCCCAGAATGTTAGTGTTAATATTAATAATGTGTCTGCTCCAGTACCCGGATTCTTATTTGTGTTTCTTTCTTTCTGGTTCTGGAATTGGTATTATTGTGAATTTGTGATTGTGATTAGCAACTGGTGTTTTATCTCAACACGCTTGAAATATTAAGTTAGTTTCAGTTTGGACAATATTTAGCTGCGGTAGCATTCGTAAATTATGTGTTGTTATTATGATAGAATTAGAGTTGGTATATTTTGTGGCATTAAATTTCAGTATACTGGTAGTGTTAGTTAAGTAACTCTAATTCTAATTTAAAAACAGTATACTATTCCTCCCAAGTTTTTCCCTTTTTCTCTGCAGATTAGGACTGAAATTTTAAGTGGGTCTCCTGTAACTTCTCTTTCTCTCCTAGTTTTATGCAGTTCCATTTTATCAACCAATCTTTCTTAAAACCTATTTACTTTCTACTCATTTTCATCCTTATTGAATAGACATTGCTTCTTTACAGTTCATATATTTATTTTCTTCTGTACTCGCACTAGCATGGACAAATACCACTAGCATAAAATTGTGAATTATCTAATCAAATGATTATCCTTAATGTTGCATAAAATATATGTGTTATGATTGTTTGTAGTTTGGCTAATTGATGGTTGTGGTCAGTGTTAATTAATATTGATTTTTATTAGTAGGGTCACTTCGAGACTTCATTGTATTCACTTGTACTCATTCTTTAACACTGAATTTATCGTATACGTGGTATCGGCTTTCAGGCGGTTTATTGTTTCAGGTAGTTTAATGAAAGCATTGAGTTGCAGTAAGGAATATAACGATATCATTAGCATTTAATCGTAAACGCACAACCGACGAAGAATATTTAGACAGCAATATATATATATATATAGTCCAAAACTTCTACAGAGCTCGTAATTAGAATTACATTTACTTTTGACTAAATTTACGATAAATGTTAATTCTAAACATTCCAATACTGATTACAGATAATAATACTAAAACTTTGTTTACCAACTAAAATATGTAGCAGACAGCTACATAGAAAGACTGCTAAAAATGCAATAGGGTTTTATAAAGAAAATGCCTTCTCACCTGTTAATATCCAAAGACGAATCCAAAGAAATAGGGGTAGTTTTCATGACTGCACGATTATAACCTTGAAATCTCCAATCACTGTATATTAAAAAGGAAATCATAACGGGCTGCATAAGTAAAATACAAAACAATAATATGTAAACTTCAATAATAAAATGATCATGACTAAAATCATGGAAGTGAAGAATGAGACTGAGATGAAAGGGAAGTACATTATGAAACGTGGGACTTTATTCTTTTATGTATTTGATTAAGTGGATTATGAGATAATCATTATGTAATAGATCAATATAAAAATCAGTAACATTTTGTTTTTGGTTAAAAAATAAACATTTATAAAACAAATTTTATTTTGTAAGAAGTTTCAAAACTTTACAAATACCCAAGTGAACTTGCATGCAGTTTTGATTTTTAGTAGTGTCGAATGAAGCAAACTTTCTTTTAATTCAGAACGAACACATATTTACTCGTGTATATATACGTGGGCACGTACAGCGGCACACATTTTTTCAAATTATACTTTCACCTCTCTTCTAAATTAGTCAAGTGCTTTCTAAGAAGACATGATCCTATTATCTCTCTCTCACAAGCATAGACATTTACACACAAACAATACAATATTAATATTAATTATATGATTTAATCAAAATATCTGTCATCTTTATTTATATGCATATCAATCAAAATATTTATATTAACAAATATAAGTCCGTTCAGTTTTTAACGTGTTTAGATAAACATCGGGTTAATATTTCAAACAAAAAAAATCTTTCCAACTTGGTTTTAGTTAAAGCAACTGTTGTGTAACTTCTGAGTTGAAAATTACATTAAATTTTACATAAACTTGCTTTTGGCAAACAAGTTTCTAAATTTGAAAGTTTGGAAAAAGTTGAGTCAATATTTCAAACGAGAGATTTTTTTTTCTTCCAAACTTGATTTAAGTAAAAATAACTTTATGTAATTTTTGTGTTAGATAAAAAATTTATATTAAATTTTATTATGAAAATGTTTGAAACATAAAAAATTAAATAGAAATTATTTCACTTCAAACTTAATTTTAATCAAAATTGATTTGTCAAAATTAAGATCACAAAAAACTTAATTTGTAACACTCAACAATATCTTGTTAATAACATTTACTGTAAGCATTAATATATGTATTATATGTTATGTAGGTTAACACTTCCCTGATAAAAAAAATTGGATCCTCTTGTATAAATAAATAACACGATATCATCACATTAGGATATAAAAAAATATCAAAATAAAATTAATAAAAACAACATAATAACGATATGTCACATAATTCGTCTATTTTTTTTTGGTTAACATGAATAAAATTAGCATAACTTGATATTGTTCTATTGACAAACATGTGCAAGTAAATAAAGCGTTGGCAAAAAGATGAAAGAAATGATTAGGCGTGTGAACAGGAAAGTAAAGTAGAAAGAGAGGAATGAGGGGACTTTCCTTCCTTTCCAATTTTCCTTTACATAAATCTAATTCCAATAAATAAAAAAATGCAGAAGCGCATAATTTTGGGGACCGTTGGGACTTTGCAGCGTTATTAATGTTTTAATTCCCTAAACAGCTATTTAAATTATGAAAAAGATATATTTATTTTTCTTAAAAATAAGATTAAGAAAAAATAAATTCTAAACTCACGAGTCATTGACAATATCTTCCATGACAACCCAATCGCCCACGTTCGTTCTTCAGAACTGTTGATGGTGTGATCGTGAAGTGAAGGTGGTCAACTTTGTACTACACACCCTATCAACATCCCACAATGTGTGATGCTGTGTTCGCGTGATATTATTATTATTATTATTATTATTATTATGGTTTAATGGTTCAATAGTATGATTCAATTTTCATCTTTGAATTAAAACATTACTGTCCATCATGTTCACAATAATGTCAATGGCTGGGGGAGAGTTGCACCCTTGACTCTGACCCCATTGCCATTTTTCCGTTATTTTTTTCATTCGTTGAATTTGATCGAGTGATTGGCGAGATTTTCATCTTTTGGGCGTTTCTCCCATTCTCTGAGCACAACAATTTTATTTTATCTGAATTTTTGCTTCCAGTATAGTCTAGATCCCGATCGGAAACGTTTGATTTTGCGAACAAGTGGAAATTCTGTAATTCGAAGAGGTAGGTTTCTGATTATTAGTAAGTTAATATAGTTTCTAATTTCTATCTCTCGTTTGTTTCTGAAATTTCGTACCGTAAGTTTCTTTGTTTTGCCGAAATTCATTAAACCCTGTGTATGCTCTTAATCGAGATGAATTTGACTCTTATGGTGAATATTGCCTGTAAAATTGAAGTTCTCATTGCTGGAATGTGAATGGCGGTGGGAATTTTGAAAGTGAATTTCGTTGTTGAAAATGTTTCAGGGAAGGGTTTGTGAATTCATAGGAAAATGGGGGTTATGTCCCGGCGGGTTGTACCCGTCTGTGGTAACCTCTGTGTCTTTTGTCCGTCTCTGCGTGCAAGATCAAGGCAACCGGTGAAACGTTACAAGAAATTGATTGCTGATATCTTCCCGCGTAATCAGGTGAAATTTTCAGCTCATGTTTGTAGTGCCTGCACTTCTCTATATCATTATCCATGACAAAATAATGCACTGGCCGCTAAGATCAACAGTAATGAAACACAAGATGGCATTCTAAGTCTAAAACAATAAATAAACAAACCATTTGGTGCAGACACTAGTAAACAATAGCTGAGTTCACTTATGATTCCAGGGTCTCATGAGAGTAAATTCCTAATATGTTTCAGGTAGTTTGTTACTCTCATGGGACCCTGGAATCATAAGTGGACTCAGCTATTGTTTGCTAGTGTCTGCACCAAATGGTTTATTTATTTAGTTTTTTAAACTTAGTAATGCCATCTTGTGTTTCATTACTGTTGATCTTAGTGACTTGTGCATTATTTTGTCATGGATAATGATATTCCAGTTTTCTGAAGAGAAGTAGTGCACTTGGGGGGGGGGGGGGGGGGCGCTTTATTATAAGACCGGTTTCTTATACTAGTCTCATGTTACTGTGTTTGTTAGGTTCCTGAAGCTAATGATAGGAAAATTGGAAAGCTATGTGAATATGCTTCTAAGAATCCATTGAGAATTCCCAAGGTAATAATATTATTCTTAAAAATCTCCCTTTTTTCTGTCAGTTCTAGGCCAGTTGTTTAGTGCAACTAATCAAATTATGATGTGGAGGGCGAAATTTAGATAATCATTCTCATAAGACACTATTATATTAGATTCAATTAAGATATCATTGTAGAGTATTCAGTTGTCTTCCATCTGATTGCATGTTTGATAAGAATGTAAATTTAAGTGCCAAGATTTTTACTGACAAAATTTGAAGCACATAATGTTTGACAAAACATTTTCATAAGTTCTGAATAATTTGTCAAAAGAAAATTTGGTCTTTAGATATTTTGGATGAGGCTGCACTGAAGGAAACAATTGTAATTTAATGTTTGATACTTCAAATATAGAAAGAGATGCCACTGAATTTATTTATTGACCTCCCATGCATTGAATCTTTTCATCACTTTTCACCTAATCTTTATTTTGGTATTTATTAAATTTAAACAGACACCGTTAGGTCAATTGAAGTGCTTTATATTTTCACTTTCAGCATTGAATTGAGATCTCTAACATATCCTTAGTTTATGCGGTGTTTTATCTTGGCAGATTACTGACAACTTAGAGCAAAGGTGTTACAAGGATCTGCGTAATGAAAGCTTTGGTTCAGCAAAAGTTGTCTTGTGCATATACAGGAAATTGTTATTGTCATGTAAGGAGCAGATGTAAGTTTTATGCCATATAAGTGCATATTCCTTGGATTGGATTGTTATTTGATTCCAACTTAATTCCTTGAAACAAAAAGGGATGCTCAGGGGAGGATTTATCTTCCAAACTCCAAGATTTAGGTACCATAAGAGTATTGTATTGCAGAAGTCATTTTACAATTTATGGACATTTATGAGCTTTTAGGGTCCGGGCTTCATTCATGTAAAAACTTGGGTGTATGAGACTACGGGTAATGATTTACATGATGAATGTACTCAAATGAGCAATCTGCATTTGTAATAAAATGAGAAACCTTTTTTAAAACATGATTTCATATAGAACTCTTTCTTTTATGTTCTGAGCAGGATCAACTTGTCTTCCTATACAACTATTTGCTAGTGACTTCACTATAATATGATTTGATTTTTTCTGTTGGATACTATTTTTCATTGTACTAAGTAAAAATATTCAAATGATGCTTCTTAATCTTTCAGGCCACTATTTGCCAATAGTTTATTAGGGATCATTCGGACTCTTCTGGAGCAAACACGAGTGGATGAAATGAGGATCTTAGGTTGCAGTACCCTTGTAGAATTTATAGATTGCCAGGTATTTAGTTATTCAACCTGTCTGACTTGTTAATGTTAAAATCACTGTAGGATAGGCTCAAGTGCATGTTGTGAGAGATTTCCCAACCCTTTGAAGCAAATTTACTGATTTAAGTTTAACTTTATAGTCTGCAACTCTGCATTATAGGTTATGCTACTTGACATATAGCATTATGCAGACCATGTATGGGTTTCTTTTTTTCACAATTTTTAGAATGCCATAAGTTTAGTGATATTGACCCTTTGATATAAAAGTAGACAGATGGTACATACATGTTCAGCTTGGAGGGTTTTATCCCAAAACTATGTCAATTGGCTAACGAAGTGGGAGATAATGAGCGTGCTCTGCTTCTACGTTCAGCTGGTCTACAGGCTCTATCTTATATGGTAATTTTTTTTCTCTGATCCATTAGTTATTGCAGAATTTGCTAACCCTTTTTCATAAGTTTTTAATTGTAAGGACTAACAGCTTTTCTTGGCTTTTTTTTTATCAATGTGCACAACAATCTACACTTGAGTATTTTTATGAAAAAGAGCTCTTTGCAGAGAATATAATTAAGATGAAATAATAGGACAGCTATTGAAAGTTGTAGTCATTTTTTATAATTCATTGTCAAATATAAACTTCTTCATACTGATTTTCCATTTGCGACTTTCTTTAATTTGGTAAAATGTTCTTAAAAAATGAAGCTGTAGTAATCTAAAGATTGAAATGAAATTTAGCAAAATTAAAGTGTGAAAATGGTAGTTTGTTGTAATTTAAGCTGTAAACTAAAAGGCTAGAGATTTGGTTTCTGGAAACAATTGTAAGATACATTTCAAGGTCACCTGTACGGTTGTACCTTCCTTAATGCCTTTTGTTATTCTCCCTATGTTATTTTGACCAGGTGCAGTTCATGGGCGAGCACTCTCATCTTTCCATGGATTTTGACAAAGTGAGTATCATTTCCCTACTCTCTTTCCTTCAATCTGTCGATTGATACCAGCAGTGACTTAGCAAAGCATTGCATTAAACGTTGAAGTTTAGTTTCAATGTATTTATTTACTTAATCCAAAATTTGAAACTCAACTTGGGTCTTGATTTTTGAGGTTAGTTTACAGTGAGCTAAACATTTTTTTCTTCATTGGGTTGATGGGTACTGGAATAGATTATAGCAGTGATTTTGGAGAATTTCATGGATCGCCAATCTAAATTTGACCATCCCAAGGTAGAGGAACTGAATTCACAACCCCAGAACCAGTTGGTTCAAGGATTTTCCGAAGAACAAGTCCATCTACATTCTTTACCAGATATCACTAAGAAGGATCCTTCCCTGCTCAATGTTGTGACAGGATCTGAGACAGAGTCCAAGTTGTATGTCTTCTCTTACTGTTCTCCCTTCCCCCTTTATTATGAATCCAGCATATACAATCCTGATAGCCATTGTGCGTTCACCACTTTTATAGGGATTCTGCTAAAGATCCTACTTATTGGTCAAAGGTTTGCTTGTATAATATGGCCAAATTGGCAAAGGAAGCTACAACTGTGAGGCGTGTCCTTGAACCACTTTTTCATAATTTTGATACCGAAAACCACTGGTCTTCTGAAAAGGGAGTTGCCCTTTGTGTTTTGATGTATTTGCAAGCTGTTTTAACAGAATCAGGTAGCATTGTAATATTTAATATTACAATTTTCTGTAGGTATGAAGTTTTCTATAATTTTGTTTGTAATTGGTTGTCACCTTTTGAACTCCAGGAGATAATTCCCATCTTTTGTTGTCCATTTTGGTGAAGCACTTGGATCATAAGAATGTTGCCAAGCGACCTACCCTTCAGATTGATATTATTAACACCACAACGCAGCTTGGACAAACTGTGAGGCAGAAGGCTTCCATTGCAATTGTTGGTGCAATATCTGACCTCATTAAACATTTAAGGAAATGCCTGCAAAATTCTGCTGAAGCATCCAGCATTGGAAATGATGCATATAAGTTAAATACTGAACTTCAGTCTGCCTTAGAAATGTGTATATCACAACTTTCAAACAAGGTATGTGTGCTAACATTATGCATCGATTTCTTGTTGGTCTTTCAAACTGTTAGAATATATGAAGATGCCTTATCATATGTTAGATTATGCTTTGGATTTAGTTTCCCTATTTCCTCCTTACTGCTTTGGATTACTTATCATGACTTGTTTCCCTATTAGTTAGAATTATGGTTAGTATAAATAAGAGTTAGTGCTTTAGGTTTTATGAACAAATCAATACATTGTAATACATCTCAGTTAATAACAACTCAGTATGTGATTCGCTTTTATCTGTCTTCCTTTCTCAATTCCTAAAATCCCATAATTTCAACACAAACTTTATGTTGATCATTCTGGAGCTTTAGCAGTGATTCCCGTGAGTTAAGTTTATTGGATTATACAGTGTAGGCATTCTTTATGGCCTTGTATCATTGATTACCAATCCTGTGACAAGAATGTTAAAAATCCACCTCTGAATCTCTGAATTTAATAGAAGATTAACTAAATTTATTCAAAATTTTCTTCTTTTCTTAATAACTTTTCCTTTTTTTTTTTTTATATTGTTGGAAAACAAATTTCAAAAGAATTATTTGGATTGATTGTGTTGCAGCAGTATTTCACATTGCTTCCACTATAACAGGTTGGGGATTTAGGACCCATTCTTGATTTGCTGGCTGTGGTGCTAGAGTATATCTCGACTACTGCCATCCTTGCAAGAACAACAATCTCTGCTGTTTATAGAACTGCAAAATTAATCACTTCCATCCCTAATGTGTCATATCACAAGAAGGCAAGTGTTCTTACTTTTAGACTGGAAATGGGTTTTTCTGGATGCACAGCTCTAGCAAATTGTTTGAAGTTTTGGGTTGTTTTTGGACCTTTCAGGCTTTCCCTGACGCCTTGTTTCATCAATTGCTCATGGCAATGGCTCATCCTGATAGTGAAACGCGAATTGGAGCACATAGTGTCTTCTCAATGGTGCTTATGCCATCCATGTTTTCTCCTAGGTTAGACAACAAAATTAAGATTGCTCAGAAGGTACAGAGTGACAGCCTCTCCACTCAGAATAAAAGTTTTACTGGAGCAGAACACTTGAATGGGAAACTGGAAGAAGGAAAGGCAATAGCTGGCATTAATGGGAAGAAATATGCAATTCATCCATATCAAGATTACAGCTTCATTCCCCAGCTAACTGATGGAAAAGATGTAAGAATTTATTTTTTCTTGTCATTATTAATTGTATTCATTTAATAGTATTTTTTGGATGGAGGGGCAGGAATGTGCAGTTCTTGTTGATCATAATTTAATTTTAATGATTCTTGTTGATTTCAGTTTTGTGTTCCAGTTAGTTTGGTTATTTTTTCCCCAATAATGGGGACCCTGGATCTTTCCTTGCTGTTGTTCCTAACGACACATGTTTTGTGTCTGAAATTTTCAGGATCTAAGTTCTCTTAGGCTGAGCAGTCACCAAGTGAGTCTCTTGCTTTCTTCAATTTGGGTTCAGGCAACATCTGGGGACAATAGCCCTGCAAATTATGAGGCATTGGCGCACACTTATAGCATTGCTTTATTATTTACTCGTTCTAAGGTGAGATTGGTGCATGCCAAGTCCCGGCTGCTTCTAAAGATTTAAGTTCAGTAAAGATTAGAAAAAAATACTTTGCTGATTTTTATTTAATTGTTACATTTTATAGTTGTTCAATTTACGTGCAGCATTTAGTTATTTTAATTGGTACCAGCATTTAGTTATTTCATCTCTTTTAAAATTAATCTTCGTTGCTTCTAAAACGAAGTGAAATTATATCATTAATTTGAAGTTCACAAGGTTAATTACTTTCCGCAGACGTCAAGTTACATGGCTTTAGTAAGATGTTTCCAGCTGGCGTTCTCCCTCAGGAGGATCTCTTTGAACCAAGAAGGTAAGTGGGACAGACAGGTGACTTTTTATTCAGTAGGAAGGAATGACATATAATTGTTGTCTCAATGGAATCAAATCTTGTAATGGAACCATCATTCCGTAACTTTTTTCATACCAAACAAATGAATGTTCTTTCCCATGGAATGGTGGCAAGAATGGAATCACAATTCCAGTGTTCTCAAAATGTTATAGGAATTTCTTAATTGAGAATAATATTTTCTCTGGTGAAAGTTTTCTGACATGTTTCTTTACATGCTTGTTAAAGGAGGCTTACAACCTTCTCACAGGAGGTCCCTTTTTACCTTGGCTTCATACATGCTTATATTCTCTGCCAGGGCAGGCAATTTCCCTGATCTAATTCCAAAAGTTAAAGCATCCTTGACAGAGACAACAGTTAATTTCTTCTCCTAATCTCTTGACTTCACCATTCAACATCTTTAGCTTCCTTTCAAAAATGAGTGTCACAATTTTTTCATTTTAATTATGATTGGATGAACTGATTAAAGTCATAAATCCACAGGTAGATCCTTTTCTTGAAGTGGTTGATGATGTCCAGCTGCGGGCTGTTTGTGTAGAATCAGAGAAGATAATTTATGGATCTCAAGAGGATGAGGTTGCTGCTATGAAGGCACTTTCAGATGTAGAATTGGATGACAAGCAGTTGAAAGAGACTGTAGTATTGTACTTTATGACTAAATTTTCAAAATTGTCTGAGGTAATATGAATTAGCTTGGGCTGACAAAAAATACTTTGATCCCCCCCATATATACTCATATGAAAGATAATACTTGCACATATCATGTGAGTTTTGTGCAGAATGTGGACCATTTAGCATAAGTTGCAATGGAGTGGCTTGGAGAGGAATATGTGGGTTGTGTGTAGTATGTGGAGATAACAGTTTCTTTTTCCCCTTATTTATCAGGATGAGTTGTCCAGCATAAAGAATCAACTCCTACAGGGTTTTTCCCCTGATGATGCATATCCATCAGGACCTCCATTGTTCATGGAGACACCAAGGCCATTTTCCCCACTTGCTCAGATTGAGTTCCCAAATTTTGATGAGGTAAATTCTCCAAAATTGCATCTCTAAGTGGCTTGTCAAAACTTGTGTGACAAATGCCGTTTGGCTTTTCCAGATAATGGCTTTAGATGATTTTGTGGAAGAAGAGACTGGGCCTGAACCCAGTGGCAGTCAGTCAGATGGCAAAACATCACTATCAACCAATTACCCTGATGTTCTAAGTGTTAATCAACTCTTGGAATCGGTAAAAAAAAACTCTCATGCTTTTATTTCTGGAATCTGGCTGATTGGAATGTGATTGTATTTTGAATATATTTTTCATTCTTCTCCTGGAGTGTGGATATTATGTTTCTCCCTTTAAGATACTATGGGCTTTATTTTATGGATAGGTTTTGGAAACTGCACGACAAGTCGCAAGTTTCTCCACTTCTTCAACTCCTTTACCCTATGACCAAATGACGGACCAATGCGAGGCACTTGTAACTGGGAAACAAGAGAAGATGTCAATCATTCACAGTTTTAAGCATCAACAGGAGACTCAGGCCATAATTCTTTCAAGTGATAGTGAAGTAAAAGATTTCCCTCTACCTCCTAAGGTTAGTGTTTGTCATACTAGGGTAAATTTTCAGTGTAAGAAATGCATATAATGGTCTTGGATGATTGGAGTATTGACTGCTATGGTTGAAGAGTTTTGGTAGAGTTCGAGTTAATTATTGACCATTTTTTCATTAAAGGAAAAAAAAGAAAAAAGACGCACACATAAATAGAAGGGCAGCATATTCTCATTTGTCACAATATACTTCTAAACCAAAAATAAATATCGTTTCATGAATTCTTGATTACTTTGGAATTTTATAAACCTTTTTATATGCGATAACTAGCTACTTGTAGATGATATATGTGGAGAGGGTGTGAGCATATATTTGTAAATGGCAAAAGCTAGCATCACTCATTTATTTATTGGACGAAATCTCAAACTAACTCCACTCACAAAGAGCGCATGCAGGTTATTATGCAGGTTATTCAGTGGGGTCAGCAGAAGATTTCATCCAATAATAAATAGTAATGAAAAGTCTTTGTTAATCGCTACATTTTGATATGGAAGGAAACTTCTATCATCACAATATAATGTCTTGTGCCATGTTTTTTGTTTTTAGTGTTACTGACGAATTACTCCCAAATTACAAAAGAATTTTTTGCATTAGGCGGGGTTTCCCCACACGATAGGGGGCATGGTTTTTACTTATTGGTACTTTGACATTTGTAGGGTATAGAATATTCAAATGGTGATTTGAAGTTAGTGACTCATGAGCAATTTCAAGGGCAGGATCAAGTCCCTCTCCGTTCACACGACTCTGTGCAGCAACATTCCTTGAGACTACCACCTTCGAGCCCCTATGATAAATTCTTGAAAGCTGCGGGATGCTAATGACACTAGACTGCAATAGATGCCATTTTTTCATTCTTTGCAATTATGGTAAAATGTTTCTTTTGACGGGGTTTCTACAATTCATGCCCAAAGTACGTGAAATGTGCAGCGGAGTATATTTTTTTGTTATTTTGCAGGTGGAGGGGGATAGTTCTTCTTTTCCCCAAATGTATGATTTTGTCTATAAATTATATTCATGTTTGTCAATATTTAAAGGTTTTACTTTATTTTATTTATGTGAATAAAATGTTTTGTTGATACTTTCGTTTTACTGAATTCTTTTTCTCGTTCTCGTGTGTGGATCAAATTCTAGAAGCTCTTAATGAGTCATGAAGAACGAATTCTTGTATGGCCTGTCTCTCTGAAAAAGCAAGTCTTGAAATATCACATATAAATTTTAAAGTTTTGTTTGAGAGTTTAGAGGAAAAGGAAAAGAAAGAGTTTGAAGGGAGAAGAAGAAGAAGGAAAGGGAGAGAAAAGGAAGTTAAACTTCTCCTTTATGTTTAATATTGAGAATAGAGAGTAATATAGAGTTTAATTATATAAATAATTTTAAAATTAATATTTTTATTTTTTAAATTTTTTTGAAAAAAATTATCACTTAAAAAACTAATATTTTAAAAAAAATTTAAAAAAATCATATTTGTAAAATAATATAAAAGAATAGGAGAGAGAAAACTCTCAAAATAAAAAAACTTAAAAAATAAACTTTTGAAAAGTTTAGAAAAACTCTTAAAAATTTTTCCTCCTAATTAATCAACTTTCAAACAAGAATAATTCTCTCCTAGTTTGTCCTCTCTTTTTTTCTCTTCCTAAACTTAACTCGGAAATATAGTTTAAAAGAATATATTTTATTTGCATGCTAGTTAAATAAATCAATCCTTTCGGTCAACCAAGCATTCAAAAGCAATACTTTTACTAAAAATACAAGTACTTATTTCATTAAAAATACAAAAATGTAGTTAAACAAAATTGTTAACTTTAAGAGTTAAAATTAAGTTTAAGCATTTAAAATTAGTTTATATTTTTAAAAAATATAATATTTATTATATTTGTATATTTGTAAAGTAATAAATACTTTTTCTTTAATAAAAATCTATCACCTTCAGTTGCAAATAAGTATTTTTTTTAATAAAACTTATTACTTTTAAATTCTCAAGGTTATAATTAAAATCAATACATAAATAAAACTATAGAAGACGATATTTATATGCGTGTTAAATAGTTTATGCATTCTAAATGTATTAAGAAATTGACTTTAAGCATAGTTATTGGGAAAAGGATGTACATTTTCTTTCAATGATATGGTATCATATTAAATAAATTCATTCAGTGAGGTATTAACACGAATTACACCGTAAAATGTTTTATTGGTCAATTACGAGCAAAATTAAATAGTTAGGTCAGTTATTAAACAAATATAAATAAATTATTCAAAGATAATTAGTTTTTCATTTCTGAATATACGTGTATAAACTATTAATGATGCATCTAGTTGATTGCTAGAAGTAGATTATGACTAAATTTTATTTTGTATGTTCAAAGATTAAAAGACACTTCTCAATAATTCAATAGCAGTTAATTGCAGCGAAATGAACGCCACATCGTACGATCTTTATTCTTCATAGAGCTCTCTTTATGTAAACATAAATATTCTATATGGACATACAATTGCTGATAAAGCCTACTGAGTAAAGCAAATAGTAGTTCAAATGAGGATACCATGGAATGATAATGCACAAACCACCGGTCAGGCTTTTAGGTACTCTAATCCATTGTTTGACAAATTAATCATAGTAAAACACTTCCAAGTTCCTTAATATTCTCACTTTACAGCAAAAATCAAGATCAAGAACGTTACCACAGAAGATAACAAACCAATAAAGCATACAATTTCTATGCTTCCAATAGATGAGCCAAACTTACTGGTCCAATTTTGCCATGCTTTTTAAGTTGGCCAACATCTGAGCAGCAGCAGATTCTCTTGCTTCCCGAGGATACGAACACAGGTTACCCCCACACGAACACTCGAAGTCTAATCCTTTCACAGCTACATTAGCTTGGAATCCACCTTCAAAGGATGCACATCATTTACATGCAAGTCATGTACATGACAATTTCTCAACATATACACATAAACAGAAACAATGGATCATTAAATTTCAGTTGATCTCATTTCTTTATATTAATTAAAAGGCATCTGTGAATGATGCATCGCATTCGCACAAATCATAACAAGATTTTAAATAATCCAGGATTCTACATCTAGATTAGACTATCTCACCATCTGATTGAGATAAACGATAAATCGGTAGGAGCCAATTATTTTCATGACATATATCATCCAGCTCCTGCAAGATTGAACAGAATTCTAACTATTCAAGTAAAAAGGAAGGGAACAGTTAACGTCTACTGCTAAGTGCCAACTAACTAGTTATGCTTGAATAAAGATGAATTATAAAACAGCTAGCATCTCTACTCATATTTCGGGTATAAATTCTGAGAAGTAAATAATCATTTTAATGCACCACAAACACCAATCAGAGGTGAATTATAAAACGGTAAAGGCCGGTCATAACATATGTTTAAACTAAACACGGTCATAAAAACTGAAATGTTAAAACTAGTAATTATCATTTCTTGCCTGGCAAGGACTTTGCATAATGAGCACTGCCTCTGTCAATCTTCTCCGCTTAATATATGGAGGTAAGCATTGATCCTCAAAGTGTTGATACCTCCTTCCTTGATTTTTTAAGCAAGTATCATTACAGCCTTCTATTATGGATTCTATCATTAATTCCAGGTCATCTTCCCCACCTACTTTTTTCAAGAAAACATAAATATGCAAGCAATAGTTTTTCATCTTTCACAGAGAAAAATTTAATGTAGATGGATAAATAAGTTTACATAAGCCAACTATTGTCCCATTCTCTAAGCCACAAAATAAATAAAAAATAATCAAAATTACAAACTGCAGAACTGAAAAGATGGTCTTTTTTTCTTTTGTCAACAAAAGATAGCTTATAATTGGTGCTATGCAATTTTGACCTTCTGGTGCAAAGGCTAAAAAGGTGGTCATTAAGACAGCATTCTCATATTGAAAATTTAAGATTCAGTTCAAGGATAGAATGATAGATTAATAAGTCAAATGATTCAACATAAGATACCTTAATGGATTTCAAATAAAAGGCTACATACCCTACTTGAGAGCTTACGGGCTTCTTTCATTAAACCATATTTTGTACCTAAAGTGCTTGTTGAATTTACAAAATCTAATAACAGAATCAAATAATTTTTAGAGGCTTTTGGTAATTGACCAGAAAATCTATCATAAGAAGAATGAAATTTAAATGCCAAGAAACACTATAAAGGTTAAAGGGAAAGAAAAAACCATACCGATAGAAGGATGCACCAGAGAAGTAAAAAATAAAAGGCCACAAGCAACAGTAAAGGAAAACATACTAGTTGACATTCTCTGAATTTTTTTATCATACAGTGCAATCTCATCTTCTATCATTCGCTGCTGAAGAGCCTGCACAAGGAAACCTTCTCTAAGATAGATGTAGAGGCAGAATTTTTTACCCTCTAGTAATAGTAGTACGCTAATCCATATATTGAAGTAACACCAGCAATAGAAGCTATGACTGTAGGTCATGTCACAGAACTGGTCTTTATTAAACTGGTGAAAACCGACAAACTGTACAAATCAGACAACAGTGATTGAACCGGCTCTGTTTAATCATTGTATAAAATGCTGAAAATATTAAGCTACGATTCATACCACGCTCCTAATGCATGTAGGCAAGCCATACTCAACTAAACCACCAAATCACCTTGCCTTGCTTACCTATATACGCATCTTTTAAATGTATGCAAAAAAGGAAGTCATGAAATTAGTATATACCAATTTAACCTTGATTAAACCGTTGAACAGCGAACCAGTACCTTCCCGTACTCAATTTAAAAACATTGCTATGGGTACATTCCAAAGTAAAAATACTCAAAATACTATTTTAAGGGTCTAAATAAGCATAGAACAAACATCTAAGTAATGAACTGTATTCTATTTCATGCATGAGGCATGGAGTTACTCCAATAAATGATGGTCACAAGCACCAAACCTATTTCACTATTTAGTTAAATTACAGATATGTAAAAACATGTATATGATCTAAATAATCATGTGTACATGATCTATGTGTGCATGCACAGCAATGAACAAGTAGGGTGAGAATGAATATGAACAATTTTGTCACTAGAAAAAGGAAAAACAGATTTTTACCAGCATGTTCCTCTTTCGTATAAGAGCATTGAGTGCAGTTTGTGTCAGTGCCTTCCCTTTTGAAGCTATAAGAGTTTGGAGCTTTTCAAGATCAGAATTGGAATTATTTGCAATCAAGGCATGTTCTTCCATGGAATCGTTTTCAAAAGAGGTTTTGGTACAAATATTTTCACAAGTAGATTGATTTTTTACTCCACCCTCAGTGATGAGCATCCTAGTTGAATCAACATTCTCATCCTGCCAAACCAATGGAGAGTGATGATTCAGAATTAGTGGCCTGTATCTGCAGGTTGTGCAATTACTAAATACTAAATAGATAGGGGAGAAATGATGAATTTCAGACTAGAGTTCATTGCTTCAAAAAGGTTAGTTTGCTTTGTTGCAGAATTATTAAATATATGCACCACATTATCATCTTTGATTTCACAGTCAAGGTACAAACCTCACATACTCAGAATTAGCAACTTTGACAAGGTGCCTCTCTTAGTCAACTTCAACATACGATAAAAAGGTACTTAAATCATATCATAATTCAAAATACTAAAAATACGCAACACTTTCAACCCTGCTAAGAACTTGTAGCTGTAGTACATTAACTGCAGTCAGATGAAGTAGCAAATAAAATAGTTAGTAAAAAGATATTTCAAACCTTGATAGGGCTTTTAGATTGATTAGAGTAATGTTGCATAGATGGATTTTCTACTTCTTGATCTTCACTGACTTGTAAAGTATCAGCAATAAGTAGGCATTCTTCTTCATTTTTAGATGGAGAAACTAGAGAGTTGTCCACATCCATATCTTGGACTTCCTTGATAGAATCAGACCATGTAACTGTACAACTTCCATTGTTCTCTTTTTTATTAACAATTTCAATAGTGTCACTGCTTGGCTTATTCGCAAGGCCAATAGGCATGCCCTCATTACTTACATGTGATTCTGTTACTTTGGGGCTGCTCACTATCAGGTTTTTCTCTGCCATCTTTGAATCTTGCAAACTATTTGAGAACGTTTCTCTACAAAAATAGAAAATATTACACAAATAGTCGTTCTTATGTTGTGGAAAGTGATGCCAAAGAAAACAACAAAGGAAAAGACCAATTATTTGAGGAACATTATATTAAGTTACCTAAGCTTCTGATCGCCCAAAATCTACTACTGCCCTTAGAACACTATAGTTAATCAATATTTCTAACTCATGAATTATGGATGGGCTCATAATCATGGTCACCAAAATTAATTTTAAATAACACAGTAGTTATACATTTAAAAAAAAAGACGTCCTAGGCTGCCTGACATATAAAACCAAGCCAAAAAGAAAAATTGATGAAACATAAATGAAAATTAGCACCACTAATGGAATATAGTATGTAAATTGTGTAAATATATTCAAAACAGTCTAATTCATGTGTTATCAAATGGATAAAGAACACCAACCTAGAAATCCACCCTGAGATTATTTCAGAATAAGGAAGCACGTGAAAGTACTCAACAACTGGAGTGATTGTCCAACTTCTAGAACTCTTTTTGACCAATGGACCTTGCAAGCTATCCGAAGAAAATTTTAAAAAAATATGTTATCCAAAAGCATGTGCAATGTGAAAAGTTCATTAACAATTCAATCTACTTCTTCATGACAACCATTTGCGTCCAAGGACAAATATCCAAGTATTAAATCTAAAATACAAGTACCACTTCAAGACCAATAAGATGGCACGTTGTTGCTGACATCATTCTATGATCTCCTATTGTATAACACTAGAACAAGAACAGAAGGCAGCCTTATGATAAATAGTAGCTACCTAAAGAAATCTTGGAAACATGAAACTAGCTATCAAAATGGATGTCAATATACCAGATACCATTCAAAATTTCATAAACTAAATCATAACTTATTTTAGAAGCAAGTGAAGTTAATTTGTACTAAGCAAAAGAAAACATTTGACTTTCCAGGGGAAAAGAGCAGATGAATCCATCTGAATGGCAGGCATATATGCCTTGAAACCAGTGTCATCAACCAATAGCAGGATATTAGCAATAAAAGTAAACCTTTCAAGCATATCTTTGATAGGAACTTGATTAAAATCCTGATTGATCAACTTGGTGCACTTCATTATATAAAAGCGTGAAGCTGTCTTCTCTTTGGTTTGAGAATACACAGTGTAGCTTTCCAATAGCATAATATCAGTCTTATTGACACCTGTATAGTGTGAGAATCATTCAATTTTTCATTAATAAAAAATCACCTGTTAAAGCAAACATTTAAGAGATAAATGATACATTAACTGACACAATAGCTTTTTAGTACAGAACAGTACCTATTAAAGAATAAGGAAAGGAGAGTAAGACCCAATATTAATTTTATTAACCTCAAAATAAATCAAATGCACGATCAAAAGTAAACAGCATAGCACTGCATACTGTCATTTTGACATCTTCAGTAGGTAAAAACATACTAGATAACGAAAAATCCTTACACGGAGAATGTCCCCTTATATGTGATGGCTAATTTTAGAATAAGTTTAATCCAAAATACAACAGTTGTAAATAATAGCTTTGGCAATCTTTCGGTACAAGGATAATTACCTGCAGCTTCCATTACAGCAGAATACCCAACTTGCAAAAATCCATCTTCATCAGCATTTAACTCATTGTTTGTAGGCTTTTTAATGAATCTTTTCTTTTTGTATGTATATTTGGCTCCACTGGTAACTTCAGAACATTGGCTGGGGATATTCACATCTTTTTCAACCACTGACCATACCCCCTCAGTGATTGAACTAAACAGCAAGAAGCAGCTCTCCTTCTTACTGTCCATTAAAAGGACAGAAACTTTTGAAATGGGCAATCCCTCAATATCAGGACTGGGTTTTGATGCATCTAAACATTTACATACAACACAAGCGTTCATGATCTTCTCCTCTGTTAATGATAGCTTCTTCTTCTCATCAATAAGCTCAGTTTCATCAGGCTTCTGCATGGAATTCATATGTGCTAATAGAGTTGGTCTCAGAACCACAGCTAACTTGCAAAATTCATCAAAAGGCAGAAAGGCAAGCTCTGGATGCTGTTTTCTGTGGTAATAGTTGTACAGTAACACAACAGAATGAACCTGACATGGATGACCCAAAAATCAAGAGTAATTAATAATGAGGCAGACAATTACTTCCCCATGTCTCTAAAAAACTATCAGTATATACTTGTGATGCTTACAATTTTTAAAACACAAGGGAATAGGGATTTGATTTTTTTAAGATTACTTTGAGACAAACACTAATACACCAGAAGGATGCCAGCCCCCAAAGCTTAAATGGAAATTTTAATTAATAAATTGAAATGCATATTTTACTAAAGTTTTAAAATATGAAAGAATAAGGCAATTTAATGCATGTTTGGATCTGCAGTGGCAGACTATGTGCACGTTACTAACCCAGAAGTTACCTTTTATTGTGTTCATTTGGATTCACATTCATGGAAAACAAACGCCAATTCAAACACACTGTCAGTTAGATTACTATTTGACTTACCACTTGTCAATATCTAAGTCAAAGACATCATATCATGACAGTTTGCAGTAGAATTGAAAACGTGTGTGGCTCTCGAGACTAGGATGGGAAATTATCACTACCACAATTATATCTTCATTATTGAGAGAGAGAGAAATGTTAAAAATACACTCTTTTTAACACAATCATAACTATTGGCTAAAATTTATTAAAAACTACAAAAATCATGTTTTACTCTTTCTCACTCGTAATTTAATGTTTCTTTCTCATACTCTTGTAATTTTCAATAAATTTTAGGCAATATTTATGAGTGAGTTGTTAAAAAGAATGTGCTAAGAGTGTGTTGTTAACGTTTATCTGAGAGATAATACTGAATGCATGCTTATCAAGGATAAATGAAAAGGATGATGGCTAAACCTTTTTTTTCTCTTTAAGCCTAATTCATCTTGAGTTAAGCAGGACAAATCTTACGTGCCAGTGAATGCAAGTTCTTCAAACATTTTAAATTTTAATATCACCCAAAAATAGAAGTAAAGTAATGTAACAATAATCAGTAGAGTAAGGAATAACTTAAACCAATATCCAAAAAAATCACCTAGGTTAATCTTCGGATTGCTATACTATAATTGTTGTACAAGAATAAAAGAGATGAATGAGGATACCTGTTTTGCAACTGATTGTTGTTGAGATAGTGAAGGATTGTCACGTATAGAATAAGGTTTTGCTGGCAGCATTGGATCAACCAAGTATTCTAGGAATGCCTTCAGTGCATCCTCAGGGGAACAAACATCTGTTGAAGCCATGTTCTACCACTGATTTTCAATTCCAGTCACCCTCGAGTTTCAGCTGTAACATACAAGATAGCATTTAAAACGCACATTACAGCTTACAGAACAAGGTTGCATTATCAGAATGTGTTAGTGCATGTGTGTGTGGTTGCCATTGGAATCTAAAGGGGAGAGAAAGAAGAAAAGGGTATAAAGAAATAGTAAGAAAAAATGCAAAAAAAATTGAAAAAGTATCACAATTTAACAAAAAGAGTCTTTGCTTCGACATGCATTGCATGCTCTACAATTCCAAAATATCCAACTTTGCCTAACCATAGTTTCAAAAATGTTTCTACATTCTCAGAACAAGTTCGTTTTTTTTTTTTTAAACCCCGAGAACACAACGACAGAAACAGGGTTTAATTGGAATTTTTGACGGAAAAGGCGCCACCTTTGAATGAAACAATGCTATGCAAGGGTGAGAAAGGGAAGAAAAGAAAAACGCTTTGTCTGTGTTGGATTCTTTTCACTGTCACTGTGCTTTGTCCAAAAGGGACAGTGACTTCTGTTCGTAACACTTGCTGGGAACCCAGATTGAAGGTTTTGGAATGTTATAAATAAATGATCAAATGCATGCAACGCTGAAGTTGAAATTATTTAGAGGGAAAAAAAAGGGTTATATGAAGAAAACTTGAAAAGGAAAATGAGAAAAAGCAATTATTGAGAGTGAAGGTCACGGGTTTTACAATTTTTTAGAGTGAGGGCAAGTTTGGGAATTGGGAAAGGAAGATTGAAATCACAATGCACAATTTCTGGGAACTGTGGACTGTGTTCATGGCAGTAACAGTCTCTTGAAGTTGGGAATTGGGATGGAACCATCGATTTATAGTTTCACAAGACACAGGAGTTTATAAAAATAAAATAATAATATACCCTCCTATATCATAATCTTTAAATTAATTTTGTAATACTATTATAAAGAAAATAAATAATATATTAATATCATAAAATATAAAAAAAACGATCAATACTTTTTTACTTACAAGAAATTTTAAAGTTATTCTTACAAAAATATAAAATAAAGTTTTAATTATGCAAATATTTTTATTAAGTTATTCCTTCTCAATTTTTAAAGATTGATTTCCAGTATACTATGATGGTTACAATAATTTATGAATAATTATGACTTAAAGTAAAATATATATAACGTTAAAAATATCATAAATTGTAATAATCTTAAATTTAATTTATTTTAAATAAGACATTTATAATTTATTGTAATGTATCAATATTTAAAATTGATATTTTTGTTAATAATAATACATATTTTATTATATTAAATAGGAATATTTTAAAAAAATAAAGCTTTTAAAACTGATCAAAAAAACTATTCAAATCAAAACATATCATCTATATCGACATAGAATACAAAATTTTATATTTAAATAATTCAACTTAAGTTTAATCAAGATTATAATAATATTTTTTAAAAATATAATATAGTATATTGAATTTAAAATAAAATAAACAAAAAATATTTTGAAAAACATTATATGTTTAAGTAAAAAAAAACTACGTAACTTGATAAAAACATAACAAATATTAAAAATACTTTGATTAAAATATAAACATTCAAACTTATAAAATAAAAATTAGATAAAATCAATATTAAATTATTGTGAGAAAGAAAATAGTGAAAAATAGTAGCATCAAACACAAGAAAAGAATGCGTTATAAACGATAAATAAAATTTTATAATTATAAATTGAAATTTTACCTAGTCAAACTGACCTCGCACGTCAATCTGAATACCGATAAGCTTCGTTCGAATGGAATTCAACGATCAGAAGATAGAAACTATGGAGTACGGACCCACCAATCATTGCACTCTCTCTCTCTCTCTCTCTCTCTCTCTTCACTCCAAAACATCAAAACAAAAATTTACTATGATGTTTGGTTTAGGGCGAATCCAAGTGTCGATGTTTGCCACAACAGCAAGAACTCATTCACCTCACTCCACTCTATCACTCACAAATGAATTGGCTCAAAGTAGTGAGTCCCTTTTGCCTCGTGATTGTGCCCTTTGTTTAGGAAGCTTAAATTAAGCATTTCATATATGTAGGTGACTCCCCTGCACATTGGAAAGAGGTTCTTAAAGGAATTCGTGAAATGAGGTGTTCTACAGATGAACAAGTAGATACTATTGATGCACTACCACCTAAGGTCTATCTCAATATCTTATTCTTAATAACGTGATTTCACACGTGAGATAAGATTGTGATTATAATATATGTACATTCCATAGCACTTCGTAGTTCTCACTTACATCATTGGGGCTTTCTATTAACTATTGTGATTATTGGCGCATTATTTTCATTTATTTTCAATATGCAGTTCATGATATGGATAAAATTACCCGCATATTTAATGGTTTTGCTTCTGTTTTTAGATTGAGTTTATTATTTATAAATAAAAAATATTAAAAGTTATAAAATTATAATAAATAATTTTTATTAGTGGTTTATCCTAGTTTATTAGTGGATAGTGAAGAAGTTAACAAAACTCTAAATTTAATTAGGAAAGAAGATTTGCTGTGCTGGCATCTTCCCTTTTATCAAGCCAAACTAAGGAGCATGTTACTCGTGGTAAGTACATATGCCAAAAAAATGTTGATCTTTTGCTTTTCCTTCTTGTTAGCTTTCATTTGTATGCACAGATTTCTTCTAAGATAATGAAGTTATAAAATCTTGCTTCCGAAACAGTTTTAATTACGTGTGTGTATTTTTAAGAATAGGAGCAACTCAACGACTTCATGAAAATAGTCTTCTTACTGCTGATGCAATCAACAAAGCTGATGAAGAAACCATCAAGAAGTTGATTTACCCTGTACGTTTGGTAGCTCTCCAAAACTATTTTCTCTTGTGATTCAAATAATCTAGATTTGGTGGCAAATGAAGGATGCTACCTCTGAAGCTTTTAGTGTTTCCTTAGTTTTCATGTTAGCATGTCAATGTCTTTTGATTTGATTCATTTTATATCTTATTAATTAAATATCTATGCTTGTATTTTCCAAGGTTGGATTTTACACAAGAAAAGCCAGTAACCTAAAGAAAATTGCAAATATTTGTCTCATTAAGTATGATGGAGACATACCTGACTCAGTTGAGGAACTACTCTTACTTCCAGGCGTAGGTCCTAAGATTGCGCATCTGGTATGTGCAAAATGCTTTTGTAATTCAAACAGTATGTTCCCTTGTTCTTTGTTAATTTTGTTAGTGGCACTATTAGGTTATGATTGTTGGATGGAACAATGTCCAAGGGATATGTGTAGATACTCATGTTCACCGCATTTGCAATCGGCTTGGATGGGTTTCGAGATCAGGCACAAAACAGGTTCCTATAAGTTTGGCTGTAGCATAGCATATCTTATGTTTCTTCACTCACTTTATGATTACATTACAAGAGTCATGTCAAGTAAGGTATTTATTACTGCATTAATTGTCTCGTAACATCTACCTATCTAGGTGCTGATATAGACAAGACAATTGTGACGTACATGCATGTAATAAGATTCATTAATGGGTAGATAAAAAAAAATTGCAAATTAGTTTCTAAGATTATCATGGGAATGTCATATCATGATTTCTCAAAGTTGCTGGACTAGAGAGTTGGTGTCAATCAGCGATTAGAAATTTGTCCTTTGCTTTCATTTCTTTTGCTAAATTGTTTCTAATGTCTTAATCGAAGGTTATTAATCCTCTTCCCTTTCTAGAAAACTTTGACACCTGAAGAAACAAGAAAAGCGTTACAACGGTGGCTTCCGAGGGAAGAATGGGTTCCAATAAATCCACTTTTGGTATGCTTAGCGCATTCCTTTTGTTGTATCCCAATAAATTCCCTAAATGGTTATACTTTGGATGCTGTCTGTTGTGTCACTCCTGCATTATTAAAAGCATTTTGTGGCTTCTTTTACACTCTATCTTACAACATTTTTTATAACAGGTAGGATTTGGACGGAAAATTTGTACTCCTCTACGGCCTCACTGTGGAGAATGTAGTGTAAGTAGGTTCTGTCCATCTGCGTACAAGGAAACTTCAAGCCCATCGTCCAAGTCCAATAAGTTTACACCAAACAAGAAGCCTTAATCAAGCTGATTAAAGTTGATCAATTAATTATAAGGTCAACATTGAACACAAGGGTTTATTTAGAGATATATGTTTTGAAGTTGATGATAAATGTGTGCAGGCTTATCTCCCACATGCAGAAAGATTATTGACAGAATCCAAACTGTTTATCCTTTTGGTCAAAATCTGAACTTGTCACCTCCACATTGCAAGACAATAAACAATTGCGTCAAGGCCTGTTCTTTTTCAAATGAGTACCTAATGACTCTTCATTGACCGTCTCATTGACATGGTCGGTGGAATTTCATAATTGACGATTCCTTTCTAGTTTTTGTATGGGAATATTCGTTTTCCATTTCTTGTTAGGTAATTAGTGGCGCAACCGACGCTTTGTGGGCCCATAATCCTCAAGTACTTGCATTAAAACTAGGCATTATGCAGAGTAGCTTCATCCATTCATTTTGTCGACCAAAAACAAATACTGGGTGGCATGTTAAGTAGTACCATACGTTGGCCCAATTTATCCAATTCGTTGGTTTTTATATATAATAAGACGTTAAATTAATGCGTGGATATGCTTGGGATAGTTAATGGACCCCATGGCCACACCTATCATAAGCTTATTCCAGTGAAGAGCTCAAACCAAAAAACAGAATTCTCTATTTCTGCAGAGCTTATATTAATTTGGCTTCCAATACTCGCACTCAATCGCCAGTAATGACAAAACCAAGACAATTTTGCACAAACAGAAATACATGACAACATAATAAGAAATAAACATCCAATTTGAATAGACTAGTACAAATTATAAAGATGACATAAAGTTGTCCTTGAATAACTATGATACTAAGCTGTTCGAGGAAGCCTGCTCTTACGCCAGATCCAATAGTTGGCTCTAATTGGATCAACTTGTTCCAAGATAGAACAAATATTTCTTGCTATATCTAGATCTTGTTCATCCATATCTGAAGTCTTTAACGTGCCAATGGCATGTATAATGTCTTGGTTTGGTTGATAACCATAGCAGATTAGATCCAAAATAGTGCTAAGAGCAAACAAATAGTTGCTCTTAGTCCTCAAAATCTTTAAACATACTGAAGAAACTTGAGGATCATTTACCCATGATGTGGTTTCACCTTTATAAAGTCCTCGCAGATATCTCCACGAGCTTTCATTCTCAGGGTAGGACAAAATGGCTTCAATGGTGTAAAGCACTTCAGACTCTCTCATAGCTTTTAGGCCCCCTAATAGAGGAGACCTTGTTATGACAAAATATCTCTGCATAAATTAATACATGTTAATTTTCTAAATTGAAAAGGAAAATGAAGAAAACATTTAAAAAATAAAATAGACTGTCAAGTTATTCTATACGAGGTAAACCCATGCTGCATCTAATAAGCCAGTACAAATGAAAAATATCAGAATATAAGGTTTTATCTTTATTGTCTTTTTCATAATTGGCAACTATTTGCGTGTGAATGAGTAATTAAACAGCAAGAAGTTGTACCTTGCCAGACACTAGACCTACATAATAAATTCCTTAAGAGCTTTAAGCACATTAATAATCCCTTTGCCCCTAGGAATGCTACGTGTTCTCAAGGAATTCGCTTCCTAAATAATTTAATGAGGCCGGAGAAGGCAAAGAGTATAAGACAGACGGTGACAAACGTGCAAGAAAATTTCTTGTGAATGCTTATAGCAGAATTAAACTCATTAAACTATATTGAAATAATTAAAGGGATTGAACCTCAAATCAATTTACTATTAGAGATCTTTTTGTTGTAAACCTAAAAGAGAATAATGACCAATGGCAGCAAATTAGCTAAAGTAAGGAAATTGACCTAAGTACTAGGAAACGGTTGCTTTTCAATTGTAATTACTAGAAAATGTAACATTAGGAACAGTGACATGAACAACATCCAGGTATATATATAGGCATTTGATTTCAATTAGTTAGGCAACAATCATACAGTCCATGCTGAATATTCGTTACCCCAAGTTGTGCCTAGACAATACCATAGTCGCATACCTGATTCCAAGCAGAATTGTTAAAAATGTCTTCTTCGAGGAGTTCAGTACAATAAGTAAGTTCATCTTCCCATCCTCCTAGTGCTTGAAGAACCCACTGTCCATACAATTAAAAAATCAATTTCATTGAGTCTCGATACTTAAACTAACACATAGAGCTCAGAGCCTCAGAATAGTATGCAAGGGCAAAATTTGTGAGAATTTTAGATTAGTAATGACAATATGAGAAACAAACCTGTCTATGAGACCATGCATGATAATGTTTGGCGTCAATAGACAGAATCTTCTTAGTGAACTCAAGCTCGTTGTTTCTAGCTTCAGGTCCTAATTTATCAGCAACCCATCGTCTATGATGCCTACAAACATCTGGCATCAAGATCAATGTGATGATGTGCGCGTAAAAAAAGTTAAATAACTCAGAAGCACTTCAATTCAGGAAAACACTACCAAAAGCGATCAATACCAAATATAACAAGCAGGAGAATCGGGGTAAAAAAAAATTGCTTCTGTGCGATCATAACACCATGTCATGTCATCATGAACATAGAAGCTTCTAGAAATGATTGGGATATAAATTGATTCTAATTTATGCGCTAAGTTTGATTCATTTTATTTTGTTATTCTATAAAACTAAGTTGATTGAAACAGGCTCTCACAAAGCATAGAGAATCACGGAACATTAGCTTCTGATAAAGAAGAAAGAGAAGAGAATCTCACCATATCTGATAATTCTTGGAATTTTCAGTGGCTATACGCTCAATAAACTCGAGTTCGCTGTGCAAGTCAACTTTGAGCGAATCAATTAATAAGCGGCGAAAATGCCACACCTGCAAGAGGAATTGGATGAATGAGAAAGAGAAAAGCGGAAAGAATGATAGAGTTTAGGAAGAGAGATACAGTGTAGTTGCCAGCGTTGAAGTGGATAGCTTCGGAGGTGAGGGAAAGGGCGCGTGGGGAACGCTCATCGGAGAGGTAAACGGCGCGAAAGTAATCCATAACTTCGATGAAGTCTTGGGTGTAATTGATTGAAACGACGGGGCTAGGGCCGTCGTTTTGGGGAATTGGAGTAACATCTGACCACTCTGCTCTCTCTCTCAGCGGCACGCGCTTCTGCTTCTCCTCTTCGCCGGAAGTCGATTCCATGCTTCCTGATTCTTCTTCACTTCACTTTACTTTACGCACTCTCTATCTTCGAATAATTTTCAGTTCTTTCGGTTTTAACCTGTCCTTATGGGCTTCCATATTTTGGCCCAATAGAGTACTTAATTAGATTTCTCTTTTAATAAATAGGAGTTATTCAATAAACTCCTAACAAAAAATATTATAAGTTTTTTCTATAAACCTTTTATGAGCTCTTTTAAACGCCTTCAAAGGTTATAAGTTATTCGTTCTCATGGTGAATTAAGCTGCACCCTTATCTTAATTTAGGTAAATTTTCTCTTCATTTTTTTAATTTAGAATCTATTTCCAAGTTTAAAGAAAAAATAAATTAAGATTAAAATAATTTGATAATTACATAAGATTTAAGTATAATGTTTTAAAGTTTTTTAATATTATTTTTAATTAAAATTTTATCTTATAATAAGTGCAATAAGTCTAAAAGTTGCACAGGTTATTGAAGTGAAATTGTAATTTTTAATTATAATTGAAGAATAACTCTAAATTATTATCCTTTAATTTTTCATGATAATTATAAGTTTTTTTAGCTTAAAAGTTAAAAATCACTTTTAAGTTAAAAAGTTATAAATATTGTGTTAGTTGCCTTGAGATTTGAAACAAAAAAAGGAGAGGAACTCCTAGTGTACTACATGATAGGTCACATTGAAATTTTATATCTATTAGGAGAGATAAATACTAAAATTCAGCTTGACCTAGTCATTTTAAAATTCAACATAAGTTAGGTATTACATGTATACCTTGAGGCTGATTTGTTCTTTAAACTCTTGTAAGCACTCGTTCAGAGATAAAGTTGGCGTTTCATTCAAATCCAACAATGCACAAAATTTAAAACAAGCTTAAAGTATTAAATGAAAATGACACACTTACAATAAACAATAATATAGTATTAAGTTAAACATAACGTTTGATTTACAATTTCAATATCTGAATTTCTTTTCCAACGAGATAAGTGTGCAAAAGAATTAAACGAGACAACTTCTCACTGAAGACATAAACTGATCTTTCAAATTCAGACCTATATTATTACTATGCTATAAGAAAATTGGAGAAATTATGAATTTTAAAAAACAAAAGAATACTTATGATTCAAAGTATAAAAATTCACTAGAAATTTCGTGTCTGATATTTGCTAAGGTGAGTCCATCAGATTTTTGAATTATTGTTCACTTGTGAAAGAACTTCCAAACATCCCTGTCAGCCAAATCCTTGACTAAATGAGCCCCAAAAATGCCCTCCTCATCTACTAGACTTCTCAGTTGTCGTACTCCATTATTGAAGCCAACATAGTGCCTCTTAGTAGGAGCTAGATATACTACCCCATATGGAGGCCTCAAGCACTGATGTCAAAAGGAAAATACAAAAGAGGAATTAAAAGTTCTGCAGTTACAATTTGAAACTCAATTTAATAATTTAGCAAAAATATAAAAGGAGAAACTTTGCACAAGGACATCAAACTTGATCATGCATCATTATAAATATACAACTGGAAACGGAATCAATTTGTTGTGCCTGATAGCACAATGACAAGTGAAAGCACCATAGCCCACAACACACACTGCAATTTCACTAAGGCTAAAACTAAATCAACAAATTTGACCCAAAAAAATCAACAAATGAAGTATGGAAGACAACTTATATCCATGCACATCACGATCAACCACTTGCCAAACTAATACATGCCACAAATGTGATGTTTAGCATTACATCAAAATACAGAAGCATATACAAGATTTTCAATGAGTATAGATAACCAAGTATAAAGGCAACAAACCTTCTTAATAAGTGTGTACAGCTTCTTCAAAGAGGTAATAGAGTATGGAATCTCTGTCATTAAAATAATATCATAGCCACCCTCTCCCTGATCTGCCTCGCTGCCTCTTTCCCATGCTCGACTTCCTGAGAGCTTCCTAGACCGTCTTGAGCAATATTCATGTCCAATGATGCTACCATCTTGGCTGCTACATCCATCCATAAAATCTTCCTCAGAGAAGCTCAAACTCATTCCAGGCGTCATTTCACATCCATCACTTTTCACAATAGACAACACAGCGGGTAACTCTTCCCAGTCCCCAGCATAAAAGTTAACCGATGGTGCTAGAGTCTGTCTTGAAGGAGTAAGGGGAGACTCTGGCTGTCTACTCTGCCTATCACGAGCTTGCTTGAGATTAGCAAGGACATTTGGTACAGTTGTGCATCTTACCGTTTCTGCATTGTGATCTTGAAAATGCACCACAGAAGCTCCCTGTAAAATAGAGCCACGTACAGGACAAGCATGTTATTTCCAATGTGAGCATTTCTTTGAATATCCAGGATAGAAGTTTACTAGTTGCCCATTATTTTCCCCAAAACACTATAAGTTTCTTGTCTTGACATGTACTTGCACCCCCGCCCCCTCTCCACCACACACGCGCACACACAAAAGAAAAGAAAAAGAAACAACACAGAGGCTTCTTGGTGGTAACACCAAGTATACATTGTAGTTCAAGTATTCAAACTACAATGAGACATCACCTACACAGTTTAAATTTCTGTCCATGTCATCAATTGCACAAACAGTTTACCAAACAGAGTTTGCATTGTGAGGAATACATCTAAACAAATGTAGGTATTCCTTCCAGCATACAAATAGAATAGTGCCAAATGAACCAGCAAAAAGAGAAGTGATACCCAATCTTAACTGTATACCTTCAAGCAAGCAAAAATTCCAGGAAGTCCATAGTTGCAACTGAGCTGCAGAATACATGAAATAGATAGATTAATAAATTATGAATAATAAATACCACAAACATGATTGAAAAAATACAGATTAAGGGAGAAGTAAAGAAAGGAAACTCATGAAGATATAGTTAATATTGTGAGCATTTGTAAAATGAGGGACGGAGGATGGAGCACAAGGAGAATTCAATACAGTCAAGAGGTAATAGCAACATTTGAATCTTGATAACACAATACCTCAAGTACTCTTTTTCCTCTAAAGGTCAGTTGCCCATCACGAATCTCATGCTTAAGAACACTAAAAAGATCAATGGAACTGGCCCAAGATTTAAGATAACCTACAAAGTCAGATAAACATATTTGATAATACCAGTCCTTTGTATTCATTGATGAGAAAACAAATTACATGTATATGGCACAGCATAATTGTTAAAAGAAATTTTCCTTGCCAAGAATCATGTCAATATTTTTCTAACTTAAATTGGGTTTTTAGGTTGCTTAAATCTCTTAAACTAATACCACACTAACCTTAGGAATTTTTCAGCTTTTGTTAATGCCTAAAATGTTTCTGTTTTAAGTACTATAACATCCTAAGATTCTCTGCTGCATTAATTCATTGAGTATGTTATTTTTAAGGAGTACTTCACTTGAAAGAAAATGGTGATTCAGAAGAAAACACCACCAATGTATTCAATGCCTACAAGTCTGAAATATATCAAGTACATACCATCAGGTTTTACGGATATTGCCTCTGAACCACTGAACCCAATGATATCAGCAACACTAACTAAACCCTGTAGGAAGTTTAAGAGATCATCTCATCAGTCCAACTATAAAACTAATTGACATACAAAAATAAGCTGTGACATTATGTTAAGCTTATTTATATGAGAATTTTTCAAAAGCAATTAAACAAGACAGTTTTAAAGCAAACATAAAAACATTAAGTTCTTGTCATGCAATATTGAAAATCCATCATGTAAAACACTTCAAAGCGCTCAACATACAACAGGAATGTAACCAAAAGGTCCTATTTCAGTATGACTTAACAGGCACATTTTGTCATCAAAGCATAATCTTTACAAGGTGAAGCCTTTCCCACGTCAATTTCAAGAGATAAACCCTACATCCCATTGTATTGATATTTACAAAATGAAAGAATAAAAATAACCTGAAATCCTTCTACTATCATTGCTTCAACAACAACACCAATCTCCCATGAAGAATTAAATATTTATTTGACAAGCCATCTGATTATCCCATCCTTCAATACACAGATTCTCTGATATTAAAGTGAAGACGTACCTTAAATTGGTCTGTATTCTCGCCAGCATCCTTGTCTGTGTGAAGCACCTGCAGAGCACGACAAATTTAAATGTGTTACACTCTTTAACCCCAACGGTTTCATGTTCGTTCCTTCTTTCTTTTCTTTGCGTGTGCGTGTGGAGTGGGTTGGTAATTTAATGAATAGTGATATAAATGGGAGTTGTACCTTTGAAGGGAGGATCTCTACAGCTGGTGATGGGAGATGAATATCTTTCTCAGGAATGGAGGATATGCTGTGACTTCCACGATCAAGGGCAACTAGACCAGGTAAACACTGTGCAAGTAATGCTGGTGCACGCATTGCAGTTGATCTTTATAACCAGTCCCCTGCAATAACTCACAAGATAAGCTACTAAATAACACACCCAAACAACAACAACAACAGATAATAATCACGAACACCAAGTGTGTTTTAGCTACAGGCTACAGCTATGTCCACGTGAGGAACTCATAATCAATCATAAACCAATAAACAAAATTATACACAGAAATAACAAAACCATCTTCATGAAAATTAGAAAAAAGGTTCAAACACAGTCTGAGGTCGTCAATTGCATACACAGAGACAACAACACACGAAGGTTTTTTTTGCCAACAAGCTGAGAATTCAAAAGAAGAGGGGAAATTTCGGGGCGGGGAAGCGAAAACACTACCCGGCGTCCAATTAATTAGGAGCTTCAAATCGAAGGCGTATGCAAATTGAAAGAGGAAAATTAAACAATACATCAGTTATTGAATTATGAAGTAAATTAAACAATAAAAGGGAGAAAAAGAGATGAAAATAATAACAAAAAAAAAAAAAGATGAAAAGAGGAAAGGGGAACAGAAAACCTGAAGAGAGAAGAGGTCAATGGCACTATGGATTTGGCGAAGAAGTGAAAAATGAAAGAAGCAAAGTTGAAAATTGTAATTTGCAAAGAAGAAAGTGCAGAAACAGAGAAGCTTCGACGTCAGAGGCCTGCAACTGCCTCAATTCCCAAAATGCCCTTTTTGTGTTTTCTGTTGAACCATTATGGGGAACGCTGCGGTCCGATCAGATCATACGCTTGTCTCTAGACTACAACCCTCTTTTCTTTTCTTTTTTTTCCCTTATTTTTTATTTAACAAAATTTAGGTATTTTTTATAAACATTCTTCAATATAATTTTTTAATCAAAATTAAAATTTCACCTTAGTAACCCAAACAATTTCACATCTAAATATTCTATCAAAATAGTTCAATAGTTGAAGCTAAATATGTGTTAATTTTTAATTAAATTTAAATATTTAAAGGTAATATTTTTATTACATAACTTTATTTTTTTAAGGTTGAATTTAAATACATTAAACTAAAAAATATAAAAAATAAAATATTATTACAATGTTTTATTTAATGTAATAAATATTTTTTATAAATTTTTTACATTAATTACATAAAAACTTATGTAGTTATGTTGACATTTAAAAAAATTAATACATTTTTAATTATTATTAGATAAAATTTATTAGATTATAAAATGGGAAGAAATTGTCTCTCTTTGTAAGAAATCTTATTCATGATTTTATTTAACATTTACCTAAATAAAAATGTGTTATTAATAATTTTCTAGTATTTTTTTATATATTTTATTACAATTAAACAAAAGATAAAAGATGTAAAATAAATAAGTAAGATATAAAAAAATAAAAGTAAAAATAATAAAATATACTGTTATAAAATAACAGATTTAACATCTATCTAAAAACAATAATAAATATTTATATATAATATTTTTTATTAAAAATTATATGATATTACAAGATTGAACATATAAATAATATGAAATATTATAATTTTCAATAAGAACATTATGAGTTGTTTTCAAAAATCAAAATATGGCAACGCGATTTTCAAGGCTACCCTGTGTAGAGATTATTAGGTATACTAACCCGGATTAAAAAGTTACTATTAAGAACTGTTTAGTCATTTAAAATTAATAAAAATATATCGCATCAGCAATAAAAAAAAAATTGACCAAAAACTTTACTCTTCTCTTATTTTCCATCATTTAGACTTGAATATTATCTTTCAATGGTCGAAAGTTAAAATCAAAGAGCGTCAAGTATAATACAATTATTGACCTGACTCATGTGTTACTTGAAAATTATTAGATAAAATTCAGTTTTATAAAACTTGAATTTCATCTATTTACTTTTTATAAGCGTTTTTTTGGTCCCATGTGCTTTTTACTTATTTGACTTAATATAAAAACTTATATAAAACTTTTTTTTGTCGTAATATATTTTAAGTAAGTAAATAATAATAAATTACAGATCTAAATATATTTATAATAATCCAAATTCATTCAACGATTGAATTTTCTATTAATTTATTTAATTATGAGTAGATGACAAAGAGTTGACCTGAAACAAGCTCGTGGAGAAGGTAAGGAACGTTCATTATATATATAAAAGAAATTGTTTCTGCTCATGAAATCCAAAACTTGTTACGATAAGCATCAAGACTATTTTTTATTAATATGATTATTTTTACAATTAAAATATAATACTTTATTATGGAGGAATCTCACCTTCCAATAAGAAAAAGTTTTGCTTACTTGTGAGATTTGAATGGGATTATGGATTAAATTAAATTATTTTCATTAATTAATTCATATGTTTTGATTTTTAAAAAGTAACACAAATTCTTTTGCCTGACCTACAAACGCGTTTTTCTCTTGCTTGACACTAAAATAGGTCAAATGTAAACGCAAAAAAGAGAAGAAAATAAACAGAGAGCGTAAGATCAGAAAATGTCATTCCCAACAAGTTAATTGCAAAATAAGATTAATAAAACAATCACCAATCACTTAATTGAACAAAGTAAGTTACGAGGTAAAAACTGATTACAATATCAGCTAAAGGTGATTCTTGTGATGAAGAAACAGTGTAACTGCATCAGCACTAGCCAAAAGTATGGCTAGTAGCCTAATTATTGGTGTTGGAACATGATGTGACCTATATCTACAATGCCTAATTACCTATTTGTTCTTCAATTAGAGGAAATACACATTTAATTAAGAAGACAAAAAAAACCTGATGCTGTTTATTTTCTAAGTTATAGTCATGCTTGCTGTTCACTAGGTTAGGAAGCTCATGTGCTTAAACTATTGGAGATATAAAATTTCATCCATCATAAAAACATCATCATTGAATTCCCAATCAAGCCCCTCATGTCCATCAAATTCCTTGAGCCCCACCAATGTCTCAATGGGAAGCTCTTGATCCAATGCAAAATATTCATTTCCCAAAGGAAGGTCTTTGTTTGAATAAATATATTCTTCATCAAGAAAAGTGTTAAGAGACAAGAGTTTGTTGTTACTCAGCACTTCTCCGCGTTTAAATGCAACTTTCTCACCTTCACATTCTAAAGGTTGTACTATCATTGCTGAACTTTTAGACCACATGCTTAACCTTGAAGTTTCAGAGTTCACACTGCATAGATCCTCATTGCATTTTTGTTCACACCCCTTTATCCTTGATGTCATTGATATAGAGTTCAAGACAAGCCCTCTCCTTGGAGAGGTACAAAATGAACTCCAAGGTTCCTCACAATTCCAATTGAATTCCTCTTCAAATGGCCAAAAAAGGGGTTGTTCGCCACTGAACTCCTCTATGTCAGCGGTTTCTAATAGATGCTCCACTGAAATATCATCTTCTGAAGAAACAGTAGAGACACAAGGAGAAAACTCAACACCCCAACTTCCCTCATTAGAAGGGCTTGAAAAACCATCCAAAACACACTCCACTTCTTGTTTTGAGTCTGAGATCCATTCGTTGTCTTCCCCTTCAAGACTAAGCAATGAGTCCCAATAACTGAGTGTGTCTATATCAGAGATCTCAGTGAAAGAATCACACTTGTAGCTAATAGGAGTTGAAGGGTTCTCAGCTGAACATCCATCAAGCTTTGAATCTGAGAGCCACTCAGAGTCTTCATCTTCGAGACTAAGTAAAGAATGCAAATAACTTGCTTTGTCCAAATCTGAGATCCCCCAGTAAGCATCACAGTCAAGTCCATCATTATCTGTTCTAATATTTGAGATATTTTTCAAACCGCGAAAAAAATTGACATTTTTTTTCAAGAGGAAGTAAGAGCTTGACACCAGGAACAACCAAAATGCCAACCACTCGTTGGCGTGAACATTTAATGAATCAAAAAAACAACTTTGGTGTTCAACAGACAGTGAAGACTGTCTCCGGTTGTTGTCTGGTGATAACTTTCTTTTGTCTATGCATCGACGAAGATCAATTTCATCCTTTTCAGTCAAACTCATTCCAGTAGCTATCATCATTAGACACTGTTACATTGGTTTAACCAAAGAAACATAAGGAAAAGACAAGAAAAAACTGAAGATATCACTCTAAAAACAACTAGAACAGACACCACCCTCAGTCAAAGGAGGATAACTCCACCACTATAATTAACGAAAAACAGACATCAAAGGAAAAATAAAGAAAAAAATGTCGATCTTACAGTTTCTTATAGTTTTTTTTGGTCAAAATTACAGTTTTATGTCGCTAGCCAGCGTCATTCCTAAATGTCGATCTTTAAGCAGAAGTCACTAAGATAAAAATGTAAGGAACTGGGTCTTAAGTTTAAGGGTTGAAAAACTTAAACCTAGTCTAAACGGCAAATTAACTAAGCATATGATACGTTGAATTAAGAAGTCACAAATAGATAAAAGAAACAAATCCAACACTCATAAATCTAAAAATTAACTGAATTATATTATCCAATAATGAACAACCTAAAAGAAGAACAAAAACACAACATCTAAGGCTCAGAAGAAACAAACACACGAAGAACGAAAATATATAACTGTCGATTACAAATTAATAAGATATGATAATTGCCAATTCAAAGAATCGAGTATGTAAGAGAAAGCAACCAATATACATAAAAATTAATAAATAGCCAACATAGGCATAGGCATAGGCACATAAAATAAAAGATAAAGAACAGTAACAAAAACGATTACCTTATATTATTTTGAGAAAAACAAACAATTCTGAAAACTAAGAGATTTGAGAGACAGAGATCTCAAAAGGGGTTTAGAGAGAAAGAAATATTGAGGAAAAGAGGTTAATATGTCATATAATATATAAGAGAAAGTGGTTATGTTGTTGGAATTGGAGTGTAACTTAAATTCTTAAGTAAAATCAAAGACATAACAAAGATGGTAATGTGTTGTTAATTAGCACCAAAACAAAAAATTAGTAACTTCGCGCGCTCACGGTAGCTTTCGCGCTTTGGACTGAAATGGTAAATATAGAAACCATTTATACGATTGCATTGCGTTCTTTCCTCTTTTTTCTGCCGTGTTGGCAATTTAATTAATAATTTTCTAAAATCTCTTAATATTTTTGATTTGTTTCCTTTTAAGTTTATTTCCACATAATAAATTAAGGAAAGTAATCATTTCTTATTTAAGAAGGTGTATATTTTCATAGGAAAAATTCTAAAATAGAGATAAGATTGGAAATAAAATAATAATAAAAGTAGTAGTAGAATAACAACTTGTTAATAAGAAAGGAAAAGAAAAAGTGAGAAAATAAAATTGATATGGGAAAGGATACCAGATAATATGAGAAAGTTAAAAAAAAGTTTCATGGTGAGTCAATAGGTTAATATTCGTTAGATATTTATAAAAAAAGAGACAGCTATACTTTATTACATATAATTTGATTAGATAGTTGCCACAATTATTATGATTGTTGTCAATTAATCCATTTTTATAAGGAAACAATTGCTGATTTTTTCTGCAAGAAAACGGGTAAGAAGCAATGGAGTGAGCAAACCTTAATACAGCCAATGCAGCTATTTAATCTAGAACACCACCATGATTTAACAAAAATAAATAAATAAAATAAATGACATATTTGCTTAAATTAACCATTTTTTGTGATCTACTAAATCCGAGGCTTCATCTTTTTCATTAGACTAACACTTCAATTAGGATATTATTTTATTTTATTTCATCTTTGGAAAAATAAACATTTAATTATATGGTGCAAAATACATTTATGTCCATTAAATTTGACATTATTATACTTTTAATTTTTTTTTACATTAATATTATTCGTGTAGTGCATATACAAAGGGACTTATTTATTGGTATTTTAAGGATATACTAGTTAAAAAATGGTAATTAAAATTTTAAAATTACATTAGTAATGTATTAAAAATTTGTCATCCTAGGGTTCTACTCAATGGTTCTTCTATGTGACAAATTTTGACCCCATTATTCTCTAGTTATTGTCACCACCCAAATGCTAATTTTCAAAATTAAATTCCGACTCAATTAAATTAAATAAAAAAATAAAACTTAAATACAGTACGTGTTTTTTTATGCCTTAAAAATGTATATTTTAAATATTTCAATTGATTAAAATTTGGATTTGTATCATTAGATAGGAATATGTGATTCCAAGTGGTTAAAACTCGAATTGCTTTTGGCGCATGAAGTAAATGATTGACAATTCAGATTTCTTCATGCCATCTATGAAGAAATTGAACTTGAGGGGAGAAAAGTTGTCCTTCTTTCGAATATTGGACCTTTTGCATATCCAGAAAAGGAAAATAAAATAAAATTTAGTTTTAAGGTGAGAGCGATATTGCTATAATTATAGTCATTAATTTTATTTTAATAAGAATGAAAGATTGTAAAAAAGAATAAAGAGATATAATTGTTTATTGAAAAATTAATAACAAATTTTTTTTAACAGTTTTCTTATTTATATATTAAATATGCAAACATTAATTTTAGTTGATAGTTTTCATTCAATGATTAAAATTATTTTTTTATAAAATTGCATTTTTTTAGTATAGAATAATTAATTTTAATCTTTCAACTCTTACAAGGATTGAATAGGGGCTAACCTCTTGCAGAGTGAAAAATTAGAGTTTAAATTTCTATTGAAAAGAGTGTGTATGTAATGTTTGACTATGTCTTGAGCATAATTATTTCTTATTAATGATGTTAATAAGAAATGAAATGATTTAACAATATCATGTCTAATAATAAAATTTTGACAGCTATAATTACTGTTATTGCTGTTATTATTATATAGTATCATTACCCTCAATAATTACTGTCATGTTTATCTTTATTATCATTATTATTTTCATTACTATAATAATTATCGTCAACACTACTTTAAAGGAGAGGTAGGTGAAGAGGGAGTGAAAAACAATGTGTAATTTGAGTTTGAAGTTTGGCATTAATTCAAATATGAAAACTAAAATTCACCATATCTAAATATTTATTTTAGTTTAGTGTATTATTGCTCTACCTTTATTATCAAAACGGACATACTTATTATCAAAAGCCATTTTGAATGCCGCAAACTGAAAAACAAGCATGTATAGAATATTAGTTTAGTGTATTATTGCTCTACCTTTATTTTTCTTTTTACCAAAATACATTATTACTAAACCTATATAATCTGCATAGCTAAAACACTCTTTAAAAGCTTTGGATGAAAACACAATTAGTTAATCTGATAAAAGAAATTCTAGTAAATTATTGTTTTCAAACTCAAAATACTTTTTTTAACACAATTATGTTTATTAAAATTTAAATTTAAGAATAATTTTTACCCATTAATTCACATTCTCTCTAAAAAAATAATTTTATTTAGTATGCAAAATTGATGCTCTTTAGGAAAAAAAAATAAAAGAACTTCTTTAATTATAATAAAGTGTTCAAGACCACGAGAAAGCACATATTCCACTTGCATGTTCTTTCTCAGTGCTTGTATATGACATGTTGAGAGGACATGCATGCACGTGTGCTTGCACACACAATGAATTGTTGTACATATGCATGAACGTGTTTGGATTTTTACTTTACTTTTTTTTTTGCCATAGACAAACTGAGGGGCCAAGTAGCAGCACGTGACCAAATTGGTCAGAGATACAGTGGATTTGGGTCCCTTAATACTTTCCCCCCAAACATGGTATAGCAGCCAGGTACATATAACCTTGGAACATTTCCCTTCAACATGTCCTACAACACCCGTCTCAATCCAATCCATATTCCATAGCTCTATTTCCCTGCTTTCTCATTTCATCACATCAAACCAATTCTAACCCATGATGGCTCTAGCAAGTTTCATAGATCAGACATACCTTTGTCTCGCAATTTCAGTACTACTGGTTTTGTATGTGATTCTACTGGCCTTGGATTCCCCATGGAGCAACCAAGGAGTTTCTTTGTTGTTGCAAGATCGCAGCTTTCCAGTTCTCACAGAAAGTACCTTAACGTTACTCAATAACTCAGAAAAGAGAATTTGATCAAGCTATGGATTTGAGATATGCCCCAGATACATCATACATGTATCGGCACACTCTTTTCTTCTCCCTATCTTTGTTTAATTACGTATTTTCTGTAATTAAAAAAGGGTCGCCAATATCTCAATTTCAGTTTTGAACGACTTAATTATCTGTATATTTATGTATTTTTTTTATCTAATTGACTTGTTAATTATCTGACTGTGCATGTGTAACCAGTCAAGATTCCGATCAGTTCTTTCTACAATCATACATAAATAGTAGGTCAGGGTATATGCCTATTCATTTTTTGTTTAATAAAACATTTTTAGTTACCATTTATCACTACCAAAATAATAATGAACCCCTTTACGTCATTACATTTTAACATACGATATCTTCAACTAAGCAATTGCTTTGTAAGAGTGTGATAATGATGGAACAATAAGGAAGTAACTGCATTGGCGATCACACAAGTAACACGTATTTCGACAGAGATCTCTGTTGGAATTACATTCTCAATTTTTCTTTTTTGGTCAACAAAATTTCAATAGTTAGAACTACTTAAAATTAGATCAAAATATAGGACCATTTGGATGCAACCCATAAAAAACCTATTAGTGCTAAAGGAAATTGCTCAAAAATTTATTTTGATTTGGAAGTACAATAGACAAATACGCCAATCAAAACTTAAAATGTTCAAAATTTTTGCATTCTCTCAAGTATAATTTACAATAACCTTAGCAAAGACGTGCTGCCAGCTGTCACTAATACTCTTATCATTGAAGATCGTTAGATTATTACATTTTCATTGTGGGTCCATCATCTATGCTACAAGTATTTTTTTTTGCTACCACAGATATTTATCTATTAGGTAGGCTGAAAAAACAACTACCAATGATTGGCTGCATATTTTGATTTTGTAATTTTGTGAAGAATGATGCAGGGGTGTTGCTACGAGGAAATTCAAATGGAGAGCGATTTACCACCATGGCAACCCATGATCACGGGGTGACAGACGACAAGACTAAGCCTAGCACAAGTTTGTCCAACTAAAGGTACTTGTTAATGCAGCGAAGACTAACAAATTTCAGGTGTAAAGTGACTCTCCCGCACCAAAATGGCTTAGGAGTGAGAAATTATAATTTACTGCACGCACGCAGGTTTATATACCTCTAAATATCAGGTTTATTTTTTACGCTTACCCTTTGTTTGGTAGGGTGAAAGGACAATGAGAGAAAGAAAAAAAAATGAAGTTTAAACTGAATACTACAACAAAGGAGAAAATTAAACTTTTGTTTCAACTCATTTTTTCTCTTCACCTTTCCTTTCTCTTTTCCTTCAACTAAACAAACAAAAATACATTGTTATTCATATTTTCCTTTATTTTCCATATTATCTAAACAAAGCAATAATTTAAAAGGACACGTCAAACATCCAATAAGACCCAGCCAAATTCTCAATCAAGCCACAAAGTTCACAAGTGCTATAAATATCGAGCGATAATAGCATGGTATTTGTAAGAGTCCTTATTCGTCGTGACCTTATTTAAATGGAAACTACCCCCAACTTATACACAACTGATTCAAGGTAACTTAAAGAAGCTGCAAAGAGATTTACTAGAAGAAATCAGGACACAAACAAGCACATTTGTGTTCATCTCCAGCATGTGCTGTATATGATATTCAGTTACAGAAGCCTGTTGCATAAACCCCATACGTAAATTTTCAGATAAAACACTATATACATTAAATTGGGATGTATTCAATAGGAGTGCAAGGAGGATAACCTTTCTTACGTGACTTAACCCCCTTTCACATTAAATAGCCTTACAAAAAGGAGCCAGCATATAAGTATAAGTAATAACTCCATTTCAGCTTTTGGTGCGCATTGGCCTTGGGCAGAAGACACGTGTTTATAAGGTGAGGATCTAAGTTTCATCGGCGCGGTTGATTGCACATTTGGCATGTGGTGGCAGCCTTGATATTTGCATAGGTACACTGTTCACAAGACCAATGATTATCATCAGTCGTTCTGCTGGACATGCTTCCTCGCATAGTTCCCTTTCCTCTTCCACCCCTCCCCTTGCTGCTCCCTGCAGCATTTTTTGAACTCGTTGCTTTGCTGGAAGCAGCTCCATTGCTATCCACATCAGATAAACCATTCTCTAATGCCCTAACCAAATTCTCAAAGTAGTTTCTGGTCACACTGCCAAAACAAATGGATTAGAAAACCAAACCACACAATCTGGGCAAGATTGTTACTGATGTCAAACCTACTATTTGATCATATAACTAGCTGCATGCTGAAATTTATAAGCTACCCTTGATTTCAATTTTTATTCAATGTGAAACTAGGAAATTCACATTGAAAGACAGAACAAACACATAATAAGAAATCAATAAATAGTATTTTTTATTAAAATTTATAACATTTAATGTTATTGTGTGATTCTCAATGCATTGAATTTTGTGATTTTCATTAAAACTTACAATATATAAATTCTTATTTTTGTTTTTGAGCACTCACTAAAAAGACCATAATTCAAAATAAGATGTTCAAACACAACCAATCTAAGTCAAACTCCAATCAGAATCCAACAAAATCATAAATAAATAAATAAAAAGAAAGTTGCAAGTAATACTGAACAAAGCAGGAAAATCTACCTGGTCAATCCAGCCAGTTTAGTGCGAAAATCATTGAATTCTCTAGATGGGCCATCAGCAGTGAGGAATAGTTGTAGCTCCTTTTCAGCACATTGATGAAGTCTCTCCAACCCAGATTCCGCCTCACCTGTTGGGGGAAAAAAGTATAATTTGTAGAGGTACCGCCACATATGCAAGACAATTCTAAGGAAATTCAAGTTGACATATAAAACCTTGTAAGTACTCAAAGAACTGTTTTTTAGCATGTTCATACTCAGGCAAATAGTACCCATACGCATATGTCCACTTCAGCACCCGCCTGCATTCTACTATCTGCCAGCATGAAACAGAAATTAGGAAGCGCAGTCAAAAACATTCTCATCATATGACTAGCTTCAGAAAATCTTTCAATCAACAGCAACTTCATTTGTGCCTTAGGGAACAGGGTTACAAAAAAAAGCTATTCACAGTCCCAAAACACATGAAAGCCTCATTAAATTTATAAATTTTACAACTTAATATACCAACCCAAAAACTATAAAATATTCATTACCTGTAACCACGCCTCGGTTATGAACTTAAGCTGTGACTCAGGCTGACACTGTGTGTCACTAAGCTTCTCAAGCTGCCAACGGAAAAAAGGGAAGATTAGTGGGACGATTTTACAATTCCTAAGAGCATATATGAAGCTCTACTTAGAAGCAAAAAAAGCCCAAGCAATACACCAAAAGGTATTATTTGGTCTTGTCCTTTGGGTTTGAGAGCATCTAAAGTAACACACACTTGAGGTGAATTAATCAAAAGACTATGAAAGAAGCGGGAGGGGAAAAAAAAAGGATTTGCATCTACAAGACTAAGACTTTGCCCAGGCATTTTAGTCAGTTTAATTATACAACGAAAAAATCTTTCCAATGTTCAATTCTTTATAATAATGTGAAATTTATTATCTGGTATAAATTTGAGTGAACACAAAACACACAAAAATGTATGTGTAACATACATGAACAGTTTGCATCTGGTGTAGATCTGCAAGAGCTTTTTGCCTTGACTGCAAGAGAAAAAAAGAAAATTAATCATTCAGCTTTACACCATAAGAATTCTAGCAAACTATAGGAATTTGGAAATTAAGAAAATCAGACATATATGATAATGCACAGGAAAAAGTATGGAGTGGTGCATACAGATTGGTTGCTGGCCCACCGCTCATAATAATGTGTGTACCTCTCCAACGAATTCTTTGCCATTTCTCTTCTTCTTTCAGTTTCATCATACTACATGCAACAAGATTTAGTCCGTAAGATATTATCAAAATATGTCAGGGGAATAATGGGCTAATGGTAGCCTGAATCCTGAATCACGAGTAGTTAAGTATTTCTATGCCCCTTACCACTCCCTCTTGTTTAGCTGCTTCATAACGATTGCAAGCATAGAAACCACCAGTCCTTTCACCGTGGTCTGACCATGCACCGAGGCATAGCCTAGGTAGATAAAAAAATATATATTAAGTATTAACTTCAGTAGATATCAATATAATTTCAAGCTATTTGAAAATAAGGTGAGCCATTAGCCATGTTAAGGGTGCAAGTTAAAAGTATCATTCATTCCAAATTAAGAAAATAACCCCACAATTTACATTATACCAACCCTCTACAAAAATAATAATTGCTAAGGGGAAGAAAGGAAAAGAGGAAGCATGCAAAACAATCATGAAAAAAAAAGAAACATACCAGCAAAATTCAAATTTACATGGTGGAGTACATGTCATATGCATGCACCCTTGATTTTTTTCAATTGGTCGCTTGCACTTGGGACATGGCTTTGAGTTAGCAAGTATCCTGAAAGTCATTAAATTAACAGTTAGTACAGGGCCTCAATTCCCAAAAAAAAGGTGGCAATATAGCAGTGTATATAATGGACAAGGGTTATCAAATCACAATTCAGAACCAGAAATCAAGAGGCAAATTTTGGAATTGTGAATCATAAATTGTATCAAATCATAAAATGCAGGGACAAAATGAAAAATAGCTTCAAATTTTTGGTCATGCGTTGACCACAACTTAAACATGAATCTCACAGAACAAATATCATAAAATATAAGTCATCGTTGAAATTATGAAGATTTGGTAGGAAAGGAAGAAAAGTGAAAAATGTAAATAGTTTGAAATTCATATTGATTTGATGTGAAAGATGTGATCTGAAATACAAAATACCAATCCTTATTCATACTTGTACTAGGCTCTTAAACCTAATCAAATCAAATAAGAAACAAATCACAGAATATTAGAAAATATGAAAATTGATCCTAAGGGATCAACCAAGATACTATAAAATATTTTAAGATAAATTGATATTGAGATATTTTTTTCATATACTCTTAGCTCTCAAAGCTTGTAAGTAACAAACTAAGTGGTCCAAAGTTTGTATAGAGCAGAGCAATACAAGAATATTCCATGAATTAAGAACTGATTAAGTAAAATTGTCAATATAGGATTTAACTTGATATAAGTATACAAATCTAGGTAATGTTTCAACTAAGTTTCTCCATTAAAAGAGTGAGTTTTAAACACTTGCAGATCATTCATTCACTAGTTTTGTTATGTATAATCATCCCAAAGGAATAACTATTTGCCATATATAGGAAAGTTATAAGCAATCAAGTAACTTTAAAACTGTTTTCCAGTTTGACTCTAGTATTATCTTTCACCATCAAGACCATGTCTAGGGCCATACTTAATCCTTTGTTCACACATAGTCAAACATCCACTGCAACAAAACCACATTTCTTGACACATCCTAGATCCTACATTGCTCCAACAGGAGGAGGTATATTTTGCATTAATACACAGATATGAATACACATATAAGAAGGCATTGATAGTGGCCTTAAGCCACTGAACTCTAGTCATAAAAACAGTGAACTCGTCAGCCTTGACATAAAGTAGGCATCAAAGACTATAATTTCCATTGACAACTAAAGAAGGGACAATCACTGCATTGCAGCAGACACAAGATCATGTCCCAAATAAATATAGGCAAGAAATATTATCCAAAGATGTCAAAGCACATTCCGTACCAGTTCATGTTTTCTGATTCTGCACTGTTTTTCAAAATCCATTTTGCCACAGTGCCACAGTCCACTGGACGGTGAGCCTCCTCAGTGCACTGCAAATCCAAAAACACATCATTAAGCAGAACATGTACATTCTAGAATGCAATGCTATAACAATCTACAACAACCCATATGCAACTTACATTCCAGCAAAAGCAATAAGAACAGAGGCAAGATACATCATAGTTTCCACTGCCAGCATCAAAAGTAACTGCATACTCACAACCTGGAGCAGGACACCACTTGGTCTACATAAAACAGATATCAGAATAAATAAGATAATTATGACAGTAAAAAATTTAAATAGAAAAACAAGATCAAAAAATAAAAGTATGAAATTCCATCTATAGCCATTCAAATTAATAATGATTAAAATAAGGGTAAAGTAACATCAATTGTTAACTAATGGGCCATTCATCATGCGATTTAGGAATTCAATCCCATGTGTAGCCAGATGACAATACCCTGGCTAACACTCAAATCAATAACGTGTAAAGAATTATGAATCCATAAATTGGGGTAAATTTGTCAAAATATAGATAAAAGATTGCAATTGGCAGGACAAAAAAAAGTATAGATTCCTTTACTATTATTATAAATGCCGAAATTCAATATCTACAATATACCTTTTTATTGTCTTCAATATAAGACCTAAGAAGGTAGCGGTCATACTTCTCTTTATCTTCATCAGATGCTAAAAGGTTAATCATATCTTGACCAACAGCAGCACCACAAGTGGGATCAGGACACCTCAGCACCAAACATCCCGGACCATCACTGATTGATGTGCCAATATATCCTAGCATGACAAAAAGGATAGAAAACATTATTTAACAAAAAAAGAAGAGAACAAAAGGATAGGATATTGACGGATACATGTATTGGGACTATAACATCTACCAACAAAAGAAAAAATATGCATGGGAACACTGGCTTCAGGATGTGCTAAGCATGTCCAAAAAGCATAATTTCATAATGATGTCCAGACAGCATCTGTGGCCACCAAAGGATGTAAGGAAGGCACATGAATAATACCTGCCCAGCATGAATAGCAGTAAGGATGGCCACAAGCAGCAGATTCAATCCTAGCACGAGGATAATTCTCAAAACAGATGCCGCAAGTAAGCTGACCACAAGGGGGGAGAAATGAAAATAAGTGAATTGGTGGAGTTTAAATGGAGCCCAAGCAGCGTAAGACTAGAAAAATCGATATCATTAGTTCATCTGTTTTAAAACCCAAACAACCAAAACTCACCTCTCTACTATTAGAATTCTGGAAAATTGGCTTTTCCAACAAACCAACTGCTTTTCGGACTTTATCTTCATCCGCAAACCAAGCATCATGCACTTTACTAACACTCCTGCATCACCAACTCATCTCTCCTTCAGTACATGAGTATACAATAAAGAGCCAAAACCTTACATATCATACAAGGCGGCATCAAAATATATACACACCAAACAGAGATGACAAATTAACCAGTACAAGGTTGGAAGCTAACAAAATTACCAATTGTAGTGACGAAGAAGTATGCTTGCAGAAACTCGTGGAATGGAAAGAACTGTTGCTACTCTAGTGATGTCATCTTCCTGCCTTTGCCGGATATCCGATTCCCTCAATATGGTAAAATTTTGCTGCAATCCAATCAGGGATCCATCAATCAAAGAGGCATAATATGATTGCAGAAAGAAATGAAGAAACACGCGAGCCCATAGGTCTTGAACGGGAAATTATTGCACCCATATCCATAAGATACCAAAAGTTTCCGTACTATATTTGTTCATCTTTTATTTAAACAGAAAGAGCAAGAAAGAAAGAATAACGACCATCTTCACCATTTAAACCAAAACCAACCTCCTCTCAGGATAACGACTGGTTCCAATAAACGATTACTTATCAAGATCAATTGAACACATCTCCTTGTCCTACCAACCACGCACACTAACATACTTCAAAAATTATTAAAAAGCAACCATGTAAAGCTTCAAAACTAGCCCTTCTATATTTATACATCGATGCTTGAGTGCAGCAAAATCCTTCACCGCGTGAGTCCAATTAGCCCCTTTCATTCAATTCTTCGGAGTTTGCAAAAGCAGGCAACATTCCCAGCTCAACAATACATTGAATACAAATTGAGACAGCGATACGCAGAGAGGAACGGAGTGAGAATCGAAGAGACCTACCTCCGGGCGACGAGACTCAATCCGGTCGGAATCGTCGGCATCGTCGAAGTAATCATCGGCTTCGTCATCGTAGTCGCTGTAGTAATCCATGGGAGCATCCTCTGTCTCGCCACTGTAGAAATCGTCATCAAGAGACTCAACATCGTTTGCGTCGTGCATATCATCTTCGGAATCCATGAGAACCCTAGAGGGTGGTTGGGTTGGGATAGAAATTCCGGTGCGATCGAAGGGATTTAAAGACGGTGCTGCGGTGGGGTCGAGAAAATCTAGGGCACAGCAACGAGAATTAGGAATCGGAAGCAGAAGAAGAAGAAGACGACGACGATGGAAGGAAGAGGAGGAAAAGGTGTGTGTTGCTTTATGGTTTTTTCTTCGATCCTTTCTCGTCCTAACTAACCAGAGCTTTGCAAATTGGAATAATAATAATAATATGATAAAATATAAATTTGCCTTTTATTTATTTATTTATTTAAATTATAGTGATAATATACAAGATGGAGTGAGATTGTGGCAGGTGGAAGAGGAATTAATACGCAGAAACAGGAACGCGAGGAAAGGGGTTTTTAAAGTGAGCTACCTAAATTACACTCATTTTATATGTATATTAACTATTCTATTTTCTAATTTCTAAATTACATCCTACATTTTTTAATTTTGTTCATATAAAACTGCTATTTTCCCAATCAAGATTAAAGTCTTTTTAATCAAAAGTAAAATGATTAAATAAAATAAATTGTGACCGTTAAAAAGTTGCATCTTATTGAAAATGCAAAAGTTAATTTAAAATATGTTAATGATGATCTTTAATGTGAATTTTATTATTATTTTAAAAGAAGGAGATAGAGATTCTGATCATAAAACTTCTATTGCATCCAATATCAATCAAAATTTCAATAAAATAATGAGAATATCGCAAAATATTCCTTCTTCTTTGTACCCGTAAAAAGCTTCTTTTTTAAAAAACTTAAATCCTCTTACAATTCCCACCTGTTAATCTTCTTATTTATCATATATTTCTTTTTATTTGATACTTTCTTTGTATAAAAATAAATACATAAATAAGATGATTTACAAAAGGAAATAACATTACTTTCTTTTGACTTGTCTACCGAGAAAACCTAGCTACCCAACAAGAGTTGGTAAAAAATAGAAACTTGTATATGAATGAACCCTAATTGATTGATTGTATACAGTTTATCATTTCTTTATTTCATTGCATTTGGTTCGAGTCACAGAGACAATTCCAAGTTGTCCGCAGCGATCAATCGCAAAAGCAAAAAAGAATCAATGGTGCTGTTGTTGTACCATGACACAAAACTTGCGGCACGTATGCAAGCTAGGTATAGAAAGGGATCATCAAAGTTGGTATTCCAAGAGAATTAAAACTGATCGAATTAATTGATTTAAATCTTGAACTTGAAGATGCAACTGGGATAAATTCGTTTGATGCAAGAATCAAAACAAATGCCATAGTAATAAGTTGAAGTTTTCCATTATTTGAAAGCATATATGATATATGGTCCATTTGTGATAAATGTGTGCCAGTGTTGAAACTTGAATGGCTCAAGTTGATGTTGCTTTATATAATGGAATGCTTTCAGGTGTCTTTGTCGTATCAAATAGCATTAATAGTTAACAAATATTGCTTGATCCTTTGATAAAAATGGTTTTTATCTGTGGGTGCTGGAAACATTAGACAAGCTTTTGTTTCATTTGAGCATATGAAAAATGATATATGTTTGGGTGGGTAAACATGTCTAAGAATGGAATTAACGGGTTTATTATTGTTAAGATGAGTAATCAAAATCTTGAATGAAATTTTATCTTCGACACATAAATTGAGTATTAACATAAGATTGTGGCAAGGACTAGAATTCCTCTCATGACATCCAAAGGCTAAACAAGCGTGTTAATGACACCTTCTTTGCCATATTAACATCTTTTTGACTTTCTCAATTATAAGACTGCAGCAGAAAGGTGTTAGTGTACCTGCTTTACTAGACCACCTTATTTTCTTCACTAGCTCGTTGCCATTATGTTTTCTGATATTGTCTAGAGTTCATAAACAATTGCATTTTTAACCATACAGGGCATGTTTGGTTATATAGTTTTGAATTAACTGTTAAATCTGAGGATTAAACTCGGTGATATTAAATTAAACTAGACAAGTGAAATTTTGATTAAAACAGTGTTCATAATTGATCATTACATGACCAAACTTTTCACACAGTTGACATCAAAGCCTAGATTGCTTTGAACCAAAATCAAAAGCTAGCTAGTAAGTACCGATATACTTTTAAAAAAGTAGTCATATATGTGTCATATTGTGTCCAACAAGTTTTCATATCAAATACCTCTACTTAAATTTTTTTATTTTGTTACTTTTTGAACTTTATATCAATAGAGATTGATGAAAATAATATAATAATTATATCGATGATGTCAATTTATCATGTCTAAAACTAACCATGCTAGAGTTATTATTATTTCTTTAATATTATGTTTTTATTTTTATTTTACTAGTTTTATGTATTATATTAACCCCCCCCCCAAGCAATGTCTTATAATTTTGTTAAAAAATTTATTGTATTTCAGTATCCATATTCTGTCACATTTGTATTCCATATAGTATTCATCTTCTTGATTAAGAGTATGTTGATGTCAAATATGTCTTCCATAGCTTCTTTCACCTCTCGTTCTTGTGTTATAATTTTTGTGTTACATTTATAATATTAGTGGTTATAATTTTTGTGTTATATTTATAATTAGCAAAACCGTAATTTTATAGCATGTTTGGCAAGTGGTTTGCAACTTTGACTTCCAAAAAAAGTAGTAAAGGTGCATTTATTTGAAAAACAAGCAATTGGCAGAGCAGGTTCTTTAACTCCTAGACAGTAGTTTGCCTTTGTTGCTTCTTATAAATCAATGTTTCTAAAATTAGATTGATTGTTAAATGGGTCAACATGTATTGATTTATTATTGACTTTAATTTTGGTCAAATTACTATTAAATTATTCACAGTAAAAGTAAAAAAAAGTATTAAAAATAAAATATTTACTATAGAAGAAATAAAAATAATAAATATTTTATTTTCAATAAAAGTTTATTATTAGTGTGACTGACGTTCAATTCCAATGTTGAAGTTTACAAAAAAAAAATCTAAAATTAAAGTTAATACTTTTTATCTCTTAAAAATATTTTTATTTATCTATTATTTTGAAATTATAAATTAGCATTAATTTTCACTTTCTTAATTATAACCTTGTGAGTAAAGGGCAGAAATTGATATATCAAATGTCATGAAAGAAACAAAATAATATATTATAAAATAACAAGCAATTTTGACTCAAATGATAATATTAATTATATTTCTCACTTTATATACTATAATTTTAAATAATAGAATTAAAAATTAAAAACAGATACATATTAATAAATTATAGTATTTATTTACAATCAAATAATAAAATCTAACAAGAAGAGCTTTTGTAATATCAAGTTTGAGTCTCAGATATTAAAAATTTAAAAATAGAATTTTATCGTCTTTTAAATAAAATTAATTTTATAAAAAGTATACTTGGTTTAAAAAAATAATAAAACTTAATAATAAATATTAAATATTATATCAATCAATAATTAATATTTTATTTTTAACACGTGTTTTTAAATATATATTGAAAAAATGGTTGATAAAAAAACAACTCAAAAGTTAATTTTCACTGTATTTATCTTCGATTCTTGTATCTTATTTCATGATTAAATTTAATATTTTATTTTTAACACCCCAAAAGAGTAATCGAATAATATTTATTTAGGAGCATATTAGCTGGAGAATGAGTGTATAGTATAATCATGTGGAATTGTGCAATCAGCTACAAAATTTGCAACTGCATTCATTTTTTAATACAAAAAGGTTCATTCATCTGAAATTTTGTCAAGTGAGAGACCAGTTTCTTTGACTCTAACACAGCAGTTTGCCCTTTATTGCTTCTTACTAATGGGGCAACCATCATTGTCACTTTTTTTATTTTAAATTAACGTGGCACTCATCAAATCAATCCCATAAAACTTTATCATAAGTCATTAAATTCATTTATTTGCCTAATCACTTTAGTATTATAAAAAAAGCCATGCTATTTCAAGGCTATCAAACGTTAATTTAATAAAAAAATTGAATATTTAATATGGCTTCACATTATTTTATTAAATGACCAAGCTAAAAAGTTTTCTGTTGTTTTGTATGTAATCTTCTTGTAACGTCTATTTTAATAGAAGAAAAATGCTAGTGTTCATAATACACCTGTTAACTTTGATGTTTCTTCAGCTAACTAACCTAAGGACTGAAGACTATGCCCAATATTTTTGGTGTCAACAAACATTGATGATTTGACTCTTGAAGTAACGCTTCCCTTCATTCTTAAATAGAAAACGTACATAATTAACTAATGTTCCAAAATATAATTAAAAATATATAAGATTTTTTTTTATAATATAAGTATTACGTGTGTATTAATGGTGTTTTCAACTAAATAAAATTTTAATTTCTCAATCAATATCATAAGAGTATTTGTTAACATTTTTTTCAGAGTTTTACGAATATATATTTTTTAGAGTTACACAAAAATATATTCAAAATTGCGGTAAAGATGCGTTGATAATTTTTGATATGTTTTAACTGGTAGGTTATATAATAATTAACATTTATTATTATTTTTTAACATGTTTCAATAACGCATGATACAGAAACATTAAACATATCTTATAAAAATAATAGTTGAATTTTTTTGTATAATAATTTATTTTTTCTTTTTAAGGTGTGCATTTTATTTGTTAAAAAAGCACATTCGAATCGACAAATCTCGTATTACCAGATTGACGATATTTATTCACTTAATTGCCAAGAAATCAACAAATACCAGTAAGATCAATTGGTTCAGTCAATTATCACAAGCATTGTAGATTCTGCTACTCACATCACACTGAAACGATGATGTAACGCAATAATCTATGTCCTTTAAGGTAGAGAATGTCCCATTTTGCAATTACCAAGGATTCAGGTATCGTTGTTGGGAGACACCACAGATGCCATGCAATCTGCGTTTAGGAGTTTGACATGCACTTAACTTAGCTACATACATTACAATATCTATCTAAGGCCCCAAACACGTATAGCACGAAACACAACCCCTAACGGTTAATCGAAGTGTAGCTGCTCATAGTACACGGCTTTTAATTTTCACCTACAGTTACACTAACCCACACATTACAAAAAGCACACACTCTTCACTTAAATTACATAACTGACCCTGTTGATTAAATTTTGTTCACGCTTTACAGAGACAGATATAAATATAAATAATAATACCCCTCAGTGTACAGAGTCACAGACCAAAGAGCCAATAGACAAATATCTATTAACTCTCTCTCTCTCTCTCTCTCTCTCTCTCTCTCTATATCTGTATCCCTACTCCGCCTCTGTTTCATTTGGCCGGTTGTTTCTTAAAAGCCACACTCTTCAAAGTTCAAACTCGTTGTTGTAAGGCCAACCCTTAATTTACTCCATGTTTCATTAACTGGGTATTGGTTTTTTCTTCCTCGGATCATACTGTTTTTTTTCGGTCTTTTTGAAATTTTTATGTTTTTCAGCTTTTCACTGTTAGAATCTACTTGCTTCCCAATAAATAACTCGCTCTGGGTGTTACTTATTCTAGAGTTCTTCTTTTGAGCGCTTTAGCAGATTCCATTCCTAGAGTCTCATGCTGGATATGTCAACCCAGTTATCCTCATTTCTGGTGAGTTTTTTTTTTAGCTGAATTTGGATTAGAATAAGCGTTTGTTTTTTTTCTCTCCCAGTTTTGGAATCAGTATTTTTCGATTTATGGGTTTCGAAAGTTTGAGGTGATTCTGTGGATTTCGATCATTGCCAGTTCTCTCCAATTAAAAGCTTATTGCTTTTTGTGGTTTATTATGAATCTTCCTGTGATTATTTATGTTTAGATTTGAAGCTTATTTTGTTAGTTGATTCGCAATTTCATTGAATCGCCAATTTCTCTTGTTGTGTTCTTATATGCCCTAATCTTTTTTTTTTTTTTGGTTGTGTGGGTTTTGGGAAGATGCATCTCCGTTACCTAGCTTTTTGCATTTTGTAAAACTAGTATTAAGTTTTATTTTCTATTCTGCAGTGCCCAAAATTTAAGTATTCTGTATTCGGGTTGTCTTACTGAAAAATCAAACCCTGAAAAATAGAAATACAGTTTACTGGTTTACTCTAGGTTAAAAAAAGGGTGCAAGTACAATTGGGAAGGAAAACTATTTTTAATGGGAGACGGTATTTCGTCTTAGGGTTTTTTAGCCCAGCAACAGATCATAGCTATGATATTATTTCAGATCAGGTTTTCATTTTGTAATGCTCCAGAAGAGATTTTTACGGTTGAGTTTGTGCAAGCCTTTTTTTTAGTCAATACATGCTGGATTCTGCATTTGTTTGTGGGGTACTTGGCTTTACCTCTTTAACACTGTTTATGAAGCCACTCCAACCTGTGTGGTTGGATTCATGTTAGAAGATTTGCAAACGTGGAGAAATTACAACTAGTAGCGTTGTAAACAAACAATAAGCAGACTAAGAATCCTATACTGTATCAATTGATTAGTTTATTGTGTGCCCTTTTCTTGCAGTTTGCATGATCAACTATTTTCTGAGGATTTTAAGACCATGGGTAGAGGTAGAGGAAAGGGTAAAAAGTTAACTGTCTCCAATCATGACGATCCTGCAAGTGGTGAAGATGAAAAAGTTCCCATGCAAAAGAGGAGAGGGAGGCCACAGAAACCGCTAAAGGATGACTTTGATGAAGAAGAAGTTGTTGAAAAAATAGAAGACGCCAGCAACAATGTTAAGAATGGAATCTCTAACAAAGAAATGAAAAGTCCAACTGCAACAGAGAATGGAAGGAAAAGGAAGCGAAACTCCCAGGTAAAAGAGAAATTAGATTCAGTTGAGGAAGAAAATGGAAATGGAAATGGATCAAGCACCACTGATGAGTTGACAACAAAGTCCAATGGATTTAGGCATAATGGAAGCAGGCGTAAAAGCACTCCTCGTCGTGCTGCTGAAGCAGGTGTGCAGTGCAAGTAAGATTAGTAAAAGTTGTGCAATAGCTTTCTTCCTTTTTCATTTACCAGTTAAAATCATGAGATAGGAAGTGAGGCGTAGTATCATTTCTTTATTTTATTTACTTTTTTTGTTTTTGTCCTTATTTTTATTTTCCTTTTTCTGGGTGGGACTGGTTTGAGGGGTTCCATTTGGTGATTCCCTATCATTAATTCCTTCTTCTTTTTTTTTTCAATTTCAATCATGAATTTGAGAATTTACAATGCTGACTGTTGTTTTATAATGCTATAACACTTTGAATTTACATCTTTTTCATTTTATCTTCTTACTTAATTCAAGTTTTCTAAGAAAAGATTAATATTCTTTAATTTCTGTTATGACCATGCCTTCTATGCTACCTCTTCTTTCACCAACAGTGTATCTCAAGGTCCCATGAATGAAATTATGCATATGCTTCTAATTATAAGTTTGGTGACAGTGAATTACTCAAGTTTTTACCTTGTTTTGTGTATTAACCTCTTTTGTCTTGTACCTGTTGAAGTTTGAGTTGTCGAAATTATCTTTTGCAGTACCTGTTGTTCCCCCCTCCCCTCCCAAAGTTTAAAAGGTCTTTCTACTCTCTAAAGCTTCAAAGATAAAAGGAAAATTCACATGACACTGAATCTGAAGTCTTTTTTTAAGAATGAGGTAATGGGCCTTGCATGGCATTTTTCAGAAGGATTTAGCACTCTACTTATATACTTAAGGCTACTTGAAGTTTTAAGAAGTCCACATTAATGAAAATGAAATTACGTGCTTAAAAAGTCTTATCATACGCCAACTAGACTGTGGTAAACTTCTTCAGAAGTAGCTTAATTTCTTAGAGCAATTTAATGTTCTGCTAATGCTTGTTTTACGCGTGCACTAGTTCTATAAGATTTGTATGTTCTCTTATGCAGTGTGTATGCATATTTGTTATTGAGTTTATTTGCTTTCTTTTTGTAAACAAAGAGGCATATTAACCCAAAGTTGTCCAGTGAAATTATTGTATGGATAACACAATGTTGGAAATAAGACGATTCTTTGCTGTATTTTAATTCGAAATAACACAATGTTGTCCAATGATTATGAAGCAAATACACTTTCATTCTCTTGGGAGGAATAAATAGGACCCAATTTGTATCCAAGTTTGCGTGTGAAATGAACTCAACTCATGGATTTGCATTTGCATTAGAAGACATCGACCAGTTATTCTGTCTTAATCTCTGTGGGTTAACCCTTTTGCATTGGATCGGACCCGTGCTTTTGGAACTTATGTTCATCTTTTCTTTTGTTGGACCTGAGGAAATGCCACAATACCACAAGTTAGCAAACAAATGATAAAAATTATTACTACTTTTAGTCTATATTTTAGTTGAGCATTGCTATTTAGTACGAATTTATACGAATACATGTGTATGAATATTATTGGTTAAATGAGTAACCATTCATACGTTTTGTCAAATTATTTTTTGTACTAAACATTATTTCCGATTCTAATTTATGTGCAACTTTTGTCTTCTGATACTAACTGTTTAAATAATCCTAATAATTTTTCCGATTAGTAAACTTGAATTTCTCATCCCACATTCATTCAATAATTAACTATGTAATGAAAGTATGACATAACATTTATTTATGTAAAATTTTAAAAGAAAAAGTAATAACAATCTTTTTTGGTTTTTGTATTCAAATTTTGTTAAGCATTTGTTTTTCTTTGTCAATTTATAAAAAATAATGTCATGCCAAACCTCTTTGACATTCTCATTGATTATTGGATGAAAATTGAGGTGAGAAATTTGATTTTAACAAATAAAATAGTTAAAGGTGCAAATGTGAATAACTAAAACTAAAAATTAAAATTCAACATTATTAAAGTATGGGACTGAAGTATAACTAAGCCATTTTATTTATAGAATTGTCACTTGGATTCATAGGCAATAGGGTGTTAAGAAACATGACCGTGTAAATATTTTTATTTGTTGCAAAGTACGATTTATACACTAGGCCCATGATGAATTGGGCTGGGTCCAAATATTGTGATTAGGTATCTTAAATTGCAGGGATAGTGGGCCATGTTCTTCCATCTCCTTATCCCTCGGCATTGCCGTGTTACTGTGTAGTGGGCCTCTTGATGGGCCTTTATGTTGTTTGTCTTGTTAAGTTTAATGTTGAGTATAGAGGAAGATAAAGCTTTCTAACGACCAAAAATTAACATAAGGCTTTCTTTTTTCAAAAATAAAAAATTATTTTACGTAACGACAAGAACTCTATTTAGCTCAAAATTTACGTGACACGCCCATGTTAGTCAAATAATGATATTAATAAAAAATATATATATTTGACTCCTGATAAAATTGAGTGAATTTTATCATGCATGAATACAAAATATTAAGAGTTTCAATTAAATCTTAAAATATTATCAAATTTTTAATGTGTTTTGAAAAAGACAATAAAAAATTTTACAAAATTATATTTTGATTAAAAATTACATACATTAAAAGAATTGAATATTATTAGCAAAAATGCCAAACTGTCCATTTCTTGAATTGAGGGAATGGGATGAGGAGAGGGTTTTGAAGTTTGAACATTGGGTTGCGTCAATCTCCAAGTCACTATGATCATCTCTTGTGTTTATCTACCCACATTTCAACATAAGAACGACGACTCCACTGTCACAAATGTTCTGCATGCAATGGATCAACCACCATTCAACGCCTTCTCCACGTTTCTACCACACTTAATCGGAGATACCTTCACCCATAAATATCCACGTCTCTCTCTCTGTTACTGCAATTTTATTCGGTGGTCCTGAAGACAAAAATTAATATGCTGAATTTTCATGTTTTGTAGATCAAAACAATTACTCTAATTATCTTTCTTAATTGTAACGTATAATAAATACTTTAAAATAAAAAAATAAATGCTTAATAGTAATCTTAATTAAGAACGAATATTAATCAAATTATTATATTAATTCTATAAGTTATTCTTTTAACTTCATTACTCACCCATCAAACTTTGTTTTTTTTTTTTGGGTAAATTACATTTTACTCTTTTGTTGCTTTATATTTTTTCTATCAACTGTGAGAAGTAAAGTGATACAAAAGTAATTGAAATAAATAAATAAATAAAAGAGAATTTAATGATATAAAAAATAAATTAAAAAAAATGGAAACTTACATTCATTAGGTGTAATGTACACCTTTCTTCCCCCTCTTAAATGCTTAACTTACATTCATTAAATGGTGAATCCACACGCAGACAAAATAAAGGACAGAAGCAATGCAGATATCCCTATTGATAAATATCACCGGTACAAGGTATGATTCAAACAATGACATTAAATTAAACCCAAACAAGAAAAATGGTGATAATTAGTAGTTGCTAGTTATTAACAAAAATATCTGAAAATAAACTTTGTTCCAATTAACATGAACAATGTGTTAATGGGCCTTAGCTATCAAGTAAATACTTGTTTTAGGAATTTAGTTAGTGAAAATGAAAATTCAATAGACTTCTTATAGTAATTTCTTTTAAAAATTTCGTATTTCTTTTAGGATTATGAAGAATATGAATTTGGATGCATTCGGATTCTCCATCTCTTGGTCTAGAATATCTTTACTCTTATTTTTCATGATCTTAGATAGGTATGGAAAATTTAATAAAAGATAACCATTAATTATTATTATTATGTGGTGACAATATATGAATATTAAAATTATATAAAATTTTAGAATACACTCTATTTGTACGATGGAAAGGTAATTCACTAGTCGCTCCAATCATGTCACAAGAGAACAAAAATGTAATTCAATGAACCCTACACGAATTCTGATAAATTTCAATCACTGTTTACCACGCAAACAGTGGACAACAGACAAGTGAAGATAGTCTCTTTTTTTTAATATATTTCTCATTCCAATCCTTTTCACATGGACTTCAATAATCAGATCCTAATAAAAACAGTAATTTCATCTATCAACTTTTGACATATTAAACCTAAATATATAAGTAAATTTGAATTTAAAATTATAAAAATAAAATTATTTTTCAATAAAATTAAATATAATTGAGTTTATATTTTTAAAAGTATAGAAATAAATAATATAAAACATAAAAACTTACCATTTTTATTTATATCTTTTTTCTAAAGTAAAATGAGTGCATTTATGCAACCTTACACATATGTATGTCCACTGTAGTATATCAAGATTAATTAACACACTTTTGATTAAAAATTATTAAAACACACAAAATATTATTTAAAAATAAAAAGGTCAAAATTCATGCAATTTTAATAAATTTTTAAAAAATTAAAGTTACCTATTGTTTATTGTTGTTTTCTTTAAAAAAAGCACCTCTACTAGAAAACGTGCAATCTGATTTTCAGTCAAATGGTCGACCAAACAAAAAATTTGGAAACTTCCTATAAAAAATTAAAAGGAATTAGTCATTAAAGTAAAAGATTTTGTGTTAATTAAAATATGGGTCATATAATAAATCTAACAACTCTCATCTCGTTCGTGCAAACGTGATTCACAAATTTTTTGTGATCTGCATGAAAAGCTTTCACCCTTAGTAATTGACATGGGAAAACTCAAAAAAGTACTTCCTAAAATGACTTTTACAAAACTTTTTCTATTTTTTTTCCCAAACACGGTATCTAATTTGGTCCCAGTCTCATGTAATATCCATATTTTAAAGCAAATAAAGAAAATCCAACCCTTTTTTTTGGGTGTGACAGAGACAGTCCACCTTACCCATTAATAATAGGGTTTATCTCTGATTATTGCATTTCCATATTATAACCACCATTATAATGTGAGTGTTTGATAATTAATTTCAGCTAATTTATAACTGTTTGATAACATAATTTAACTAAAATAAAAATATCTGATAATTAGATTTTTTTAAATTTATCATTTTTAATAATATTCAAAATAACGTTTAAATACATATAGTTTATTATTAATTTTAGTTTTGTTCTTAATATTTTAATAAAACTTTTTATTTGTTGTCTTAATTAGATCACAAATACTTTTTGTGATCTTCAGCTTTTAACAAACTTGTAGCATTTTAGCTAATTTACGAGGAGTTATTTTCTTCTTACATGATATTAATTTTTATTAAAATTTTATTTTTAATATAATCATAAATTAATTTTTTATAATTCATTTCTTAGTCTATTTCTATGTATTAAACGTGAGTCCTCATTTTTAAATGAGAACATTAACAACTTTACAAATTATTATTATATTTTTATTATGTTAAGTGACTATTTTTGCATTTATCATTTTTTAAAATTTATTTGAATTGAAATTTTAAATTTAATGTTGTTTAATATGGATGCTTTTGAAAATTTAAGCATGCACAACTAAGAATGAACACAACGCCGGCATTATAATTAATTAAATATTTTTTAAATAAGTCATTATTAAACAGTCTTTTCATTATTTTAATTTTTCATCCAGTTCCTCTAAGTATTGCAATATTTTTTATTTGGTTCCTTTAAATATTATAAAATTTTTATTTTGTTCTTATTTGTATCTGCATAATAAATTTATATATTTTATACTTTCAAAATAAAAATAAAAATAAAAATAAATTAATTAATAAAAGGCAGTATAGTCAATGTCTTTTCCTCGTGGGTTGAATTTAAATAAGCCTAGTGACGTTCTTTATTCTTTTTATACGTTAACTCGTGACATTTTAAAAAATAATTCATTAAGTATGTTTGACAAAACTATCGGACATAAATTAGCTAAAAATTGAAAAATGTTAAAAGTTTAATTGAAAGTGTTTGACAAAATTATCTATTAAGTTAACTGATAAATATAAAGTGATAAATAAGAACATCATATGTAAGTAGACCAGAATTTATGATTTAATTATTATATATTTTAACAAAAATATTTTTATATTTTATTTTATTTAAAACTATTTAATATTCTCAATTTAAGATAATAATTTTATAATTTCATTATCTTTTATAAATAATTTTAGCTGAAAATGAAAAATGCTAGCATGAATAGTATCAATAACTACCTACTCTAGTTTGCGTTTTAAAAAAAAACAAACTTTTCAACTAGTAAAATAAGTTTTCCATTAACTTAAATATTTTATAAAATACATTTTTATGAAATATTTTAAATTTAATTTTTATATTTAAATTTATTTTTTATTATATTTTTTTGAGTTAATTTTTTATTATCTGATTATAAATATTCTTTTTTTTGTAATTTCATAAACTTTATATATCTTCTTCACATCCTTTTTTAAATTTCCTATAACATTAAATCATCAATATTGTGACTATACATTCAGTTATATTATTTAATTTAATTTCATTTAATAAAATCACTTAATATTTTGTATTATTTAAAGTGTACTTTCGCATTAGAAGAGTTCGATGCTAAATTGTAACACCATAACGAATGTTACAAACACTATAATCCAAATTACTTAAAAATATATATTAACAGCAAACAATCAATTTCGACTAATAATTGCAAGAAAACAAAATGATAAAATTTTAAATAAAAAAGCTTCCTTTTAAAAATAAATAAAAAATGGAAGCATTCGTTTGGCATGTGGCAACAAATATTAGTTTAAACATACCTTCACTGGCCAAAAACAGGAGACCTTGAAAGAGCAAAGAAATTAATATTAAAAATTAAATCTGCCCCGTTTTTCTTGCACTCGGGACGTAGAAAAGGACAAACGGAACGGACACCATATTTGAAAAGTATCGATTTGGATACAAGTACGTATAAACTGGTTTAATTTAATTGAAAATTTAAAGAATAAAAAATCATTTTATTGAATTTAAATTAAATTTTAAAATCAGTCAAATCTAATCCAAGTTGAACACACGTATATACAACTTTAATTATGAAGTTAACTATTCACTTCTGTAATTATTTGTTTTTAAATAATAATATTTTCATTTTTTATATTTTAAATTATATCTTTTTGTTATTTTAAAGACTATATATTGTTACTTTAATAAATTAATTTAAAGTCATTTTATGTCTCGTATTTTTATCTATCAATATAAAAAAATTATATTATATATCCGATACCTATTTATAACATGAATATCATATTATTATGTAAATAAATATATTATATTTAAAAGAGTAAGTAAAACAATTTATTTATTATTATTCACGTAAATTAAAGATAAGATAAAAAACTAAATGATCTAATCCAATCTAAAAAACTATTAATCATATCTTAATATTTGAATTTAAAATTTGATTATCAAAACTTAACAGCAAACACGGCACGGCGGGTCCATAATATCACACGTATAACGTTGAAGCTATAGATATTGAGTTTCTGATGCTTATAAAAGGCACGTCTTAGCACAAAGGTTATGCATTAAGCAGAGTCCTCAATCTTCATTCATTCACATGACATGGCACACAAAGCGTTTTTACTATTCGGCCTCTTCACTGTTGTTTTCACGTTACCATCGATCACTTTTGCAGAAGCACTTGCGCCTATTCTCGACGTTGCTTCACTCAATCGGAGCAGCTTTCCGGCAGGCTTTGTTTTTGGGACAGCATCTGCGGCGTACCAGGTGGGTGTGTGGGTGTGTGTGTGTTACTCTTCTCACACACTGCATTAACATCAAATCATAAAATCGTTTAAGCATGTTTGTAAATGATTCATACTAAAAGTTATAATTAGTTGTCTTGAATCTATGTGCATTCTAATATGAACCTAAATACGCAATAAAATACCTTTTTTTAACGTTGATTAAGAGCTTGAATGTTTTACACTCATAATTAATTATCTATTAAGTAGAATTTATGTTATTTTAATATTATTATTTATAATTTTTATACTAATTTATGTTTATAAAATTTTTAATGTATATACACACACACATTCTATTTATGTTTACAATTATATTAATTTGAACATTTCTTTCAATGATTGAAAACTAATTTTTTTAAACTTTAAATTGGATAGAAGTTAAAAGGTCACTGATTTAAATTTTGATAAACAATAAATAAATATATGGTTACAGATGTGTAGATTTATAAGAATTTACCCCTTGTAGTTTATTTTAGGAACTAAATCCTTTTACTTTGAGGATCTAAAAGTCCTAGTAAGATCAACCACATCTCAGTTTGAAAGACCTTTGTGCGAATCTGCTAGCAGTGATTAATGTTCAAACCAGCCTGTTCGTTTTGTTTTCCAAAACTCAAAAGCAATTTTTTAATCCAACGTACATAACTCACTGGTCTAATGTACAATGATTTTTTAATGTTGTCTGTATCATTACTCGTCTTATGCGGTTGCTGTCATGAATGCTTTGTTAGTTTGGTTTGAGCTTCAGCTATCGATACCTTCATATATACTCATAAAAATATAACATTTATAATTTTTTTAAAATAAAGAATCAAAGATGGTGGCACCTTTCCAATTGCTGAAATATTCCACTTAACCTTCTCATGACGAATCTTTAAGATTTTAACCCAACCCGACGTGAAGTCGAACCAAGTTCATTAATGATTTTGTTGTGTTTCTGGTAATTGATATGCACAGTACGAAGGTGCATATAGAGAGGGTGGCAGAGGACCAAGTATATGGGATACTTTCACCCATAAATATCCAGGTAACTCTTTGTTTCTTCTCTAACATATTCTATCAAGTATAAGAAACAAGAAAGGAAAGCACTTTACCTGTTTTTCTTTCTCTCACAATTATTAACAAAAAAAGAAGCAGGAGTAAGCTGTTCTATTTTTATTTTAATTTTGTCATTTTGCTTTTTATTGATTTGGTATATTCCCTTAATTAGCTTATAATTCATCATAGCCTATCTAATCCCCTCTGGCAATATAATATAATTTTTTGTAAGGTAGGTTTGGTTTAAATTTTTAATATTAATAATTATAAAAAAGTTGACACTAACCGCAAAGTTTAGAGTTATCATTTTGCTGTGTTGCGTGTATAACTTATTAATGCATGAAATAAATATATTGCAAACAGTCAAAATTCGATGGTTCGTTATTCTTATAGATATGAGATGTGTGTATTTGTATTTTTTTTTTTCATATTTTTAAATAAAATTACGATTATTAAAAAATTATAGTAAAATTATAAATTGTACTGTAGTTTTAAACATAAAAAAACTACCGTAATTGATAATTAATGAAACAAAAAATGTTTAACCTGCAGATAAGATACAGGATAGAAGCAATGGAGATGTAGCAAATGACGAATATCACCACTACAAGGTACGATTCAAACATGATGACAGGGAATCCCAACAAAATATCTTCCTCCTTTAAAAGAATTATTAATTGACATATATAATATCCATGTTAATCCCAACAAAATTGACCAGCAACTGCCGTAAACGGTAAACTACAGTAAAAAAATAATCAAAAGAAAACTTAATATATACCTTGGAAATTTCAATTGTTTCTTTAGTTTTTAATAATCTTTTTCTGCCATTCGTTGTACTTGTATATCACAGGAAGATGTTGGGATTATGAAATATATGAACCTGGACGCGTACAGATTCTCTATCGCTTGGTCAAGAATCCTTCCAAGTGAGTTAAATATCTTTGCTCAATTAAGTTTTCTAATGAACTTAGGTATATATGCATGTTTCGTGTTAATCATTTCAATTTTTTTATAAACTATTTACAGAAGGAAAGCTTAGCGGAGGTATAAACAAAGAAGGTGTCAAATACTACAACAATCTCATCAACGAGCTGTTGGCTAACGGTCAAAATTCTTACTTTGTTTTCTTGAATTTTTTCATTGACGTGGATTTTAATATTTCGTCGGACACGTGATAACATGTCATATGTAATTTATTAAATATTAATGTCGCAGGTCTACAACCATTTGTGACTCTTTTCCATTGGGACCTTCCCCAAGCTTTGGAAGACCAGTATGGTGGCTTCTTGAGCCCTCACATAGTGTGAGTGAGATAATTTTTATTTTTTTTATTCAGATGGTATAACTATTACAATTACATATATGACTGCAAATGTATACGAGATAATCCTTTTTCAACAGAAAAAACTACTCCATTTAAGACTATATTAACCTTAATTTACTTCTTCTTTTTTTTTGCTAATTAAATTAATTTATTTCTTATGGAAAGTGACATCATTTTTTTTATAAATATCATCAATGTGGTCCTTTAATAACAGTAAAATAATACTGCAATTTCTCAACTAACACTTCAAGGACCGAAACAAATATTGTTTTATAATGAATCAATAAAAATGAACATGAGTCCAACAAGCATGGATAATGTACCAATAAATCATACTTATTTGATACTGAGTTACAAACCAACAATCCCGAAAGTTCAACCTCAGACAAAGGCATATAGGAGAAACTAGTTAACTAGATGTATTAAAGATAAACGTTTTCTCTCCTTTTCACTATCTTTATACTATTTATCAATATAAAAATTTGACTCTTGTGTATCATGCAAAATCATAATCCATGATTACTTTTCAGAAATGATTTTCAAGACTATGCGGAGCTTTGTTTCAAAGAATTTGGAGATAGGGTGAAACATTGGATTACTTTAAATGAGCCATGGTCTTTCAGTAATTCTGGCTATGCAACTGGGTCGCTTGCACCAGGTCGATGTTCAAAATGGCTGAATCCAAATTGCACCGGTGGTGATTCGGGGAAAGAGCCTTATTTGGTTACACATCACCAACTTCTTGCTCATGCAGGAGCTGTTAAAGTGTATAGAGAGAAGTATAAGGTATACTTTTATAACATTGATGAGAACTTTAAAAGCTTTTAAGTTTGATAGACTTCAATATCGTTTGTAAGGGTCTTAATTTACTTTGGTTATCACTATTACCCAAAATCCGAGAAATTCACGCAGGTATCTCAAAAAGGAGTGATAGGCATAACCCTGGTGTCTCATTGGTTTGTGCCATTTTCAGATAACAAATTAGATAAAGAAGCTGCCGAACGAGCAATTGATTTCATGTTTGGATGGTAAGATTTTAGCTCTAAATTAGAATATATTCTCCAAATAAACGTAGGCTAGCTAGAGTCACGAATTATGATAAACAGATAATTTTCATTTGTGACAATGATTACAGGTTTATGGAACCATTGACAAGAGGATACTATCCACAAAGCATGCGTTCCTTAGTTGGTAAACGATTGCCGCGGTTTTCTAAAAACCAAGCCAAGCTTATCAAGGGCTCATTTGATTTTATTGGACTAAACTATTACACCACTAACTATGCTGCCAATGCACCTCAACTAAGCAACGCTAGACCCAATTACCTTACAGATTCTCTTGCAAATCTTACAAGTAAGGACACCTTTATCTATTAGTTCTCTGAATTACACATGTTGAATTTGATAACAACATGTCTTTTGTTTTTGTGCGGGTAGCTGAACGCAACGGGATTCCTATAGGTCCAATGGTACGTATTTGGTCCCATCAAACTATATATAGCCACATATATCATTATAAATTTGTTTGGTTATACATATAACTTCAATTTGTGATTATATTCGTAGGCTGCTTCTACTTGGTTATATGTATATCCCAGAGGAATTAGAGAACTGTTGCTCTACACCCAAAATAAGTACAACAATCCTTTGATTTTCATCACAGAAAATGGTAATTATACCAAACATCATTTTTATTATCCTTGAATTATCTGTTGTAAAGTAAATATAATTAAAAGACTCCTAAGAATATAGAAGAATTTTATATACAAAGTTCCATATTTGCATGCAAATTTTCTTCTGACGTGTTACTGTGAATTGCTCTTAATAAATTTGTAGGTGTTGATGAGTTCAATGATCCAACGTTGTCACTTGAGGAAGCCCTTCTAGATACCTTTAGAGTTGACTATTATTATCGTCATCTCTTTTATCTTCGATCAGCAATTAGGCAAGTAAATAATTTTTTACATACTTGAAATATTTGTTTTTTTAAATCTCATTTAATTTTATTTTGTTGACTTTATTAGGGACGGCGTAAACGTAAAAGGATATTTTGCATGGTCATTGCTGGACAATTTTGAATGGTCTAATGGTTATACAGTACGGTTTGGAATAAACTTTGTGAATTACACAACTCTGGAGCGATATCCAAAGCTCTCGGCAAAATGGTTCAAGAATTTTTTAAGAAAATATTAGACTTTATATACCATATCGTTTCAATAAATATTGTAGTCAGACAACTTTGAAAAGGATATTATATTCCTTTAATTTTTCTGTCTTTATGATATTTGTCTCTTATAAAGTGAATGGTGTCTTTTAGAAAATAAAGTGTGAATTATAATTATTGTTGATTACAAATTTAACATTTAAGATTGTAATAAAATACACGCATAGGTATAATAAATTACAAAGTTGTTAAAATCTTAATCTTTAATAATTTAGCTTCAAAGTTTATCCTTTGAAGCACGCTCGTTTTGTTTTAGAGCAGTCAAATCTTTCTTTGCCGCAATTTGGATGTGGGCAAGTTTTTGTATGCAATTTATTTTATAAAAAGTTTACCCTGTCTTTTTGAAGGTATTACAGTAGGACTTGTAATTCTACTACGTATAATAAGATAGAAACAAGAAGTTGTCAATGAGAAACTAGTTAAGCAGATCTTGTATACACAACTATATTGTAAAGAGTTATTGAAAGCACTTTATTGTAGAATTAGAGACTATCAATATAGCTTTTGCAGTTATGATTTAGTTAATTTTCTTTTATCTGTCATTTAATCAATTAAATTCATTTTTGTTCAAAAGAAAACAAAAGTTTATTTGAAAAGGAAAGATGTCAAAGCTCTTATCTATGGAATTCGCTAGACATTTGTCGTATATTCTAAATTATTTGATGTTAATATGGCCCAAATTAATGTGTATTGTAACATTAGGCTCGGTGATGTTTCATCTTCTCCCCTATTAATTTATCATCAAGGGAATATTTAATTTTATGTCTTCAAAATTATGTAATACGTTTCTTGTAAATTTTGATTAATTTAATTCTTGTTATAATTTTATATTGGTTTGTTATTCAATATAATGCATAACATTTTTACAAATATATTTAATTGTCATTAGTTTAATTGTGGTTCAACCATCATTGAAAAATGAATAGTGAATCTATTTATTATCAGTTCAATCATTACTCTGATTTCAAAAAAATTTATTTGATAGTGTACCAAGATTCAATAAAAAAATTTTAAATTAGTGTTTAAAAAAATTAAATACTTAATATGAAAGAACAAATGTAGTTTAAGGAGTAAGAGAAAAAGTTTAATTTGAATATATTTTCAAATAAATATTTATACAATAAGAAAATAAAAATTATATCAATTTTTTTATAAATTAAAATTAAATTATGGACATCCATTTTTTTTATCTATTTTTAAAAATATTGATCTACATAAGTTATTTAAAGTTATTAAAAATATATAATTCATTTTATTTTTTATAAATATTTAATCAAAATATCCACAGTTCCTGAAATATTCTTATTTAAATAAGAAATTAAGTTTATAATAAAAGAATAAAATATATTGTATATATTGGGATATCTTTTAAATGAATGAACACTCAAACAACAATAACTTTCGTTTAAATTCAACCAATGATCAAATCATGCAAATGAATTTATTAAATTTAGAAAGTTTAATGAAAAAAATGAATTCCATTCTTAAACGACGGAATTGACACGAACGTATCTTTCAAGCACTTAATTAAACTATAGCTCTTATGCTAAACCACACAAATCTTATCTTGTCTATCCAAATGCAAATCAAAAATTTAATGCAGAGACAGAGGAAAAACAGTACGTAACTGAGAAAGTTGAATAAATAGGAAAACCTTACATACAATTAAAAGCTCATGTATATAAACCTAATTGGCAATTATTTTTTAAGCAACAGTAAATAATCATTACTTATGTAAGAATAATACGTAAGTAACTAGCAATCATCTATGGTTTATCATGTAAATGAAAAAATAAAGTTCGTATAAATCAATTTATTCCATGTAAAAGAAAAATGACCCACAATTTTTAAGAGTGGAATTAGAGGTTTCACTCATGTTTAATTAGAGGTTTCATATATTTTTTAAATCATATCTCACCTCATAGCTTAAAAGTGTGCCTTTTTTATAAATAAAATATATTTTTAAACCTATACTAACACGTGATTTCAATCAATAATATGATGTTTTACGTAACATGTGAGGTAATGTGAGTGACATCATGAGAGAGAAGTGTAACTATTAATGGTAATAAAAAGGATATTTTTCTTGATAAAAAGGGCAGCATCCAATTGTTCTTTTGATCGGAAGCATCTTTCACCACACGATATGGCATGCAACCCTTTTTCACTTTTCCCTCTCTTCGCTCTTCTTAGCACATTACCTTCAATTGCTTTTGCAGAAGCTGTTGCGCCTATTCTCGACGTTGCTTCACTCAATCGAACCACTTTTCCTCCAGGTTTCATTTTTGGGGCAGGATCCGCATCCTACCAGGTACACCTGCATCTACACTACATCACACCAATCTATACAAATCCTTTCAAATGCAGTGTCTGTGATTATTCGAATATGAAACTCTGGTGAAATAACAGCACTACATGCTTAATATTCTCGACAATTTTTTTTAATAAACCTTCCATCTTTAATAATTATCAAAGAAGATGATGATTCATTAAAGATTTTGTTGTGGCAATGATATGTATACTATATACAGTACGAAGGTGCAGCAAAAGAAGGTGGCAAAGGAGCAAGTATATGGGATACCTTCACCCATACATATCCTGGTATTTTTTCTGTCTTTCCTTTTCTTATATTCTTTGTTATCGTTGTTTATTTACTCAACTAAGATTTGTCTAATCCTTGTTCGCATATAAAAATTAAATTAAATTGGTTTGCTTTATATATTTTATTAAAATAATTTTAAAAAGTTATTTAAAAATGAATTACAATTGTTTTTAAAATAAAAATATAACCATGCTTTTTTAATTTTATACAACATACATTTAGAATCAGTTATTGCTTTCTATATAAAAAAAAAATACACAATTGTTAATACTCCTCTAACTGAGCTTTATACATAATTGAAGATGAATTTGATTCGTATTGAATTTAAGATGTATTTTAGTGAACATATGTATCTATTTAATAAAATATAAAGCTAATATATTAACTATTTATTATATTTTACACTTATGATATTTTTTTACAGTAAAAAAAACTATTAGTTACGGAAGCCTGCTTATCTTCAATAATAGAGAGAACATGTTTGAATAGTATAACTAAAAAATCTTACATTGATTAAAAATAATATATATATATATATATATATATATATATATATATATATGGACATGAAGTCTAAAAATACTCAATTTGAACCTTTCATTTGACTTAAGTCTAATAGGTTATAATTTATTACTTCACTGACTATTAGATTTAAGTTAAATGAAATACTCAGATTAAGTGTAAAAGTTTTTAAATTTATACTAGTGTAAGAAGATACTTCTCCATATATATATATATATATATATATATATATAAAAAGATTTAATATAAATATAAAAATTCTTACACTTATCTTAGTCTTTTATTTAACTTATATCTAATAGTCACTAAAGTAAGTTAAACATAAATTAAATAACAAAATTTAATAATTTTTAAAATTATACTAGTATAAGAAAATTTTGGTTATAAATATATATATATAATTAATTTAAATATTGTAAATAAAATTATAATCTCAAATTCGAGCCTTTAATAATAATAACAGTAATAAACACTATTTTCAATAGGATAAGACTTGGATCCAACTTGTTCATTCACAAAATTCAGAGGGGCAAGAACCAACCTTTTCCCTAATATATAATACCTCCAATAGTTGCTTTTTGCATGACAGCAGCATTTCAACTACAATCTACGCTAACCTTTAATTTTTATTCAATAAGGAATGAGTTACATATATAAAAAATTATTACAATTATGTAAGAATATTGTTCAAGGACATTTCATAAATCACACTATTTTTATTATTCTTTATTTTAAAATTCCTTCAAATACCTGCTCGTTATAATATGATAATCATAAATTCAAGTTATTATATATTGAAACAATATAATTATTTCCTGATGATAAAAACATTAAAAATAGTTTTAGTAAACCGTCATTTTCATTGTGGTTGTCAAATTCTTTTATTTACAAAGTCAATTTAATAGAAAAATATTGCATTAAATAAACAATAATTTATTAAGAATAATAATAATTTTATCGCGTATTATTTTCAAAAATAAATTTAATAAAATAAGAATATTAGTTATTTTTAGTTTTTTTATAGAAAAGTTTAAAGTCATAGATAAAAGAAAAAGTGAAACAACAGTATTTTTTCTGTGTTTTCTTTTCCTCGAGGGTAACGGTGTTGACGTATTTGTCAATTGTCCCCTTAGGAGAGAACAATAATCTTATTAAAGATGTTAATCATGCACGGCGATGTGATTAAAATCACAAATCATGATTACATAATGCATAGTGTATTTTGAATGAATTTAAAAAGAACAACTATTTATTTATTAAAAAATATAATAAATTTATTCAAAACGAATAATTATTTAGTTAAAACAAGTTTTAAAGTAAATATGTATATCAAGGGTGAGGTTTGAAAAAAAAAAAAAACACCGGAGAAACTCACCGCTAATTTTTTTGTTTAAATATTTTTAATTTTTATAAAAAATTAAATTTCATATTAATTTTAATTTGATTTTTATAATATTGTTATAGAATTAAAATTATAATGAGAAATTAAAAATAACTAATTTCATTATTTAAAAAAAAGATCATTTTTGCATTGCATTTTTAATGTAAAATACACATCTTTGACGATTAAAATTGTTTGCAGTTTCAAACACATTATTGCAAGCAGTCCAAATTTGATAGTTAGTTACCCTGTTTATTTGTATTTTTTTTAAAAAGATTACTCCTTTAATTAAAGATATTGTAAAGGAATTATAATATATATATATATATATATATATTTTTTTTTAAAATAATATAAACTAATTTACTATTTTTTAATTTTTAAAAATGATACAACTTTTTCAAAACTAAAACAAACAAACTAATAAACTAATATTGAATATGTAAACTTGCAGATAAGATACTTGACAGAAGCAATGGAGATGTGGCAGTTGACCAATATCACCACTACAAGGTACGCTCCAAATTCGAAATAATGAATGGTAATCAATAAAGAATCAAACATCTTCTACCCTCAAAATGATTAATAATTAAGCAACAAATACAGTATTCACCGTTAATCTCAGATTCTCGATGGGTTTTGACAGGCAAATGACATATTCTGTAAGGTGTAATCAAAATATAAAATAAAAATATCAATATATATATATCTAGGAACTACAATCTTTCTTTTGTATTTATTCGTTTTTGCTTTTCTGTACGATAAAATGATTTCTTTTGATAACTAAACAATACATCAATGTATTTATTTACAGGAAGATGTTGAAATCATGAAGCATATAAATTTGGATGCTTACAGATTCTCTATCTCTTGGTCTAGAATCCTCCCAAGTGAGTTAAATATCGATGATAAACTTTTATCATTTAATTGATCTTACTTAGGTAGTTGCTTTTGTTAACTATTTCAATTTTTTCATACACTATCTACAGAAGGAAAGCTTAGTGGAGGTGTAAATCAAGAAGGAGTCAAATACTACAATAATATCATCAACGAACTACTGGCTAATGGTCAAAATTCAAACTTCTTTTACTTTAGTTTGTATTAGAAGTTCTCATTTTAACATTTCACCAAGTGGTTGACAACAATCATAATCAATTAAATTTAGTATCGCAGGTTTACAACCATTTGTGACCCTTTTTCATTGGGATCTTCCCCAAGCTTTGGAAGATGAGTACGGCGGCTTCTTAAGCCCTCGCATAGTGTGAGTGATACAAAATTCAATTTCTACTCAAATTATTGATGCCATGAATTATATAACTAATCAGATGTCGACTTAACAGAAAAACTAAAATATATTATTTTGAAATAAATCAAGAACATGAATAGTTTTATATTGAGATATCTTGTTCCGTAAAGGTTTTATGGGCTTTAAACATAAAGTGTACCAATCTATCCTATCTATGTGAAAATTACCTGTATAGCTTATGCTCAAGGTTTGATATTACGCGATCGATTAAGGAAAAAGTGAGAAAAACCACTGTCTCTGACTTTATCTTCGAAATTGTGCATATTTTATTTTAAACATTGTTTTTTAAAGCGTCCAAATGTAATATGAACAAGCACAATATTATGAACCAACTGCCTTAAACTTTCATCCACTTGGACAAAGGCTAATCATTTGCTAGATATGTGTTAAAGTTGATAAGTAGATTCTTTTCCGTTTCTCACTAATTGTAAACTATTTGCGAATATAAAAAGTTGACTTGGGTATATCATGCAATATCATAATTCATAATCCATGATTAATTTTCAGAAATGATTTTCAAGACTATGCGGAACTTTGCTTCAAGGAATTTGGAGATAGGGTGAAGCACTGGGTTACTTTAAATCAGCCATATACTTATAGCATGGGTGGCTATGCAAGCGGGGTGAAAGCACCAGGTAGATGTTCAAAATGGCTGAATCCAAATTGCACTGGTGGTGATTCAGGGATAGAGCCTTATTTGGTTTCACATCACCAACTTCTTGCTCATGCAGTAGCTGTAAATGTGTATAAGGGGAAGTATCAGGTTTTTTTTATAACATTGAACCATGAGAAAATTATTCAGGCTTAATTTGAAGCTTAGTAGACTTCGATTCAAAACTGTTGTGAGGTCTAATTAAAGGTACTCCAGGTATTGTTATGTAACATCCATGCAAAATACTCTATGCAGGCATCTCAGAAGGGTGCAATAGGCATAACCCTAGTCTCTCATTGGTTCGTACCATATTCGGATAGCAAATTGGATCAAAATGCCGCCGAACGAGCAATTGACTTCATGCTTGGATGGTGAGTGCTTAGCATTACACTGTAATATCATAGTTCTCTAAATAAACATAGGCTAGATAAAGTTACTAATTCAGACAAATTAAATACTTATTAATATTAAGTATACAATTTTCTTCTTTCTGATAAAAAAAAAAGAAAACTATTATATTTTATTTCTACTCTTATCTATAAGAAATAAATAATAAATTCATCAAGATTAATAAAAAATAGTCATATGTCATGAATTTATACTTTTTTTAAAAATATTTATAGTATCAGTTAATGTCTTATTTATTAAATAAATGAGTGTGTTTACTTTTATAAATAAAAAATGAGTGTTTTTTAATACAAATTTTACAATAAATTAGGATATAAAGAGAATCTTGCAATTAATGCATTTAAAAACGAGTCTTTATTTTTTATATTTAAAAAATAGTTTTTTTTTTCTAAATAAGACAACAAAATAATATATTAGTCCTATACTAACGGTATTTTTTGACCGCCACCTATATATTGAACAATAGAGTTTGAAGCAATGAAACCATTCCATTGTGTCTTCTGAACTGTACTATATGAGATTGATAGCCATAAAGAGACGAACTGAGACAATGGGTGAAGAAAAACAAAAGATTCTCAAGTTAAGAATTTTTCATTTGAAAAAATGATTGCAGGTTTATGGGGCCACTAACAACAGGAAGTTATCCACAAAGTATGTGTTCTCTAGTTGGTGGACGATTGCCAAAGTTCTCTAAGCAACAAGCCAAGCTACTCATTGGTTCATTTGATTTTATTGGACTAAACTATTACACCTCTAACTATGCTGCCAATGCACCCCGACAAAGCAACGCTAGACCTAATTATCTCACAGATTCTTTTACCAATTTGACAAGTAAGGGTGCTTTTATTTATTAACTCTCTCTAAATTATATTTAAGGCACATATTAAGCTAAAATGCTTCTTAATTCTCATGAAAATAACAACTCGGATATGGTCCATGTGTGTGTTGAATTTGATAATATCATGTCTTTGTTTTTGTGAGACAGCTCAGCGCAATGGCACTCCCATAGGTCCAAATGTACGTATATATGGCCATGTTTAACTTTAGTTATCGTCATTAATTTGCTTAACTTTTAAAGATAGATGGTAATATGTATCTTTAACTACGTATATTTGCAGGCTGCTTCAAGTTGGTTATATGTTTATCCTAAAGGAATTCTAGAACTATTGCTCTACGTCAAGGAAAAGTACAACAACCCTTTGATTTACATCACTGAAAATGGTAATTAGACCAAACATCATGTTTACCATCCTTGAATGTCATTGATGTAATTAAATATATAGATAAAATTGGTGAGAATATAAAAATTATATATCAACTATCATCTATAAAAGTTAAACTATTGGCTATGGGACTGCGACATTAGCTTTTAACAATATTTCTTTTCTCAAAAGTTGCATAAAAAAAATTAATTATAAACATTCTTAACTTCTGCTTTGTTATTTTTTTACCGAGGTTTTATTGTCACACTTAAACATTCATTCATCAATTCTCTTACCTTATATTCTCATTATCTTTTCAATTATCAAATAATCTCTCTACCTTACTCTTCGTTTTTGGTAATGACCTTTCCTCTGTTTTAGTGATAGCATACTAATACCTGTGATATTTAGCTACAAGGTTAGTACTAAAACATAATAATTCATGAAACTCGATACTTTAATTTGCATAAAATATGCACATATATTAACAACCCGATATGTAGTTCATATTGAGTTAACTAGTAAACCATTCGTAGTCAGTACTTTTTTTTATTTAGCTCTAGAAAAATTGTAATTAATTTTTCTTAATATATCCAACATTTGTAACATGATTTTTTTCTTTCTTTCTATGCTTACAATTTCAAATAATGGTCAAATATACTAATAAACATTATTAAAAAAATATATGAAATGCTTTATATGATTAAAATACAACATGATTTTAAATAAATGTAATAAAATACATCAATAAGAGCGTAAATTATAATTTTTTTATTTTACACCTTATTTATTTTCTAATTTTTCAATAAAATATTAGTAAATGACTTCTTATATATTCAGAATTTATGTATCTTTTATAATTTTATTATTATAAAATACGGTCTGTATTCAGTTTTATTATAAAGTTGCATGTGATATTTTTTTTTTTTACATATTCAACATATTTACGAAAAATTATATTTTATGTATTGCACTTAATTTATAGGTATCGACGAGTTCAATGATCCAACTTTGTCACTAGAAGAAGCCCTTCTAGATACTTATAGAATTGACTATTACTATCGTCATCTATTTTATCTTCACTCTGCGATAAGGTAAGTAAATAACTTTTCTGTACATTTTAAAAACCTTTTATTTTTCTAAATCTTATTTAATACTTTAATTTTGTTGACTTTATAAGGGATGGAGCAAATGTAAAAGGGTATTTTGTATGGTCATTGCTGGACAATTATGAATGGACTAATGGTTACACAGTGCGGTTTGGAATAAACTTTGTGGACTACAAAAATGGTTTGAAGAGAAATCAAAAGCTCTCAGCAAAATGGTTCAAGAATTTTCTCAAAAAATACTAGACTTTGTGAACCTTATGGTTATTATAATATGTAATGGCTTGTATTAACCACGTATTACTCTAAATAATTGTATGGTCGTTTATCATATTCAAAAAAGAGAAATATATTTCTTTAGTTATATTTTAAATTTATTATATAATTTTTAAAATGTGCCGAATTAGTAAAAAAAAAATGAAGCTAATCAATTAGCTCATACAAATTTGACATAACAATCAAGTTTTTAGGCAAAGTTCTCTCATCCTTTAATTTAAAAATACTCGTGGATAGCATTTGATGCTATTTAAACATACTCTATGGGTTAAAATCATACAAGAAAATAAAATAAAATAAACATTACAACACATCAATCGTTAACCCTAAAACTTATCTTTTATATTTTATATTAATTGGATGGCTGTTAATAAACTTTTGTGATAATTGCGTTTTATTTTTTCATAGTATAATGGATGAGACATTCCTTTAGAGTAAAATTATAATTTGGATGAGGTCTTCCCATATGCTTACAAATAAAAAATTGTAATTGCTTTGATATAATAGACAAATCTCAAAATTTACTTAAAGCCTTAAGTCGTAGGTGATTGATAACTAAATTATGATAAATTGAGTTTGCACAATTTATCTCTAAATCTTTTTAATTTTTGTTATTTATTTACAATTGGTTGAAATCTATTTATTTGTTGAAAAGTGAACTCTTCTGAAAATACAATATGTCACTATTTTGAAATAAATATTTATAAAAAATTCTTAAAAACCTTTAAAATTTAATTAATCATCTTCCTAAAATTTGAGATCACTTGACAACAGCACGTACATTTAAAATCGTTACTTTTATTTTCTGAATAACAGAAGTATCGCTGCTTAAAATTATGAGTTTTATTATTTCAAAAACAAATTATGTTTATTAGTTTCACAAAATCTCTTCTAATGAACATTAAATACTGTAAAGTGAATTTTAATAAAGAAAAAAAAATCAATTTCAATATGAATCAATTTACTCTTACAATAATAATAGAAAATGTGAGGTTGCACGGAAATGGAGGATGGATTGTGTTGGCGGGAAGAAGCGATGAAATTTTCCAAGCGACAGCTCTGGTGATGCAGTGCAGACAAAAGCATGTACGAACTATCACGAATCTTCACCGTCCAAATATCAGGATTCCATCGTTGACTGGGTTTTAGTTATTAGACAAAAATATTGGCCGTTGATCTCACGAATCCCTTGGGCAAATGGCCAAATCAGTGTGATCTGCAATACGGATGACAGCACTAGATCACACTCCCCAACACAAGCATCTTCAATGTTTCCAACTTAGAAGCCCTAGTGGAGCAGTGTTCGGTGCAGGAGCTCGCTGAATCGAAGTCGATTACTCTCACTCTCAGCTTCTACTTCTAAATCCGAACTCAACGAGTTATTCGAATTCAAATTTCCCTGTAATTCAATATTTAAGGGTGAAATTTCCATGGATGGAGGTGGTAGCAGTGAGAGCCCAACCGAAGCAAAGAAAACCAAATCCAAGACTCCTCGAAAACCGAAAGAAACACTTCTGAAGCAGAGTCTCTCTCTCTCTCTCTCTCCATCTTTCAATGTTGCAATCTCAATGTTTCATAACTTTTTTTTTTTTTTATATATAAATTTTCAACTGAATTTTTTGCTAATTCGTAGAATCCCCGGCTGAGTTCTTCGCGGAGAACAAGAACATTGCAGGATTTGATAACGTAAGCATATGGTATAATGATGTGTTCGATTCGGTGTATGTATGCATTTTTGTGATTTATTTATGTGTGTGTGATCTCTGAAATTCTACTGAATTCACTACAGCCTGGAAAATCTCTTTATACTACTGTTAGAGAGCTTGTGGAGAACTCACTTGACTCGGCGGAATCCATATCTGAGCTTCCCGTGGTGGAAATTACAATGTAAGTATGCAAGCACAAGTATGATGAATGGAACAAGTAAATGAGTGCATGTGGACAAGGGATTTTTTAAGTGTATCTGTAAATGATTTCTTTCATCATGAGTTGGTTGTTGCAGTGAGGAGATAAGGAAAAGCAAATTTAATTCCATGATTGGTCTTGTTGATCGGGAACGTGTGGATGCAGAGTTGTATGATGATTATGAAACTGATAAGGCTCGTGAGGTGAGCTTAATTTTATTTTGTTACTTTGGTTGTTCTACTGAATATACTTGTCTGGATCAAAGAGGTATAATCTGTTATGGTAACAAGTTTGAATTTGTATTGATTCATTTAAACAACTTGTAGCGATTTAGTAGACTAAAACGTGGGAGGCTCTCTTGGGTTCTGTTTCACACTATGTCTTCCCTTGCAGAAACGATTAGCAAAAGAGGCTCGTGCTCAAGAAATACAAGCAAAGAATGTTGCCCTTGGAAAGAAAGTGAAAGAAGCTTCAGCTTCAAAAGGTGTCAAGGGTCGAGGTGAGGCTTCATTTTACAGAGTTACATGCAAGGTGCGCATGGTTTCTGCCTCAGCCTTCATTTGTTCTACTGTGTTGATGAGCATTGTCTTTATCGTTAGTTTTGATCCAGTTAGCAGAACTGTTTGTGTTTGATCTGATTTTGAGATTCAATTTGAAAATATTTATCATTTCTGTGGTTATCACTCATTCCTGCACGTGAAACATAGTCAGTCTCATGTTTGTTACTACTTGCAGGATAATGGGAAAGGAATGCCACATGATGACATCCCAAATATGTTTGGCCGAGGTCAGTCAATTACCTGCTACCTCAGTTATCCGTGAATCAACATGTTTCGACATTTCAGCAGTTGTTTTTTTATGGTAGGAACTAGAAACCTTACTTGCTGTAAGCTTATCTATTCGTGCAGTTCTATCTGGGACAAAATATGGCTTGAAGCAGACACGGGGAAAGTTTGGCCTTGGAGCAAAGATGGTATTGGCAACATACACTAGTTTAAATATGACTTTCCCTCTTTTATTAATTTTTTGTACTCTGATAATTAACTTGTAATAGTTGGCAACTTTCACATGAAGTTGTATTACATACATCAGAGTTGGCCTTCTTGATCTGTATCATTCATGTATGCAGGCGCTAATATGGTCTAAAATGAGTACTGGGCTTCCTATTGAAATTTCTTCATCAATGAGAAACCAAAATTATATTTCATTTTGCAGGCTGGATATCGACATTCATAAGTATGATTTAAGCATTATAAGTAAATTAATATTTAATCTTCTTCCAAATAAACAAATGTGTCAATTTTCAGGAATATTCCTCATGTACATTTACATGAAAAACGGGAGAACAAGGAACATTGGCACGGAGCTGAAATTCAAGTTGTTATAGAGGGGAACTGGACAACTTACCGTGTATGTCATACATATTTGGTGAAATTTTAATAATTTCACTGCAAACTTCAGATATAATTCACCAGTTACATTTTCCGAAGTAAACTATTGTCATGCTTATTGATTTTATCTGAAGACTAATGGTGGTCATGTTTCACTAATCTAAGCTCCTTTGTTTACATTTGCAGTCAAAAATATTGCATTACATGCGACAAATGGCTGTTATCACCCCTTATGCACAGTTTTTATTTAAATTTGTATCAGATGCACCTGAGTATGTATATATATCTTTTCAGATTCTCCCTCATAAAGCAACTATACACAATCATCTTATACAAGCTGTTCTCTTTGGCAGCAAGAATGTCACTGTAAGATTTGCTCGCAGAACAGATGTGATGCCACCCATCCCTATGGAGACAAAGCATCATCCATCCTCCGTTGATTTGCTGCTAATTAAAAGACTTATTGCTGAAACTTCAAAGCAGAACCTTTTGCAGTTTCTTCAGCATGAATTTGTAAATATTAGTAAATCTTATGCTGAAAGACTGATAGGTGAGGGAAAACAGTAATTTTATGAACAAATGTCAGAGCTTGTTTTGCTTCTTATTGAGCACATATTTAAAGGAACATTTGGATTCATCATGCATCAAACAGAATGAATAAAACTTATATTTGGTTACACAAGAGGAAGGATAATAGTAAAGTAAGGCTCTCCACTTGACAATATCCATTTATCTCTGATGTAAAAGCAATGTTACCGTGAGATGGTTAAGTGAAGAGAGAAGACATGTCTTGCTCTCTCTGTTGATATTAAAATATGGAAATGAAAAGGCCCTTCTCCTTTTATAAATCAATGATGAGTTAAGTTGCCTGCTGCAGCTGTGGTATGTAGATATTTTTTTTTTTTACTGAGGCTCAAAAAGAGATACTTGGGGTTTACATTGACATTTTAGTAGATTAGTAATAATTTATTTTGCTTGCAATCAGAGGAAGTTTATAGTCGTATGGTTCAATGTGCATGTTATGATGCCCAATCTGATATTTATTGCACTCTTTACTTTTGCTTTCTCAGGAGAAATGGGCCCAGACTTCAGCTCAAAAATGGCAGTGAAGTCTCTAACTTCACAGCAACTAGTACGCATTCACCAGTTACTTCGTCAAGCCAAGTTTGATGATCCTAGTGGTCATGTAAGTAATGGAGTTTTTATTATGAGCCCCTTTTCTATATATTTCATCATGCATTTTCCAATTTTTAGTTGTATATTCCTTACTTTTGTCATTTTGTATGTCCTTAATTTTTTTTTCAGTGTCTTAGTCCTGCCGGTGAATACAATCTTCGATTAGGAATTATAAAAGAGCTGCACCCAGACATGGTTGCAACTTATTCAGGCAGGTTGTGGTTCAATGATCTAAGTTTCGTTAGATCTTTTTGTCTCATTTTATGCTTCTTGGAATTTCTATACCTCTTAATAATTTTTTTTGTCCTTGTTATGGATCATCATGTGTAAATTAGCCACTATACTAGAGGCGCATGAGATATTTCTTAATGTTGATTATGTGCCTGGCTTTTCTGGTAATAGATAATTCATAATGATTTAAAGTTAATTTCCTCTGTCATTGTTGTACAGTGCTCAAGTTTTCGAAGGCCACCCATTCATTGTGGAAGCTGGAGTCAGTGTAGGTGGAAAAGATGTCAAGCAAGTTAAGTTTTGCTTCCAAGTTCCAACAATATTTATGCTTGATAAGTTTGAAATTCATGTCTGTTAAAAATATCAGAAAAGTATTTGATGATATAGTCAATAATATTAGTGTAGTAATAAGCATAAAAAACTTCTCTTGGGTGTGCAAAAGAACTAGAGAAATAGTTTTTATTTTCTTTTTCCTTGTTTTTTGTGCTTCGTGGTTCTCTTTTTCATTTGTCTTATATTGTAACAAAATTTTCTTCTGTAAAGAAAAAACCTAATTGAACTTCTTAAGATGGTTTCTGATGGATTGTGATAATATTCCCTGTTCCCACTCTCCCAATGGTATTATTTATTCTTAAAGGAAACATCACAAGGGAAAATATGCTCTGCAATCCTGGAGGCCAGCTCTTTCAGAGGATGAAACACCTCTGCCCAGCTTACAACCATTAAGAAAAAACCCCCAAAACTGGCTCCACGCTCCCACCACTATCCCCTTATATATGAGCCTTACACATGACAAGACCCAGTCCCACTGCTAACTAAGCATTTCCCTTCCCCTTCTAGAATAAAGTTGCCAAACTTTAGGCCCGGACTGAGCTGAACCACTTTATGCCATGTTGCGCCAATTGGACACTTAAACTTTAAGAGCCTTTTAACCTCCTCCCCCCACTCCCTCAGTCACTATATTTTTCGTTAAAATTTGATTGCCATAATAGTTGTAAATTAAGTGATGTTGGGTGATTCCTGATCAAGCATTTGATCAACTGGCCAATGTTAGAAGCCTGTTATAAAGAGTCATTTCATTCTGTTCTTAAACAATGGTAATGGTTTGTCAGTGACAATACATGTAATTCTTGTTTGCAGGGTCTGAATATATTTCGATTTGCCAATAGAATTCCACTACTTTTTGAGCAAGGTGCCGATGTGGTCACCAGGACTGCTCTTAAAAGAATCAAGTAAGTGTGCACAGAAGCATATGGTTTCTAATTTTATGATGAGGTGACAGAATAAGGGTCAATAATTGCTTTACAACATTCTCTGGCATCACAAGGCAATAATAACATGGGAAATCTTACTAAATACCTTTATCAGCTGGAATAGTTACAAAATCAACCAGATACAAGATAAGATTGGTGTCTTTGTAAGCATTGTGAGCACAAAAATTCCATTCAAAGGAACTGGAAAAGAATACATTGGAGATGACATCACTGAGATTGCTTCTGCTGTCAAGGTTTGAAGTTTTAATTTACAAAATTTCAATTTTAGCATTGTAAAGTAGTCTAACATTACTTTTTCTTCAAAATACAGTATGCTATTCAGCAGTGTTGTGTCCAATTAAAATCCAAGATTGTGAAAAAGATGCAAGCCCGTGAGCAGCAGGAGAGGAAACGAAATCTAAGTAGGTATGCCTAAGTTTAATTTGTCCTTCATAATTCCAGAAATTGTCCGAATGATGCTGCATTTGCTTTTTTTCGAAGGTATGAAATAGAACATGTTCCCTCTTTCCTACCAATTGCAGGTATATTCCTGATGCTAGTGGTGCAGTGTACAATGTTTTGAAAGAAATGACACACGTACACACATCAAAAAAGAATCGTTATGGGGATGATCATGTAGAACTACTGAGAAAAGTCTCAGAGAATTTGATTACTAAAGAAACTTTGAGCGAAAAGCTTGCTAAACATGTTGAACAGGTATGCTCTCAGGCTTGTTTTTTGGGTGAAAAAATCATACTTCACTTACAATATACAAAAACTAAAAGGATACCTCAACCTGATTTGATGGGAAGTGTCAAGAGTGGCAATAAATTGATCCAGAGGAACAACTCTTGCTTGTTTGTCATGTGAACAAGCCACCTTAAGTTAAAATCTGGATTTAGTTATAGTTGTTGCTAAAATAAAGGGTAGCTTGAAGAGCTACGGAATTAGCCTCATAAAACTTCCTATAAGAAGAATTTTTTTTTATGACCAACACAATCATATCTCTCATTCAGGAAAATTTTCATTACAATCTGGATTTTCGTTGAGTTGCTATTTCAGAGGAACATCTAGGACAAGAGACTGACTTGGGGCTGCTTGAATTTGGTTTTTTTGCTGAAATTTTGTTTACACTGTGTATGTGCAGGTGGACTATGAAATGGCGTTGGAGTATGCCACACAAAGTGGAGTAAGCGAGGAACCCAGAGAAACAATATACATACAGTCATTGGAATATGAAAAAAAGATGATTGATTTACATTCTTCATTTATTGTTTTCAGAGTCTTTCAGTAGGTTTAGAAAATTGATTTGATAATGAAAATGAAATCAATTTTCCAAATCAAATTTATTCACAGTATATGAAAGAACAATTATTCTATCTATTCATTTCATTTGTAACAAATGCCAATAAGATTGATAAGATTGCAATGAATTCTGAAATAATATTGACGTGTGCATCTCCAATGACGACTTCTTCATATGATTTTGCATCCAGCTTTCTATCGACGGGAACCGCTACAGATGCATTAGGGGCATATTTTTCACAGCCTTTGCCCCGGTGGCGGGTCGAATTTTTATAATCTCATGCTTGATTTCATCTTCTATATTCCATTCTCAGAAGTAAAGATGATTTCTACTTTGGGAAAATGCCCCAAGGCCAAAATTGGGCTAAGATATGTTATATTTCGCTTTTATAATTTTCTTTTACAAAATGATGACAATTTAATTCGAATTGCTCGCAGTTTTGTATTTTTTTATCTGGTGAATTATTAAAAACATTTTAGATATGATATCTAAAATAAATATTACAAATTTAATAGTTTTTAGTCACATGGTAATTTTTTAAAATAATTATATGACAATTTATGATTAAAAAATTGTGTAAATATATCTTTTAATTAAATTCATATTAATGTGTTTATTGTAAATGAGTAATTAAGAAGCCCTTTATCTTTAAAATAATATTACTAGATAAGTAATTTTTTTTTCTGATTTTCACGCATAAGAAAAGGAATAGCTTGGTTAGATTTATTTTGTTTCCCGTAGTGATTGGATTGTTCAAAACTACCGTTGCATTCTTTATATACAATTTTTTTAAATAAAAATTATATATTTAATATCTAGTAATAGTTGAATAGAACCACTTAAAAAAAGTTCCAATTACTACTAAAAAATGAATGCTTTGAAAAATGCTAGTAATTCTTTTTGTGCATTGCACAACTATTACTAAATTAAATTATTTTAAATAAATAATTAAAAATACGACACATGACTATTTTTAAATTTAATAATTTTATAAATTTGAAAAGAGTAAATATAAATATGTAAAAAGTTCAAAATTCAATTTAATATTAAATTAAAAATGTAGTGTATAGAAAACTGCTAAGCATAATAATGGTTTATTTATTTAAAAGGTCAATAAAAATTCCAATAAAAAATTATTATTTGATTAGTCTTTCTAACATTATTTTTTCAATACTTAAAATTAAAAAATCTAGGCAGACCACAACGCTTATTGTTAATGTTTAGAATAAATTAAAGCACAAAAAATTATTCATTTATTTAAAAGCCAATAAAAATATCAATTAAATTCTTGAAAAATTATGATTTGCAGGTCTTCATGGAACAACTGTAATAATGCAATACGATAATAATAATAATAATAATAAAAAGTGGCCAGAAGCTCACCACCAATGGACATTAGGGAGAATTACAAAATCCAAAAGAACCTAAGAAATAAAGCTAAGGAGAAATACTGAGAAAAGAAAGTGCGTGAGATTTGATTTGAAACTGCGCAAACACACGGGTTACAGTATATTGTATTGTAGTTATGGCGACGAAGCTTCCGCAAATCGCCATTATAGGAGCCGGTATCTTCGTCAAGACTCAGTACCTTCCAAGACTCTCTGAGATCTCTGATCTCTTCATCCTCAAAGCCATTTGGAGCCGCACCGAGGTACTCTTTCAATTTCCAAAGTTCCTATGCCCCTCTTTTCTTCTAATTGCTTTCTGCATTTCATTTTCATGCACAGCAATCGGCTACAGCTGCTGTGGAAATTGCTCGTCAAAATTTCCCCAGCGTAGAGTGTAAGTGGGGAGATAACGGTCTTGATGACATCATCCAGGATGGATCAATAGCTGCAGTTGCTGTGGTTCTGGCTGGTCATAATCAGGTCTCTGTTTTCTCTCTGCTATTTCTGAACGTTCACATTTGTGTGAGAGTTAAGATAAGGATTAGTTGTTTAACTTAATTTGACAAAAATAATATGCTCTACTTGCTGCTTGTGGATCAAGTTCTTCAAAATGTGGATCTGTTTATGTTTGATGAGATTGTTTTACAAAGTCTATGCTATGATAGTATTTATCGCTTTTTTAACTTATGAATGATATATAGTTTTTAACTCTACTATTTATGAATTGTTGCAGGTTGACATCTCGTTGAGGATGCTAAAGGCTGGTAAACATGTCCTTCAAGGTAATGGTTTTTTTTTTTTTTTTTTTTTTCAAATTTAACGTGTGTGTTTATGGTTGCCTTTGTTGGTGAGGAATTTGCCTGGTTACTTCACATCATTTTGTAAATTGATGGAGCATTTGATTATCATTTATCTTGCATTTATCTTCCGTGCCGTTGCTAACTTCTCTGTTTGTTTTGGATATATTGTATGCGTTGGGTGCCTTATTTTGTGGATATGAAGAGAAACCTGCAGCATCTTGTAAGTATTATTTTATTTTAGCAATTACATACTTCTCTGTATGTGAACAGTTTTTAGGTGGATCCCTCTAGAGTCTAGACCTTCTTTTATTATTATTATTATTATTTTTATTATTTATTATCTTCATAGTGTGTATGTAAATTTTGTTCCCTATGAAAAAAAAGATGATGGACTATGTCCTTAGAGCATTATCTCACGATTCTAGGAAAACTAGACATTAGTTTCTTTGTCTTCATGTGATCAAGTGTTCGTTTTACTTTACAAATTTAGAATGCTTCTCTCCTTATCTTTAAAGTTTGAAGATATTAAGGTAACAAAGAAGAATTTGGAGGTAAGTCATGTTGAAAGTAAAAATGTTTAGCGCAATAATGTTGAAATCAAACTGAAACTTACTGCATACTCCTCTCCACACTCTAATGCCAATTGTTTTCATTTACCTTTGGAAATTTACTTGGTTCAATTCAAAACATGTCAAGATGATACTCATTTACTGATGAGGGAATATTGATTAAGAATGCAGAGAAATTGCCTCTCATTTAGTACATTCAAGTCTTGCAGCAGTTGGGTTGGGGCTTCATAGAGAAGAGTAAGGTAAAAAAGAAAAATTACAAAAGAACAAGAAAGAAAAAAAGTGACCTGGCTGCTTACTTGATGTGATAGTCACGTCTATTTGTTACAATCATGAGTCAAATACCATGTTGCACATGAGCTGGGGTAAAAAATTCACCTGGGTGTGTCAGTGACCATCCCATGATTCTCATCTCACTTGTGTAATGAAAGTCTAATGGGACTCAATGATTCTTTTGATAATGACTTGGAAAAGAACTGTTCCCTCTATCACATTGATAACTTCCATATTAGGTGTTCCATGTATATGCTATCCCTTTTTAATAGCTGGAAATTGCCAGTTACCTTATCATGTTGGCATTATAAAATTTGTTGATACATACCGTTGTCAGGTCTTCTATAAACAATTTTTTAATATACTTTCCTTAGATTTTAAACTCTTAGCATAATTACATACCAATCTGATACTGCAGGTACAAGTGAGTTGAAAACTGCATTATCTCAGTACAAATCTATTTCTGCTGATGCTCCAGGCCAATTAATTTGGTCCGTGGCTGAAAATTATCGATTTGAGCCTGGCTTAGTGGAGGTATTTGCTTCTGTGTGAGCTCTTGACCAATGAATCTGGCTTTCCAGTCTCATAAATTTTTTGGCAGTGCAAGAAACTGATTGCTGACATTGGCAAAATGATGAGCGTCCAAGTTATTATTGAAGGATCAATGAACAGCTCAAATCCCTACTTTTCAAGCTCTTGGAGGCGCAATTTCACTGTATGTGCTTTATGATCAAGTCGCACTTTCTGTATCTGTGTAAATTCACAAGAGAGCATTTGTCAAATAACTTAGAGCTTGTTTGTTTAAAAACTGAAACTGAGTTTACATGATTTTTCATGCATAAAACTTGTTAGAAATCAAGTAGTATGAAAGGGGAAAAAAATCAAATTGAACAAACTCTGTTCTCAACGGAGATACAAACGGGCCCTCATGCTTTGGATCACTTCAACGATGACCTAAGAACTCTACTGTTTGAAATAATGATTGAAGAAAATATATTTAATATCACAAACTTTAAATGATAATTAATAAGGTTGAGATTTTTTTTCCCTCTAGTATGAATTCTCTATATGACATGACCGAAGGAATACTGAGAAATTCTAGGCCATTTTCATCAAGGTTATTTTAGTTTTCTCTATTTCCTTTTCTGAAATTTTTAATAACTTCTCACGTTGCATGCATAACAGTTTATTCCTGTTTAATCGTACTATAATTTTTTTGGTTCCTTATGTTAACTTTACTTTTTTCTTTCTGGCAGGGAGGTTTTATTCTTGATATGGGTGTGCATTTCATTGCAGGGTTAAGAATGGTAATCTCAAAGAGTTTTTTGTATAATTCAGAGACTATTTTGTTTAACTTGTGTCCTGATATTTCTAATACAACTTATTGTGCAGATTAACTGCTCTGATTATTGGTCTTACCAACTGATACTCTTTTGGCATCTTAATCTTAAATTATGAACCAGTCTTACCAAAACTAAATTATTAATGTTTAATGCTTTGCTTCCAAAATACACTTGAATGTTTAAAATTTATTGCTTGTCTGATTTAAATTTTTTATGGAAGGCTTTATTTTGAAATGCTAATAGTATCACACTCAACACCAATGAGTGCATAAATTGTGGAAGAGAACTGCTTTCATTTTAGCACGAAAATGAGCCTCAAATGGCAAACTATCCCATGATTCTAATAGTTGAAGTTTCCTTTCTGCTTAGAAACTTTAAAAAGAAAAGAACTAAGGATAGCTCTTAGATTTTCTTCTCTATTAGAAATCCTAGAAAAGGTGCTGTGAGGTTTGAGTTCTATATAACGGTGGTCTTATCCTTTTTTGGGCAGCTTGTTGGGTGTGAAGTGGTTTCGGTTTCAGCTATGACATCTCATGTAGATATGACCTTACCTGCACCAGATAATGTATCATCTGTCTTGTAAGCCTCTCTATTTCATGGAGTTAACTTTACAATACTCGACTGGAAATCTAAAATTAACTTGAAATGTTTTGCCTTAGTCATTTGGAGAATGGATGTTCAGGAGTATTTGTAATGGTTGTCTCCTCCAGATCACCCAAGGCATGTGGTCAATGATCATTCCTCTTACAAATACACACACTTTCAGCTCATGCCAGGCTGTTGATATGCTGCTTATTCTTGCATTTATTCTTCTATGTCTTTACTCATGATATTTAACACATTTATAGACTTTGTGGCGAATTGTTGGCTTAAATGGAACCTTGCAAGTTGAGCGTGGATTCCAAGGAAAACATGGTTACCTGGTACATACTATAGTTTCAGTTACTGGTTTTCGAAAATAGTCAATATCTTAGTAGCTCCGAGCTTTTAATCAAAGCACTGTCATTTATCTTCACTACTCCTTACCTAAAATGTCAGCATTTTTTTATGTCTTATGATGCTATATAGGTCACGTTATATGGTGTCGATGGACAAAGTAAAAGCTCCTTTTTCCCATTTAGTGGAGTACTTGAAGAATTAAAAACTTTTATTAATGATGTATCTGAAAACTCTCTCAAGGTAATTGAGTACAAAATGCTTCTAGCTTCTCATATGTGTTCCATTACAAATTCCATTCATTGATTTATCATGTTACCTTCTCTGCAATTATTTGTCCAAACATACATGGAAAACTGTAGATTCTGACAACTTCATGCCAATACAAGAAATAAAACCAATCCATACAGGGAGCTAATCTCTTGTCTAATACCCTAAATCTATAATTTACTTCCTTTTAGCAGAAAGGGAGTCAATTTGTGGCTGAGCATCGCCTCTCTTTTGTGGAGGGTGCGAGAGATGTTGCTGTTTTGGAGGCAATGCTTGAATCTGGAGCAAGGCAGGGTGAGATAGTTCACGTGAAAAAGTTTTGAGGTAATCATGGAATTCCTTTCATTTGGTCACATAATTCAATATCTGCAGAATTTTACTTTATAATTTGTATTCATCTTGAACATTGATGTGAGCAACGCAGTTAATTGTAGATGAATAAGCCGATATTTAAAGAATTACACCAATCAATGTGATTGGATGAAGTTTTAGGATTTGTGTAAATTTATTGAAATTATTGCCGGTATGCGATGCAGCTGCAACCTTTATCATTATTAAAATATTTTCATTCTATCGAATAAAACGTAGTAAATAATCATTATATATTAAAGATAATTTGTCCAGTTAGTTAATCTGTTCGATATTCAAACACTACTGCCTCGTTGGTTCACCAGACGCAGAAAGGTAGGAAAGAAATTAGTGAAATCAAACTCACAAGTCATTCGTGGAAATAGTCAAGAAACAGGTAGTTTATACGTCTGTATGTGTGAATGTTTGGAAGGATTTTTATGGTTTTTCCTAAGTTTATGAAAATAATTTTTATAAGTTTTCTACTTTATTTTAATAAATTTATCAAAAAAGTTTCTATAAGTTCTGTATAGTTTTTTATTTAAATAAAATCTTAACTTATTTTATTAAAATTTAACATCGAACTTATGAAGAAATTCTCGTATGATAACCTGCTATTAAATAAATTATTTATCTAAAAACATACTTAACAATAACGATTTTGCATATTTTCGTGACCAAATAATGGTAAATAATCCCATGTTTGCGGACTTCAAGTGTGTTTGATTTGTTATAAAACATATTTTTAAATACACACAAAGTTATTACCAAGCAAAAATATAATAAATAGTGAGAATCCCTTCGACTTTTTCCGTTTCCTTCTAACACGAGACACGGCTAGTGTCTAAATTACGATTAGTAAAAGAGAGATTGGATTAACCGGATCTTGTAAATCTAATTTTGATCAAAAGTGAATTTGTATAAATGTAATTTTTAAGCACTTTAATATTATTTTCTAATTATAATTAAAATATTATTTTAATAAGACATATAATAAATACTAATTTTAGTCTTTATTTAATTATTGAAGTAAAATTTTAATTTAAATTAGAAAACAATATAAAAAAATTAAAGTTACATTTAAGTTGTTCATTTGCAAATACGATTCATTCATTTGGATCTTGTGGGAATCCAATTTGGCATATGCAAAGTTTTCAAGATGTTAAAATCCCAAGTGCAATACTTTAGTTACTGTTAATATTAATTTTAAATTGAAATTAAATTTCTATCTTAATATTACATATGATAAAAATTTGCATTAAAGATTAATGTTACTTATTGAGATAAAGGTTTAATTTTTATTAAAAATAATTTAAAAAATGTCTAAGAAATTGTACTTAATACGATCCTTCACAAAAATCATGACAAGAAGTAGGAGGAAAATCGTAAAAAAATACGGCGAAATTGGAGGGATCAACGAATAATTTGATAAAATGAATAAATCAAATTGACTCCAATTTTAAATTATTTTAAAATATATAAGTTTCTTTTTAAAATAATAGTAATTTTTTTAATTTCTTATATAAATTAATTAAATAAATTTAAAAATATCATTTTTAAAACTTAATTATATTAATAAAGAATAGGCTAATCGACCTACCCAAATTATATTTGGTTGGAAAAATCCGTCGATTTTACCCTAACTGATAGAAATAGAATTATTTTATCAGACAATACATTTGTATATTTTTTTATACAATAAAAGGTTACAAGAGAAAAGTAAAAATATACACGAAATAAATTAATTAATATGATAAAAAAAAGATAAATTAAATCTCGTTATGATAAATATCGGATATATAATATAATTTATTTTGATAAAATAAATAAATAAAATTATTACGATTATTGCTGAACAACAAAAGGAAGTATACCAAATTTACCAGCTGGAAAACACTTTACAGTGTAACTTACACAGTGAGACAGAATTAGAGGGGTAGGACAACGACCCCACCAGCAGCACTACTACATTACAATACCATACACAATTTTTATAATAATTTCTAAACTTTTTTTTATTTGTTTTTTAATTACAAAATCTACTTTATTGTGACTTTTTAAATATTTTTCTAGTGTGTAATTTTTCTAAAATAAAAACTAAATACAAATATAACTACTCTTTAAAATTATATCCATCATTGGATTAGTGAATATATTAATTCACGGTCATATTATATATTTTGTAAGATAAAATTTTGTAATAAATAATTAAGTAGTCAGAACACATCTTATATATAAATCTTTATTTATTAAAAAGAGATTAAAAAAAACAATGAAAATTTATTAAATTTGTTGAAAGTAATCTTTGTAATATGAATTCTTAACTTGATTTTTTACCGATATTTTATTTAATCGAATTTGAATTGTCCAATGTAATAAAGTTGACCAATTTGCAAGAACTCACTGATCCTGTACTAATAGAATAGTTACTAACTAATAATAATATTTTATTTAGTTACTGTTTCTTTATTAATCCAACGAACAAACTGGTAATACTCCCAACTCAACTAACTACCTTCACCAAAACCCAAAAAACAAAAACCCACAAACAAAAGAGTCACAACTAATCAAAATCCTCGAACGTGTGAGGAATAAGCACCTATCATTATTTAAGGAAAAATGGTATTTTTAGTGTATTAGTTATTAAAAACTTTTTATTTATTAATATTTAACTAATGTCTCGTAACATTGATTAATAAACACTTATCTAAAAGGAAGCAATATACATTGTACTAACACAGTTAAAAATAATCTATCAGAAGGAAGAGACAGAGATGCCGAAGATGCTAGCTGCTGATAGATAAACAGTGCCTTTTATATGTGAGTGCACAATAGAGAATCAGTTTTTCACTGATCACAAATTTTTCTTTTCTCTTTTTTTTTTTTTTTTTTGCCATGTAAACTTCACAGATTCACTACTCAGTTCCTTTTTTTTTTTTTTTTTTTTCTTTTCTGGTCTTTAGTTACTGCATTCTGCAATGCCACTACGCTTTTAAGAAGGGACTAGGAAGACACATGCACCCCAGCAACAGGGATGCTTGAGGTCAGTGCTGAATGTTTCTGAGGCATTGTAATTTGTAAATCATTTGGTTTGAGTAGTTGTGGTAGTTGAAGAAACACTAGTGACGTACAAAACCTGCTCTATGACAAATAAGACATAACTAAAGTCTAACCAAAAATGTTGCAGAAGTTCAACTTTTGCCTTTTCCTTCTGCCATTTTGTTTATTTGGATGAAATGCTTCTCTTGATCATTCAGAGAATAATCAGTGTACAATAGTAACATAAATGGTTCTTTAAACACTGCAGGGTATTGTGAATTTCTTGTAAAGGTTCACTCTTCTCCTTTTTTAGAATATTTAGCTTAGCTTTCTTCAATTGAAGTGTTTTCCTTACAAAATCCAAATTGGTGCAGATTAATTGGTGAGTCTTGTGTGTAGTGTGCTCTGAGAAAGGAAAATGCAGAAGCCACTAGAGCCCCTAGATTTTGCTCTCAAGGAGACCTCACCCAACATTGGAGCAGGTGCAGTCGCAAGGAACAAGCTCTCCTGCACCTATGACCTGGTTGAACAAATGCAATACCTCTATGTTCGAGTGGTTAAAGCCAAGGATTTACCTGGGAAGGATGTTACTGGAAGTGTTGATCCCTATGTTGAAGTGAAGCTTGGAAATTACAAGGGCCTTACCAAGCACTTCCAGAAAAAGTCAAACCCTGAATGGAATCAGGTTTTTGCCTTCTCCAAAGAGAGAGTTCAAGCTTCTGTTTTGGAGGTGGTGATCAAAGACAAGGATGTTCTTGTGGACGACTTGGTAGGCAGAGTGCTGTTTGATCTCAATGAAATTCCGAAACGCGTGCCGCCGGATAGCCCATTGGCTCCACAATGGTATAGGTTGGAAGATAGGAGAGGTGACAAAGCCAAGGGAGAGCTAATGCTGGCAGTTTGGATGGGAACTCAAGCAGATGAGGCATTTCCTGATGCATGGCATTCTGATGCAGCAAGTGTTGGTCCTGAAGCAGTTGCAAACATAAGATCAAAGGTTTACCTTTCACCCAAGCTTTGGTATGTCAGGGTCAATGTTATTGAAGCTCAGGACTTGATACCAAATGATAAAAGCCGGTATCCTGAAGTCTTTGTGAAAGCTAATCTGGGGAGTCAGTTTTTACGAACTAGAATATCCCCAAGTAAAACCATAAATCCCATGTGGAATGAGGACTTGATGTTTGTTGCTGCTGAGCCATTTGAGGAAGCCCTGGTTCTGACTGCAGAAGACAGGGTTGGACCAAACAAAGATGAAATCCTAGGAAAGTGTGTGATTCCTTTACAGAATGTGCAAAGGAGGTTGGACCATAAGCCTGTGAACGCAAGGTGGTTTAATCTTGAAAAGCATGTGGTTGTTGAAGGGGAACAGAAGAAAGAAACCAAGTTCTCAAGTAGGATACATTTGAGGATTTGCTTGGAAGGTGGCTACCATGTGTTGGATGAATCAACACACTACAGTAGTGATCTTAGGCCAACTGCAAAACAACTGTGGAAGCCCAGCATTGGAATTCTGGAAGTGGGGATTATAAGCGCACAAGGGCTAATCGCAATGAAGACAAGAGATGGTAGAGGAACCACAGATGCATATTGTGTAGCTAAATATGGGCAGAAGTGGATCCGTACTAGGACAATTGTAGATAGTCTTGTTCCAAGGTGGAATGAGCAATACATTTGGGAGGTTTTTGATCCATGTACTGTTATTACAGTAGGGGTTTTTGACAATGGTCATTTACAAGGGGGAGACAAATCAGATGGATCAAAGGATTCAAGAATAGGGAAGGTGAGAATTAGGCTATCCACTCTTGAAGCTGATAGGGTGTACACACACTCCTATCCTCTTTTAGTACTGCAGAATTCAGGTATGAAGAAAATGGGAGAAGTGCAATTGGCTGTGAGGTTCACAAGCTTATCTTTGATAAATATGTTATCTACATATTCACAGCCATTGTTGCCAAAGATGCACTACATCCATCCTCTATCAGTGATTCAGCTAGACAGTCTTAGACATCAGGCTATGCAGACTGTGTCAATAAGGTTGAGCAGGGCTGAGCCACCACTAAGGAAAGAAGTGGTGGAATACATGCTAGATGTGGACTCACATATGTGGAGTATGAGAAGGAGCAAAGCTAATTTCTTCAGAATAATGAAAGTCCTAGGTGGGTTGATAGCCATTGGAAAGTGGTTTGATCAGATTTGCAATTGGAAAAACCCTCTCACAACCATACTCATTCATATCCTTTTCATAATATTGGTTCTTTATCCAGAGCTTATACTTCCCACAATTTTCCTTTATCTATTTCTCATTGGAATTTGGAACTTTAGATGGAGGCCAAGACACCCTCCTCATATGGACACACGACTATCACATGCTGATGCTGCTCATCCTGATGAATTGGATGAAGAGTTTGATACATTCCCAACTTCGCGATCACCAGATATTGTTAGGATGAGGTATGATCGTTTAAGAAGCATTGCAGGAAGGGTCCAAACAGTTGTAGGTGATCTTGCCACTCAAGGAGAAAGGTTCCACAATCTGCTAAGTTGGAGAGACACAAGGGCTACCACTCTCTTTGTGACATTCTGTTTCATTACTTCTGTAGTTCTCTATGTCACTCCCTTCCAAGTTGTGTCCCTTCTCATTGGCTTCTATGTGCTAAGGCATCCCAGATTCCGCCAGAAATTTCCATCAGTCCCATTCAACTACTTCAGGAGATTGCCTGCTAGAGTAGACACCATGTTGTAAAAATGGATTATCACATCTCAACATCTCCCATCAGATAGATATATTCAAGCCGGGGAAGGAACAGTTGTGCAACCAGCTCCTTTATCATAATGCTTCATATAATGTGTTTGTCCTTATAAAGTGCAATTTTCATTAGACTGCAATTGTGTTATGCTCATCTAATGTTAATTATAAACTGTAACTAGATATTCCTTGTAACCCTTTCCAGTATGCAAAACTAGTCATTAGTATTATTTTTCAGTGATGTTTAGTGTAGTTAATGTTACTATTGGTGTTGGACAATTTATTGGAGTTGCTGTAGTTATTTTACTCATAGGTATGGAAATGGGAGTTTTTGAAGGAGAGGTGAGGGAAAATTTTGTATTTTAAATAAATATATTTAAAATTAATTTTTTTAAATAAAAATAAAAATTAATATATTAATAATATATATTTTTCTTAATTTAAAACTTAAAACGTAAAACTTGCTTTCTATTGAAAGCAAAAATTGCTCAGAGCAATGATTCATCAGTTAATTATGCTTAACGAAGTTAATACTTTAGAAAATATATGAACCACGTATACTAATTAAGGATCTGTTCGTATTGGAACTCAAACTCTATATTTTTTAAAGCGAAACAACGCGTCCTGTAATTCATTTAAATTCTGTTTCTCTTTCAAGACAAATAGGAACTAAGTCACCTTGCATTGCTCCTGAAAAAAATCATTCAAACCAAATAATAATTCTGAAAAATGATTAAAGGTTATGCACTCAATAATTTGAATGAATGAGTTTGTTTAATGACAAATGCTAGCATTCTTCGATTTAGAAACCATGGCATGATGCAATGCCTTTGTAAGCGTTGCCAATTGGCAAAACACTTAAAAATATGACTTCCACAATTTTGTAATTAATTACGTACTGTTAATAATTAATTTAGTGCGAAATTTTATATTTAATGTAGAAATGTCATTTTCCCAAAAAAGGGTACCGTTTGTCAATGCACTTTATATTATATCTAATTGATTTTCGCTTATGGCTGTAGCCATATTTTAGTCAAATCGAAAATGAAAGCACAATGGCCTGCTAAGTCTAATATTTGAGGGAGTCTACACTATAGAAATTAACCCCATAATTAGCATCACATTCATGATCTTTCTAGTGATGAAAAATTGACACACACAACAGAGAGAGAGAGAGAGAGTTTATAAAATTTGATTTCTTATATATGCAGATTGTAAGTTTTACTCATAATAAGTCTCACAAGATAGAGGATAAAAAGGAATAAGAAAGGGATAGTGTGTTATAATAAAAATAAAAACCATACTTACATACACATAATTCATATGATTATATTTAACTGAGCTGAATCAAGGGAACACTCTTGCTTCTCACATTATTCGGTGCTAGTTCTGAATATAATGCAGACTCCAGATCAATCATTGATTAAAAACCAGATAATCAATAATATATATTAAAGTGATGAATTGTGTTAAATGAATAATCCATGCAAACTCTAACTTCGGAAAATCTATTTTTTTTATGAATTTCATAAAATTCTAGCCCTTTTGTTTTGAGTGTTCTCATATGATTTTTATGTCCCCTTCAACATCATACTACAAAAAATGAAACTTGTAACTGTCTTGTCTAATGTCAAAAGCAACGAGAGTTTATCGCCATAAACAAAAGGTTGAGAAATGAGAAACCATGGCATGATGATGCAAGTCTTTCGCAAGCCATAGGCCAACACCGAATAAACAGTGCATCAACGACCGTGTAACTTTTATTTAGAATGAATCAAACGTCAATTTTAATATTTATTTCAGAAATGTCATTTTCATAAAAAAGGAACAATTTGTCAATGCTCTTCAAATTGTGTCTAAATAATTTCTGGGTAGCAGAGATGTTTGAGTCATTGCGAAAGCAAAACTACAACGGCCGGCATAAATTTAATTAACACAATTCATCATCTTTTATTCACTTGTTAATAAGCTAAAACATCATTTTTTCATTATTTTATTTTTGTAAAATGAGATCATGCACTTTTATTATTTATATGTCCAATTAATTGAGTAAATTAGTGTAAGAACACTATATAGTGTCTTAATTCACTTAATGATGATTAAAGAATATATTGAAAGAATGTATTAATTAATATATTGTTAACATCTTATCATAATAATTTTTCAAGGTGTGTCTAAAAATGTATTATACGGAATATTAAATATATCTAATTAAATATTTTACATTATCATTAGAGGTAAGTATTAAATATTTTTATTTTTAATAATAAAATTATTTTTAAAGATTAGAAACTCGTTAACATAGTAATACACATTTTCCTTCAACACCGAATGCTGATGATGAATAAAAAACACCTACATGCATATGCACGGAATATTCCATCCATGTTCATCTCTTCTTTTCTTATTTTCTATGCCTTTAATTTTTTTTATTTCCAGATATAATATTAGGCCTTTGTATGTCATTCAAAGTTCATTCTAAGATTACGCACTCTTATTCTAGAATTAATTTTTAGAGCAAAAAAAAAGCCTTAAACGATGATAATTTTTGTTTTATAAATCTTTTTAAGTCTATATTATTAAGTTTATTCAATTTGAGATTTTTTTTTATTGACCTTCATTTTTCTCTCATCCATATTCATTTTTTTTTCAAATTTTTAAACAAAACGATAAGAATAATATTAAGAATCAACTGTAATTTTAAAAAAATTACAAATAAGTTTTCTGGAACGTCTAACACAGAAATAGTAAAAACAAATGTATCATTAATGGTAAATTGATGTTATAATTTATTTACTGAATTAAGGTGGAGAAATATTATTACGAAACAAAGGAAAAATCTCATATATTGTTTGCTATCTTTCTAAATTTAATGAAATATTACAGTTACTCTAAATTGTAAATTATAAGTTGTAAGTTGTGATTCTTTTAATATTTTGAAAATTATAAATTGTGATTTTTTAATATTTTTAAATTAAAAAATATTTATGTAATAATATATGAAAGTGAAAAAAATATTATTATAAAACAAAAAAAAAGATTTAATTTAAAAATACTCTATCAAGTTTACCAGTATAACAGCAAACACCTTATTTTAACCTGGGTATTAAAGTAAATATAGTTTTAAATTAATTATTTTTAAACTTAACAATTCTTAATTGATAATTTATAATTAGATAATAGTATTAAAAATATTTATACAGAAAGTAAATTTAAAATAAATTATATCTTTAAAATAAGCTCAGTTCGAAAAAAATCATAAAAAAATTAAACAATGAAGAATCTAGAATATAGCAGAATTTAAGAATGTGTCTGGCAGCATCTTGCGAAATCGAAATCCAAGTTCTTGAAGGATTATTACGGTAGCGACATCCCCAGGAAACAAGTATATACCACAACTTCGAAATTATAAAGCAAACTATTATATATACTATTAAACAACGTACTACTTCTGAACTCTAATCTGTTAAAGACAAATAAATAATCGACAAATCATCACCAGCTTTGGAGATTTCGTTGTTTATTCATCGGATAAATATGAAGCACATTGAGATTATCCGAATCTAGAAAAGAATATAACTGCAGTGATAATGCGTTTATGTAATCTGCAATTGTGATAGCATGATTTTCTAGTGTTAAGTGTAAAATTTTTTGATTTAACAACGTTATTATTACAAGGGTAAGGTTAATTTGTCAGCATCAGACGGAATCGTCCAAGGGAATCTATCTCCTATTGATATGTTTTGGCATGTGTTAGACAGAAAGTGAAATTCTCGTAGTTATCGAGAACGGTTGAACTGCAATAATACGTTGTCACTACTTAGGACTTGGGAATTTGAACTTTTGGACGCTTTGACCCTTTCTTTTATATATTACTGCAATGAGTTCAGTGGAATTCATTCTAAGTATCCAAATGCAATTGAAACCATTGTTTACTTTTCCTCACACGCCATTTGGCATTCACTAGGAACTACTAAGAGTGTTCCAACCACTGAGGTAACTATAATAACTATTTTTCTTATGTTGGGTTTTTTCTTGCTTATAACCATTATTCATGACCATGTTTGATCGCATCCACGTCAACATGTCTGAAAGTCTGACGGAAATTTTCCCATGTCATGCGTGTTTCATGTATTGATCACTTCAAGTTTGATAGTTTATGATGACAATGACATTGCTATTACAGCAAGTGATGCACGTTGATTGACGAGCAAGTGCTTCACACTTCTGCTGATATCTAAGGTATTTTTTTCTCTGACCTTTGGGATTGGACCTTGTTCATAAATGATGTATGTAACTATGTCTGCAAATACAACTAAAGCAACTAAAGTTGCATGCTGTCATTGGACAGAGTTTGATAAATGATATCTCAACGACTTCCACAGATTGCAGGTTTTGAATTCAAAGATGGATCCAGAAAGATCAGTAGAGGACCAATTCTCCAAGTTACATCCTTGCATGCCAGTAAACACCAGAATTGGAATAGTGGGTGCTGGTCCAAGTGGCTTATCGGCTGCTTATGCACTGGCCAGGCTTGGTTATAATAATATCACTGTCTTGGAGAAACATCATGCAGTTGGTGGCATGTGTGAATCAGTAGAAATTGAAGGTACCCATTATCTTACTATCACTCTCTAGCTGATCCAATTTGATTATGAATTAAATATAAGTGTTTTTATACAGGAAAAATTTACGATCTTGGAGGTCAAGTTCTTGCTGCAAGCAGTGCTCCAATCATCTTTAACTTGGCAAAAGAGACAGGCTCTCCACTTGAAGAAATGGATTCTCACAAGCTTGCTATTATTGACAGTTCCTCTGGACAATACCAAGATGTTAAAGTTGCTGATGATTATGTATCTGTTATGTCACTTACATTAGAAATCCAAGTTAGTTTCTACTGTTTATCCTTCATAAAGAAATTTTCTTAGTTCTTATGAGTTGATAGTTGAAAGTTGAAAGTTGAATGGTGTTAATTCTCCTTGTGCTACTAACAGGAAAAGGTGAAGAATTCTGGTCGTTTTGGGGTCCATGCAGTTAGTGAAGTTGCTTCAGACCCAACTCCAGATTATCTTGAGTGTCATGGACTCAAACATGTACCTAAATCCGTGGCTTATGGTTACACTGCTTCAGGATATGGATTTATTCAAGACATGCCTTATGCCTACATTCATGAATTTACCAGAACGTCCATGGCTGGAAAAATTCGAAGATTTAAAGGTGGATATACAAGTCTTTGGCAGAGGATTGCTGAATCACTTCCTATAAAACTTCACTGTAACACTGAGGTGTTGGCAATCAAGAGGAACTCTGACAGGGTCATTGTCAATGTTAAGAGCTCAAATGAAATTGAAACTATGGAATTTGATAAGATCATTATCTCTGGTAACTTTCCATTAAAATATGGAAGAACTTATAGATCGGTGCCTTCAACTTGCTTAGGTACAACGCTTCTCACTGCTCCATGTTTACAGTGTTTTTGTTTATTGCTATTTCCTGATTAGTCAAGTCTTATTGCAGAGAGTGAAACAGAAGTAATGGATGTAAGTGAGCTTGAAAAGGATTTGTTCAGCAAAGTAGAAACAAATGACTACTACACCACTGTTTTAAAGATCAAAGGGTTTGAAAATATGCCAATTGGATTCTATTATTTTAATGAATACATGGAAGATCCTAGCACAATTGGAAATCCAGTTGCCATGCAGAAGTTTTATGCTGACACTAACATATTCTTGTTCTGGTCCTATGGCAACTCCGTCGATATTAAGGGACCAAATGTCACTGAACTAGCAACCAAAGCAGTAGAAGCCATGGGGGGAGAAGTTGAGAATTTCATTCTTCAACGTCGCTTCAAATATTTTCCTCATGTTAGCAGCCAAGGTATTTTTCTCAGTAGTTGTTAAATTCCATTTTTCCTTTCAAGTAAAATTCTAAATTTTGGAAGTTTGAATTCAGACATGAAAAACGGATTCTATGAAAAGTTAGAATCAGAGCTTCAAGGTTCAAGGAATACTTATTATGTCGGTGGTCTTATGGCATTTGAGCTTACAGAGAGAAATTCATCTTATGCCATGGCTCTGATCTCCAAGAAGTTTGCCAATAGCAGTGATTTTCCAGTATTTCCATACACCAAGGTAATTTGGCATATTACTACCCCTGTTTCATGATCATTAAGAACATGATTGGTTTTAATCCTTTTCCGAGAAATAGTCGTTATGTGAAATAAGAATTAAAAAATATATTTAATATCTTGTTTTACTAAAAGCATTATCAAATTTTCTATTATACTCATTTTGAAATTTGTTTATGTAATAAATAAACTGAGAAGATAGAAAATGAATTTTGAGATAATAATTATTATAAAGGTAAAATTAGAAGGAAAAAATTAATTCTACTTTAAAATTGTAAAATAACTATTATTTTGAGAAAAATAAAATTATTTATTTTTTTAAAGACAGAGAAAGTACCAACTATTATAGTAAAATAAATTAATTTTACCAAAATACTCCTATTAAAAGTGAAGTTATTGCAGTAGTTAGATGATAAATAATCTTAGGGTTATTTTAGTAGTTGGTTGGAAAAACTATTCCTAATAAATAAAAGTATTATTGAAAAAATAATTAATACTTTTTTAAAATTCTAAGGTAACAGTTAACAAATAATTCAAGTAACATCTAATACGAGACAGAGTGTATAACCAAAAATTGATTTGAATAATGATTAATCTAGCTTTTTGTGTACTTTAAGCAATCATGTTTTCCAAATAGACATGCACTTACTGGAAGCCTGTCTTATGCAGAGTTTGTTTCCCTTGCAAACTGAGTTCCAAAGAAAGGAACCTAAAGAGCTAGGTGAATTGGCAGGAGTGCAATTTCCTGATTTGGCTACTTTGAGTAGCTATTTAAAGCATTGGGGAACTCATCCAGTGACTCAAAACAGAATACTTTATTATTGGGTAAATGAAGGAGGAACAGTTGTAGCCAAGAGGACATTTGAAGAACAACATTTAAATGCTTCTTGCATTGCATATAAGCTCTTAACAAGCCAAAAGCCAATTATCAAGCCTGGGGACAAGGTTCTCTTGGTCTATGTTCCTGGTCTAGATTTCATTGATGCCTTCTTTGGATGTCTAAGAGCTAAAGTGATACCAGTTCCAGTTCTTCCACCAGATCCCATGCAAAGAGGTGGACAAGCACTTCTAAAAATTGAGAATATTGCCAAGTCATGTGGCATAGTGGCAATTTTATCAACACTAGCATATCACTCAGCAGTACGTGCTGGTTTAGTGAAAAGTTTGATCTCATTAACTGGAAAAAATGGGAAATCCACAGCAAAATGGCCTAATCTCCCGTGGCTGCACACTGACACTTTGATCAATAACTCAAAAAGTTCAGCTATGGGAGATGTAGATGATCAATGTGAACCTCAACCTACTGATTTATGTTTCTTGCAATTTACCTCAGGTTCAACTGGTGATGCTAAAGGAGTTATGATTACACATGGAGGGCTTATGCATAATGTGAAGTTGATGAAAAGAAGATATAAAAGCACCTCAAGGACAATGCTAGTGAGTTGGCTTCCTCAGTATCATGACATGGGGCTGATTGGAGGACTTTTTACAGCTCTTGTTAGTGGTGGATCTGCAGTTTTGTTTTCACCAATGACATTTATCAAGAAGCCACTCTTGTGGCTTGAAACCATCAGCAAGTATCAAGCAACTCACAGTGCTGGCCCAAACTTTGCTTTTGAATTGGTGGTTCGAAGGTTAGAGTCTGACAAGGATAAGCTTCCAAGTTTAGACCTTTCCTCCATGATTTTTCTTATGGTTGCTGCTGAACCAGTAAGACTGAAGACCCTGAAAAAATTTCTTGAGCTAACTAGTCCTTTTGGCTTATCTCAAAAGGTGATGGCTCCAGGATATGGCTTGGCAGAAAATTGTGTGTTTGTCAGTTGTGCATTTGGTGAAGGCAACCCTATTCTTGTTGACTGGCAGGGAAGAGTTTGTTGTGGATATGTTCACCCAGGGAATGCAGATATTGACATTAGAATAGTTGATCCAGAGAGTAGAGAAGAGCTTCAGGAAGATGCAAAGGAAGGAGAAATCTGGATCAGCAGTCCAAGTGCTGGAATAGGCTACTGGGGAAAGGAAGAATTGAGCCAGAAAACTTTTAGAAATGAGCTTCCAAACCATCCTGGACTCAACTACACAAGAACTGGAGACTTGGGAAGAATAATAGGTGGGAAGCTATTCATCACAGGAAGAATCAAGGATCTTATCATTGTTGCTGGAAGAAATATCTACTCAGCAGATGTTGAGAAGACAGTTGAGAATTCATCTGAAATTCTTAGACCTGGGTGCTGTGCTGTCATTGGTGTCCCAGAGGAAATTTTATCTTCAAAGGGTATTTCCCTGCCAGATGGCTCTGACCAGGTTGGCTTGGTTGTGATTGCTGAAGTGAGGGATGGCAAATCAGTTGGCAAAAATGTGATTGAGCACATTCAGACTCGTGTGGCAGAAGAACATGGAGTCAGTGTTGCTTCAATCAAGTTGATCAAGCCTAGAACCATCAGCAAAACAACATCAGGAAAAATCAAGAGATTTGAATGTCTCAAACAGTTTTCAGATGAAACATTGAACTTGGTACCACAACCTATTTTGACAAAGAAATCATTGATAAGGTCATTTACTACAGGAACATGCACAGAAGGAAGAACACCCCGGCCACAACTAGTGAGAAGCACACGTCTACCAATTCCAAGATTCAGTAACAAGGAAATTGTGGAGCACTTGAAAAGGCTTATTTCTGAGCAATCTGGAATCCCAATCAACAACATTTCAGTCACAGACAACTTGTCAACCTTTGGAATTGATTCAATTGGTGTGGTTAAAGCAACTCAAAAACTCTCTGATTTCCTGGGAGTGCCGGTTGCGGCTATAGATGTTTTTACTGCATCAAGCATTCAAGAAGTGGCTAACTTCTCAGAGAATCTTCTACGGAAGTCTCAACCTCAACTCATGAGCAATCCATCCCATGCTGAAGAAGCTGAAATTGATTCTGCTGACTTGGTTGTGGATGTGTCCAAGTCTCGTCAATTGGGTATCCCTTTACTTCAACTCCTAGCACTTATTTATGTTTCTAGCATCCTGGTATCTCCTGCTTATCTATCAATCAATGCTTTTCAAAGTTTCATGCCTAATGTCAGTGAATCAGTATATGGAATTCCGTGGTCAAACTATTTGATATCCTTGACCTTGGCACCCTTTTCTTGGATCCTTTGCATGGTTTCTACTTGCGTATGCATTTCACTTTTTGGGATTTCTTTCTTGAGGCCAAACTATGCCCTTACACCTGAAATCTCCATATATTCAATGGATTTTGTCAAGTGGTGGGCGCTTTATAAAACTCAGGAAATTTCCTCAAAAGTTCTGGCTACACACTTCAGAGGGACAGTGTTTCTGAAGTACTGGTTTGAGATGCTTGGTGCAAGAATTGGATCCTCAGTTGTGCTTGACACAGTTGACATCACAGACCCATCTTTGGTTTCAATTGGAGATGAAGCTGTCATTGCTGAAGGGGTTATGGTTCAAAGCCACGAGGTAAAGAATGGAATTCTAAGTTTCCTTCCTATTAGGATCGGCAAAAATTCTTCAATAGGACCATATGCTGTCATTCAAAAAGGAAGTGTTATTAAGGAAGGATCTGAGGTACAGCCTCTGCATAAGGTTGAAGGAGGCCAACATGTGCTCAAACCTGCTAAGCTTGATAACGTTAAAGAGGTCAGTTTTGAGTAAGACATACAAATTTTTCATAGATATATTCTGTGGGCAATGTTATTTACTCAATATTTTACTGCTACTACTTATGAGAGCATTGTCATTTTTTAGTGCTCACAACTTCACTCCATATAACTCATGACATTAAATTAATGCCCGGTAATCAATTCAAGGTTGAACTAATAAATGCTGTTTTTTCATTTTTATTTCAGAATGCAGTGCTGCTTGTTACAACCAGCAAAACGCAATCTGATGCAATCTACCACTTTCTGGGGATCTATCTTATTGGTTTTCTCAGCTCCCTTGCTGCAGCTATTGCTTACTTCCTATACATAAAGTTCTTCCAAATACCTGCATCACTTCAACAATTTTCATTTGTTTGCGTATGTGGAGCCTTCCACTGGATCCCGTTTACAATTGTTGCATATGCCACCATGTTTTCTAATGTCCCATCAAATCCCATTGCCTTTACTATTTCATTTACCGGTGCATACTTCCTTCATGGTCTCATACTCACCTTTCTCACCTGTGCTTTGACTCGTTTGCTCAAACTCAGTCACAATCAAACCCACTTTAAAACGTGGCTTCGAAATCAATTGACCATTTCCTGCCACCTTAGATTTGCAAAGCTTCTCTCAGGAACAGAAGCCTTCTGCGTATATTTACGCCTTTTGGGTGCAAAAATTGGCAAGCACTGTTCCATCAGAGCCATCAACCCAGTTTCAAATCCAGAGTTAATGTCAATAGGTGATGGTGTCCATCTTGGTGATTTTAGTAAGATAATCACTGGTTTCCACTATTCCAATGGATATGCTTGTGGGAAAATAGAGATTCAGGATAATTCAGTTGTTGGAAGTCAAAGCCTAATTCTCCCAGGTTCTCTTGTAGAAAAGAATGTGATTCTGGGGGCACTTTCAGTTGCACCAATGAATTCCATACTCCATGAACGTAGTGTTTACATTGGATCTCAAACGCGAGTGGCAACGAGGAACTCTTCAAATGCTTTAGATGAACGGATAGAGGAGATGGACATGGAATACAAGAAAGTAGTTGCAAATTTGGCTGCAAATTTAGCTGTCACAACTATTAATGTTAAAGCAAGATACTTCCATCGCATTGGTGTTTGTGGAAAGGGGCACTTGAAAATATATGACAAACTTGAGGGCATTCCAATGCACAAGATTTTTCACCCTGGAAAGAGCTATCCTGTTATGGTTCGACACAGTAATAGCTTGAGTGCTGATGATGATGCAAGGATTGATGCACGTGGTGCATCTTTGAGGATTCTTTCTGATGCACCTGGTTCTGACCATGTTCCTCTCATTGACCTGACACTAAAAACTGGTGAGGCATTCTATGCTCGCACTCTTGCTGACTTTGCAAGCTGGCTTGTATGTGGAATTGCTGCAAGGGAGGAACTAGTGAAGCGTGTCCCACATGTTCGTGATGCAGTGTGGAATTCCCTGAGACATGCTAAATCATATGCTGAATTGCATTACTACTCAAACATTTGCAGGCTCATGCGCTTCAATGATGGACAAGAAATGTATGTGAAGTTCAAGTTAAGGCCTTATGACACAAGTATCAGCAACGACACGGGTAAGGTTGAACCAACTGGGATTCTTCCTCCTGAGACAGGTGCAATTCCTAGGGATGAAAAAGATGCACGTCCTTTACTTTTCCTTGCTGATGATTTTCGACAGCGTGTGAGTTCCAGTGGTGGAGTTCGTTATGTTTTCCAAGTGCAACTACGAAAAGTACCAAGTGATGAAGCCACACGTGATATTGCATTGGATTGCACTAAACCATGGGATGAAAATGAGTTCCCTTACATTGATGTTGGAGAGATTAATATCAATGAGAACCTTTCTATGGAAGAATCAAATAGGCTTGAGTTTAATCCCTATCTCAAAAGTCATGAGCTAGATGTCATCCCAGCTACTTCCTACACCCAAAGTGCATCAATTGATCATGGCCGTTCATTGATCTACGAGATTTGCCAACACGTGCGTAATAAACAGCCACTCCCAGAATCTTGGAGGAACCTTGTAGAGCAATCTAACGTTAAGGTAGACTTGTCATGTTGTCCAATGGCTTCATCAGCACCATTACCAAAAAAGGAGCCAAAAAATTTGACCTTGACGTTGACTTTGACAAGAACATGGTATCAAACCTTCACGGCACTCTTCACTCAACCGTTGCTACAAACGGTTTTGCCTTATACGGTGGTGGGTTTAGCTGTTTTTGCTCCTTTGAACTTCGTGGTTCACCTAAAGAATGTAGGAAAACTCCCACTACATTGGCTGTTTCCAATGTTTTGGGTTGTGTCGGGTGTTATGGCTGCGTTGGCATGTGTTATAGGCAAATGGGTTCTCGTGGGAAGGAAGATAGTTGGTGAAACTATAGCCATATGGAGCAAAAGGGTAATCATGGATAGCACGTGGCAAGCCATTAGAACATTGGTTGGAGATTATTTTATGGACATGGCAAGTGGGTCATTTTTGTTTGTGGTGTGGATGAAGTTGATGGGTGCTGACATAGACATGGATCATGGCACTTACGTGGATAGCATGGGAGCATTGTTGAACCCAGAAATGGTAAAGATTGAGAGAGGGGGTTGTGTGGGAAAAGAAGCATTGCTATTTGGACACATATATGAAGGTGAAGGAGGAATGGTGAAGTTTGGTGAAATCAAAATAGGAGAAGATGGGTTTGTAGGGAGTAGAGCTGTGGTTATGCCTGGCGTTCAAGTGGAGAATGAGGGCATCCTTTGTGCCCTGTCTCTCGCCATGAAAGGAGAAGTAGTTAGGTCAAGATAAATATGTATTATGATGTCATATTTGTCACTGTAGAATATGATGTTTGTTTTCATATACATTTATTTGTTATCCCATCGTTAAACAAGTTAGATTAAGGTAATAATTATCTTTAATTTTTTTTAATGATGTGATAACATATGAACACATGATAGTGGGAACCAAAATAATTACACTATCATGGATTCAAATTATTGTATTATTGTCTGTTACGTTTCAATAAGACTGATAATTTATGGCTATTATAATCAGAGCATTTATATTATCACAGAAAAGTTATACTTATGTTTTATTTTAAATGTATAGTCGTATGTTTCTTATTTTTTATATGTATTCAGCAGTTGTTTTTATAAGTAATTTTTTCTTTAATACAATCATTTTAACTCAATAATATATTATACAATAATTACTTAATTTTATGCAACGCTCGATAAAGTTGATATTTTACACCACACCTGATTAAGATGACAGCTTACTGAGACTATTGTATTACCCCTACTTTGTCTATTATGTATTCTAAGTGAATTATGTTTAAATTCATTTTTTTCACTTTTTTTTCCTTTCATTATTTTTAGTTACATTTTCTTCCTTTTTTTTTTTTTTTTTACAGTGGTCTTTATAGTTTTTACTTTTTTTCTCTTATTTTCTTGTCTTTATATTTTTCTTTACCTTACATTCTTACCATATATCTTTATGCTAGTTATTATGTAATATACCTTACACCGATCGCATAAGAATTTATTTCTTGAATTAGAGATTATTTTTAACTAATATTTTATTATATTTGCATATGAGCCGATTGTGTTTTATATATATATATATATATATATATATATATATATATATATATATATTTGTATATAATTTTCATTTAATCTTTTATATATAAAAAATCTAATATTTACTTGTAAAATATGTATATTTTTTAACCATCATCTTTTATCTTTTGTAATTAGAGAATAAATTTAGTTCAAACTTAATTATATTTTGACATTTTTTACTACTTTCAATGAATTTTTTCTAAAAGTAATTATACATTTATATCATGTATGGATTAGTTGATTAATACTGATTTAAAACTTTTGTTCAACATCTTTTTTATTATTTATTATTTTTATTAATAATTTTTATGGAATCAATTTATTATATTATGTATATATATATATATATATATATATATATATAATTGAAATATATGAATAGTATAAAATAATTATAGTATATTATTTAATTATAAATTGTTATACTAATAAAAATTATTAATTTTGATGATAATCAATTTAAACATAATTACATTTACAGTATATTTGAATTAATTGATATTGTAGTAGAGCATCAAATGATAATAATTTGATTTTATCTAAATATATTATTATTTTCCTCTTTTTGCTATATTTTTTTAAGAGTGCTAAATTTTCTTGAATTCATTACCTATTTATTATATTAGATATTATTACACGCACAAAATTTTTTTATTTTAAAAATAGTTAATATGAAAACTTTTTTTAACAATTTATTTATCAGAAGGTATTAAAATACAAAATAAAAAAAATTAATTTCCATTATCTGAAAAATAAATAAAGGAATCGTTTGATTATCATGATTTATGTATTAATGAAATTTCTTTAAAGGGGGAATTTTTTCATAATTTTCTATTATTACTCGGTGTTTAGGTACAAAGAATGCATTTTGAAGAATACAAAGTATTAAATCATAATTAGAATTAGCTAATAAGATTGCGATAAATATATATAAAGTAAAGGATCAAATTATAATTAAATTAAAGATTAAAATTATAATAAAATAATCTATATACATTATTATGATGATTATTATTATTATTAATTCTAAACCTAAAATCCATAGTTTATTCGTTAAATGGAGACCGTGGATTCAGACAGCCAAAAAGAGAAAACAATAGAAGTTTGAGTGATTGAGAAAGTGAGGTGCAGAGTACATAAGATGAACGTAAAGTAGGGAATCTTGACATTCAATGCCACACTTTGAACTCAATTTCTCTTTTCTCTCCTCTCTGTCTCGGTCTCTCTCTCTCTCTCTCTCTCTCTCTCTCTCTCTCTCTATCGCCAAAATCTCCGCATCATTGAAATTCGGGCCATAATATTGGGTTGCAAAAGCTAAACCCCTTTTTGGGTTCTCGTGATTTTCGCCAATTATCAAAAACCGGGGTACCCGAACAAATCGAATCCGAAAGTTCAATTCTTTGTGCTTCCAATTTGCAAATATCGTCTTTGCAGAGTCTATCCCTTCAAATCCTCTTAGATGGGTGAAATCGAAGAAATTGGAACTGACGTTTGGTATGTCTAACAAGCTTTGTTGTTCCCACAACTTCAATTTAGTTGCATGTTTTTATGTATTGTGTTACGTTGTTTTTTTTATTGGTATTTTCAGTTTTTTTTATTTGGTGCTTTTTCCTTTATGATGCTATGTTTTTCGATAATTATAGCTGCTCCTTGAATTTCTATTGGCTTTCGTCAATTAGTTGGATTGCGTTTATGGGCTGTTGAGATTCATGCTATAGAAATTTCTCAACTGTTATGGGAGGTCAACTACTGTACAATAATTTTACTGAGGAATCTGTCTTTTGGGAAGCTTGTACAAGATCATTGAGGACTTTAATATTGTTAAAATGGAAACAATGTCTGTTTCTTTGTCTGGTTTCCGAGGAAAAAGAAATGGGAATGAAAATTTGATTGTTGATTAGTACCAATAATTGAAAACCTTGCATGTTATTCTGCTTAGTAAGTTCCAATGATCATTTGGGATATGCAAAGTTCCGTTTATGTCTATCGAGACCAAGTGAACCTAATCTTTTAAATTCAAAATCTGCCCCTTATATTTTTGTTCGATAGATTGCTTTTCTTAGCAACCAAGCTAAGAGAACTTGTTATTTAATTGAATGGAGCATCTTCTGACTAATGGTGACATGTTGAACTACAGTTCAGATATAGATGTTGATGATATTAGATGTCACAATATAGCAGAGAAAGATGTTAGCGATGAAGAGATTGAAGCAGAAGAATTGGAGAGGCGGATGTGGAAGGATCGAATCAAACTCAAAAGGCTCAAGGAAAAACAGAAGCTTGCTGCACAGCAAGCCGCAGAGAAGCAAAAACCCAGGCAGTCCTCTGATCAAGCTCGCAGGAAGAAAATGTCCAGAGCACAAGATGGGATTCTTAAGTATATGCTAAAGCTTATGGAAGTCTGCCAAGCTCGTGGATTTGTGTATGGTATCATTCCTGATAAGGGAAAGCCAGTTAGTGGTTCCTCTGATAATATTAGAGCTTGGTGGAAAGAGAAAGTAAAGTTTGATAAGAATGGCCCTGCAGCCATAGCCAAGTATGAAGCCGAGTGTCTAGCTATGAGTGAGGCTGATAATAGCCAAAATGGGAACTCTCAGAGCAGTCTCCAAGACCTACAAGATGCAACTCTTGGATCACTCTTATCATCTTTGATGCAGCATTGTGATCCTCCTCAGAGGAAGTATCCATTAGAAAAGGGTATACCCCCACCTTGGTGGCCAACTGGGAATGAAGATTGGTGGTCACAGTTGAATTTACCTCACGGTCAGAGTCCTCCTTATAAGAAACCACATGATTTGAAGAAGATGTGGAAAGTGGGAGTGCTAACTGCTGTTATAAAGCACATGTCACCTAATATTGCAAAAATAAGGAGGCATGTTCGCCAATCAAAATGCTTGCAGGACAAGATGACAGCAAAGGAAAGTGCAATTTGGTTGGGAGTATTAAGTCGAGAAGAAGCTCTCATTAGGCAGCCTAGTAGTGATAATGGTACATCTGGAATAACTGAAATGCCACCTGGTGTTCCTGTTGAGAATAAGCAAGCTGCTGCTAGTAGTGCTAGCAACTATGATGTTGACGGTACTGATGATGGCATTGGTTCTGTTTCTTCTAAAGATAATAGGAGAAATCAGTGTGTGGATACCGAACCATCAGATAACTTGCGCAGGATTAGGAATTCTGACAAAGACACAGATCAAGATAAGAAGCAACCCAGGAGAAAAAAACCTCGTTTGAGGTCAAGCCCCACTGACAAACTACCAGCACAATCTGACAATGAAATTTTACATGTTGAGCCAAGAAGCAAAGGGCTCGATGTGAACCAGACAGAAACACAGGTAGATGGACTCCAGATTCATGGAAACGAACAGCACAATGAGACAGATCCTGCTGTGAGACCCCTGGAAAAAGGACTTGAGGTCCCAGCTCAATTACCAGGAGCCGAGTTTGATCATTACTCTTACCTACATGCAAACAACTTAATTTCCTCAGAAAGCATGTATATCAGTGGAAGGCCAACGCAATATCCTGAGTTGCAAAACCCTGACATTCATCATGAAACTGCTTATAATCTTTATAATCCAGCGGCACAGTACGGGCCTAATCAGGATGGGCAGCAGCTTCAGTCAGGGAACAACGAAATTAGGCCAGAGAATGATGCAATTTCTATACCATCAGTACATATGAAAGGGGATGAAATTTCTGGAGGAGACTTGCAATATTTTGGTAAAGATACGTTTCAAAATGAGCTTGATAGACCTATTGATCAGTCTTTCTTTGGATCACCGCTCAGTAGCATGTCATTAGATTTTGGAGGACTTAACAGTCCATTCCACTTAGATGATTTCTTGGGGGATGATGAAATGATACAGTACTTTGGAGCATAAACTATTGAAACTGTTGACTCAGCAGAGAACGTAAGTGCTATTCTTCTTTTAAATAATGTTTTAAGTCATCGCATGCATCGTGATTCATGACTTCTGTGTTTTCTTTGTTTCATCCTTTTTCCAGGAACTACAAGATTTCCAGCACCTGTTACTCATCTGGGTTCAGGATCCCACATTGGTATTACTTTTTATGGCTTTATGCAGTTTGAGGTGGAAGAATATAATCTTAACATTGACCAGTCATAAGTTTATAGAACTGGAAGAAACGAAGCATGATTTTTGTTCTATTGATTACCCCATTTCCATATCAATAAATATGTTTGGGGTTCATGTAAATTTATCAATTGTTGGACTGTCCGAACTACACATATGAATGCTTAGCTAAATTTATTTAGAAAGGTTTTGACAACTTTATGCAACTAAAATGGTAAATTTTTACATTGAAAGGAAATAAGTGTAAATATTTCTTTTCTCAATAAAAACTTATTGCATTTAGTTGCTTAAAGTTAAAACCTGATGTTAATACTTCCCTGTTTGCAATAGGGTTGCCTCCAAATCTAATGAAGTGTTTGTCTTCATGTTCTCCTCCAAGTCCAAATTCAACGAGTTAATTTGTCCTCATGCTCTCTTATATCCGAGATTGGTTGATGTAGATTCTCCTATGCTTTACATTTATACGTTCACCTACTGAAGTAAATTGGGTTTCCAACAATTGCGCACTAGTCCATACTAGGAATATAAAAATATGGCAAGCAAATCATTCCATTGTTAAATGAAAAAAGACAGTGTCAAGTGCCACTCAGGTGTAGTGCCGAACTACGAATTATAGAATTCAGAGGTGGAAATGTCGAGTTTATAACTTATAGTCCATATCAAGGTTAAGTGAAGTTGGGTTCTTATTTATTAAAGACAAACGTTAATAAGAGTCTTCATCCATTAAAAAATTATAAGTAAACAGAAATTAATGAAAAATATTCACAATGTGATTTTTAATACAATTACACATAATTTGTAATGATTTTTTTATTTTTAATTCTTTAATTGGTGTTTTTGATACATTGGTAAAACTCTATTAATTGATTTTTTATTTAAAGCTATTAAGCTAAAAAGATTAAGTTTTACATCACTAAAAAAATAACACCTAATAAGTTAGCCTATTTAAATAAATCAACGACAACAATTATGGATTACTATTATTATTAAATGAATAAATTAACCTTGAATCTTTAATAAACATTTCGAGTGTTGTAAATTTTGATATATTTCTACCTCGTACTGAAGCGAGTGTTGCACGACTCTCGATGCATGCCATTTTTTCAGATGACGCTGATGAACTATAATTCTACCTGGTTTTTTTATTCTTCTTTTTTTCTCTAGATTCCTTCCTTCCCTCGAAGAGGGTTAGATCTTGCTTGTACATAATACGACTGTTGTAAGACTACTCCCGCTACACGTTAACACAAGAATGTTCCTCTCTACTCTCTATCTAAATGATATTGAATTGATTTTGATCTGTCACAATTTAATTGGGGTTACGCTTATCTGAAAGATCACATGTTGGCTTCAACTTCTCCACACGCAATTCCCTTCAATTCCTCGTATGTAAATAAGAATTTTAAAAGTCGATATGGTTTTAACAACAGTAATGCAGCAGTAAAAGGAAAATATGTATAGCAGCGTTAAGGGTGCAAAACAAAATCAAATATGAATGTGCATTACCAATAATTCGTATCAGTAACCAGTAGCAAATTCAACTTTTTTAATGAATCACTAATGCATACTTTTTTCCGGATGAGGGCAAAATCCTAAGAGAAAGGTTTGCTCTGTGACCAGAAATGGACCCAAATCCTGGAAACAGCCTCTTCGCTTACAGAAGGCTGCATTCAGAGAACATTAAATACTCTATTTAGTCTAAGTCTCGTGCAATAAGTCGCCTTCTTTTATTCATACCTTTCTGACTACAGTTAGAATGTCAGCTTCTCTTTCTCGTACGATTCTACCGACATTTCACAGTATTTACAAAATTTACAAACCAAGCTTCTTTGGTCTCAAGAATGTGGAAGAACCCTTTCGCAAACCTGGCATGGAGATTTGCTGTTGATGCTTAGCCATCTTTTCCTTTTCCTTCTGTTTCCGTTCTCTCTCAAACTCTGCTTGCTCCTTCTTCAAATTCTCCATCTCCTCCTCCATAGCAGTTTTCTCTTGTTTCTGTCTCTTCTTATGCTCCAGCAATGATGTATCCGACTCCTTAACAGAGAAAAACATGGGTCCCAGCTCAGCCAGCCACTGGGGCTCCACCGCTGTGGCACACTGCATGTACTCCTTCGTGGTCAGGATTAACTCATGATAAACCACATACTCAGGAGTGCAACCCATGCCAAAGAGAGCACTACTGGGATGTAGATGACATGGCATTCCGTTCCGGCAATTAACATACTCCCCCACACCCTTTAATCTTGCTGCATTGTGGAAGTATGCTGAACAAATTGCTTTTCTGACAATGTCGGTATCAGGCCAACTTGAGGTTAGAGGAATCTTTAAAGTCTTGAGAATATCAAGCAATTGGGATCTCACCTCTCTGGCCTTGCGTAGACCCTTAACATGCAAAAAATGATCATTGCACCAATCACCTCTGTAATCATGCTGTTTCCATTGCTGATAAACGTTGTACAGGGTTAAATGATCAGATTCTGGAACAAAAAATCTTTCCCGCGCAGCATCGCTCTCCTCTGCTCGGTCCTTGGGTCTAAAGAAAACAGATGGCACTGAAAGCATGGAAACAATTGTCAAAACCTCCTCAACACACCCCAACTGTTCACCCATCAAAAGCATCTTAGCAAGCGGAGGGTCCAGTGGAAATTCAACCATTTTCCAGCCAAGATCAGTTAATCCCCCCACATTGTTAAGGGCACCTAACACCCATAACTGGTACATAGAATTGAGAATATTATCTTGCGGAGGTGGGTCCATGAAATCAAAATCAAGTAAATTTTCAACTTTTAGAGATTTCAGCAACAAGACCACATTGCCCAGATTAGTCCTCTGAATCTCCGGAACAGGACTGGGCAACATTTCATTTAGGTAAGCACTCTCAGTATACAACCGATAGCATGTACCAGGGCCAGTTCTACCAGCTCGACCAGAACGTTGGTCAGCAGCAGCACGGCTAACAGGGAAGACCTGGAGGGCATCCATGCCCATCCTAGGGTTATAAACCTTCATTTTACCATAGCCAGTGTCTATGACATAGAAGATACCATCAACAGTTAATGATGTCTCAGCAATATTAGTAGCTACAATGCATTTGCGGGCTCCATCTTCAGCTTTCTGGAATATCTTTGCTTGCAAGTCAGCAGGAAGCTGAGAATATATGGGAAGAATCAAGAGTTTAGGAACTGCTTTGTTTGAAGATGACACCATCTGCTCCATTCTTTCAGCAAGGGCATAGCAAGCTGCCTCAATCTCATCTTGGCCAGTCATGAAGATAAGGATGTCACCAGGAGGGCTGGTTATGTGAATAGTCATAGCCTGCTTCACTGCACCTTCAACGTAATCTTCAACTGGAGTTTTACTCCATAATATATTCACAGGAAATGTTCGCCCAGGAATATGAAAAATTGGTACACTGCAAGGATCCCCCAATTAGGTCAAAGCAAACAAGGTTAACAATAATGAACAATCCTGCACGAGGAACTAAACTACCTTCCAAAGAAATTTGAAAATTTTTGTGCATTCAGAGTTGCTGATGTAACTATCAGCTTGAAATCACGACGTTGGGCAACAACTTTCTTCAATATTCCAAAAAGAACATCCGTGCTTAATGATCTTTCATGGGCTTCGTCCATGACAATAACCCTGAAACAGTTTGAAACCACATGACTGGTAACATTGTCTTTATTGCAAACAAACAATGAGGGGTAAATGTGGAGGGAAAATTTTGTTAATATTTTCATACCGATACTTGTCTAGATCAGAGTCTTTGAGTGTTTCACGTAGAAGTACCCCATCAGTCATGTACTGTAAAATTTAACCCCAAAAATTTAGAAGATAGCACAAGTTTATGATTAATATGTAGACAATACACAAACTTACAGCAGAGGCTACTCTCAGAATGAAAAGAAATGACAATTAATAGCAGTGTAATATCAAGAACAATAATAAATTTTAACTCTATAAACTCGAGAATTCACCTTTATAATGGTACTTGGCCCAGTCACATCCTCAAAACGTATGGCATAGCCAACTTTACCGCCCAATTCTGTATCCATCTCCTCGCTAACTCTCTTGGCAACACTCATAGCTGCCACACGCCGAGGCTGGGTGCAGCCTACTAGACCACCAACAGTATAGCCATCCTCATGCAGATACTGTTCAGGAACCCAAATGTCAAATTCCATTTCAATGAATATAAATATCTATTTCTGACAAATCCAAGAGATTCTTATGTCTTTTTTTTTTCTTGATTGGATAAACATTAATTAATAATATAAGACACAACAAAAAGAAAAGAGAAGACAATAAAACCTGTGTCAATTGCGTTGTCTTTCCTGAACCAGTTTCTCCCACCACTACTATCACCTGATTTTCACGAATCACCTACACATTGTATATCAAGAAAATTATTTCAATAACATTTTATCTGCATTTAGAAACAGAAAATCCAAGTGGAAACAATACTATTGAAGGTAAGACAAAGCTGAATCAAAACATATTGATAAAAGAACAGAGCAATCCAAACAAGCAGGTAAAACGGTGAACTTACAAATAAATGCATGACCAATAGGATGAGAGAAGGAAAAGGGATCTGGTTTGTGTATATATCAAAATCATATAATGATAAATATAGTTTTATATCCAAGTCAATTAGCAACATAATCAGTAAAATAAAAAGGAACAATATTGTGTTGCCAAGCTTAATCCCAGCCCCCATTCACAGATTAAAACTATAGGTCTTAATGAATGACTAAGATACCCATTGTCCTAAATTTGAACATTTACCCTCAGTGATTGTGATCATTAATTAGGAATTACTTTGATCTGAAAGAATGAATTCCCATAGGTTCCTTACATTTTCACAAAAAGCAACCTTAACAATTACTATCACATCACGCATGTATAACCAAGAAAAGAAAAACCAACCTGTAATAACTCTTCTCTCACTGAAAAAATAGGCAGATACTTTCTCTGCTCCGCAATGCTTTTTGACTTAGCAAATTCACTCACAGCTTCTCCCTTCTTCAAATGCTGTGAAAACTTGGCTTCCTCCTTAAAATCAATTTCACCATCTTCCCCCACTACAGCAGTGTCTGCATCAATCTGGCATTTGCAAAACAATTAAATAGAATGAAGTCAATGAAAAAATGAAGCAAAGGGACACAAAATACTCCAAAATCCAGAAGAATACCTGCTCTGCTGTTTTTTCAACACCTAAGATATCACCAAGTTTTGAACCTGCAAGTTCCCAAAAGCGTTGGCGAGATTTGTTCATACTCTGCTTCTCATGGATTTCCCTGACCAGACCAGATCCTTTACGAGATATTATAGCCATATCAGATGTTGGATCTTTTATTGGCATAATTGGCTCTGCCTGCTTAGTAAAAACAACTCTGCCATCAAG